TTCCAAGGGCCGGTCCACCAATGGGCCTCGTAAGGTAACCGGCCAAATAGGCAGTTTCTCATCAGATCGAGCACGACAGACATCTGCGTCGCTTGAGCACAAGGCGAAGGTTGTCCCTGTCTCCCCCAACCCGGCGTCGTCGGGCAACCCGCACTTCCCACTCAACAAATGCTTACAGGCCCACAGGTAACAGAGAGAGACATGTAATCGGCAATACGAGGTCGTCTTCTTCGCAAGTTGGAGAAGAATCTGGAATATTTTGCGTTCAAAGCGTGTCTCGCAGGCAAGGCTTAGTGGGGGATGTCGAGGAAGAGGCTGGCCGTATGAAGTCAGACACAGCCGAGTTACATACTAGGGAGAAGAACGGTGGCTTCTAGGCTCTAGTAATCCTGGACAACGATCGAGAGAAAAGAGAGGGGGGGGAGAAAGAGAGGAGAGAGGAAAATGAGAAGAAGCCGATACGTTCTTGCTACAGGTAGTGTGGTGGTCCCATGGGATGAGCGACTTGTGAACCTCAGGCGCTTTCATTGGTGGTACGAGGCCCGAAGTAAGCTTTGGTATTTCGAATACGGTCACGCGGCGTACGAAGAAGGCGAGGGACACGCGGAGACCAGAAACTAGCGCAAGTCGGCGCTAGGCGTGAGGATGTGCTCTGCATACAAGATTTTGATGAGCATCGCCAACAACACCCAGCCCTGGCTTGCCGATGATGGTGGTGGAGCGTTGAGCAACCCGGCCACGGGAGGTAGGCTCACGGAACGGGACGTTGAAGAACGTACGTCCCACGGACAGCACGCAGCCGTGATGGGACGGGGGGAAGGGAGGGAGGGAGAGAGGGGTTGCGAAGAATGTCACCCGGCCGAGGCAGAGCGCATTTCCCGGATGCAGGGAGCCAGCACACTCTACGGAATAGCATCAGATCACCAGGTTACGGCGTCGAGATTTGCTAGGGCTGCTTAGTAACTCGGGGAGAGTGTTCTCGCCGTGCGGTGGGACGGGGGAAAAGAGAGATGGGAGTTGCACAGACCGGCGGCGAGGTTGATTAGAGGCGCGGGCCGATAAATCGAGACCGCAGAGCTTTTCTCGTGCCCCTACCAGCATCATGTCTTCCCGTCTTCCCATCCGCGGTGTTTTCAGCTTGGGATACGATTACATAACGAATAACACTGCCTAGGGCCCCGAGAGAGATGGACATATATGTACACATACGCATGTGCGTGCAATATACGAATATATAGACGCACACATGGCTACATAGGTACATATGCGTGCATATATGGGCACGGCTATGCGAGTTGATAGGATACAGCCATCGACCGGAAGACATCTCTTTCACACACACTCTCTCTTGTTCTCTCGCAGCACAGCAACTCTCAACTGATTGCCTGCTCTCCCTCGCCCGCATCTTTCCCCTTGACCAACTTCACACTGCAGCCGTTCTGTCGGATACAGGGCACTGACTGTGTCGCGTCGCGGATCGCTCCAAGAAAGAAAAACAACGCGACATCATCGTCCCAACTGGGCGCGTCTGCTGCCGGGAGATCTGGTGACAGCCCTGCCAATCAACGCGACGCTGCGCGGCCAGGGTCGTCAAGAACTGGTTAGGCCGAGGATCGAGCTAGCTCTAAGGTAGTACTGTAGTTCTTCACCGAGTCCGGACTTATTGGTGCGGGAGCGCAGACTGGGACGGGACTTTTTTTGACCTGGGAGAGAGCCCTCGAAACGGCCGTCGCGGCTTTTTTTTTTCTTGGGACCTTCTATCTACATCCGTCCATCCGTACAGGCCATAACGTACCTACATTGGGGGCGTTAAGCACACGGGGGATGGCCTCCCTTACAAGTGGCTACCTACCTTCAGGTCCTTAGGGAGCGATGTGTGTGTGCATGTATCTACATGTGTATGTTCGTGGTACTGATGATGGCGTTCGCCGCGATACCTGCTGCTTCTTACTATACCTTCGCAGCGGCTGACCGGATATCACGGTATGATAGGAGGCATGTAGGTATATACGTCTACGTCCTCCTCGCAGATTCCGGTTGTGCGGCGTTGTATGGATGTACTTGTCGAGCAACGATCCCGAACACCGACACCGCATTCCCGGGAGGGAATGTCTGACGATGGTGCCCTCGCGTGCCTGTCCATTGCCCACCCACCGTCGACGTGGTCGGCCGCCTTTCGTCGACAGATGTTGCATCCTCGAGAGGAGAAGAGGGCTCGGTTGGGCAAGCTGACCCAGCGCGAGATGGGCGACGGCGCCGCGGCACAGTACGCAGAACATGTTTTGCGAAATGCATATATACCAGCATCTCCGGCGGAGCCTCTGTGCGGTTGCCCGTACCGCGTCTGCCTCGGGGGACCTGCGCACACGGTGCTATCGTCGTCTCCCCATACTCATACATAGCCCACCCCACCGTCAGCAGCGCCAATGCCGCCAGCGCTCTGAGCCCAATTCGACGGCTCGAGAGGGTCGCAATCCGATGAGGGTCTTTGCCCAAGTTCGACTAGCGCGCGCGCGGTGGCCATCAGGAAGCGAAGCCGCCTTGGAGACCCAAGAAGGGGAAGGTCGGAAGATGGGTCTGCTGTATTTTTTCTTTCCCTTCCTCCCCCCCCCTGTCGACAATAACGATGGCAGTAATAACGTCCCAGCGCCCAGTATGAGTAAGTACCAGATTGCGTGCGTCTTCCAGTATTTATTTCTTCGCGCCGCGTTGAGGCCACTACGTAGGTAAGGAATTCACAATAGCATCAACTCGGCTTTCGCCCCTCCCCGGAGTTATGTACAAGCTATACCTAGTATACATACACGCCAGGAATATGGGAAACCCTAGAGAGAGAGGGGGGGCGGGGGGGGGAGGTGAGAAACAAGCAGGCAGAGAGAGAGAGAGAGGGCATTCAGGCCCTTTCCGGCTGTTGTTTACCCGTTCTCACGTAACTACATATACATAACTGGCTTCTTATAACTAGGGTTTATCCTACACCGTCAACTCCCAACCTCGCTCGCGAGTGGAACTTGGCCCCTGCTGCGCGGTTTGCCTCTGACGCCGCGGTCCTGCTGGGCCCCGTACGCACACGCATCGACTTGTTATGATTTGTTTCGTTTTTGACCATCTCGAGGCCCGGGGAGAGCACAGTGGGTTTTCGCATGCACTATTACGCAGCAGTGCAGGGCCTCCAGACATGAGTGGTGGAGAAGAGAAATGGCAGAGTTCCGATGCGCAAAGAGGGACGGGCTTCGTCGAGAACGAAGTTGGACCGGGGAGGGTGTGTGGGTCAGTCTTCTGCATGGGGTCCAATGGGAATTCACAATCCACCTGGTATCGTAGACCCTTTGGGCTACGCGGTAGTAGGTACCTACACGTTGGGTAATCGTAGGTACCTGGGTGGTGTGGCGTGCGCTAGGTACGTGCAGAGGAGGTATGTACTTACGAGGTACCTGGTAGTAATATACGCAGTATGCGCGTGGGTAGTACAAGTGGAGGTGTCTATACGTACGCCACGTACCCTGATGTACCTCGCGTAGTGTATGTATAAAGTGTGTATATGTATACATGGATGCGTGTATTCCCTCTGCCTTGTGTACACATCTCCACCTCAATCGGACCAATAGAGATGATGCCGTCGGATGCTATGGGTATGCGAGGGTACCTACTTCAGGTACTTTAGGTGGCAGGTAGCGAGGTGTAGGTACCGAATCTACCAGCCTCCGATAGGTATCCGTAGGTACATTACCGCCGTTACTGACGTGGTAGATTAGGTACACAGGTACCTACCTCTCTACCATTGCCCTAGAGGTACCTCCTAACTCCCTGAGCCGGACCACTGGACTTGCCCCGAACGGCATAGCTCTACGCCGGCCGGCTTCTGCTAGAGGGAGCTCTCCCCGGACCCCTGCTGGCGCTGGGCGTCTTCTCCTGTTCCTATGAGTACTCATACATGCTACGTGCCTAACGTAGGCCGGCGCGCCAGAGACAGGCCGAGCGGTCGAGATGTCATCCCAGCTAGTCGGGCGCGAGGCCTAGCAGCCGTCCAGGGTCGGCGACGGGGGAAATAGCTCACGGATTCTCCAGAAGATTACCAGAAGTCAGACAGTGTCACTCCTGAGCCTCCCCAAGACGGCAGCGTGGTAGGGGCCATCCTGATTCCTGGAGCCAGCCAGTGGAGCCCGCCCAGAGCAGCGCGTCCAACGGAACGAGCAGCAACTGAAAGCCACACCCGCTCACATCCCGTCCCTCTCTGTCTTCTCTCTGTCTGGCTCGTTTTTTTTTTTTTTTTACACTTCCCCCCTTCAAGCCAAAAAGGCAGTCCTCCTCCTCCTCCTCCTCGCTCTCACATGTGCGCCGTCTCCTTCTCTCTGTTCCCACCCACCCTCGCGCAATACTACCGTGACCGTGACTTCTGGGGAGAGCTGCCAATAGACAAGCATTCCCGCCCAACCCGAGACTCTGGGGATCGCTCACCACGATCCAAGACGATATATTGCTGCTGGACCCTCGCCCGTCGGGATTCTGGACCGGACTATGTTGCACATTGCTCGCAGCTGTGGTCGGTCTTGTCAAGTTGCAGAGACCCGCGAGGCTTGAATATATCGTGTGAGCATTGGCATCATACCGCCTGGTCGACCAGAGAGGCGGTATATCTTGGACAACGCAGCCAGAGGCAGCCCGACTACCACCCCACGAAATCCAACCCCAAGACCGCCCTCAGGTATCCAGAACACGTGGACCAGTGCGACTATCTCCCGGTTTGATAGGTCCAGAAGAGGTCACTGGTACACGTATATACCGCTAAGCCATTGGATCTCGTCGACCGAAACCTGCCACCGGCTTTGCATACCAACGTATCCCACGCCCGCCTCGTCCACTCGCTCAGTCCCATCTATAAGTCGCCCCGGACCAGGTTTTTTTTTCCCTCTTAATTCTCTCCTACGCGGAACCGGTGAACGATCCTAGGTTTTTAACTCTTGAAATCCCTTCCGGGTCACCACCTTGTCTCCAACGCATCGTGGCCGACGGTCCTCATGTGGATTTACCCTGACGTATCCTCCCCCACACCCAACCGCCGGTAGCCATCACGCGACCCAGCTACCACAAATAAACCAACGCGACAGCACCCGCAATCTAGCGGCAGCTGTGTGATATCATCGCCGTCTAGGTAAAGCGGGATCGTACCCGGGAATCGGAAGAAAAAAGCAACCAGAAAAAGGAGCGAGAGCGCGCCAGAGAAGTTCTCGCGCTCCGTTGCGCTCCTCAACATGTCACCCAAATTACGACCTCTCCAGCTGCCATTGTTGGTCGAAGCCAGGAGGAGGAAAGAATTGGAGGAGGCGGCGCAGGCTGAGACTGACATGGATGTGCCGTATAACTTCTACACGACGGACCCCTACTCGTCCGACACGACGTCGCCAGTCACGCCAACCTTCTCCGCCCGCGGCCACCTGCGCTATTCCAGCTCCATGTCATCTTTCGACCTGGCCGCGGTGCCCGGCACCGAGTGCCCCTTATCTCCGTCGCAAACAACGCAGAGCTCTGGCAAGCGTGTGCTACCAGACGTCGAGGAGGAGCCTATCGAATATGACGATGACTCGGATTCCGAGTACGACAACGCTTCTGAGCTTTACCACTGCTTGTGTAGGTTTCATTAGCACACCTCCCTCTACTCACCCCCTTGCTGATGTGTTTTGGGTTAGGCGACGAGCCGTGCATCCATCGCGATGCCGATCTGGTGCAGAGCACGTCCAACTTCTACTCGCAAAGCAGAAGTGGTGAATACGACATCGCCTTCCTCAGCGACGGGGATTTTAGTTTCAGCCTACGCTCGAGGAAGCGCAGGACTGGCTCGGAGTCGCCCTTTGCTGGGTTCTCGCAGCGGCTGGGTTCCAGGTTCCCCTCTTTCACGAAATGGAAATCGTCGAAGCCGTCGAGCATTATCAGCTCGCCCATCTCCGACTTAGGGTTCGAACGGCGGCGACCGGCCTTTTCCGGGGCGGCATCGAGCCGCTCCTCTTCCCTCTCGGCGGTCGGTCGGCACCCTGACCGTTCGAACGAACCCCCGCTACCCACACCTGCTCTATCACGTTTCGGAAGCAGCGACAGCGTTATGGACGGGCAGTTTGATGGCACGAGGGCTAACTATCTCCTCGCATCTATCGAGCACGACCGCAAGCAGGCGGCGACACCACTGTTACCGCCCATGCTGGCCACGTCAGCTGAGCAGCTTGCTGGCCACTCTTCCCCTTTGGAGTCTGCGAGCATTGCCTCCCCCGTCTCCCTCGACGACGAGATCTACGCAATAAATACGCTGTCGCCACCGCTCAGTACGAAACCTTCGGACTCCTCCCTCCGCTTCGTGCCGGGTACGGTAGAGCTGCCTCAGCTCCCGGCTCCCGATGCTTGGTCCGACCGCCTGGGGCACGCGAATTATACTATAACCCCCAAGCCGTACATGCCGGAGACTTCTGACTTGGACTCTCTCCGTCAATTCAGGGCGGACTGGGAGACGGCGCGCGTGAATTACACCAAGCACCTCGCGCGGACGGGCGAACACTACGGCCAGACCTCCAAGACCTACGCCCTTACCGAGGCCAAGTGGGCCGAGACGCAGCGCACTTGGCGAAACCTGCATGACGAAATAGCCGAGGCGGTGGTCGCTAGCGGCGAAGCGACGGCGTGCGAGAAGTTTGACGAAGGCGCGCCGACTACGGTGCCAAGGATGAACGCGGAGGGCAAGTTCCCGGAGCGCGGCGACGAAGACATCGTCGGCCCCATGGTCCGCGAGGCAACCATGATTTCCCTCGACGGCTCCGAACGGAAGAGCCCCAGCTTCTGGCGCAACTTGGCTGGCAAGGTCGGCCTGCGGAAGTGATGAGCGCCCCCACGCTGTTGTACCAGAACCAGATTGGCCCTGAGACGGCACTCAATTTTACGACTACCTTACGATGACTACGACTATAACGTCACTTACGCTCGTTCCATTATTCGTTTCTATCGATATTACGCCTGCAGCATAGAGAGATACCATTTGCCTTTTTTTTTTCCTTCGGGATTGCAGTTAGAGGACGACCGCAAACCAAGCCTGCCAGCCTACAGCATTCGCATGCATCGCACCGGGCTGAGGAAGCACCAATCGAAATATCTATTTGTTTAAATTCCCTGAATCATAATTTACGTGAGGCTGTCTCGGGCCGAGACCGAAAGCGCCTCCCTGCACATACTCTGCCTCCCCCCCTCTGCTGCGCTTCCCTAGCCTTGTTCAACTTCTGGTATTCCTTGGGGAGAAAAGGGGGATGTCGGCGACCTACTTTATGCATCTGCACCTACAGGGCTGGGATCGGCGGGGATACCAATTCTCGGGACATCACATAGACGTAACTGGTTTTTGTTTTTCCCCCTCTGCATTGTATTCCCTAATCCCTCCCGCCTCCCACGTCCCCCCCACGGCCAGGTTCGGCGCCTCGAACGCGGATACCGTCCCCGTCACACTCCAAGATGGAAATGAAAAGCAAGAGAGTGGTGATCCGGAACAGCGCGGCATACGAGTTGGAGAGAGGAGAACGGTGTATCAGGGCGTTGCCTTTCTTTTTTCTATTTCTTTTTTTAAACTCTCCTAAACCGGTAACCAGTCCTTCGGTGTCTGCATAATCTCATCGGCGCCTGGGGGAAAGAAAAAGGTCACCAAAAAAAAACGAGGCTGCAGGGGCGGACGGGAGCAAAACCGCGTCCTGGAACCACCCTGTCCTGTGGGCGATACTGTACGCTTGAATGTACACCGCATTTCTATTGGCAATATTTGCCCTCTCATCGATCGGACAATAGAGGATAAAGGAAGGAAGGGGAAAAGGAACATAATAATCGTCGAACATACATAGTTTGTCTGGCGCGCGGGTGTGGAAAGAAAGGGGACGAACGCTGATGCGTTTTTCATTGGGCCATTCGTCGTCGATGGCCGTAGCCTTCAATCCTCCCATCCCATCCCATTCCCCCCCCAAGACGGGGAAACCAAAAAAAGCCACCGACCAACACCAGCACCAGCACCATTGCTCTCGCCTGCGCAACGCGCGTGCTCGTGCGCGTTTGTGCATGCATCCGCGAGAGGAGAAGGGAGGTGTGAGGAGGGGGCAAGGGAGGAGGATGAGCAGAGAGGACCAGGCGATCCCACTGTCTGGGAGGATTCAACAGTGACGAGCACCAAGAAAAAAATAATAATTAAGCCGGAGGAAAAGTGTTTCTGCATGGAGATAAACTTTGCCGCTCAAGCGGCTGTCAAGCTTAGAGAGCTTCCTGTCACGGCCAGCTCCATGAACATGATCTGCCCACCTCATCGTTTCCGATATACATGATCGTGTGCATGTGGTATGTGTATGGTATGTATGTGTGTGTGTATGTGACTCAGCAGCGTTATGGTATGATTATGTCTAGTAAGATGGTGTATAAGCATGGTATCGCGTGTATGGTACGGTGTTGATTTAAGAACCCCCCCTCCACCCCCTTCACGGACGCTGTCGCAAGGGGGGAGGGGGAGGGGTCGAGTCTGAGTCTGGAGAGACCCCTCTAAAAGAAACGTAGATTGGTGGTTTCCAGGTGAGACCTGGCGGTTCAGGGCTGAGATCATGACATAGGCACCCGTCGACTTAAGGCCGAAAGGAGGAGACGAGGCGCGGAGGGGCGGCGCCCAATGTCTTATCATAAGCGGGCGATGGCGTCGCCCAGGGCGGGCAAGAATGGAGGCGGAAGGGATCACTTAAGGGGGTGTGTGTGAGTGGGGAGGAGGCGCCGAGCCGTCTTTGCGAGACAGCAAACAGTTGTCAAAGATATTGACATGTTCCCATTGATATCATCTTATTCGCCGCCACGAACCGCGACCACCCGCGCGTCCAAGAGTCCGAAAGGGGGGGGGGGAGGGGAAGACGGGAGAAGAAAGGCATATAACGGCAGTACTCCGAGAGCACGCACACCGGTCGAAATACCTCGCCCCGTCGCAAACGCCACGCAGTAGATATTGGCCTCACCAGACCTCCAATGCGGCCTCGAGCCGCAGCAGTAGGTAGCAGCAGCGCTAGCAGGAGGAGTACGCAGGTAATCCGGAGGAGTATCACGGATCCGAGCCTAATGCTAGCCGCCACCATGCCTCCTCCTCCGCGGCCCCTCCCCATCCCCTCCACAAGCCAGGTTACCCGTGCGCTATGCGCTCCAGCCACCTCCGCGTCGACGCCGAGCTGTCCGTCCTTCGCCCGCTCTCCCCTCCCGTCCCCCTCAGAGAATGTACCTGAACCCTGGCGGGGCAGCTAGGGCGCCGCCGACAGTGGCCCTAGGCCGCCTAGCCTGCTCGCCGGGCGCGGCCTCGTGCGCCGGCGCATCGCCAGCCCCCTCGCGCGCTGCTAGGGCGCGGTTCTGCTGGCGCAGCACGAGGCGCACGGCGAGGGCCAGTAGCGCGGTCAGGAGCGCGACCGCGGCCGTGCTGCTGCCCCCCGCCAGGTACCGCGGCCCGTCCGACGCAGGGTACCTGTTTGGTTTTTGGCGGCCCGGCCGTGGTCAGCGTAGTTCGAACTAGGAGGTGGATTTGCCCGCTCTCTAGCTCTGAGCACTCGTGGAGATCTACCCCAAGACTTCGAACGGGGAGCGGGGAGCCGATTGGAGAGAGATGGTATGGGGTAAACTTACATGTAGGTGCCGTAGATGTTAGCCGAGTTTCCGATCATGTTAGCGATCGAGATGCAGGCGCTGCGCTTAACTAGCGGCCGCGGGAAGCTGTTGGCCACCCAGGCGAGGATAGTCTATCCCCGGCATTTTCTCAAGTCAGCTGCGAAAGCCTCCTAGTCACCTTTTTGTTTGGTGCTGGAGAAGCGGAGCCATCAGATGGCACGACCGCTGTTCACGCGTAGGCATATATGCCCAGACGAAGGGCAGACCAAACCAGTACGGCTCGCTAAGGATGACGCTCTAAGGTATCTACCCCTCTTACGAATTCTGATGGCAACCATTCGACGAGAGAATAGACAGGGTGGAGGTAGGGATGAGATAGTAATGGACACCAACTGAAGAATTCACCTACCTGGTAAGCAGGCACCGAACCCAGGGGCAAAAGGAACAGGGCAAAAATGCGGACGCCGGTGCTGAGGGTAGACACGACGATGATATTCCCCGCGACGGAGATGAGCATCAGGCAGATGATGTGGATGCTGCGATCGGCGTAGCGGCCGGCGGTGTACGTGGTGATCAGGGAGACGACGAAGGCCAGCACCCACACGGGCACGGTGAGCAGCAGCGTCTCGATGGTGCCGTAGCCCAGCGTCTGCACGATGGTCGGGAAGAAGTACTGGAACGTCTGCGAGAGCAGCGACGCGTGCTGCAGCAGCGTGAACAGATACAGCCGCGGGTCGCGCAGCGCCAGCGCCAGGCCCTCCCGGACCGTCGACGCGCCCGCCGCGTCCCCCTCGCCGGCGTCGCGGACGAGCCGCCACTGCGCGTACGCGCGCTCCTCCGCCGTGAGCCACCGCGTCGTCGCCGGGTAGTCGGGGAGCACGAAGGTCGAGCAGATGGCGCTGCCGATCGTCACGGTGCCCTCGATGATGAACAGCCAGCGCCTGTGTCTATGTTAGGGTCTGCGTCAGGTAGGTATTGTGCCATCCCATCACTAGCATCCGCACCACCACACGCGGCGAACTGCTGGAGGGTGTGGATTTGAATTTGAAATGCCGTGGGTGGAAGGGGAGCAAGCGCCTTACCATCCGGAGATACCATGCGCGCCGCTCAGATTCCCGAGCACGCCGGCGCCTAGCAGGCCGCCAAACGCATTTGCGAGCGAGTGTCCCGAGTAGAACCACGCGATCCTGTGGGCTAGCTCGGCGCGCGTGTACCAGCTTGACATCAGGAACACGGCGCCCGGGAAGAAAGGGGCCTCGGCTGCCTTGGTGTTAGCTTCGCGGCGATGTGAAAAACCCCGACATTTCTCTTCTGATGCTACCCCTATTTAGTGAGACGACGAAAAGGGGGGACGAAAAAAAAGGGGGGGAAGGCGACAAGACAAGGCCGGCTTGGCACTTGGCACTTGGCGCGCTCGGCGTCGCGACCAACAAATAGTAGGTAACGTCTTGTCATGAATCCTAAACACGAATACTTCCCGACTCTGCGCCCGACACACGTACCGAACCCGAGGAAGAACCGACACACGACCAGAGAGGCGAACGTGCGGACCGCGGCCTGGGCCGTGGATATGATGCCCCAGATCGACATGGCCGCGCCGAGATAGATCGACGGCCGCACCCGGGTGAGGAGCAGGTTGGACGGGAGCTGCATCAGCAGGTATCCGACGAAGAGGATGCTCGTCGCGAGGTTGAAGTCGGTCCCGGTCATCATGAGGTCCGCCTCCAGCGTTCCGAGCCGGGCCTGCGAGAGGTTGCTGGTGCCCCTGATTAGATACCTATACCTGTGCTTCTCTCCTTCGACGCGCGCACGAGTAGGGCAGCTCTCGGACGGGGCTTCGCGGTGCTCACTTTCGGTCCAGGAAGTTCAGCAGGTACATCAGGATCAGCATCGGGAGCAGGTGGGCGTCGATCTTCCGCATGAGGCGCCGCGCCATCCCGCGGTGCCACTCCCCGCCAGCCGAGTCGAACTGCTCGAAGAAGGCGGCGCGCTGCTCGTCGGCGGCATCGTGGTCCGCGACGGTAACCACGGTCTCGATCCGGTGCCCGACTTCCCCGCCGCTCGTCTTGGTGCCCTTGGTGGGTTCGTCGACTCGGAATGCCTCCATTGTCGCTAGGGAGTCGCAAAGTTGACTGCCCTAACACGTCTCTTTCCAGAGAGTTCCCTCAGCGGCACGGAGGGGGATCCTCTGTTAAGTATCGAACCTACGATTCTAATCTGAAGGCGCCATACTCTATCCCACCTACCATATCCAGTGGCCTCGGCACTTGATGAAAATCCGGTATATTTCTTTTCGGCAATGCACACCGTCGCATCCGAGCCATCTCGGGTTCAGCCACGGTGCGGAAGCATAGAAAGCGAGAGCGGGGGGTGTTTTGGGGGAGATTTCAAATCAAGGTATTGCTTCATCGATGCTACACTGCCGCTATGGAGCACCCACGAGCTTCTTCATTCGACCAAGCAGGAGCTTATCCTCTGCAGTACCCCATGTGAATCTCAAATATCCCGAGGGTGGTTCGTGGGGTTAATTCGATAACGGATGAGCACAATGCTAGCTGGACGGATGTCTTTGGGACCGACTAGATGTGCAGCTGGGTGTCGCTGCCAGCCTAGACAGACAGACTTGTCTATTTCCTGGCGGCAAGACATACCTATGTTACCTCGCGAAGAATAATCTGGACTTTCTCAGGAAGTGTGAAATAAGCGGCTTAATAGAAAAGAGGACCACCTTGCTTATAGGCAAGAGGTAGGATACTAATAATCGAAGTTTTGGGAGCCTCTAACCTGCTAACGCATTCACACCCTGGATGCCTTACCTGACCCTAGGTTGAGAGCCAGTACCACCGGCTCGTGGAGATGAATGACTCTGTAGAAGGTGGGCGGATCTAGCCGGACTACCCCAACGGCCTCACAGGCAGTCGTCAGTGTCGCAGTATAATTGCCGTCTTGTAGATAGGGACGGAATCTCCGGTCGACTGCAATGCCTTGGAGCACTGTGAAGGCCACCGGTGCCAACTTCGGGATGAGAGTCCCTCATAGCCCCGAGTGTTCGCCATCGACCAGTAAGCATCCTCTCGGTAGGTATAGATAATTCAACCTATTGCAGTTCTCGTGAATCGGCGAGTTGTAGGTTCCCCCTTTGCTGGAACGTGTGCTTAACTCGTTGGCAGGGGACCCAATTTTGGCGACGAGCGTCGACATACACCCCCGCGGGAGATCCGCCGATAGACACCTGACTGTCGGAGGGCTGCGGAGTTGTTCTGGGCGACCGTCTCTAACGGGAACTTAACTAAGCGCGCGGCGGGAATTCGAGTTGTCCGAGTAGGAGGTGGGCATCGTGCCCGGTCTGAAAAACATTCAAGGGTTTGACTCTGAGTCCTCACCTCCTACGCAAGTCTAACGAAGTACAAGTGAAACACCGGCCCGAGCTTCCCCGTATAGACACGCCTTTATGTGCGAGTGGATGGAGGAGCTTCCGCCAATATTAGCGTCGACGCTGATATACCTGCTAGGTAGTAGGTTCTATGGCATCTCCGAATTCTCACGGCCGGCTAGCAAGTATGTAAGCCAATCTTCGGGGGTTGGGCCGTGATGATAGGCATCCAGGGCTATAGCCTCCTATAACCCGGTACATATATCGGCGTGGAGCGCTCGATGTTCTTCTCGTGGCATGAGCCGGGCATGGTCTCGATCCGTCCCCGCCAGCAGGCACTCTCCGAGAGGCTACCTACCTCTTAGCTACCCCCCTACCTACGTGCCAGGTGTTGGCGTTGAGCGACAGAGGGATGCTTCTTACTGATCTAGCAACTATCCGCAAATAGGAGACACGCACAAGTAAAGAGAAGGCGGGTAGGCATACAAACAGGACGGACAGCGGTGGTGGTTGACAGATAAGAGACGAGAGAGGATTCAGGCTGGCGGATTCCACAAGAAGGACGTGGAGTAAGACGTACGCACATATCCTGGGTTGCCTGGTAGGTACCTAGTAGTACATCATGCTCCTACTCTCCAGGTGGGAGGAATTGGGGGCGAGGTGGGGGGCTCAAGGCGCTACCTGGGTGGCACTATTGGCGGCATCTAAGCCGGCTAAGCGGGAGGAGTTGTTCTGCTGTGCGTGCATGTACGTACACGTAGGTACCTGTACATCGGAGATACTAATGTAAGTACAGTGGAGAAAAACAGGTACCTACTAGGAGGTATATCCTTGGCTAGAGGTAGACCTCTCTGTGTCTCTTTCGCACCCACTAATGCCTTCACTGTGCACATTTTCCGGCGCCAAAAGCACCCGTGGGTCCCGCCGTCTATCGCGTTGGTAATGCCCACCTCTCTCCCAGGCACCTCAGCAAGATACAAGGCTATCCTAAACGGCCTCCTTCTGTGAGCCTCAGCAGCAGCTCAGGCCTCACGCCAGACCCAAGACAAGATCAAGATCCCGTGACATCGCGACCCCCATTACGTGATGCGCACTGTAGGAGGGTGGGGGAGCGCAGCGCACCGCCCGCTCCGCGTCGTCGCGTCCACGTCCAAGCTGCTCGTCGCTGGTCGGCAATTCGATAAGATCAAGAAACGTGCCTATTCCTGTCAGCACCTCAACCTGCCACTTTGCCTTCTTCCCCCGAGACCAACTCCTCTGCAAGCTAATATCGCATTCGTCTCACTCTTGTCGTCTCGACACAACATCTCCCAACCGAGCCAACCGAGGATCGCGAGGTACTCGACGGCCGCCATGGCACCCCCGTCCTCGGAACCCAGCAAGCGCAAGGCGACGGAGAAACCCGTCTCGCCTCCGCCGGTGAAGCGCAAGGCCCGTAGCAACATATCGAGTTCGTGCACCTCCCGCCCGCCTTACCCACCGGCTCCCGCTACCTCCTCGATGTCCCCCCCGACATCCTAACCTCCCAAAGCCACGCGACTATCTAGCAGAATCAGGACCACCGCGCTAACTAGACTGCCGCTGGCAACGCATATGTGAAAAGAGGAAAACGTCGCACAGTTCTTCACCCCCGTCTCCGAGAAGCAGCCCGACCTCGTCACCTGGAGCGAGCGCACCCCCGAAGGCGAGACGCGTCCCACCCTGCTCGTCGGCCGCTATCAGCCCGAGGACGTGGGCGAAGCCGACAAGAAGGAGAGGAGGAAGATAGCCGCATTCGATCTGGTATGTCTGTCGTCTCGGATTGCATGCACTTGGCCATTAGTGTCTGAGGACTGATCGCCGAGCCTCCTGTCCTCCTCCTCCTAGGACTCGACGTTGATCACGACAGAGTCGGGCAATATATTCCCCAAGGACGACCAGGACTGGCAATGGTGGGATGCAAGCGTGCCGTCTCGCCTGCGGCGGCTATACAGAAAGGAACAGTACGTACCTGGAGGAATATGCGGATACCTACCTATCTTCGGCCGCCTCCTTTCTCCCCACAAGATCGTCCGCTCTCCGCCGACATTACCCCCGTGGGCTAACTTGTGATCCCATCGCTAGCTACCGCATTGTGATCTTTAGCAACCAGGGCGGCATAGTGTTGCGCGCGGACCCGAAGGTCAAGGGGTCCGAGAAGAAGCAGGAGAGAGCAAGCGCCTTCAAGCGGAAGTGCACTGCCGTGCTCAAGGCCCTCGACATACCGGTCTCGCTCTACGCGGCGGCGGAGCACGACGTCTTCCGCAAGCCGCGCACCGGCATGTGGGCCGAGTTCTGCCGCGACTACGGCATTTCGGCGGACGCGATCGACCGCGCCCGCAGCGTCTTCGTCGGCGACGCCGGCGGCCGCGGCGCGCGCCCGAAGAGCGGCGACGGGACCCCCGCCATCCGCAAGGACCCCAGCTGCGTCGACCGCGACTTCGCGCACAACCTCGGCCTCGCCTACAAGGAGCCCGAGGACTACTTCCACGGCGACGCGCCCCGCGAGTTCACCCGGGCCTTCGACCTCGCCGCGCACCCGTACACCGAGCCGGACGCGCAGGCCGCCGGCGTCGCGTTCGAGAAGACGAACGAGAAGGACGTCGTCCTGTTCTGCGGCCCCCCCGGCGCCGGCAAGAGCACCTTCTACCAGCGCTACCTGGAGCCGCTCGGCTACGAGCGCGTGAACATGGACCTGCTGAAGACGCGCGAAAAGTGCTTCAAAGCTGCGGCGGAGCTCCTCCGCGACGGGAGCTCCGTAGTTGTCGGTGAGCGAGCGATTCCCTATTCTCTCGCCGCCCTCCCTATCCTTTCCCTACCTTCCCCGTCGGCGGCGAATTCCTCGAGGCCGCGCTAACGACTCGCGTCGCTCGACGACACGCAGACAGCACGAACCCCGACCCGGAAGGCAGGAAGAAGTGGATCGATCTCGCGCGGGACCACGGCGTGCCCATCCGCTGCCTCTGGTTCGACGTGCCCAAGGAAGTGTGCCAGCACAACGACGCCGTCCGGGCGTTCAACAAGTCGGTACGCGACCACCCGCGCCCCTGCTCCTTTCTTTCTCTTCCTCCTCCTCCCCCTCCTTCTCCCCGCCCCTGTTTCTCTATCTCGTCTCGGTTTTTTACCGTATTTATTGATTTCCGCACACCTGGCTCACCACGACTCGACAACCACCTCCGCAGCTGAACCCCGAGGCCCGCACGGTGCTGCCCGTGGTCGCGTGGAACACGTTCTTCTCGCGCCTGCGCCCGCCCCAGGCCGCGGCCGAGGGCTTCCAGGACGTGCGCCGCGTCCCGTTCGCGTTCCGCGGCTCCCGCGACGAGTACGCCGTCTGGGCCCGCTACTGGTACTGAGGGGAGCCGCCGCCGCCCCCCGTCTCCGCGTGTCGCCGCCGCCGCCGCCCCCCGTCTCCGCGTGTCGCCGCCGCCGCCGCAACGCGGTCGCGTGTCCTGCCTGCATACTTACGGGGCGCTTTTTAGGCTACGTCTGCGTGCGGCTACGGAAGGAGAATGAGAATGCGTGGCAGCAGCCGGGTTGGCGCGCGGCGGTTGGGACGCGTCCGCGACGGGCTCGCGGCGCTCCGGGTCGGGGAAGGCGGCTCCGTCGAGCGCGTGCTGCACGCCTGGATTGGGGCGTGCCGGGTTTGTGGAGGGGTGGTTTATCTAGCGCTGTGCAGAGGGAGGAATAGGAGAGAGGGGGGGTGGATACAATATGACCTTCGCGACGGCATGGCAATTAGTTGGTCTACGGACTTCGCCTACCCTCCTGCAGCCCCGGGCACCGGGACGTCTGTAACTCCGTCGAACGTATTCCCTCGGGGATTGCGCAAATAGGTGTCGAAGTTAGGGTGCGAAACGATAATTCGTCGTGCGGCTCACGTCAGACAAGCACACATACGTGGCCGATTCTCATCATCGCAAGATCCCGAGGAGAGGTTTCCCGGGACACAGGTTCCTGAAAGGAAAGGTAGGTTATCTATCTCTCTACTACTAAGGACAGCGACATCGTACATACGATGCGGTAAAGGAAAGGAAGCAGGGCAAGCAACACCAGTTTCTCTCTTCTTTCTCCTCTCCTCCTCGACGCGTGGCTGCGGGGTATATCTATCTAATCTGTCGCGGGCCACTACCGATTCTCTGTCCTGTCTGCTAGTAGTCTCTGTCAGCCCTCTTGTCCCCCGCGCATCTCGTCACAGACCCCTCGTACACGTTCCGCAGATAGAACCTCCCCCCCCCCCCAAATGCGCTAGTTTGATATGCGTAACGAATGCTTCTTGGTGTGTAAGCCGCGCGACCCGAAGCAAAGAAGGGGTAGATCTGGTACAACAGCGGCCGCAAACGCTTTTGGTGCAACTCCACGCTGGGTAATAGCAAATTACAGCCGTTCCTCCACGAATTCCCTGTGTTGTGAGAGATGGGGGAGGACTGTGCTGGCGGACAGGGGAGAGGCGCTAGGCTTGAACTTGATTCACACCTAAGCGGCTGTTCCCCCCTTCCCCCTCTCTGCCGACGAGGGAGCACAGACATTGCGCCTGTTTGACGTGATGCTCCCCCGCCTTTGCAATTGCGCTGCATTATCGTGCTCGTCATCCAAACAACTTAACCTCGTCACCGATCTGATATCGTAAATTCATCAACCACCACGTCAAAACGAAGTCTGTTTTTGCTTCGCATGCCGTCCCGATCATACTCCCACCGAGCTTCTGGGCTTCTGAAAACCTGATAGCGAGGTAGGATTGAGTGGCGACATGCACATGCAACTGAACTCCGATTTCACCAACCCCAATGTCAACACATGTAGAAATGTGTGGAGTTACGCTCAACCAAAGAGCGTGGCGCCGCCGGTCTCGATGGCCTCGATCTCAGCAGCGCTGAGAGGAACACGACGGAAGCGCTCAGGCAGCTGGTTGCGATCAAAATAGACGCCCTTAGGGGGGGTTATGGGACCGAGGGAGGAGGCGGGCTGCGTGCCGATGCCATGACCCCCGTGGCTGGCACCAATGGTCTTGCGCAGAGGCCCCAATTGTTGGGCGTGTTGGCGGTAGGTAGAGAAAGAGGAATGGGAGTTGCCATTGCTGTCGCCGAAGGATCCCGGTAGCGCGGTCGTGGGTGCGGCTGGGTGAGGCCGGGGAGTGTGGTCTACGTTCTCTGCGTAGTGGAAAACCCTCATCAGCCGCTGTCCCATATTCCAAGTCCGAGGCCGAGGCCGAGACAAAAAAAAACTAGACCGGTGACAAGGCGGCCCCGCCTCTTATCGGGGAACAACAACGGTCGCAACAGTACGGGGATAGGATTGCAACATACCAGGGATTTTTCGCTTGCCGACAAAGCGGATGAGAGGAGTGCGCTCAGCGCTGTGCGCTACGGCTTGGGCCTGGCGGAGGACTCGCGTGGTGAACATGGTGAGGGGGATTGGGCTGTGTGCGCAGCGGTAGGGTGCGGACAGGTGCTAGCTCAATTGCAGTAGGGGCGATCGTATCGCGCACGGGATCGCAGAGATTAAGTTAGGCGGCCTTATGTATTTTATCTTCGTCTGCTGTCTCTCTCTCGGCTCTGCGAGGGTTGGTCCGGCGTGAGCACAGCGTGGACTCGGAGTTTCGGTTGGGGGAGAACACGGCGAGGTGGTAAGCAATTCGACCTATCACTGGGGACGTGCTGTAGGTGCGTGCGAGAGCATGCGGGCGCGCGCGTGAGCGGTGTCTGTTGAGATGTACGACGTAGGATTGATTGTATCCAATCCGACGTTGGGTGGAAGTTGGGATGGCAAATGTGCACGAGATTTGCAAAGAGGATGGGGGATGGGATGGGCTTATTTTTCAAGTAGGAATAATTGGGTGGAGAGAGGCCGAGGGGTCGAGGTCGAAATCGGAGCGAGCCAGGCAGATCAATATGGCCAGTCAGTGCAGCCTATTGGGCACAGCCGATTAGCCCAGTCAGAGGCCCGAGTAATGGAAATTGACCCGGCACCGCGACCCAGCAACAGACTTTGCTTGCTCTGTACCCTAATACCAAAACCCAACACGACGAAAATGGTGCGAGACCGCGACCCGAGGCGACTACGCCGTTGGGAGCTTGGTCGGTACGTCCGCACGACCACGGAACCCTACATACATAACAGACCTGGCCACCCCATGTTATCACCATCGACGTAGTACGCTTTGCCCAGGCGCCTATCAATTGGAGAGTCGGCGTCGCGCCGATGGTGGAAGCACGAGAGCCAGACCGGGGGGAGGGGGGGAGGGGTGTGGGAGAATGGGGGAAATCGGGACAGAGGAAGGGGGGAGAAGATGCCATCGTACCACCATCGCTACCGCATCCGGAGCTATCGGACCCCACCGATCTCCAAAGCGACCGGGCTGGCCCTGGGAAGGCGCAGGCAAACCCAGGCGAGTCGCAGGCCGGCGCAGGTAAGCGCAGGTCGGGTGCAGGCTGGACCCAGGCAGGAACCCATGGACGAGCCGGGTTGGCACGGGCAGGTGGGGTTCGCGACGGTCGCAGTAGCAAGTGGCAAGCAGTAGCAGTAGCAACAATATGGCACTGGCAGGCTGCGATGTTCGGATGCTTCTCGCTTTCCTGCCCAGCGCCCGACCTGCCCAGCGCTCCGCTGCCCAATCTCTGCTCTCTTTTTTTCTCTCCCCCGTTTCACTCGCTCCCTGCTATTCCACCCATTCCACTCATTCCACCCATTTCTACGTCTGCTCGTTCTCCCCCTCCTTGTCCTCCTCTCCGTCGCTGATCTCTGGGCGAGATCTCTCTCCCTCCCTCCCTCCCTCCCTTATCCATGCACGTGCCGCGTCCCTCTGCCGCATACATTAACTTCCACATCCCCGTGATGGATTGCTACCTATGGTCGTGTCGTCGCGCCGTCGTGGCATGAATCAGGCAATCTAATCTGCTGTCCGCGTCTCACGGAGATATTAGTGCTTCGGGGTGGTACGATTCTTTGATATTACCCTCGCCTTATCCTCCTCTCCGATTACACACGACGCGGCTTACAACATATCTCCTTACGAAGTCGCCATCGCGACAGTCACCTCGGCCGGCTTCCGTTCCTACGGGTCCCAGACACCGGCCACGCTTATCCTGCCAGATATCTAAGCATGGCACAGGTCCATCCCCCTCCCCTGCGCTCCCCCCCCCCCTTACGCACTAACGCGCATACCTACGTAGCATGTATGTACTGGCGCAGAGCCTAGTATAGTAAGACTAGGTGGTGGGTTGCGTGTTTACTCACACCTAGTTTCGCATCTCTCGATGCCGAATTCGCGTGCATCTCAGAATCCGTGACGTAACGTATATCCATGCGCGCGGCGAATCCAGGGAGTCCCCTTCATATGCTGGGTCTTATACAGACGGACGCGTTCTCGTTCGAGGTGGGCGCCGAGGCAGACGCAGACGCACGTGGAAATTCAACAGGCTTGGACTGTGGGGGGGGGGGGGGTGGTCGTCGTTCCGGTTTTACCCTACGCCTGCACAGACGACGTGTTCAAGTTCAGCCTCTGGCCTCTCTGGGTGTTGGTTGGGAGCCTCGTGGGTAACTCCGGGGCTGCGGGGATATCTGCCCACCTTGGCGCTCCAGGGACATGATTCGGACGTCACCAAGCGCCTCGAGTTGGTCTCTCACATCTTATCAGCGCGCTCCGGTCCCGCGGTTGTCATAACGATCTAAGCTGCTTCTAGTATACCGTGCAGATAATCCCAGACAATCCCCGTCCCTCTTCCCCGGCTCGAATTATCCGCCCCCCTCACCCCCGTATACCGTTTTCGTATACCTGCCAAAGTAGGGAAGACCACTGTTACGTAGTGTGTTTCCCACGCCTTATTAGAAACGCCGACCCAGCGAGTTCATCCTCTGGCATACCCTACATTTCACCGTGCCGTGGGCCGATCACGACGGGTGTATGTTCACCCAATTCCTATGTCGATGGCTAGGCCGGAGGAACTCGACTGTCCCGTCTATTGGACCGTCAAGAATCCTGGTCTCCGCATCTAACCGGCCGCGCAGCAGACGCTACCCGCTCATCCTTCTGCCACGAAGCAGGAAGCATATTCAATCGAGCGGTTTTGGTGCCGATGGCTTGCCTATCATGGAGGTTTGTTTCTTTCCCCTACCAGCCCAGGCAGGTCGACGAATCCGCTAGTCGCCGCGATCATGCTCCGTTGCTGGTCGGAAATTCAGTTAGAGTCTGTCGCATTGCAGACTCGGGCTTGTTCCCGTAGACGCGGCCGCCGGCACCGTTGGCAATATGAGTGATCTCGCTGCCGGGTACCCCATTGAGCCAGATGGTGGTCAGGTGGTGGAGCTTCACCCCTTCGACGTCGGGCACTTCGATGGCGTTCTCCAGCTTTGTTGGAGAATCGCGGAAGTATGAGTAGATGCCCAATCCCCACGCCTCGTGGCTAGTCACCGTGTCGGCAACCTTGTACGAAGCGAATCCGTTAACCGCTCCGTGCTTGTCCTTCCACGAGTCTTGGTTGGGGGGGTCGTAAGGGATCTCCGACTGGTAGAAATAGACGCGACCGCCATCCCCGTTCCAGAGCGTCTGGTACTCCTTGTGGTGTTCGTTGAAGAGGCCGTATATCGTCACATTATCGCCGTTAACCACCACACCGTTCCTTGTAGGGTTGCTGTCCCAGGCAGCGCCCTGGCCGTGGTCAGCGCGCCACAACCATAGCTGGTCGCCCACCACGTTGTGGCTGTTGATGGTGATTCCCACATCATTCGCAGTACCACCGACTGTGCGCACCGTCAAGTCGTAGAGGAAGGTTGGGTTGGCACTGTGGTCGACTGAACTGCCAGGAGGACCGACCTCGACGAGCGCGGGGGACTTGACCTCGCTCGCGTCGATGATGAGACCCGCAATCGTTACCCCGTCCACGTCGGCTACGCATAGGGCCGGCCGGCCGCCCACGGGGACGAGCGACGGCATCCCTAGGCCAAGTATGACGGTGCTAGGTTGAGAAACATACAAAGCGTCGTCAAGTTTGTAGATTCCGGGCGTGAAGAGGATGTGTTGGCCATTGTCCAATGCCGTGTTTATTCCGGCCGCGTCTGTCGTCGACGGGTGGGCTACGTAGAAATCCCTGATAGGAATAGACTCCCCAGGCGTCGGACCATTTGCCCAGCTTGGCCCTCTGGTCTCTGTCTGCAGCGCAGGGACGAAAATTTCGTAGTGGCCTTCGCCAGTGACGTAAAGGTATGGCTTCTCGCGAATGATCGGCGTCTGTTCCACGGTGGTATACGGAGAGGCGGGAAAGTTGACCTGGCTAGGTGCGTTGGCGTCGCCCACGAAGACCATATTCCAGACGGCATTCGCCCAACTACCGTATCTGTTGTTGCGCGACAGCCACTGCTGTTGCGAGCCGGGAAGCACTTGGCCATCGACCACCGAGTCGGCCATGAAACCTCCCGAGGCCCATCCTCCGGCCCCGGTGCTCGGGTCCACCTGGAATAGCCAGAGGCCGTTGGCGCTCCGTATGTGTAGGCGGCGTAGCGGCGCGGCCTGCGACACGGCTATCGTCGTGGTGTTGTTGGTCGCCGCCGAAGCACTGACGGAGAAGTTCTCGAACGATCGCCAGAAGTTGCACGTCGCATTGCGGTTCGGCATCCAGTACGCCGGCACGTTGACGCCGCCGTCGATGAAGACGTCGTCCGGATTCCGGCCTAACCCCGCCACCTGCGTGTAGAACCCCACGTCGAAGAGCACGTTGTAGGTGCCTGGTGCGAAGAGGAGCGCGTATCTCTCGGGACCAAACTCGTTGGCCTCCATCTGCTTGAAGATTTCCGTCGCTTTGCCCTGGATTTCGCTTGCGGGCATGCGGGGGTTAAACATGTACACATTGGGCCCGAAGATAGTCTGGTTTGCCGCGAGCACGGAGGTGTTGTTGTCGGACATCGGTTTGGGGAAAGTTGGCTTCGAAGAGGTAGGGATGGCCGGCGGTTTCGAAGAAATGGAGATGGTTGGCTTTGGCGATGTAGGAACTCTCGGCTTGGAAGAAGAAGCAGCCGCTAAAGTTGAGGTAGGGCCTAAGCTCCGGACGGCACCACCTCCGCCGCGATCGTGAGGCTGGGGAGAATGGCCCTCGTCCCAATACGGCTCCGCTACTAACTTAAGAGTGTCTGCGGAAAACTCACGGAACCCGCCTTCTACCGTTCTCGTGTGCATCCTTCGGCCCACTCCGCCCTGGTCCAATTCCCTCTTCATGACGCAGCTATCAAGGGCCCATGACGGTACAATTTTCGCCCCGTCGTGGTTAATGCTGTTTTGCACCGCCTCGTCGTCGCTGCGACACTGCCAGACTAGATAGTGCAATGCCTCTTCGACGCTGGGCACGGCGAATGTTCGGGAGCTAAAGAACACGATGCCAAGCAGATTGTCTTCTTTATGCTCCAAACTGACGGCCCCTGACGACAACTCGCTCGCCAGGTGCGCGTTGAACCGCGCGCTGCAGTACCCCGCGACCCGGGAGGCCCCCTGCACCGATGCAACCCCGTTGGAGAAGACGGGGATACTGCTCTCCCCTGGCTCTTCTGGCGACGTTTCCAGAGACGGCGGCGGGAAGACGAGTGTGACGCGGGCGGACCGGACATAGGCTACGGAGGGGCGGGGGGAGAGATGGAGGAGAAGGTCGCTGCACGCTCGCCTCAGCGCGGCACGGAAAAGCTCATCGGGGAGCCCGCGCGGGCCCAGCCGCGACGCGAGTTCGGCGATATTGTGGCCGTCTAGCTGCAGTATGACGGGACGCGAGGCGGGCAGCACGGGGTCGGGGGCAGCCTCGCGGTAGAAGTTCACGCGTTGCGCGAGACCGGCGGCCTCGCCGGGTGCGATCTCATCAGAGGTCATAGCGCCGTCGGTGTAGTAGGTGATGATTGTCATTGGGCGTAGAGACGGGGCGCGGCAAACCGGAAATGGGTTATGTGTATGGGCGGAGGTGTAGAGAGAGGTGGGTAGTCGGGTATCGACGGTGTCTGGATGGCTTGGAGGCTGATGAGCCAAGTGTGGTGTCGGTCGGGGCAGCTTCGGCTCGGCTCTCTCCGCTTCGACCGATGGCTCGGTACGGCCGCCCGTGCATTAGGTATCTTGCATGGCATAACTTTGGAGGCTTTCCCGGTACGAACCCTGCAAGCTACAGGGTTTATGCATCGCGTGTAGGACTCGCCAGTGCCTAGAGCGAGAGGGCCGGGTGGAACGGACAGACAGGTAGAAGAAGCGTTGCGGATACATATCTACCTACCTACGTGCCAGGTAAGTACCTAGGTCCGTACAGGGGAACTACAGCTACCTACCTTGGGTATTTCTAAACACACTTCACAAAAGTTGAGGGTGTAGCAGTTGCATATACTGACATTAAGAAGTAAGTACCGGATTATAGGTATGTAGGTAGGTATCTACCATTGGGGTTGGGAATAGGTAGGTAGGGGGTAGGTATTAACCTGGGTTGTTTCGTTCTACCTAGGTTTCTTCATTGCAACAATATCTCGCTTGTCCGTAACACGCAATTGGAGGCCAACTGATAACCGGAGGCTGGTTGGCTTCACTGCCAATTGAACAGCATAACAGAGGGCTACCTAAACGATCCAACTGAATAGCAGATTTAGAGATAAGTAGGTAGGTATTACCTACCTCTTACTAAGACCTACTAAGGCTCGCCCCACCTAGGTAGTAATTAACTTCTTCTCTCGACAAACGGCTTCCCCCCCTCGATATTCCTCGCAACCGCTCCTATCTGTCTTCCTCCGGACCAGCATCCCCTCTCATACCAACTACTAGCTCTGCCACGGCTGACAGCTACCCACCTATGGACCCGCCAGCCGCCCGACAGCCGCGGCGCCCGGGACCGAGGCAGCCCAAGCCGCCGCCGCCGCCGAACCCGATCGAGGCCGCGGTGAGGACCTGGTTCTGCGCTGCCGTCTCACACCGGCCGGGCCGCGACGACGCAGCGCCCGAGCTGGCCGACCTCGTCGCCGCCTCGCCCCGCCGCTGGTCCGCCTACGGCCCGCTGGTGCTGCTCCCGGCGGGCGCGTTCGCCGGCGCCGCGTGGCGGGAGCGGCTTGCCCCCCCTCCTCCTCTCCCGCAGCCCCCGCGTGCGGCCGCAGGAGGAGGAGAGCTGGAGCGCGCGGACGCGGATGCCCTGTGGCGCGAGATCCTGGCGCAGATCTCGCGGCGGACCGGCGGCGCGACGCTCACGCACCTCGCCGTCAACGAGGGGATCCCGTCGCGCGTGGGGCGGGCTGTCGCCGTCGACGGAGAGGCAGAAGAGGGGGAGGAGAACGTGCTGCGCAGCCCGGCGGGGCTGCGCATCCTGTACGGCGACTTCGGGCCCGCGACCGCGGGCGGCGCGGCGGGGCCGGGGCCGGACGACTTCGCGCGCGCGCTCTGGGTGTCGACGCGGCAGAACGGCGTCGCGCAGACGTGGGCGCCGCGCTGGACCATGTTCAGCCGCGGCAACGTCAAGGAGAAGGCGCGGCTGCTCGGGTTTCACGGCGACGGCGGCAGCAGCGGGGGCCCGCGCAGGGGCGCGTGGGCCGTCGACTTGTACGCCGGAATCGGCTACTTCGCCTTCTCGTACGCGCGCCTCGGGCTGCGCGTGCTGTGCTGGGAGCTGAACCCGTGGAGCGTCGAGGGCCTGCGGCGGGGCGCGCGCGCGAACGGGTGGGCGGTGCGGGTGGTGCGGGCGTCGTCCCCGCCGCCGCCGTCGCTGCTCGACGGCGACGAGCGCATCGTGGTCTTCCTCGAGGACAACCGGCGCGCCGCGCGCCGCATCGCGGAGCTGGCCACCGGCCTCGACGTCCTCCACGTGAACTGCGGGCTGCTGCCGACGAGCGAGGCGTCGTGGGCCGACGCGTGGGAGGTCGCGGCGCGCGGCCCGGGACCCGAGGCCTGGCTGCATCTGCACGAGAACGTCGGCGCGGCAGATGTCGAGGCGCGGCGCGGCCAGATCGAGGTGTACTTCTCGGAACTGGCGCGGACGGGCCGCGGAGACTGGACGGCGCGCGTGCAGCACACGGAGCTGGTTAAGACGTTCGCGCCAGGGGTCTGGCACTGCGTGTTCGATCTGCATATGGCGAGGATCAATGACGGTGGTAGCAGTAGTAATGCTAGTAGTAACATAACATGAGCGAATCCCTGTTCATCACACATCGCGTGACGCCCTCTAATATTGGTCCAGTCTACGTTGCAGAAGCGCCCCCTACCGTATTACCCTTACACATGCTATGTGGAAGTTTCCTACTCTACGACCTAGAGTGTGAAGAAGACTATGGAAGGGGGGAGCGTCTCACTGCCACCATGGACGATCGTATGCCGATATGCACACACACATACACACACGCATACACACACACATACACACACGCATACACACACGCATACATATATGTATATAGACTACGTCTTATGCGTCTACGCCCCATCTAAGCCGGGCCGCCGGCTCTCCTGAACTTGTTGGGGATGTTCTCCTCGACGATGGGCATCTTGTTGAGGCGCTCGAGGCGCAGCTCCTCGTCCTCGAGCTGCTCGTGCTTGCGGAAGTGCTCGATGTCCTCGGGGTGGGTGAGGTCCTCGATGGGGGTGTTCTCGTCGTGGTACTTCTCCCAGTGGTGGATCTCGTACTCGTACTCGTCGTCGCCGTGGTGGCCGGGGCCGGTGCCGACGTCGGGCAGGGCGCCGCCGGCGCGGACGAAGGCGACGAACTCGTCGCGCGTCACGCGGCCGTCGCGGTCGCGGTCCAGCAGCCGCAGCAGCTCGCCCAGGATCTCGTCGCGCCGCGCCGCCGGCACGTCCCGGTTCGACTCGTCCATCAGCCCGTACGTGCGCAGCATCTCGGCCGGCTCCCAGTTCCCGTCCGCGTCGAAGTCGTGCAGCGCGAAGAAGGACGAGGCGTCGAAGTCCGTGATGTGGTGCTCCTCTGTGGCCGGCGGGCTGTCAGCGGCGAGGCGTCCGGACACGGGCGGCCGGCGGGTGAGTGGCAGCGAGCTTACCGGCCATGTGCTTCGCCATCCAGTTGGCGCTCTCGCCCACCACGGGCTTCTGGGATGCGCTGTGGTCGCCGTGGGCGAGGACGCTGCCGGCGAGACCGGTGGCGAGGAAGAGGATGGCAGAGCGCATGTTGTCCGACAGGCTTTATTATTCTTATTTTTACTTCTTAAGAGTCCGAACGGTAGCTGATTGGGATTAGGCGATCGGGATGGGCTGGGATACCAAGCTGGCTGGGGCGAGCGAGGGCGGGTTTGGACAGGCGAAGGATTAAAGAAGAGGGAGCACGGAGAGGGAAGGATTCGACGTTTGGGTCGGAGAAGGACAACATGCCAGCAGCCATGCGACGCCACACCACACGCTATGCCTTGCACCGTCCCTGGGCCGTTACCGTGCTAGGAGGGGTTATCGAGGTAGCATTTGCCGAGTCATATCAAAGACGTGCCGTCCATGTAAGAAGAGGTAGGTCGGGTGAGTACATGGTGATACATACGAATCCGTCGACGGGGGAACAACCGGGAGACGATAAGGACAGATGCCGAGATAAGAGTGGTGTGCGTTGCCAGGGGTCCTCGGAACCTGCATGCATCCGGTACCTACATAAGTAGTACCCAGGTACCGCCATCGTCATCGCCATCGCCTTCACCTTACCTAGGTAGGTACCCACCCTCCTCAACCAACCGGCCCTGGCTGGCTACAGGGGGTCGGGTCCCTACTAGATGCACTATCCCGTAGGTACATAACCCCCAACATAACATCATAACCCTCCCGTTACAGGCCTCTCTACTCATCTACACGTATCTCTCTCTGCCCGTCATCAAGCATTTCTCGGCTGGACATCTCCATACCTACGAGGTCTACGCCTACGCCTACGCCTGCGACGCCTGTCTTGTCCGATCCCGTCCGTTGCCCTCGTCGCGGGGCCCAGACGCAAACATGAGCCGCACCCTGGAGCCCACGCTCCTCTCGCTGCTGCCGACCTACTCCAAGGACTTGCCGCAACCTCTCGTCGAGCTCGCCTCCTCGCTGCTCACCCGGTCTCGTCACAGCGCCGGCACCCTCAAGGCCGAGGAGGAAGTGGCCCGCGCGTACGCCTGCGCCCACATCGCCTGCGAGCGCCTCAAGATATCCCTCGACCTGCCCCCGATCCAGCCGCGACCGCCCGTGCCACCGCGAATATACAAGAGACTGTACGCGCACCTCGACAACGTGCTGCCTGCCAGCACCCAGGCGCGCTCCGGCCGCGTCAGGACGCCGAGCTCCAAGGTGCGCGAGTCCGGGCTGTTCGGCAGCGCGCAGCGCGTGCCCTCGCGAGGCACGCCGACGAAGGAGCAGTCCCTGGCCAAGTTCCGATCGCCGGCGGCGCCCCGGGCCGACGGGACGCCGACCAAATCTACTGGCAAGCGCCTGCCGCCGCCGCTCCCCGCGGAGGAGAAGGAGAAGAAGAAAGCCGGCGGCGCGGCGAGCGCGCTGCCGGCCTGGGTCCGGCCCACGATCCAGCTCCTGTGCGGCGAGCTGGGCGAGGAGCGCATCGGGCGGACGGTGCTGGCGGGGATGCAGACGATCGCGGCGCCGCGCGGGCGGCGGACGGCGGACGAGTGGGTCAACCAGAATCTGAGCGCGCTGCTTGCAGCCGTGTACTTCCTCGTCTCGTCGCACGTGTACATGATCGAGCAGGGGCGGGACATGGACAAGGCGGTGTACGCGCGGAAGCGCAAGGCGATCCTGGACGCGCTCGAGCGCGCGCGGGAGCGGGTCCGCGTGCCCGCCATGGACGAGGACGAGCTGTGGATCGGCTGGGCCGACGTCGCGACCAAGGACGTCGACGACGCCGTCGCCCGCCTCGTCCAGAGCCGCTGGCACGAGGCCGAGTGGTTCGACGGCATCAAGCACGTCGTCAAGGCGAAGCACGCGGAAGAGCCCGAGCAAGGCGCCAGCGATGGCGGCGGCGACGGGAAGCGGTTCGGCGAGAGGCTCCACGCCCAGAGGGGTGACACCATGCTCCAGACCCGGTGGGACTTGACCGACCAGAAGCGGGACGAGTACCGCGCGTGGAGGGACGCGATGCTGCGCCGGATAGAAGAGGTCGAACAATCCCGGAGAACAGAGAGCGGAACGGACGCGCCGGCATAGGCGACTAGCATGATGGAGGGTTATTTATGTGTTTCCCCCCTCCAAAAAAAAAAAAAAAACACAATGGAGAGAAGGTCTGCTAAATCGACGGCTTCGAACGACAGGCCTCCGTCTGAGATACTCTGTATAGCCATCCTCACTGGTCATTACATAGCAACTATCTCGCCCTCGACGCCCAATAATTAAGAATACATAATTCTATTCAGAACCCCCCCTCTCCCCCCGCCCCCCTTAGCTTTTATAAATCTGTGCTCTATTGCTACCCGGGCTTAACCTCGATTAAAAAACTAAGCCCACGCCCGCAAGCCCCCGGCCTCTTCCCAACGCGGCGGCAGTAAACGTGGCGCCAGCATGACCCGGGGCTGTAGGGGCAGGAGACGAGCGCGGCGCCACGGACGGCGCAGGGATAGCGCGTAGCCGCGCGCACGCCGCGTGCTGAACAGGGCCGGAGGCGCCGGGGCCGCTTGCGAGGAGTAGGTAGAGTTAGATAGCACAGGAAATACGTGTATGTGTGTGCCGTGGGAGGAGCTCCAACGTGGGTGCCGGCCCCCCTCCCCCCCTCTAGCAGGGACCGAGAGGGAGAGAAGGAGACGGCACAGAGTTCCGCTTCCCTCGCCCCGGGCCCCAGCCGGCGGCGTCTACGCCGGTGCACGATGTACATACGGACTGGATGTCGGACTACTGGACTAAACTTACGGTGTCGGACTAGTTGCGTACGGCAGAGGTGGCTGCTGCTAGGTTCGGAGAACATAGAATGGGGACCGAATCGGATCGGATTGAATATGATAAAAGAACAAGTGTATATATATATACAGTACACACTGATGTGGTGGAACCCAACCCCATCGCTCGCTCCCCCGTGACCTCTTCCTCCGACCTCATGTGCGTACGCCGTCCAAGCCGAGGCCGCGCCCGCGGCGCTTACTGCTGCTGCCCTACTCTCTCGTAAGGGGGGTGTATCGTCGCTCAAGACCGTGTTATACAACAACAGTCCCTGGTCCGTTGGGGTTCTGCAGTCTGCGGTTCGAAATCTATGTATATAGCCCGACGCCTGGTCGCTTTCAGCCTTCCGCTCTGCGCCCGTTTGCCCCTTTCCCGCGCCCCCCTCCTCCCGCGCTCTCTATCTGCCTATCCACGTGAAGCGACGAGGTCGTAGTAAAGAAAGAGGAAAGGAGACGGGGGTGCGTGGGATGGCGGGGAAGCAATTGCTACATAGGATCTAATCCCTCGTCTGCTCCTCTCCTGTCTTTCGCCAGCCGCCAGCCGCCAGGCCCCCCCCTTTCCATCTCTTGCTTCTCGAGGCTAGTTCGTGTATAAATACGTGACGGTATAGGGGCCAGGGGGGAGGGGCGGGCATCCGAGTCGGCATTGCATCCTGTCTGAGCCTGGAGCCGATTCTAAAGAAATAATATTCCGTCAACGCCCCTCCCGCAAATCATTTTATGCTTCTCCGCCTGATGCAATGGAAGGGACTGCACGCGTATTACCGTCTTGGCGGCTCTATCTGCGTACGACCACGTCTCTCTACCTCTCCTCTTCCTCATGATATTTCCCCGTCAGACACCCCGTCATTCCGATCCGACACTTTAGACGGCGCTGTAGCCGCCGCGGCTGCCGCTCCCTTGTACCGTGTTCAGAACGCGCCGGGTCCAGTCCTTGAGTAGGTACGGAATGTCGCGGATGGTGTCTCCGTGCGGGAGCAGGTCCCAGCCCCGTGCGCCATAGCGGTTGTAATTGAGCCAGGACCCGAAGATGAGGTAGGCTGCGGTGCCGAGGAAGATGCTTTGCGCGCGCCGATTAGTACGGGTATGCCAGACGAGCACCGGCTAACGCTGTCCGATGACGGTAGAGTAAGCACTTACAGAATCACCAGCCATGTGAAGAAGCCCCAGTGTGCGTCTGGTCCTCCACCGCCCTCCTCAGCTCTTTTGTCGCATGTGTACTTGGACAGCCAAGTCAGCCGCAACACATCCGTGTCCGAATTCTTTTCTAAGGGTGCGTAGCTGTTGAATATCAAGCTGGGCTTGCTATCGATACCCAGCTGGACGTCCTTCGGCGCACCACCGTCGCCACCCTTGTCGTCATCGCCGTCAGCGCGGTACAGCAGCGGGTTGGTTGTCGCGTCCCTCCGACTAGGCGGGTTATCGCCGCGCTCGTACTTGTCTTCAGCCGGATCGTACTCGGCCTCGGTACCGTCACGATTCTCGTCGCAGACGAGCTCGATGGCCACCCGCTGGTTGCGTTTGTCGCCGTTTTCGGACCAGCTAAAGCCGCCGTTTAGGACGAGGAGTAGGCCGTGCTTTTGCGCGTCCGTGTTCGAGTCTGACGTAGGGAGCCGCGTCACTTGCGCATCTAGCGGGCCGCCTTTGAGGTCCGAGAGCTCGCCAGCGAGCGGGACGGCCTTGTTGAACACGCCATTAATACGCTGGATGGCACATGCTGTAGAGTTATGCAAGACTAGTCAGCGAATATTATGGTGCAACCTGGCGGACGAGAGGCGGAGAAAATCTGATAGGGGCTCGTGAACGACAGCAACTACGTACCTCGCGAGTTGTCGGGGCATTTCTCCTCCTTCTTGTCGCCCGATTTCCGAAGTACACCGCATATGTCGACAGTGTAGGTCGTGTTGTGAGGACTTCCGCCTGGTATATGGCTGGTGACGACGACGGAGTGCGGCCCGCCCAGCTTAGATAGGTCGAAGGCTTGCTTATCGACCACGATGTGCTCGCACTGGAACTGGGCAGCCACCGGCAACGGGGCGAGTAGCAAGGGGATGAGTAATGCGGTGTCGACCGCGTGCATCGTCGGAAATCTCATACTAGGGAGCGTGGGAGCAGCCCGTCGACTCGCGCCGGCCAAATAATCGGGTGCGGTCCGTAGGGTGCTGATGCAAGTCGAGCTGCGTCCGTCGGGGCCGTGGGCGTCAACCCAAGACTGATGACGACGACAACGAGGGAGACACAGATGTGTGTGTGGTGTGGATTCGGCGTCGGCTCGGGCGGGAACTGGGCCGATGGATAGACGGATAGACGGATTTACACCGAGTCGTCGACTGTAGGGGGTCAGGTGAACACCGGCAGGAGGAGGGAACGGAGAGGCTGATGGGCAAGCGGCCTGTGTAAGCGTGTAATGTGCTTGGCCGGGTGTTGCCTTGGCCTACTGCTCAACTGAGCGTGGAGGAGATTCTGGACAGCAGGGAGAGAAAGGTCCGGGTCGGCGATAGAGTTGAGTTGTACGGGGATGGGGATGGGGATTTGTGTATTGTCTTCCGTCAGGTTTGGCCAGCCGTCGCCGTCGTCATACCAGCCGGGGATGACCAGGTACCTATGCATTACGTAACATAACCTATAACATCAGGCACGCAATTATATTCGCTAAATTGCATACCCAGGGTAATTCTCACGTCAATATGCATCTATCTGGTCGCTCGTTTACTATTAATGCATTTTGGTGATTGTGAGCCCACCTCCAGGGTATAGGGATCTATATCTCGGAGGCGCCGCGCTGAGTAGATAGATATACACTGGAAAGCACGGGATCGCATCGATCGACCCGCGTCTACGAAGCTATCCTGTCGCGATCCCACGACGATTACCGTACGGGGTATATGGAAACATAAGACTGAACCTCCTGGTCGTAGCGAATACGCCTATCCTGACCCCCACGAGACCCAGACGCCGACGTTGACCTTCATCTTACCCGCCTTCTCCTATCCCAATAAACGCTGCTGCGCATCTCGAGAGACGTTGCACTTTTTGCCCAGGTGGGCGGCGAGACACTGCTTGGAAACTTCGCTTGTCCTCTTTGCATAATGCGGATGCCGGCGCTTAGCCGTCTGCCACCGTGGCTAGGCCATACGGGAAACCGCCTCGTCCCTCAGCCCTCAACCTCTCTGCATCCGGAGACGACCGTATAGTGATATATATGTACCCCGCCTACATGCCCTGCTGCATCATCCCGTTCATCCCATTCATGCCGTTTTGCATGCCGTTTTGCATGCCATTCTGCATGGACTGTTGCGCTATCTGCTGACGTCGCTGGATTATCTCGCGCTGCACGCTCTCCTGGGCTCTCTTCAAACAAGTCTGCTCGAAGTTCTCATGTGCGTCGGGCGGGATATTAGCGATCCCACCGTATCTTTCTGCAAAATTGGCGATACTCTGCTGGTAAATCTGTTGCTTCCGCTGTCGTATTTGCATCGCGAAAGCTTGCGGTACGTTCACGCCCCGGTTGCCCTGCTGACGTAGTTGCATCTGTTGCATCGCCGCAATCTGAGCTTGGCTTAGGCTATTGCCGGCGCCCATGAAGTTCGGGTTGGCAATCTGCTGGTTCGGAACTTGCCCTTGTCCTTGTCCTTGCACCTGCGCTTGCGCTTGCGCTTGCATTTGCTGCTGCTGCAGGTTGTTGAGATGCTGCTGGTATCGTTGCGCCAGCTGCGCCTGTTGAGCAGCAGTCATCATGTTGGAGGCCGGCATATTCATCATCATTTGCTGGCGTAGGAGTTGCTGCTGCATTAGCTGCTGGTTCGACATCTGAGGGTTTTGTCCGTTCATCATGTTAGCGTTTTGCAACGCCTGCAGGTGCTGTTGCTGGGCGATTCGTTGGCGCTGGGCCATTTGGGCGGCCATTATATGGTTCTGCATGGGCTGGTTCAGATTTTGGGTGCCCATCAGCATAGTATGGCCCATCTGGGAGTTTTGGGCCATCATGCCTGGCGGTGGGCTCGCCTGGCTCATCCGGGGCGTAGGCATTGGTCGGGCGATTGGAGTGCCGTGAGCCATCTGGGGCGTCGCGCTCGGCATACGAGGCGTATTTGACGGATGGCTCTGCTGACTACCCCTGGCAGACATACTCACAGCCATAGGCGCGGACATTGGTCCGTGGCTTTGTACGACGGAAGATGGCCTGGGAGGGCTTGCTCCCATGCCAGAATTTGTCTGCTGCATAGGCACGTTACCGACCATGGGACTCGACATATTTTGAGGCGTATTTTGACGAATCACGGGTGATGAGACCGGAGGTTGCGAGACTTGTGAGAATCTGTGGGCACCTTGAGCGCCCATTGCGCCGTTGGACATGCCGTTCTGCGGCGGGTGCCCATGGGATGACGGCGGCATCTGGTTCATCTGGCTGTTTGGAGGTGATTGAGCCGCCTGGGCCTGGGCCTGAGCCTGAGCCTGGGCTTGCGCCTGGGCTTGTGCCTGGGCCTGAGCCTGAGCCTGTGCTTGTGCTTGGGCTTGGGCTTGGGCTTGCGCCTGGGCTTGCGCCTGAGCGTGAGCCTGAGCTTGGGCTTGTTGAGCCATGGCACGACGCTGGGAATCTTGCTGCTGCTGCTGCTGCTGGCGTAATTGGGCTTGCCGGGCGGCTTCTTGTTCACGCCGAAGCTTATCCTGTTCTGCCTGCTGCCGCTGTATTAAGGCCTGTTGTTCTTGTTTTTGCATTGTTAACTTCCGCTCGTTGTCTAGCTGGCGAAGCCTGTCTTGTTCTTTCTTTTCGGCATGTTCCCTCTTAATATCAGCAAGGACCTTGAATCTTTCGAAGCGAGGTTCGAAGACGGTAGTGCCAGACTGGCCGTTACCATCGGCGCTGTCACCACCGGTCTGTGTACCACCGACGGTGGCTGAGCGCCGTTCATCAAAGGTTAGCATGTACTTCTCCTGCTCCGCAGCCAATGCCTCGTCGGCGGCTCGCTCTGCCACAGTCCGCTTTCGAGCCTTCGGTTTGGGGGGAGGATTAGAATGTTTCGGGTCAGCCATCTGCTCTAGAAGGGCAATGGTCTCTTCCTTGTTCTTGGTTGCTTCTAGGTGGAGTGGACCGACTGTTGCCAATAGAATTTGTGCTTCGGCCGCGTAAAAGTTGCTGGCATCTAACTCCATCTTCTCGCGCTTCTGCTTCTTGGCCGGCGGAGGCATGCTCGCTGCAGACGGCGTAGGGGGTACGGCAGAAACAGGCGTGGGAGGGACAGCGCCGGCGTCGGCGCCAGCCTTCACATCGCCAGAACCGCGGGGTGTCATAGCTTTGATCATCAAATCCGCATGCAGACTCTGAGAGGTTGGATGAAGGACCACAGTAAAGATCTTTGCCTTCGGCGGCACCTTGCTCTTTTGGGCGTCGACAGGAGCAGGCGGCGCCGGCATGCTCTCCTTTTCGCCAGAGTCAATATCCGCGGGCTTCTTCTCATCGGCTGCCGGAAGGCCACTCTCCGCGCCATTCAAATTATCTTTAGGGTACGGCACATAAGGTGATGGTGTTATGTAAGGGTTGTAATTATGAATCGAGGACGGCATGGTTGTTGAATTAGTGGATTTGGATGCTGGGCGGGCAACGTCTTTGGACTGTACTGTCGACTTGTGGTCGTGTAGCTGCACAATCAAGCAGCCTTCATAGAAGACGACGCCGCTGTCGTTCAAGTCCATCATAAATTCGTGAGGCACGGTGCGACTCCTGACATGATCGATAAAAAGCTTCATCGGCGATTTGTACGGAAACACACTATCTTGCTGGTCGAATCGAAAATGAGCCGGATGGAGGTGTACAATTAGGGATGGGGGATGCCCCGCATATTTCCTCAGGATGTAGGCGTCGGTGACCACTATTTGAGTGTAAATACAAGAGTGACGCTAGACAAGGGAAAACGCGAAATGCATACCTTCTGGTCGCGGTTCAAAGGGCTGCTGCAACGACATATCAGGAGCTAAGGTAGCCGATCTTAGAGACGCATTGTTTCTTGGATTCCGTCCTGAAGCCTGACTATACGTATCGCGTCTTGAGCGGACTACACCGGGCCGATGGGCCGTGCCATTGGCGCCGTTCGCGACGATGGTGCCGGATGTCTGCTGCTGCTGCTGCTTGGTGGCGGTAGGTGGAGGGCGCTTCGCTGACATGGACGGGGAGGGAGATGACTGCGTCGAAGACACGCCATTTGTTTGAATGCCTGGCAGCGGCGGGCGTCTGATCTTAGGAGTCGGCAGAGGAGGTGCGGCGGCCACGACGGGAGCCATGGCTGTCGGTGGACGCGCGTGCAGGCGTGTGGGCAGAAGAGAGAGAGAGAGAGAGAGAGTTGGGGCACCCGCGCACCACGAGGCGACCAAGCGATGCTCAATAGCTAGCGGCTAGAGAAGGATATATAAGCCGGGCCTTACTTGATATGAACATTGATCGCGACGTGCCTGGAGACGCGGGCGCGGGTGCGGGTGTCGGGAGAAGTCGATTTGTTGCGCTCGGGAGATGGGGAAGACCGGCCGGGATATGGGTTGCCTCTTGAAAGTTCCGACTCAGCTAGCGAATAGTCTGCGAGTACGCGACGACGTGTAGCGGATGTATTGGACAAGACTGGCGATGAGGAGAGGGCGAGCGCGAGAGTCGTCCAGAGTCTTCGTGTGTGGGGTCGAATTCCGTGTAGGTGACGAAGGAAGGTTGACTAGAAGTCGGTCGACTTGGTCGCTCCATAAATTGCCATCTGCGCTTTGAGCCTCATCAGCCGCCCGTCAGCCTACGTTGACCACCTGGCTCGCAGGTGCCGGCGGGAGATTCGGTCGCATCGCCGAATCTTTCAAGCCACATTGCCCCCTGTACTTTTCTGTGGCGCTCAGAACTTGGCCGGTGACTACCCTTTCACGTGACGCAACACATATGCCTGTTTGTGCAGAGGCGACTTTCTCGACACCAAATCCCATTTCATGAATTAACCGGGTACCTCAAGTAGGAGGTATGCACCTAATACCTTGAGCAGCAACACCCTACCTAGGTAATTCTACCGTTCAGCCCGGCGCGAGCACACATCATATAAGGCACGAAACATACCCATCATCGCTGTGCCGGGGCACCTCACGGATGTATTATGTATTAGGAGCGAGAGGCGAGAACTTTCACCTCAGAGGTTATTATCTCTCCTCCTCAGCTTCTTTCCCTCTCACATAACATACTCACACACACACACACACACGCATACTTACGTATATATATATATCACTATCCTATTTCTATCAGCATAGGAAAAACGTGGCCTATGTATTCGGGGGATTGAGTATCAAAAAAACTTGAACGTTTCACGCATGCCATTCATGCCCGCATTGCTGAAAGTGAGCCACCCCGAGATCCCAAGATATCATCGTCACTCTTTGCCCCGAACCCGCCGAGCCCAATCATCACCGACCTTCAGACTGTCCACGACGACCACGCCCCGGCCTCGGCCAGTCCGTTCCTCCCGCTGCCACCAGAGGTCTGCTCTCTTCTCCTTCTCTTTTCCTGGCTGTTCGGTTTCCGAGTCGCTGTCCGCCAGCCCGCCGTGCCCGCCGTCGACTCCGACCACCAGGATGACGTCGTGCTTGAGCCAGGTCTGTAGCTGCGTGACGACGTTGCCGTCGGGGCCGGCTAGAGATTCCTGGAGGTACACCACCTCGGGGTGTAGGTGTCGTAGGATATGCACGTGGCCGTTGACCGTCGTGAACGGGAGCACCATCGTCTCCTTCTCCACTAGGGCAAGCGCTTGCGAATACACGGCGTGAAAAGGCGAATTGACCGAATGGACGCTCAACCTATTTTCCCAGTTAGTGTAACTTTTCACGTGGCAGTGGTATCCTGCATTCACGCACATTGGACTCTTTGACTCCTCCCCTGGCGTTTGATCCTGGTCGTTTGCGATGTTGGAGAAGGACGAGCTTAGAGAGGCAGGAGGTAGGTTGCCACTCGACGCCTCTAGGGCGGAGTCCTTGAGACCCGGCGCATAGATCAGGACAAACAACTTGGTCGTGGAAAAATCGACATCTCGAGGGATATAGGAGAGGATAGACTGTCGGAAGCAGGTTAGAGAGTGAGCGGGGGCCGTGGGGCGGCCGAGAAGCGGAAAGGGGCGGTGTCATACAGCATGTTCGTGGAAGCCGTCGCCGGTAAACTCGTCGGCATTAGTGTCGGCAGAGACGACGATAGCGACTGTCTTGCGGCCCTTGCTGGCGTCCTTGGGCTGGGACGTTGACGGCTGTTTCTCCTTTCTCGCTTCGGCTTCCTCTGACCACGTCTCGTGATCAGCATATGCGTTCTTGTCATCTTCTCGTATGGCAGCCAGCGCGCTGCCGAAAACGGTGCCCACCCCCGCTATGCCCGCCGCCACCGTCTTACCCGCATTTGAGAAGAACTGCTGCGGACTCGGGGTTCGCCGGAGCGCACCAGACACCTGCGTGCTCCACGCCGACGAGATGCCGCTCGTCTCGGGATGTAGTTCGGCCACGCCGTAGCTCGCGTCGCCGGGCTGGACGGGAGAGCCGCCGTCGGCGCCTAGACGTGCCGCTCGCGACGTCGCGCCGTAGGGTGGGTTGTCTCCGTAGTCTGCATTTTCGTAGTCGAGGCCAGCGGCGGGCTCGAGATCGCTCTCCTCGTCTCCCTCGTTGTTGCTGCGCTGGCTCCACGCCCAGGCCGCGACACCGACGGTGGCGACGGTGAGAGTGATGACAATCGGGACCCAGTGGCCCCAGCCCCCTCGGCGAGACCTCGACGATTCGTACGACGACGACATTTATCGTTCAGGTTTGGATCATCGCAAAACGTGCCTGGTCGGCGTCGCGCGCGGTAGTGGAGTGACGGATGCGAAACAGGGCGCAAGCAAGCATGCAAGCAATTCCGCGACCGTATCGGATGGTGTCGAGACAGGACAGGACTACCTACATAGGCCAGAGCAGAGGTAGTACCGGGCGAGGTTGACGTGTTGTGGCCCTCGTAAATTAGCGGGCTGGGAAGCAGTACCAAATTTGCCAGCTGGGGCTGAGCTACGTGTACGAGGTCGGTCGGGGGGGCAGCTTGCTGCGTAGGCAATATGCAATGCGGCCAACTGAAAAGAGCCCGATAGGATTGTTTTCGTCGGAGACGTCTCGAGGGGTGGCTGGGAGTCGACAGCCGGTGTATCGCCCCCCTGTTGAGCGGTTCGCTGGCGAGGGAGAATAACAGACCAGTCCATTGGTTGGCGGGGAGAAGGCGTGTGGGGCCTCGGCCAGCCTACACCGAGCTGGAGGCGCGTGCTTTTCTCGGTTTCTGCGCGATATAAGTGGTCGCTCACCGTACGTGGCCCATATCCGCGCTTATCGATAGTGGTCTTTGCCTAGCTAAGCCGAGGTAACGAAGAGGAGAAGCTGTGGCTGTCATCGGTAAGTAGGTAGAACTGCACCTATGACGGTAGGTGCCTATACCGGGGGCTAGTTACCTAGGTACCTCAGGTATCTAATCTTATCTGTTGCCTCCATCCCACCTCATCGTCATTGCTGGTGACTCAACCGAGATGCGTCAACTAGGGTACCTACCTAGGTAAGTACCGGATAGGTACCTTCTAGTCGCATCTTCAATTTGTATATTCTGCAGAGCGACAGCGACACACCAAATCCCTTAATCTTTCGAGCGCGAAAGTAAGAGTCTGTCGAGCTGTGTCCGAAAATCCCTTACCCAGAATTGCCTCGCCAGGGGTCTGTCAACGTCTTCGTAGGCAGGCTCCCTTCTTTTCTTTTCTTTATTCCTGCTCCAACTCTCTCTGGGCCAGTCGAATACCCTCGTTGACCCCTCCGTAAAGCCTCATCGCCACCGGCCGGCCGGGCACGCCTAGGCTGCCCCGCGCTTGTCTCGATGCCGGCAACCGGTCTTCAGGCCCTAATCCTTTGCGGGCCGGGGTCCTCATTCCCGACCTTTACGTCAAACCCGGATGAGAACCCCAAAGCCTTACTGCCCATCGCCAACCGGCCAATGGTTTGGTACCCCATCGACTTCTGCTACCGTACGGGAATTACGGGTAAGGTCTCTTATATCTCCGCGCTATCATCGTGGCCATGCTGCCTTGCGCCTCGCCGAGCGCGGCAAACTTGGCTTCAAGTGTGATCAAGCGACCGCAGTTGCTGTGTTAGCTCCGGTTGAGAGGGCGCCGCCGAGCCTTAACATCTGTCTAGTCTGGTATTGTGCTGCCCTCATTATTGCGCCGAAGCCCCCTTCCCCGCCCCCACACGGCGCTGTTGGCCAGTCACTATCGGGACGTAAACCCAGATATTAGACGTCCGTGAACTGTTTAGCTGATGAAGGCTGTTTAGATATCACTCTCGTTTGCCCTCCCTCGGCTGCCGACGCTATCACCACGGCACTGAGGACGAACCCGTTCCTCACGGGCTTGCCTCATCCCCGCCCAGATCTTGTCGCGCCTCATGGCTTAGACCAGAACACAGGTACCGCAGAGATACTTCGGCTTCCTGAAATCCGGGAGCTTGTCACATCTGACTTCGTGGTCCTTCCCTGCGACTTGGTGTGCGAACTCGAGGGCGAGAAGCTCTTGCAGGCATGGATGGTGAAGGCGGCAAGTCTTCCGGACCTATTGGGCAACGGTGAGCCTCCGTACGGAAATGGTGGCTTGGGGGTATGGTACGAGACCAAAACGGCCAACCCCGTCAAAGGCGAGGAGACCGACCTGCTCATAACCGCTCCGATGCCGATGCCTCCGTTACCCACTTCCAAAGACTCATTGCTCCCGAACCTTTCCTATGTGGCTTATTCTATGCCAAAAGATTCCCTGAACGACCTCGTGGATCAGAAGAAGGGCCTGCCGATACGGCACGGTCTGTTGCGCAGTCATCCTAAGCTCCAAGTACTCACAACCCATCGGGATGCGCATATCTATATTCTACCGAAATGGATTCTAGACTTCGTCCAGAATGAGCGCCTGGAGACGCTTGGCGAAGACGTAATAGGATGGTGGGCTAAGGCCAACTGGGAGACGGGGCTTTCTGAGAAGCTGGGGTTGAAGAGCGTTATCGAGGGCGGCGGCGGGGGATTGGACAGGAATAAGTCGGCGCGTGGCAACGGCGCCTCTCCGGAACACAATGGCCTAGACTCTCCGGTCAGGGCACACGAGCACTACGGCAGCCCAGCCCCTGCGGATGCTCATAGAAGACACAACGACGGACTGCTGGCCAAGCCCACGCAATTTACCATTCCTCCAATTCTGGCCTACATCCACCCCTATCACGCCGATGCGCCGCTACTCCGGCGTGTTGATACAGCCCAGCTACTCCTTGCTGTATCGTTGCAATTAGCAAAGCTTTCTTCCGTCGAAGAGGCAGGGCCCGAAGCAGCGTCTCCATTTGCACACTCCAGGAAAGTTGCCTATCCCGAGGGTATCAAGCCACGAACCACCATTACTAGGCAGGATTGCCTAATCGCCGACAACGTCATGGTCGAGGAAAAGACGTCGATCAAAGAGAGCGTGGTGGGCGCGAACTGCCAGATACGGGAAGGCGCTAAGTTATTCCAGTGTCTGCTGATGGATGGTGTGGTAGTGGGAAAAGGCTGCAAATTGACACGCTGTATCCTGGGCAAGAGGAGCGAGATCGGGGAGGGGTCGACGCTCACGGACTGCGAGGTCCAGGAGAACCTGTTGGTAGAACCAAAAAGTACGTGCAATTCGATTTCCTCCGTTCTAACCCCATGCCTTCTTCCTCATTTTTGTCCGTCTCCTCCCGTGATCCTGCGAGGCGGTGTAGTGATAATCCCCTTTTCTTTTCATACCTCTGCCAACCGAGCAACTATTGGCTGACATGATGATTGCAATTTTATAAGCCGAGGACAAGGATACGAAGCTGATGAGCTCCTCCGGCCTCGAGGCTAGTGAGCAGGAGATGCAGGATGCTATGGAAAGCATCGACGCGGGCAACGATGGGAACAGCACTTTGCTGTTAGGATAGCCTCGTTTATCCCCGAAATACCCGCATCCTAGCATCACGGTAGCCAATATGACTGGGTGGAAACCTGCTGGAACTTTTGAGCAGTATGTAACCTTCTTCTATTTAGGCTTGTTGTCACTCCGGCACCTCCCCTCCCCATGCCCACCGCGTATGGCCCCATCCAGAGTCACAGATTGGAAATATGCCCCCTACCACACCGCTCTGTTTCTCTGGAGTTAGGCATCTATTTGGAGCAACTTGGTAAAGCAACCTGTCTGATATCGACACACGCACATAGACTCATACCTAAGTAAGCATGTGTGTAGGCTACCACCTCCTCCCTCTTCTTGCTAGGTGGTTCGTGGTGTCACCAGTAGTGGCATAGTGCACCATTTTCTCCCGGGACGGATATGATCAGTAGGTGTGTTATACGTGACATGCAGGTTAGCTACCGCCTAGGTTCATAGATACACGTAGTTAACTATTAGGCTACTTCATATTAATGTCCGCGTGAATTGTGAGCTATCACAGGAAGTAGATGTCGGCATTTTATCCTCCTTTGTTTTCTTCTCCACCTCCTCTCTCACCACCTTCTCTCTTGGTATTCCCCCAGGTTTCTTCTTCTACATATTTGCCTTGCTGTACCTTGCCTCTATTTCCCCTCCACCCGGAGGGCGATGGTCGGTCGTTTGCAGTTGATTACTCTTCAGTGGCACGACAAGCCGCACGCCATTGCTCTGGTGTGCTGGTATGATACCGAGCGCCTTCGAGCCTCTCGCTCCGTCTGTAGATATAGGGTACACTTGCCCTTTTCTAGGCAGTTGGAGAGGACCGTTGGGCATTCGAAACCAAGGCCCTGGGTTCGGGGTTGCCTCTTACCTACTGTGGGGCTGACTGACGCGTGCTTTACCCGGGTTTCCCACGTATGCACCGATCCCACTATGTAGGAACGGAGGCAAGTAGTAGTGCTAGCAAGATGCCGACGAAGCTGAAAATGCCCGGCCTGCAGGATCTACAGCCGCACAGCGTGATTATACTGGGGTGGCATAAGATATGCAGTGGAGCGATCGTGTCGGGTGGTGCGGTAGCTATCATATCATGTATGCGTTTCACTGCCTCGGCACGCTCAGTAGCCGTACCCAAGTCCGGACATGGATGAGGGAAGTTGGCCAGCGGGATATCCGCTCCTCAGCTGGTTGTTTGCCGGCGGCCTGACGGACTACGCTGGTAGCGTTACCGCCGTGCCGGATCGCTACAGCCTATAGCCACTGGCCTGCTACTCTTATTTGCTACCCATGGGAGGTTCCGAGCTCATACAAGATCTTAACTGACCAAGACGTGTGAAACAACGCACAGCAGCGAGGCCCATGCAACAATGAGGCGACCCTGGGACCACGGGGGGGTTTTGGGAGAATAACGGCGGCTAGATTGATAATGGTTGTAGTTACCGAGTGACAAACAGAAGGCCCTGTCACGAGGCCGTGTATTAATGAGGTCCGGGGTTCCCTCAGGCGTATCCTGACACAATACCGTAAATAACAGTACGCAGGCATGTTCTGCCGACGATCCTCGTACTCTCACCTATGTGCTCAGCTACCATGGGATACGACTATTTTCGTAAAAGTTTTGCAAGATCCGCGATATTAGCATCCCAGTATTATTAGCCTTGCTAGTTCAAGACCCATAGCAACTTTCTTTTTGTAACCAACCCCCCCAAAATGCGCTGAAATAGCAAGGTTATCGTGTCTCTAGCGACGCCGAGCGTTGTCCGTTTCCTCGAAACATATCGATTCTCCTGTTACTATTGGTTAGATCCATTTAGATACGGTCCGTTTAGGCGTATGGGGGGTTCTCCCGCGCCTAGCTTCTTAGACGTAGATCAGCTGCCTACGTACATAATATTTTAGGATTAGTGAGCCTATGGTAATACCGAACGACGCCTCGTAAGCTGGGTAGTATCATGCTGCTAAGAAAACCCCCCTCCCCCCTACGAAGAGAGCCGGTATGTTTCATCCCACTCAGTAGAGCCGTGATTCGTTGAGGGCAGTATGTCCCGCGGGGGATGCTTGATAATTGCTTGGGAAGTATGGTGAACCCTCTTGGGGGCTTGACTGTCACGGAGCCTCGCAGCCATAAAGGTAAGTAGGTTAGCGCCAAGAAAACCGCAAGACCCGGCAGGGCCGAGTTATCGACGACCCGGGATTCCCGCGTTAGAGAGAGCTCTCTAGAAGAGAGCTGGCAGCGAACCCCTGCGACACAGTGGCGACATTCGTACGTGGCAGTATTGCCCCAAGCATAGAGCTCAATGTTCGCGGCCTCATCGTGACCCATGAGAAGTGGAGATGAATAAGCGGAAGAGCTGTCTCATCCGTTCCGTCGCCTCGATTGGAAGGGAAACCCTTGGTGATTACCAGCCTGAAAACACCCTGGTCCCAGGTGAGATTATCAAGGAGCACAGGATGGGGTTGGGATCTCTACGCATAGGCGGTACAAGGTAACACTTTGGGCCGTGCTGTAGAGGCTCTATCTACGCACAAGTTCATCTTATAAACGGGGGTTTGGAGGACTGTGGGCTCACGTTCTTCGTTGCCCTCAAGAGTAATTAGCATCCTCTCAGCTGATGTATGCTACTCCTTGCGTACAGTGCTAGTTATCCTACGGAGACAGACAAGTAGAATGACGGCGCAGATAGCATCACCTCTGTACAGGCATCCGGGCGTGTTTAGTGTAGATGACATATCCATCTGTACAAGGGGTTCTTTGGGCTCTCAGCAACCAACCAAGCTGCATATTTCGGCGGCAAAATCGGATAAGTCTCTGGGACTTGGTCTTCCATGTCTCCACACTCCACACCAGACGTAGCTCAGGCACGCTTAAGCCGACAAATCACGGAAATTATATTTTATCCCAGGACTTTCGTAAGGAATTACGTCTTCGCGGCTCGACCTGCAGCCAGTCTCGAGATATGAATCGTCGCTCGGCGACCGTGGAAAAGCCAGGACCCCTGTCTTCGGCGTTTGGATTCTTCATAATGCCCTGCGAGTTGCTGCATGGAGATGATCGACTCGAGGAATCTCCGAGGCGTCTGCGGCGTCTCCCGGTTCGCACGCAGACGTGCGTTTGCAGATGTGTGTGCACGTATTAGCGAGAAGGCGACGCCCGCCGGACCTGTGACGCCCAAAGCGACATGAGACTTGTCGCTTGTGCAGACTGGTCTTGCTGAAAAAAAAAAAAAAAAAAAACAGATCCGTACAGAAGATCTAGTAGTAATTAGGCATCCTACGACTCTGGCTGGGAGTCGCCGCTTCCAGATACGACCATTTCTACCAAAGAAGAAGGGTCTCTAGACACCAAGTAGCGCCTCGTAGACGCATAGCAACGCCCCGGAGAGTTGCTCATGTATTCCTTTTTTATAATCTCTGGTTTTCTTCTTGTCGTAGCTATCCCTATCGGCCTGGGCAATGCCGGGGGCAACTGGCTATTCGGACTCGTATTCAATCGCCAGACACAGCCCCGATCCGCAGGCGTTGTTAATCCAAGAGCCCATGCTTCCCCGGGCCTCTGACCTATTCAACCGACTCGTCGCCATGCGCGGCATGTCCATTATAGTCGAAAGGTGAGGGCGGCCATCGTCTAGAATCGTGTTGCGGTGGAGGCGGCTAAAGAGCGTCAGCGGTTGTCCACCATCTGCCGTCCAGATTTGGCTTACTTCCAGTTTGTTCACCTCCTATCTTCCTCTTTGCAAGTCGGACAGATTTCTGTCGTATAATGCTCCGATGGAAGGAAGTTGTTTCGTTGCGGATCGGATCCATTTGGATTCTTATTCGGGCAGTCCTCACTTTCACATGGAACGTCTTGCGTGTATGCTACATGGCGGCTCTTACACCCGTAGTAGCATACGTGTCTCTTGCACATCGTGAGGTTGAACAGTAGATGCTGCTATCGGTACAGCCACGGGCTAAGCTGTAAAGAAGACAGGAGCTACGATCGAGTTGAATGAGACAGTGCTTTCGATACGATCTGGTCTAGTTTCGTCAGGTCTCTTTAAAGCTGTAGTCTTACGTATTAACCCTCCTGTCAACTATCATATGCATGATGTCACCCGATGTAACTTCTCAGCTCTGCCCTCTCTGAGGGGAACGCCTTCAAAACATGATAACACTTACGACCTCCCATCCATGTCACCTAACCCTGAGTGTGTGCACCCTACGTGCGGTGTGCTATTAAATCTGTGAGGGAATATTACCCATGCACTGTCTCTTATGGGTAGCCGATGCATGATGCTGAAGCCGTCGGCGTTAACTTCTTCATCAACCGTGGAAACAGAAGGTTGCTGTTCCAGTTGTCCCTCTGGTGTAGGTTGCGGGGAAAAAAAACCGATGCCTGGGAATCATTCGCAAAAATATCTCCGGACAGTGCCATATAATAGGCTGTCGTTCTCTTAAATTAGGCTATAGGTTTTAGCGGGTGCCCTTGTCCAAAATGCCTCGACGGGATATTAAATGCTTGAAATAAGACACAACGTCCTATCATCACAAGCACCTCGATTCCTGAAGCACATTTACCTGCTTGGATTTACATCGGCCTGGGAATAAGCTACGACGTGGGGACATGATCTATGATTCTTCTCCTTTCTTTCAAACTGCTCGGGCATGCAATGGCTCCATCAGCCGGCAACTCTCGTTCACACCATAGAAGGTTGGACGTGGTTAAATGCGTTACGGCCACTTACCGCCACCCCAAATTAGCAGTGACTTGGCCCTGAGTGGCGTGCCCGTGAGAGCCGTGATGGTGGAAGCATTCCAACCAACCACTTGGAGATATCAACCCAACCCGCAAATAGACAACCATCAGATATTACCTTCACGGTGTCTATTTTTGCCTTCTTTTGTTTGAGAGGTGGTGTCGTTTGAGGCTATAGCCCTCGGGGCTCCCGGACTAAAGAGGTAGAGATCAGCAGTTGACAATTTGAGAACTTTCACCAACATACATGTCAGCGTAGTCCCAGGGCGAATCAACCGCCACATGCGTTTTCCGGCAATTGGTGTGGGAGGGTAGGCGTCCACTCAAATGGCCTACCAACCAGTCATGAGCCTGATTAGGAGAACTCACTCGTTGAGTGGCGTCGACGGGCAGCTAGGAGACCATCACCGAAGCAGCGTTAGGTGACACCAGACGTCGGGATCTCTCACACCTGAGACGATCTAGCATTGAGTGAGAGGAGCTCTACTGACTCTTGCTTGTGGAGGACATCAGCACAGCTCCTGGGCCCATGGAGGACTGGTTACCTGGGCCGTGCTACCGTGTATACCTCCACGACGAAGAGCATGACGCGTGTAGATCACACTGAGCGATTGGATATGGCTTGCATAGGCCGCTGCTGGCTTGCAGCCAGCCGTGCTTTATAATCATGACCGTTAACACGCTCGTCTAGACTTTCTACCTCGCCGTCTTCGTAGCCAACAACGTGTTTGCTTGCGTGGGATTGGCCGTAATTATGTATGTACTCGAAACAGGTGTTTCCAACACGGCCGGTAATATTTACGGATGGAGTGTTAACGAAGAATGACTGTTAGACGAAGAACCGCCCGCTCGGTTCCGACCGGCGACAAGGATCGAGATTTTGTTTGCCCACATACGGAACCGCGAGACCGCGCTTACAAGAAAGAGGCGAGATGGTGGAATGGCTAATATGAGGCTCTAGATGAATAATAAAGACCGTAGACATCGTGAATTCGACATCATTCCATCCTTACTGTTAAAAACTATAGGGAGGCGTGTGACCCGATAATACACGCGAGCTAGCGAAGGGAACGCTACTCATAAGTCTACGACCATGCAGTTACTGGATGTTGGTGAGATCTGGCACCGGGGGGCGGATACCGCCGAACTTACAAGTTCCGGTTCCGAAAGAGACAAGGGGGGTGGGGGAGGATGCTCGCAAGACTACAAAGCTAGCAGGGGGATAAAGAGGCGGTCGAGGCTATGTCTGAGATGGTATACATTCGCCAGTGTGGAGGGTGAGTTGTTATGCCATTGCGTGGCCGCAAGCCACATAAGGTACGACGCAAGGAATCCCCAGGACAGATCCCTACGATAGAACTCAGAGATCTAACCTTTGTCTTAAGTCCGGGAGTGCGACGTAGACCTGACGTGAACGCCCATGAGCCGCGCCGGAAAAACCAGGGCTGCTCTACGCTCACTGGTTGTGGTGCTGAATCGCAAAGACTTGCCAACTGCAAGACTCGCAGCGTCTACAAGAATCTGGGATTGACTGCTTCGAAGCTGGTATTGGCGATTACCCGTGTCTGCTACCGATGTGATGAAAAGCAGTGGACGACACTACCTGTATATGGCATCCTATACCACACCGACGTAGCGTCCGACTTGCCCGTCAAGCTTAGTCGGCCCGGGCGCCCTCAGCGGTATTATCGATATGCCGTCAGTGAACCCCCTTTTCGAGACAACCCCCCCCCCTTCCCCTCCCCCGGAGTTCCGAGTGAGCGGGGCGATAATTTAAACGCCGAAAACTGCCTGTACGCACTCGAGGGTATCATGGCTATGTCATAATAGTCTATAACCCCTTCGCCTAAGTGCAATACAGAATCGAAACCCTTGAGCCTGGACGCATGACATGGAGCGAAGTATAATAAGCATATCCGCCCCTCTCTTTGGTCCTTGTGGTGAGAGCTGAGGTGCAGGGTAGTTTGATTACTAGGGCGGTGAACGGCAAGTCCGATCGCTTCACGTAGCAGCACGAAGATTAGTAGGCAGCGGTTCAAGGGCGAATTCTCTAGGGGAACCTCTACATCTCCAAACGGCCACATATCTATATTTCCGTACGGGTGCATGTATGTCGTACATGATACGTAGATCCTTCAGTCGTTGTCAGTAGTCGCCAACACTGGTGCCTTGGTAACGGTATTCTGATGCTCTTAAACAGGTCTCCCGATACGGAAAGCTCCTCTCTATCTGTTCCGAGTCTCAAGTTCCTAATCTCTCCACCGTGGTTCACAAGAAACCAATTAAACTAGACGTTAGCACAACGGCAACGTACAACGCAAGTTTCTATGTAGCTGTTGTGTGCGTACAGAGCTTGGATGAAGTCTAGGGAAGGACTCCCATTGCCCTATCGTGGGGTTGCGTGCTCGTTGGCATGGCATTCTTTGAGACACCCATAGTCGAGGGCGAGTCTGTTCCTGCTTTAAGTCGAAATGTGTCTGCCCCTGCGTGGCCTCCTTGTTCAGAGGCTCGTAGGGCAAACCCCTTTCTAAAAGCAACTCGAGGGCTACGGCTCGGCCGCCTATGGCCGAAGAGACACCACTTGTTCTGCGGCGAGCTCGAGGACATGCCCAAAAAATGGAGAGAAGAATGATCGCCGCCAGGAACCCCGAGTTAGCTAATTGAACCAGGTACAGAGATTGCCAAGATCCCTAGGAAGCCTAAGGAGGGCGAGGAAGAGGAGGAGGAGCATACCTACACGACGACCCGGAAAACTTTTGGATTCTCGGGACGGCGCATCCCCCTCTCGCCTCTTCCATGGCGGCTATCGCTACCATTAGCAGGAATAGATAGACGTCGATGTTGGGAATAACAAATTCCTGTCTTTTCTTAGGCACCGCCGCCGCCACCGCTCGCCATGCCCCTACTCCTCATACCATCTACCTCCTAGGTTCTGACACCTACATATCTACCTACACGCTCATGCACACCTAGCGATAAGAAAAACGACTACATGGTAAACCAGGAGCTCCGTCCCTCTTTCCCGGGCCGTATTCTCGTCATTGACATCATCTGCAACGGATCGCTGGTGCTATCCCGATTAGTCGTTTATTGGCCTTCTCGCGCGTGGGCAACCAGGTGGTTTCGATAGCAACAAATCCCGAGGAGCTCTCCTGGGCGCAATAGAGGTGTGTACTTTAGTCAATGTCTGGTGTCTATTGCTCAATGGTCGTGGTCTTTCTAGGGACGCCATGTCTTTGAATCGACCGATGTCTTACTAGCGACGAGCCTGATGGAAAAGCATAATGCGGGGCGGCGATGCACCCATTCCTGGAATCGCCCATTCCATGACCGTCAACCCAACACTTCCGCGCTCTTCTCGGCCACAGGAGTGCTAGCCAGGCTCTCTAACGCGCTTGTTTCGCAGATCTCGGGCGCCGTACGTGCCATTTTGAGCTATGATCCAGCAAAGCAGACAGCCCCTTCATACCCAATCCAGAGCGTCACTTGATTGCTTTAGGCTGCTTGCTAGACTGCCAACCGTGGTGTTTGTTATTCGCTATCGTGCATTGTTTTCTAAATATACTACCCCGATGGCCCAATCTTAGGGCCATGGTCGGGTTAGGAGCGCATGACAGGTCATGTGTGTTGGTTTCTCGTTCACAAGGATGTGATCTCACAAGTGTGTTCCGAGCCTCTGGGACCAAAATGTTACCTATCAAGCCCCCCCCTCCCCTCGTCCCCCCCCCCCCCGGTGGAGAGTGTGGGCTGCTAGAATGGGATAGCTAGTATGGCGATAGCTAACAGTGGTTGACAAATGCTGGCTTACGGGTCGCGGATGGCAGAGGAGCCATCTTTAGGTGAGGTGGTGGTGGCTTGAAGACAACGGTGTGGGATGTCTCTCCTGCCTGCCCTAGGCATCGTGTGCTTTAAACTGGTACGCATCTTCCTCCTCTACACGTCTTCATTCCTGTCACCCTCTCCTGCCATTCATACCCTTGCGGGTGAATGTCTGAGTATATTGGCCGAGCTATCCTAACTGGGTCTCTGCTTCGCGCTCTAGTGTTAGACACCAGGGATACCTCCCTATCTCTAAACTAGCATAGCCATATATCTTTGTCATTTATATATATCTATTATCTATCCCCTCATTCCTCGATCTATCTGAGGAAACTCTTCCTTTATTGCATCTGTCAACGAGCCGAGCTTTTGGTAGCGCCTCTCCCCCCCTCCTCCCCCCTATCAGACGGACAATTGCCGCCCTCTGGAGTACGACCTTGGCTTCCCCGTCACTTTTGGCACGACAATGGGTGTTCGTATGAATCTGAAAGTGGGCTTCGGCGAGGAATTCAACTTCGATAACCAGGCCCTGCCTTACGCCTCTTCATCCAGTGGCAGCTTTTCCTCGGATTCAACCGCCAATTCTCTCCCCGAGCCGTTCACGCCGACATCCGGTCGATCGACCCCTGGATATCGCTCACTATCGAGGAACCACGATTCCGTCTCATACCCTCCTCCCGGAGGCTTTGAACTGACACCTCCGTCATCAACTTTCAGCGGTAGCTACCCATCAGAAATGGACGGAGAGATGCACCGATACATGGATTTCAACAGTGCTTCACCCAGTCCGAGTCGAAAGTCCAGCATGCAGACGCAGAACATCGACTTTGACTACACCCCTATGCTCCATCCCTCATTTGCCGGGGTGCCAGCACATGAGAATGCCCTCGGGCCGTCAAACAATCAGTCTTTTGGGCATTATCCCTTTGGTGATCAGATAACCTCCCCGCCCTTCCCGGTCTCTGCGCCAGGCTACCCCTTTGACATTACCGCCCGTGATATGTCGTCAATGTGGGCATGGTCCGGAGAGACTCCCGTACCCTTTTTTGGGCGAGAGAATATCTCAGCATCCACCTCACCCGCTCATCAACATTTTTCTACCCGGGAGCGAGAAGACTTAACACCGACGCCTCCGTACCTTGCCAACCACGCCAGGAGACGACTTAACCTCAACAGGGTGCAACAAAGGACCTCCGCACTCCAAAAAGCTCAGCACAGGCAAGGAGTTCGGATAGAACGGATCGCCGCGGCTACCTTCAAATGCAATTATCCCAACTGCCAGAAGGGGCCATTTAAGAGACAAGAACATCTGAAAAGGCACCAGAACACGTAAGCCACGAAAACTCGTCTACTCGAAACACCTTAACTGATAGAACAACTAGTAAACATGCCGCAGACCCGGCAGCGATCATAACCTCATGCCCAATCTGCCGCAAGCCCTTCAACCGCAAGGACAACTATCGTTCTCATCTCAAGCTCCACACCATTAAGAACCGTCCTACTCGCCGCACCGACTACCACCCGGAAGCTCAGGCGCTGTTAGGTGAAGAGATGAACAAGACAAAACAGCGGAGTCAGCTGAAGAAGCGGGACGACGATTTCAAGGACTAATAAAATGAAAGAAAATCTTGTATTATCTCTCTCTACTTGTCACCATGAAATTTCCTATGTTAGGTGGCGGCGTATATCTTGCCTACGGGCCGTCCTGATATTACGGATTCAAGATCCGGCTCTTAAGCCGCGTGTGCAAGGCCTTTAGGGGAGGGCCTCCAGTTTTTTTTTCTTTGGAATAACCGGGAAGGCAGTGCCAACATTTGGAGTTTAGGAATGGAACTGTCTACTTGTACTGCATCGGAGGGTAACAAATCGACTCGGGCAGACCTGGCTTACCAGCCAAGATCTTTGTATTTTTCAAGCCTACTCAGACCTGGGAGAACTGGTCGTGGCATTTTCCTTTCGCAAGAAGAAAAAAAAAAGGAGGGAAAAGTTTCTAGAGCCTATACATTGCTACTTCTTCCTCACTGTTATCGAGTCCCCGCCCCTGCATCTCCCCTTGGTCTTTGTCCGGCTCGGAAGTTCGGAAGCGTTAAGAGTAGCAACGCTGCAACATGCCCACAGGAGGGCGTGCCTCGCTCGGTCCGCCGACGAGCAGCTCGCGATGTGTGGATTTCCCTCAGGTCCGCGCAAAGCACCCCTCGAGTGTTCCGGTGGCCGGTAGACGGGGTGGGTAGGTGTGTCTCACGTAAAACGGTGCGCGGTGTGCTCTCCAGAGGGTATACGGCCGAGACATCCAACGAAGAGCCTCGGACGCGCCTCGACCTTTCGACGCTACCTCGCCCGACTCTGGCAGATTTTCGGTCGCGCCAAGCATCGGGTCTGAATCAAGAGGGGAGACAGGCTGGTGGCCTCGCACATCGGAGGCGTGTCCGCACGTACGACTACTCAGAGGAGCCGCACTGCTCTCGCCCGCCGACCCGCGCGAGCTGGCGCCAAACTGGCGACACGCAAGAGCACGCCTACATACTACTTACCTACGGTATGTGGTCGCAGTGGAATCGACGAGATCTCGACGCGTTTGTGTCGTGATCGCCGCGATCTCAACTGCGCCCTCGCCCCCCAGTATCTTGGCAGAAAGGCACCCATCATCGAGAACAAGGCCAATCACGTCCACGTCCCGCTTCTGGGAGATTTGGTAGCCAGGTACGTAGGTGGATCCGCGCATCGGATGGGGTGCCTGGGTACCTACCACCTTGTATACAGGTATTCGCATAGGAATTTTCCCAGATACTCTCGTTTGCAATTCGCGAGATCCTTAATAAAGGTATACACACAATATCACCTGCCCTTGAGCTCTTCTCCTACCTCTAGAAGCCTGCACGTGACCGGTCACCACGCGTTTTGCACGGGCAGGCTCGTCTCCGGCGACGTCGCTGGTATCGACTTGCGAGGTGGCATGTCGATATACCTAGGCACGTACTAGGTACCTATCTACATTAAGGTACCTACTAAGGTACCTCCTCATAGTCGGTGTGCTCCACCGGGGCAGAATGTGGTCTGGTCTGATCTGGCGGGCGGCGGGCGGCGGGGATCACGAATACCTGGGGTAGGTACCTTACCTAGCCCAGGCTCAGGTACCCAGTACCTAGGTACCCGACCCTACCCTAACCTCCAGCCTACCTCATGTGCCCATACTATATAAGGCAGGTACATTTCCTGCGCAGGGTAATAACCTCTCGAAGTAGGTACCTAGGTACGGGTGGAGGTGCTTTGTGAGTGAAAGTGTGGAGCCGGGACGGACGAGCTTGCGGTGAGGTCAGAGGTAGATTACCTGGCTAGGTACTTATGTTACCTGCCTCCTGGTTACCCATTACCCGGCCCAAGATCGACCTACTCATAATACAGAGGTAATTGTGTCCATATCTACGTGCCATGCATAATATCTCCTCATACATATCATACTACGTACATACTATAGGCAGATATATATGTAGGTACATATGAATGCGTACGCCTACGTCATACCGGTGCCTTAGTTGCCCAGGCATCTGCTGGCGACGAATGCCTCACCGTCTCTATGAGTCTTCTGCTTATATGCGTGCATGAAACCCAACGTGTGCATTCTCGGACTACTATACGCAACCTGGTCACGGGCCGACGTTGGAGCTTACACGTAGGTACCTAACCCATCACCGACCGCTTCTTCCTCTCTCCGGACAACATACATCCCGGTCGATTCCCTGGGAGGCAGAAAGGTGTGTGTGTGTGCCAACCTTGTCTCCTAAGTACCTAGGTACCTAACCCGCCTGCCCAGGGTACCCCCTGGCTTACGTGTACTTGCTGGGTAGCTCAGGCTGGGTCGTGCCCGGGACATACCTCCCCCCTCTTAGGTACCGGGGTTGACCCATCACAAGGGTCCCAGCAAATCAAACCCGGGACTTGGCCCCATCCCTAACCTATCTGCTTTCGACTTTATTTTTATTTCCTTGATTACATGTCTTTCTCCCGCGTCCTTTTACGAGCCTGCTGCCGTTTCTCGTCTGCTTCTGGCGTGAACCCGGCCTGTCGATCGCCTGATCGGACGGTAACTTCAGCGTGCGAACCGTCCTTCGTCTGGTTGTGGCCAGTCGACCCGGCCCCTGTCTCGAGCTGTCTCCGGCGTGCTTCGCGTCCCTACCGAGATGTTGACGCCAATTGCCGGAACAGGAGGCCCGACCTCGATCTCCGAGGTAGACCCATATGGATAGATACAACGTAGAGCGCACACTTTTGAGGACGCTCCGGTTCCACAGCAGCCAGAGGAGGACGGCAAGCAAGTGTGTCCGGCTCGTCGGGTTACGGGGAATACACGCAGAGCTGTGCTGGCTCCCAAGCCTGAACTACGGCTTTCCTACCCGTGTACGTGGCTTGATATAACAGGTAATAAGCATATTACCTCTGTTCATGGGCATGGCAGAGTACACTACACCGTGCGCCGTCACCCAGCTCCTGGGGATCGATCGTGCTACCTAGATGAGGGGGTTTCTTTCGAGCGGACTCTTGTCAACAAGGCAATTCCCAATTCCATTGCCGCCGTTATATGTTATCGGATGCATTCGTGCTTACGACTGCGGTAAGCTGGTTTCGGGAACATTACGAGAGTGGCCAAAAGCCGACCCTGATACGACAGAATGTGATCAATCAAGAATGCTAGGTCACGAACATTCACCAGGCGCCACCGAGCTACTAACATCGCAGAGTCATTGGCCACGAGGAACCGGAATCAATTATAGCAATCCCAGGGTTTCGGTTTCACGAACTGGACTAACAACACAGCTTGTACAGCTCGCCGCAGCGACAGACGATGGACAAATTGCGCCGACATTGGAAGGGCACCTGTAGCTACACATATTTCCCGGCTCCGCCGTAGCCGAAGCTATTTGCGCAAACGGCCTGCGCGGGACTAGGCCAGCGAAGCCTGGCTGACGCGTCTCTTAAGGCCGTGGGGCGCTGCGTGCGACAAGAAATACGATAGACGTTAGTGCCATTCCGCGTAAAACAACGAAGGTGATAGCGGCAAGAATGGCCCATCGGCGATGCTGGGAGCAACAAGTTAGTGGCGGCCCGATCATGTGTCGATCCTCCCCCCCCCCCCCCCCCCCCCCCTATGCTGAAAGGAAAGGGGGGGGGGGGGGGGGGAGCATTGCTTTTCGTCTTCGCTGCCCCGCCGAGGAGGGTGAAAAGAAACCGGTTGCCCCGTAGGCTGGATGTTTAGGAGATATCCGAGCTCGCCCGTCGTAAAGCCGATATTACTGGGCAAACGTGCCCTTGCCACCGACGTGATGGAGGTGCCAACGGTGACGGTGATCACGAAAAGAACCCCCCGTACGCAGCCAACAGTATCCATACACATGGGTAGTCGCCGTGCTGTGGCCCCAAGTACTGGTGATGTACGGGGCGCCTCCTAGGTAACAAAATATCACCGGTCTAGCTCTTCGCGTTGCGTCCAGGGCCCGATTCTTCGGATCAGTCTCCATCAATAAAAAGAAATCCCGGTTTCTCGTGAGGAAGTTGTCGACATTAATGTCTTCTCTAGCACTACGAAATGACGCACATGAGACCCGGGCTCTGATCACTTGATACTAATATCGGTATGGCGGTCGATAACACCGTACCTACCCAATTGCCGGTAGGCCATTAAGCTCCAAGGCCGAGGACAGGACCCGTAACCATCACGTACTATATAATGGTTACCGGGACTACGGCAAAGTCCCATGAATGGTTTAGTGCTAGAGAGCTCGGGACATGCCCGTGCCTATGCCCATGAAGTGGTTCCTTGACAATACCGAGTCTATTACTGGCACTAGCAGCATCTTCCTTAAAACAAAGCAGAAACGCTCTCGCAGGTCGGCTGTGGCTACGAGGAAGTAAGAAAACAGTCGATGCACGATGCTGACGATCCGCCACCCAACGCGGTTCAACCTCGGTCCGTAAACTTACGGCACTGGGATTCGGGGCCGAGACCACGACTTCATCTACAGTGTCTACATGGTTCTCGTAACGGCGATGCCCCATTCCCACCGACAGTCCCGCCGGTATCCCTAGAGATGAAATGGGGACACAGCCTGGTTTGGAACTAGCCACTCTGCTGGTTATGGACGATAGGGTGCAAGCGAGGCAGTAACACGAGAGGACGCGAATACATAACAGGCTGTCTGTGACACCAAAGTAATAGCGGCGGTAACCAAGATTGACGCCGCCGCATAAATATAGGCCAGCAGTCCGAAAAGCTAGTCGCTTACAGAGTCGATCGTCCAACACATTTATATGAATAACGCTATCCCACCACTGCCACGACCAAAATAGGAAACTCGATATATATATACGGCCTATCCAATCTACTTCGGGGTATCAGTAAGCGCTTAGATACAATAGGCTAACAGGCTCTCATTGGGAGATAGCATACGGGTCCGACGACCTCGGCGCGCGGATATCCGGTGCTGTAAACCTGGCAACTATCCGCCGACAAACACACACACCGAGGGAAGGAGGGTGTGCTCTCCGTCAAGAGGAAACACGCTTGTGAGTGACGATGTCTCCTCCAAGGGACAGACAATAGGTTCGTTACGCCGGGTGGGCCAACCCGTGCTTAATGTTAGGTGTTACGGCTAACCGGTGCTGGCCTTTTACCAGTACTTTCAGGATATAGTCCGTGATGATAATGCCAGTAAGTGATCGCGTGATTGGCTGCTGCTGTGAAAGCTGTTGGTGAAGAACACACCATCGCGTCTGGGTCACCATTCCAGCAAGTGGTGACCAACTTCTCGGTCAGCCTCCCTTTACAGCCCAATGGATGCCATCCAGAAGTCCCGCACATCCCGTCAAAATTCCGATGAGATTTTCGAGTATGGCGTTTATAACGTTCCTAGAGGGTATACCTTGAATAGGGGGCAACACAGGCGTGGCTATTCACATAATGTCGCATAGACTCGATTCCCTCGATGATTCGCTAATACCTAGCATGCTAAAAGCCCACCCAGGGCACAATCATGAGGAGGGACGTGACCGATCGCTTCCCCCCTCGATATGGACCATCCCCTTAAACTAGACAATGGATTGTAGGGTAGCCCAACCCGAAGCTCTGCAAGACTTGCATACACCTTGAGGATCCCGAGTCCAACCGAAGGGACGGCGGTGGCCAATTACAACTAGGTAGATCGTCGGGATTTGCACATATTCACACGAACAGGAAGACGATTCAGCACCGCGTACCAAATCAGGAAGAATGAGACCAAGCTAATCCACTACGGGGAAATCGCCACATGCCTAAGGCGAGGAGATGCAACGCCGCGCTGCACCTGTTTCGCCCCATCCGACCGTAACTTGGATCCTGATGGACCGAACGGGCAAAGGTCGAACACGAGGAGGGGAAGCTCTCAACGAGATCAGAGACAATGCTAAACTGGATGGGAAGAAGCTGTCGCAGCTGAGACCATGACATAATAGACACCGGGTATATTGACGTGGCGCGGTACACAGAAGTGCCTCCCCCATACTGTCTCGGCTTCAAGTGTCGGCGCCCTCCTAAGTCACTCGGTGGCGCCGCGAGGGGAAGTGTGCCATGTATCATCGCTAGCTAGCGCTGCAGGTGCCTACCTACCTACCTGCCTCTTAGTTAGGCTGTCTTGCAGGCGGTATTCCTCACCATGCTGAAGAGGAGGAGTGAGGACTAAGGTCCACACGAGGGTGAGAAACCGGCTAGAAGGATGTCGGCCGTGTTTCTTGCGGTGCTGCTACCCCATCCCTGGATGGGCGCCGCGCGGTTGCCCTGGAGCCGTCGCGAAGAAGCTGCGGGCGATCGGGAAAATATCGCATAGGATACTGGCAACTAAGAGAGAGAGGAAGGCAACTAGGGAGAAGGGCGCTTTGAGTCAGTGCTATGATCGTGCCTGGTTCGTACGCGCGTATCACTCCTTATTCAGTGGCGAGAAACGTAAGTATGTGTCGTGAGAGATACTCTCCAAGCCCTTCGGATAGCGCACTGGCGCAACGATTAGTTCTCTGATCCTATACTGACATGGACGGTTTAGCGGTCTTTCGTATCCCTGTCTTCTGTGGCCGGAACCCGAAAGCTAAACTAGATATCTAGCACTCTCTTACAGCGGGTGTATTGTATATCTGGGGAGGTAGCAGTACGGCCAAGGCGGATGGCAGAGCTTTGGCAGGTCTGTCCGAGTTATCGGAATTCAGGGGACCCAAGATAACTGGCGAAGCTGACGCTCTGGCTGGTATTACTGCAGAGAAAGGGGGTGGAAGCAACATTGTAATAACGACTCGATAAGAAAGTGCCAACTCAGAGCGGAACGGTGGCTAGCGGTTGCGAAACTGGTAGGTTTGGCCTCGACTCCTGAGCTCATAGACTGATAAGTACTATCGAGGTTCGATACTACGCCTCCCTTGGGTGCCTACTCCCTTCGATGGATCCCCTTCCCGTGCCCCTTTTGGCGTTTGCATAGGCATGCCTATTGGCAGAGTTGGGTATAAGGGAGGATTGAGTAAAACCCGTATTCAGCGGGATAGGCACCGAGATGCACGCAAGAGCGTGTAGTGTCGGGCGAAACGAAGGCAGAGAGACCCGCGTGCCGAAATGCAGGAATAAGTTGTGGTTTGTGGTTGCGGCGGTGGTGAGGGTGAGGGTGAGGGCGGATATCCGTCTCTGGCTTGACCCCCATGGGTAAGAGAGCAGCATTCTGTCGAGCTCAAACCAAGTCTCTTGGTATCATATAATCTGGTATAACCTTGCGCACGTATAGGAATCCTCTTTATAAGGCGCACAAGGTGCCACTGAGCATGAGGGCGCCGGCCAGAGGGAGACTCGGGGATTAAAAATGTTTCCTATCTAGGAAACAGGAGCTGCGGGCGTCGTCTGCCAACCTCGATTAATGAATACTACGTAGTACTAGCAACTTACGTGAGCACAAGGAAGTTCGCAGGGCGCATGGACCATCTCTACCTGATAAGTCCAGCTCGCAGCCTAAAGTACAAGTACATGGAAGTTGCATACTATTAGCAGGGAATCGTGTGTAGGCAGTACATGGTAGTTCAATAATCTAGGCGATCTGGATGCTAGCCGAGTCCCCACTTATGAGGGGCATTCTCCTTATCTTATCGGCAGTGTTTGGTGGGGATATCATTTCGTTCAATGCAACCCCGTAGACTCACCACTACCCGGTATCTTCTTCACCATCATCACCACCAGCTGCTCCTCTGGACGAGGCACACGACACTCTCTTCTCAACCAACCCACCTGTTCAAGCGACCCAACTGACGCGTGCGGCGCCAACACTTGCGACATACCTGCGACACACCTGCCTCTGAAATAGCAACCATGGCGGACCTGGCGGAGAGCACCGCCAAGCTCCAGCTCGACGAGGAGACGGGGGAGATGGTCTCCAAAGCCGAGCTCAAGAAGCGACAGAAGAAACGCGAAAAGGCCAAGGCTAAGGAGGCCGCAAAGACTGAGGCCAAGGCCAATGAAAAAGAGAAAGACAAGCCGGCCCCCAAGCCTAAGGCGAATGTCGACGAAGTTATCGACCCCAACAACATGTTCAAGACGGGGTTCCTTGACGATGTCTTCAAGATCCGGCCCATGAAGCCCGTCTTCACGCGTTTCCCCCCTGAGCCGAATGGCTTCCTCCATATCGGCCACGCCAAGGCCATCGCCGTCAACTTTGGCTTTGCACGGTACCACGGCGGCGAATGCTATCTCCGGTAAGCACTTTGAGCGGGTTCGTTCCGAAGACCGCGCCGCCACTAACGTCGACCGACCGCCAGCTACGACGACACCAATCCCGAGGCCGAGGAGCAGGTGTACTTCGACGCCATCCTGGAGATGGTGGAGTGGCTCGGCTTCAAGCCCTACAAGATCACCTACTCGTCCGACAACTTCCAGAAGCTGTACGACCTCGCCGAGAAGCTGATAGGGCTCGAGAAGGCATACGTCTGCCATTGCAGCGACTCCGAGATCAAGCTCCAGCGCGGCGGCGAGAAGGGCACTGCCGGCCCGCGATACCGCTGCGAGCACGCCGAGCAGACCGTCGACGAGAACCTGAAGAAGTTCAGGGACATGAGGGACGGAGTTTACCCGCCTCAGGCCGCCTTCCTTAGAATGAAGCAGGGTGAGTTGCCGGGCCCGAACTTGCCGACGACGCGAATTGCGCTGACATATCTTCAGAGTAAGACAGCTGTAAAGAGCACAGAGACGCCGTGTCCCAGCCGCTGATGATTTTTTAGCATAACCGACGGAAACCCTCAGATGTGGGATCTTGCCGCTTACAGGGTTCTCGATGTGAGTCTGATTTTGTACATAGTCTGGTGGCGTATACCTTGACCTGTTCTTCGCGATTGCTGACCTCGAGTTTGTGAAGAAACCTCACTATCGTACCGGCGATACTTGGAAGATTTATCCTACCTACGACTTCACACACTGTCTCTGTGATTCATTTGAGGGCATCGTAAGTGTCTGCGTGCGGGAATGCGTTGACTGGCTCGAAAGTACTAATATGGCGATTAGACACATTCTCTTTGCACTACGGAATTCGGTACGCAGTTCTCAGACTATGCACCACTATCCATCCTTCTCGAATCCTGTCATTGCGGAAATTCCGTACGAATTCCTAACCACATTACGCGTAGTCCAAAGCAGAGTAAGCTACGAATGGCTAAATAGTACACTGGGGGTCTATGAGCCGATGCAGCGGTATGATGGAGCCTCGCGTCAACCTCTGTGGAGCCCAGTCGCTAAACTGCCTACAGCGAATACGGTCGACTGTCGATTAGTGGCACTATCCTCTCGAAGCGCAAGATCCTGAAGCTCGTGTCCGAGAAGATTGTGCGAGGATGGAACGACCCCCGCCTCTTTACGCTGATTGGTATCAAACGTAGAGGTGTCCCCCCGGGCGCTATTCTGGAGTTCGTGAACGAGCTCGGCGTCACCACAGCCAATTCCATCATCGAGATTAAGCGCTTCGACCAAGCCATCCGGAAATACCTGGAACGCACGGTACCGCGGCTGATGCTTATCTTGGACCCCGTCCGTGTGGTCATCGAGGATTCGGATGACTTGGATGGGAAGACTCTCACTGTTCCCTTCAGCCCGAAAGACCCCAAGATGGGTTCTCACGACGTCACCTTCACGAAAACCATTTACATCGACCGCTCGGACTTTCGGGAGGAGGCGGACCCGTCATTCTTCCGCCTAGCCCCTGGAAAGGTGAGAATTGGACTCCCTGAAGGTCCTCGACACGTGCCTAATCTTTCTTACTAACCCCTAACCCTCAGACTGTTGGGCTCCTCCAAGTCCCGTATCCGATCAAGGCGGTATCATTCACCAAGGATGAGGCGACCGGTAAAGTCACCGAGATTCGGGCGGCGTTTGACCGCGAGGTGAAGAAGCCCAAGGCCTACATCCAATGGGTCCCGACGGAGGCGGCCGGCACGCGGAAGGCGGAAGTCCGGATCTACAACTCGCTGTTCAAGTCGGACAACCCGAACGACGCGCCGGGCGGGTTCCTGAACGACATCAATCCGGAAAGCGAGGTCGTCTACCCCGACGCCTTGGTTGAGTCCGGCTTCGACGAGGTCAGGAGGAGGGCGCCTTGGCCGGAGGCGGCGGGCGAAAGCGAGCTCGGGAAGGGCGGCCCCGAGAGCGTCCGCTTCCAGGCGATGCGGATCGCGTATTTCGCGCTGGATTCCGACTCGACCGACGACCGCATCGTTCTGAATCGGATAGTAGCCTTGAAGGAAGATGCGGGAAAGAGTTGAAGTCTTTCCCGAGGAGATCCCCGATACCAACACATGGCCTTCGTCTAGGACGCGATCCCCGAGATTGACTTGACTCGGGAGTCCTGGGGGGAGTTTTAGTTAGGTATTTGCGGGGAATAGAGGCAGATAGAGGTAGCGTTCTTCACCTACAATGCGGCACAGAGCACCAAGCAAAGGAGTATTGGCGTGTGACTAGGAAAAGGGGGGTGGGGGTGAGAGACTATGTGAGGGGTTGCCCGTGTAGGCATGGTGTGGGCGGGAGCTGGGGGATATGGGAGTGTAGAGTACCTAGACGGCGCCCCCCAGCAGACCCCGACAAAGCCCCCCGTTTCGAGAAGGACAAATCCTACCTATACCAGCACACAAGTAACCAAGCACGAAATTCGCTAATCGATGGGCGCACAATGGCGAGTTGGCGGCGATGGCTGTGGCGGTGCGTGATTTGGGCTGAATGCGAGATGAGACTTGCACAGAAGGAGGGCGGCGCTGTAGCGAGAGGCTTTTTCGCCGGTGCCCTCTTCAGTAGCGATGGACCCTCCGCCCTCACCTATGGCTTCCGACGTAATATAATGAGAAATCACCTCAACCAAGGCCACCACCTCCCATCTCTCACCTGTTTTTCTTTTCTTTTCCTTCCATCTGTCTTTCCTTTTCCCCTCTCAGGTCCCCTCTCCTCTCCTCCCATCGACAACTTCTCTTTCTCTTCCCTTTTTCTTTTCTTTTTCATCTTCCACGGGCGGTTCCGCCATTTGCAATGCTGCGCGAGTTCACGAGACGCGCTCGCGGATAGATATACAATCAAAGAGGGCTAGAGGAAGGAGAAGGCGGAAAAGGCCATGGACACGCTTCCGTCGTACGGCGATGCTGTCGCCCGGCAAGACTGGCTGGACCTGGTCGCCCCGTACGTGCCGGTCGCGGACTGGTGTCGGTGCTGTCAGGTCGACCGGCGGTTCTATCGCCGCTTCGCCCCGCGCCTCTGGCAGGATCCCCTCGACGCGGCGCGCCGCCTCGGGTTGCATCCGAATGATGGTGAGTCTGAGCGGGGACGGGTGAAGCTTTTTTCTGCCCCTCCTCGTCTCTGCGTGCTGCCGAGGCCTGGTTGGGTTTTGCGCCGGCAGGGTAGGCGGCGGTCCGTCCAATTGTGTGGCGCAGTGGGTCGAAGCGTCAGCGTGCCCACGACGCCGGGGGGATGTGCGGAACGGAGGTGATGCCAACACCTGAGATACTGGGATTGATTTAATTTCTCTTCATGCGCTAGATTTGGCCTGGTACCGCCGCTTCATCAACAAGCACGTGAAAGCCGTGCGCCGCGACACCCGACGCTACGTGCGCTGTCTAGACTTCCGCCGCTTCGCCTTGCGCGCGTCCGGGCTCTACTCCTCCGACGCCAGCGAGCGCGCTATCTCGGAGAGCTTCAAGCACCTGCCCGAGATATTCCCCGGCCTGATCTGCTTGCTCCTCGACGGCCATCCGGAATTGGATCCCGGGTCGCTGGCGGACAGCACGTACGTGGCGCAGTCGTCTCTGCAGCTGCTCGATCTGGCCCGGTGCCGCTACGAACTTACCCCCAAGCTGTTCGGGTTCGACTTGTTTAGGGATCTGATCTACCTGGACGTGTCGTTCGTGCCTGGGTCCGTCAGGTCCGCCCTCTACGTATCTCTCAACCCTAGGTCGTTGCCGGGACTTCGCGTCCTCAAGGTTAGGGGTCGGGAGATGGACAACCAGACCGCCAGCCTGCTGCTCGAGACGTTCCGCCAGCAGCTATGGAGCCTCGACCTCAGCTACAACAAGCTGAGCGACGACGTTCTCGACGGGGTCGCCGACCACAGCATCTCGCCCTTTACCTTTCACACGGACGCGTACTACGACAAGGACGGAAAGCTGGTATCGTCCAAGAACGTCGGCAGCCGGAAGTACGGGCCGTTCAAATTCATCCAAGAGTCGCAGAATAGCCGCCGCGCCGGATATTTCGGGAGATATCTCGCCGATTCCCCCCTGTACTCCCAGAGATTGGACCAGACCGACCCGCAGGAGTGGGAGGTCGTCCGCCCCGACGGGCTCGCCCCGCTCCGGCGTGACGATGCGGATACGGCAAAAGAATTCCTGCTCGGCGAGAAGGTCGCATATAACAGCACCTGGACACTCTACGGCCAACCTCTGTTAGGATACGGCGGGCTCACACATCTCTACTTGAACGGGAACAGGTTCACGACTTCCGCTGTCGAGAGGCTCCTGAGGATTTCCCGGGGCCGACTGGAGCACTTCGAGTGCGATTCGTGTCTATACTCCCTTACTCGCTCTCAGTTCGGCAGCCGTTCGTTGCGGGTCGGAATTCTGGGATTCCCCGGCTCTGCGCACTTGTTTCGACCGGTTATCTCATCCGGTATCCGCTCCCTACGGATCCATCATTCACTGGTAACGCAGGTTCCGACGGTAGAAATCGATGAGATACCCCCAGCTGAGGCGGCGCGCATCTCGGAAGGGCAGATATTCAAGAACATGCGCCGGATCTACCCGCTAGCTTTTACACCGGATACGAACCCGCGGATCGCGTCGATAACACTCACAAACATCCCAGCGCGGTCCACAGGGCCCGTCATCGAGCAGCTTATCCAGTTTCTCCAGCTCGCGCGCTCGCAGCAGAATGCTATCAAGGAAGCTAGGGAAATGTTTGGCGCCCGCGGCCCCGCGACCCTTCGAGGGCTTCGGCATATCCGGCTCGAGCTAGCCCCCGACTCTTCGGCGGGCGGGGTGGACATCATCTCGGCGAAGGACGACGTCGACTTCGACAAGCTGCTCGACCCCGCCGAGGACAGTTTTTCGCAGGACACGAACTCGGGCATGTCCGACGCCGACGAAGAACCCTTCGGGATCACGTCGAGGCGCCAGAACACGGCCGTCAGCGGCCAGAAACAGCAGGCCGAGATCCGCGGCGGCGTCCCGGTCGACCGCGCGACGAAGGCATCGTACGCGGACTGGAAGGCGGGACGGCTCAAGTCCTATCCTTACTCGAATACAGACTCGGAGTACGTGACGCACCAGGAGGCGGACCCGGCGCGCTCCTGGACGGGCAACGTGTACTCGGTGCCGGTGTGGATCGGGACCGGGGTGCTGGGCCCGGACGCGGCGGCCAACGAGTACATGTGGAACGTGCAGGACGGGCGGCTGCGGGCGGACGTCGGGCCGGCGACGCCGCAGCACGTCGCCGCCGGGGTGCCGCCGCTCACGTACGTCTACCACGCCGCGTGGGACGCCATGGCGGTGCCGCGGAACCTGGCCGTCCCGCAGCCGGCGACGCGCGGGTATTCGTCGTCGTCGTCGGCAGCCGCGAGCCGCCCCGCGTTCAGAGACGTCGCCGCCGCGATCAAGGATTATCGCTTCCGCACGCGCGACACGCCCGATCATTGGGACGGGAAGCTTGAGCTCGCGTGGATGGCGTGATGGGGGGCTAGAGGGCGGACGGGTTGGGCGATACGATTGTTTTACCTACGGTGTCGTTTCTACGGAGACTGGCCTCGAGTGGGCTGCTTTAGAGAATTAGAAACCCAGCCGGGTGGCCAGAGGAGCGTTTCTCGCGGGTTGCCCCTGTCATTGTGGATTTGTAGGGCTGTTGTTTATTTCTGTTGGGACAGGGGATGGGGTGGCGCAATTGCGATAGCTAGATGTCCCCGCTAATGTTATTTCTTCGCGAGATACATCCGTTAATTTCTGCTGGGACAGGGTGTGGCTCCACGGGTCAACGTAGATGCACAACGCACGGCACGTAAATAGATCGTCAATTGCGTTATCTTAGGTTTCTAGTTAGCTCCTCAATCAATCAGGCTCAGCTTCACAAAAAACTCGTTGGCTCGTCGATAACTACTGGTATTGCGAGCCACGGGAAACGGACCAGCCAGGAAGCACAAAGGGATGGCGCATCCGCAATAGTAAGATGTCCCATGGTATCACGCTTATGCTCTTACAGGGTATACGACTGGACCGAGCTACCAGAGTACCTACGTAGTATTCAATACCCGTCTACCTCGGCTGACCCCTGATCTCCCCCCACATCGCCTGTCTCTCATAACTCCGCCGATCTAAACCTCGGTGATCGAGATGGTGGCTATATCTGTAGACAAATAGGGGGTTGGTTGGAGAGATGCGGGCTCTCGATTCCTACCCATCCATGCCAGCCAACAACAACACCTTCATTTTTTTTTTGCACCCGTCCTCACCATATCCGTTATAACCTCGCCATTATAAACAGAACAGAACCCACATATCGAATATTTGCCCACGAGCTCCTCGCGCCGCACCTCTAGCACGCCATGTCCGACACCGCGAAACAAAGGATCGAGGCCCTGGGGAACCAGCTGTCCCCGCCGAAGCCGGCTACTAGCGGCACCCCCTCGCCCGCGAAGGACGCGCAGGCGGCCGACGCGGCGATCCCGGCAGTCAAGAGAGTGGCGGGCCCGTCGGCCGGGCCGCGGCTCGCGGGCAAGGTGGCCATCGTGACCGGGGCGAACTCGCCGCTGGGGATCGGGCGGGCGACGGCGCTGCAGTTCGCGGAGAACGGGGCGCGGGCGGTGTACCTGTGCGACGTGGACGAGACGCACCTGGCGGCGCACAAGCGGGAGATGGAGGCGGCGAGCGGGGGCGGGTGCGCGGTGCACGTGCGGCGGGTGGACGCGGCGGACGAGGCGGCGGTGGAAGGGGTGGTGCGGGACGCGGTGGCGCGGTACGGGCGGCTGGACGTGTTCTTCGCGAACGCGGGGGTGGCGGGGCGGGCGGTGGGGGTGACGGAGACGACGCGGGCCGAGTTCGCGGCGGTGCTGGACACGAACGCGGCGAGCGCGTTCCTGGCGGTGAAGCACGGGGCGCCGGCGATGGCGGCGACGGCGGGCGGGCGGGGCAGCATCGTGGCGACGGCGTCGGTGGCGGGCCTGCGCGCCAACGCGGGGCCGACGGCGTACTCGGCGTCCAAGGCGGCCGTCATCGCCATCGCCCAGACGGCGGCCTTCCAGCTCGCCGGCTCCGGCGTCCGCGTCAACGCGCTCTGCCCCGGCCTCGTCGAGACCGGCATGACGGCGCCGACCTTCGCCGCCGCCCGCGCCCGCGGCACCGAGCGCCGCGTCGGCCAGCTCAACCCGCTCCGCCGCGCCGGCCACGCCGACGAGATCGCCCGCGCCGCCCTCTTCCTCGCCAGCGACGAGGCCAGTTACGTCAACGGCCAGGCCTGGGCCGTCGACGGCGGCCTCAGCGCCGGGCACCCCTTCGTGCCCGGGAAGCTGGCGTAAGCTGGTCGGCGACGGGAGAGGGTTGCTGGGAAGGGAGAAGGGGGAAGAGAGAGAGAGAGGGGGGGGGGGGGGAAGAGAGAGAGAGAGAGAGAGAGAGAGAGAGAGAGAGGGGAGGCGAGCAAGGCGGAAAGAGGGTCGGCGTGACTCGCGCCGGAAGCGAGCAGCCTGTTGCTCCGCACCGTGTCCTACTGCTAGGTATATACACAGGCGACCTATCCACCGAGCGTGACGCACGCAGGGGTTTTTTTTTTTTTTTCAATTTAAAAACTTCTCAAAAAGATAAACAGGGTCCGCCGCCCCCTGATCGTATGCCTGCGACCGTTAGAGCCGTCTACGTATCGGGTTCGAAGTCTGGTCCCGTCCCGGACACAACAAATCCGGCACGGAGTGTGATTGCAGCTAGGGTATCGGCGTGTGCCTTAGCAAATCTACGAGAGCAGAGAGAGCGGCTAGTATCCACTGTCCCCACGCTTTGTTCTACGTGTAAACCCGCCTTCACTACTACCGGTGTTCCCGACGTGCTCTCCGGGTCAGCAGCATCCGGGTTTCTCGTTCGCCTACGATCACGTACCCGGACAGGCAAGAATAGCACAGCACGCGCGTATGTAGGAGCAGGGAATGTGATGCTTGGCCATTAGGAACCCGTCTATTATACAAACCCCCGTCAGGAAGTGTCGTGACTTTGCTTCTAGATGCCACGTTCTATGCTCTATGCATCTACCGCACCCCGGGTCTCGGAGCTAGAGGGAAAAGCCTCCAGGCCCCCGTCGCAAGTGGCACCCTCGAGAGAAGCCTAGGAATCCAGACCGGTGCCGCCGAGTCTAAATGCGAAAGGGAAAGGGCAGCACTTGTCAAAGTCTCCTCCGCACCGAGCTGCTAGGCACACCAACGCTACTGCTGCTACCACGAGCGAGGACGGTGTCGCCCAGCCTCTTCCACAATTACATCGCTCGCTCCCACCGCCCGTCTGCTGCGCCGCCCTCCCCTCCCCTCTCCACCCCAGCCAATGGACGAACCGCTTATTTCGAAATCTCGACGCCGCCGGTCGCGCCGAGGGCCTTCTTCAAGTCGCCGTAGATGGCGAACTGGCCGGCGGTAAGAGTTCCTACGAGGAAGAGACGAGCGCCGATACCGCTAAACGATCCGCGGAGGCCGAGCTCCTTGGCGATCTTGATGAGACGGCTGGTCGTGCTCTCGCCGGGTAGACCCTTGGTCTTGTTAATCTTGGAAAGCATGGTGTCGGCGGGTTGGGAGATGAGTGCGGCAGCGAAACCGGCGATTAGACCAGATCCCAAGTTGACGGTGGTCTGCAGGCCGTCGGACATGTCCTTCTTGGGAAATCGTCGGAAGACGGCCTCGGCGACCTTCTCGTATACGGCGAACTTGGCCATGGTGTAAGGGACCCTAGAGGGAAATCAGCGCGATTTGCGGGCACAGACGGATAGATAGATGCCGACTCGGGTGAGGGGCGCAAAGGAATGACAGCACTTACTGCTTGAAGAGGATAGGGCCGAAGCCGGCGTAGAAGGCGCCGACGCCTTCTTGCGACAGGATCTTGCTGAAGCCGCTGACGAGGCCGCTGGCGTAGGTGGGCTCGGACACGAGGCGGATACGGGTGGCCTCGAGGGGGCAGAGGGCGATGTCGGCAAAGAACTCGGCGCAGGCAGACGAGGCGAGATAGATGGGGGTTCGGTAGTTGGAGGCATTCTCGAGGCCGACGAGGTTGATGTACCGTTGTTTGAAGAACTCGTAACCGCCGAACTTGAAAGCGCCCTGGAGGAAGTAGCCGGCGAAGGTAGGGCCGGCACCGGTCAGAAGGGCGCCGGCACCCTCGTTGGCGATAACCTGGCGGAAACCACCAATCATGCCACGGTTATAGGTGGCCGGGTCCAGCTGGATTCGGGTCTTGACGCTGCACACCGAGCTCGGATTAGCCGACGGGCCGCTAGTGATCCCAGCGCATATCAACATTGCAACGATCCCCGGTCATCCGACCAGCAAACACTGCGATGCGGAAGGGCGACTCGAGGCGGGGCGCAGATTAGGGACAACAAGTTAGGGACCTACACATCGACAGGCGTAAGACCGCCATGAGTGACGGAGCAGCAGATGGCACCGGCGAGGGCGAATCGGGAGTAGAGAGCGACACCGCTCAGTTGAGGGGCGGCGGCCTTCTCGGCGGGTGCGGCGGACATGGTGAAGAGGGAAGAGGAGAAAGCGAAGAAGGAGGGAGTGGAGAGTGGAGAGAGTACGGAAAAGACGACTCGCGAAAGGAGGCTCGGAGGACGGCGATGTGTTCGTCAAGGGGGAGAGGGTGTACCGGCGTTGAGGCTTTTTTTTTTTAGGAACGGGCAAAGGAACAAGTGGTGGATATGTTGGTTTTGTAGTGTTTCGGTTCGAGGACTAGGGGCTGGAGGAGGGGAGGGAACGAAAAAAAAAAAAAAGAATTAAACAATTTGTTCGGGAGATGGCGGAAAAAGTGGACTGGAGGAACTCGTCGCAGAGGCAGAGCCTGATTCGGGCGCTGATTTGCCGATAAGCCCGCCCCAGCCACAGCAGCCTTCTGAGCGTTCGACCACTGAGAGCGACCGGCCTCACATGGCGGATGCCCCGTTCACCCGTGGCTGTGGCTGACACCTTAGATAAGCCTTGCCTTGGCTGGTCGACGGGTCCCCGGCAGTTCCCTTTTTATACAAAGCCGAAGCCCTCCGCGCACCACCACAAGTTATGCCTACATAGGTAGGTGTATATAGTCTTCGTAGTAGATATCTGTATTTAGGTATGCAAATGGGGGAATCCTGAATGAAATGGTCGTTCTTTAAGAGCACCTGTTTTTTCTCTTTTCCTCTTCTTTTAATTCTCGATTCTTTTCACCACGCCCGGCCAAGAGGAGACGGGCTCGGCGTTCCTCACCATTCGTAGGCCGCCGATTCAGCCTTGTACGTAACCCAATCCTCTTCCGAATTGTTTATCGCGGAGGCGGAAGCAATTGTCAGGCGTCTCATTGGTCACGTCGCCCGTAGCTGGCGGGGCCCTTTTCTCGGCGTTGGTGAAGAGGAGAAGCGGGACCCGTCATAATGCAACTTCAGCCAAACCAGATTGTGGCCACTCCTTTTCACAACATGTGTCGCGTAAGAAATCTCACCTACCTGTATAAAACCCAATTCTACAAGTCGTAGAGCGTAGGCGTATACGTCTTACAAAACAGACGTCAATGCAGTAAGTACTAGAGCCTAGCTGCCCTAGGAAGACACCTGAACTAGTGCCGGCTTGCAAGCCGCCGGTCATGTTCCAACTCTGATGCCACATTCACGTGACATACATACATTCGACAACTCAGAGCAGGTCGGCCTTACGAAATTACACTCGCACTTGATCGCTCTTATATTCCCTCTCCCGTAGCTTGAGTCCCGTGTCTGTCAGGGTTAATAATGCGTTGTGGCGGACCGAAGAGGGTTAATAGACGATGAGTCCGCTCTTCCTACGGTACGGCGGTAAGCAGCAAATACCTCATTCGAATACTGCCGTAGAGTGATGTGAGTTATGAGTTGGCGATTGCGTAGTACGCTCGATAAACCTCACCTTAGCCTAAATCATGGTTTGACTGGAGGGGACAAGAACTATCTTAATATTATTGTCGAGTGCTGTTCGCAGGCTTCCTTCAAATCACGTCTCCTAGTATATTACAGTTGATTCCTTCGTTGAAGCGATGTAACAATTGTTCCATTAAGTTGCCAACTAATACTATGCACTGTCCCGCCATATTTCTAAGTAGCTATTAATACAATAGAAGGTACAATTGAAAGAACCCTTCCCGGCCTTCTCCCGGAAGAGAATTCAAAAGGCCCCCATTTCGATACATATTATCCCCATCACCGTGGGTGAATGAGCGCCAATGCCTGCGTGTGAGTCGCCGCCGTCCCCTCGGCCCTGGGGGCATTGGGCTTACCCAGCTCTTATTTAGCAGCGGGTGGAAGAGAGCTCGATGTTGTGGCTGTTGAAATGCTTTCGGCCTCTGGCCCTGAGCACAGTGAAGGCCGAAGTGCCGACTCTAACGCCGCACTCTCCAGCAATGTGCGAGATATCCTTGGCGATGCTAGCGCAGCGCACCTTCTTCTCCTTCTTGAGCTGATCGGCCAGTTGTCAGCGCTGTGTGTCCTCTGTCGAGATGCCGCTTTTTCTCGCACCGGAGGTGAGGGTAAGTAATATTAACTAACCTTGCTGCACAGATACATGCCGCAGTTGTGGGAGCAGCTCACGCGAGCACAACTCCTCGCCTTGGCTCCGCACCACGACTGGCCTAGTCGGCGGAGATAGAGAAGGCCCTCGACGCATTGCGTATTGAAGTTGCCAACATATTTGCCAATCTTGCAATTGTACTAAGCGACGTCACATGTTAGCGATCCTCGCCCCGTCAACGCTGCTTTTGCCGAAAGGTGATGCATGCGGAAGGGCGCCTGGCTTACCTGTCCCCTCTTGTCTAGGTCTCGAGAAGCAAGTAGGGAGCGTGCGGGGTTCTTGCTCGTTTCAATGTCCTCCCTGGTGAGGCCCTCGGCCGCGAACTCCGCCGCATTCTCGGGGAAGGCGAAAACATCGTACTCAGGGTTGAGCTTGATGATCTGCTCGTAAATGCCTTTTGCAGTGCCGTAGAGGGTAACATTGGGCCCTCCAGGAGTCACGGGTCCGATGAATTCCAGAGATGCGACAGTGTCAACATCATTCGGAGCCAGGAGCTCCTCCTCGCCACCGAAGGGAGAGACAGCCCGGGGGTCAACTGGCGTGGCGAGGACCTGGCATGAAGTCAGCACCAAAAAACCCAGAATGATATCAAGTTCTGTCTAGGTACCTTGGAGGCCAGCATCAGCAGAGTGGGGAGTATGAATCTCATTTTGAAGGAAGTGAGGGCGGAGACTCTAAGTGAGAGAATGCGTGAGCGGATGGATGAATGGACTGATGGGTGAATGGAGATGGGACTCTGAGGGTGATGAGGACAGAGACTATGTACGACCTCAAGGCTTCTTATAGAATTTCCTCACAGTAAGACCATACCTCAGACTTATTATTATTAGTTGACTCCTCCTCCGCCTTCCTCAAAGCTAGACTTAGTGGTACAACTAAGAACTCGGCATTAGGCAGCGAGGGTCAAATACGCCTAACAACGTATCTCCTCATAGCTTGACCTATTGGTGGAGTGATACGAAGCTCGACTCTAGCGGTCTTGGTCGAGGATTGCGGTGAGGCGTAAGGATGATAGCTGAGCCGACCCCTGCTCTATACAAGTGCCGGGGTATTATTAACTGGAGAGCACAATCTAGCAATGTATCTATGAGTGGTGTATCTTTCCGCGTCGCATAGGAATAACTCGAAACAGACATACAAATACGTATATGGATTCTAGGAAATCCAAGTTCCCGGAACTTGGTAGATGCCTCTATGATAATACGTACCAGTGCGATGGGTATCAGGTCGGACTAATAAGAGTCGGATTCGGATGTTGCACTCTGGGTGCGAAATGGCGAATTGGGAACCCCACGATCTCAGACGTTCAGCTTCAATACCTACATGCATGAAGCCGTATTGGTCGACCGTATTAGTTACTTGATCCTCCTAGGTTTCTACGAAAGTGAACTTCGAGACGACATGGAACCAAGTTAGCTTGGGGAGCGAGCTGGCTGGCCGTTAGCTTCGGTGGCACAGCGTATTTAATATATTGCAGGGTAAAACGGCGCTTCTACATGTACTTACAGCATCAACTCTCCGATCCAATGACATTCCAATTGTGTGCCATGATATCGGAAAAGGGGGCGTGGCTGGAGAGCAAAAGGCTATTTTGGAAAAAAATTAACCTGCCTATATGCCGTTGATATTATTATGCTCTGCCCCCTAATATAAGGCTGTGTTGCATAGCCTCGTTGTATGAGTATGCATATGTTTATAGAATTTTCGGGTACATCCGACGATAGGGCTCTTCCCTGTTATTTTATCTTGTCCCGTTGTTCCCCCGCGACGTGGTAACATTAACCTGGGCCGGGGTGTGCAGGAAGAAAGCTCTAGGTACCTATTATCACCACTTTACATCCAACAAAGACCAACCCCACGAGACAGCTCGGTATATCACCATGTCCATACACATATGGATACGTAGATATTCGACTATAGCTCGATGAACATTACTTGGTGAAGTTACTATTGTCGATTTTATGTTTACATAAAGTCGATCGAGATAGGCAGCAGCCTTGGCAGACAGCTGTCCAGCCCCGATGGAGTTGCGAAGGATCTTAGTATCGTGAGCCTCCCTCATCACACAACCAATGGTTGCGCCACAGCTTCTAGAACGTCCAATCTACCTCCGATGCGAGAAGTCGGTGCTAGATGAAAATCGACACGTGCCCGTGCGCAGCCGCCCGGGTTCACTTCCTGTCCCGGACTTCGCACGCAGAGGCTCACGGAGCGTAGATGCCGGCGAGTGAAGTATTAGCACGAGCAGCCTAGCTCGTTTTCCCTCACCGCGGGTTGCCTCCCGCTCTTCCATGCGTCTCGTGCGCGTGTCGATCTTGCTTGCTACAAGATCCCGGCTATGCGTGAGCTGCGTAGATCCATGTAAGGCTTGGGTTTCCGCAAGCTTATATTGTCTGATAAGAGTGAGGGTGCTATTGTGCACCCATCGTGAGCTCGTGTATAGGACCACCTGAAAGCGGCCTCTCAGCTCAGCCTACTTAACGACGGATACTTGGACGGCCACAATGCCAGACCTTACGATAAGCAATAAGGTACCGACAGTAATTGTCAAGCTTGAGGGGCGGTTTTGCTAGTGGCGGGCCACTCCATCCCTCCAGTATTCTGCCAGGGAAACACATGAGCCTGTTTGGGCCGCCCAGGCCGCCGATCACGCTGCCAATACTAACCCAGCCCCTATAATTTATGCCCACTACCCACATAACCCCGGCAGCCAACGATCGGTTATATACCTACTAGCGATACCTTGCTCCCGCCGAGATATATATAGCGGCTTGAGTCTTCCCACGTATTCCTGGAGCGGGGGGTTCATCTCTGTTCTATCACAGACTAATGGCTATTGGAAATTCTGGACGCCGCCCCATAACCCCATTTGGGTTTGTTTAAGTCCTACTCACTGTTCGCCAAGCGTACCTTATGGAAGCCTACGCCTTCGCGTGACATGGCACCAGGAAGACTCGTTTGAGACCCAGATCTCGTGTGTCTAGGGAAAGGGGTATAGCCAACAAAGCTGAGTATCAGGCGTAGAACTCTCGCTCCGTCGATCCACGTGGTCAGCCTTATTGGACAGAGACATTTAGGCGATGCGTTGTATCTGAAGCACCCCGGGGTAGGGGCAGGCCCCATGCCCCGGATCGAGCACCCGAACGTTTAACGCACCCCCATTGAGCTAACCTCTGGCTGTCACTCAGCGTTGTGATGAGGCCTGGGGGAATTCTAATCGAACGTGTCCGCCGAAAAGGCCTCGGCACGCTGTTGTGGACACCGGCAGTATGATTCTCGTCTGATGTACTCTAGGCAATACTGGCTGCAGCGGTAGAGAACCTGCCATGTCGTGTTAAGATATATTAGGCGAGTTAGGTAGGCCCCCCCCCCATCCTCCGTATTAATAGATGAGTATTATCTATGCGGTATGCTTGGGCACATCCCATCGCCGCCTTATATGCCCGCCTACTGACCGTATCCTAAGGTGGTTCCGGGTACCCCTGAGAGAGTTTATCATGATCGGTGCGATACAGCAAGGTTAAAGCACTGCTCTGGCTCCCACCAGACCCGTCTTCGATGTCGTCGTTGTGGATAGCCTATACGACAGGATCTTGTCTCGTGCCTCTCCGAATCCTCGCGGTCTTTCTGCGCAGGGCACGATCAGGAAGCGAGACTTGCTGATTGGGTACCGATTAAGTGGTTCGGCGTTGCTTTCGTTGGTGTGGTTGAAGATGAATTGTCGTGGCTCATACTCTGTGATCCCGGTCTGCTGTGCCCATCTACCCTCTAGCGAAAGAGAAAGCGTCACGTAGGGAATCCTACACGCCTAAGCCTGCATATCCGCGCGAAGGAATGTAACCAGCGTCTATGCCACCGTGTGTTAGAAAAGGAGAGAGGCTGCGCCGCCAGTGCCCAGATTCACGCGTTATCCATGATCCCCAAAACGGCATACGCAGGCAACCAGGCCGTGAAGAGAGGATCTAAGAATGCGATGCGATGTTGTGGATGGCAGATTAGCCGCTGGGTGCCCTGCTAGGAGAATCTGCTAGGAGAATCTGCTAAATACACAGGTACCTACTATGTAGGTACCTATGTGCTCACGTGACCACACCGCACGACACCAGCATATGCCCCCTAACCCAGGAAAACCTCGCTTGCCACCTCTTCTCCTTTTCCGATCAGAGGTCTACGCTCAACATCTATATCCTCATCTTTGATGGGATAACCTGCCTGAGCTGGTGATTTCCCTCACGTAGTCTCAATACACTTACATGCCACCGGCGCGACATCAAATTGGAGTGCTAGCAGTGCGGCGAGGGTCATGTTTTCCGTGTCGACAAATGCCGACCCGGACAAAGGACGTGGCCGCCGCCAAAAGCGCGCAGTGCTGCTGTTTGGCTTCTTCCGACCTAACCTCGATACGGAACGTAGGTACGTGGTTGAAATCCCTAGCATCGTGATTCTATACAGGGAAATCGGTACTGGGATCGCAGGCTTGCTACCCGTCTTGAAAAGAAGTCCGTCTGCCCGTTCATCTGCCCGCACATCTCCGAGCAGCATATGTGGCCCAGGGTCCGCGGTGCGGTAGAGAAGGACTCCTTGAAGTTACTGAGAAGCACAGGGTAGGATTCTCGAATGCTGGCCAAGTCGATGCAGTCAACAATGCCCCCTCTGTCGTTTTCGGCACGCTCCAGGGGTGAAACCTGCTGGCGAACGTTGGCTACGATATGACTATCGGAGAAGACGTGATAAAGGACCCGTAGCGCATAACACGCCGGATTCCTCAATTCAACAAATGTGTTGCCAAACTCCCCGCGCACCATATCTGCCGGGGTGAGGCCGAATCCCGATAGCGCTCGTGACGTTTGAATACGGGTAAGTCTCGAGACTGTGTAGTCTCTCTTGTGCTTAGAGCCGATCACGGCGGCAGTAACACGCTCACGTGCACGAAGGGGTTCAGGGAAAGGCAGCGGGGCAGACGGAGAGACACCCGATGCTATAAAGCCAGACTTGAATACCCTACAGCCGTTGTTAACAAACCCATGACGATGTTTATTTCAGGATAAAAATGCATAGAAGGTGGTCGAGCATCTAGAGCAACTAGGCGGGGACGACTGTGTAGCTTGCTCTATTTAAAAGGAGGGGCTAACCTTAGGCTGTCACCTAGGACATCTCGCCACTGCACAAGGTTAGCTGGCGTAAGGCTGAGGTGGTATGCTAGGTAGCAGTAGGCTCTATGCTCATACCGTGACGATAGCCTCTTCGGTTTGGTAACTTGCCACCCCCCCTTATTTAAGGAAGTGCTCTGGTGTGGTGCGCCAGCATCTGCTTGGGGTGCGTACCTCAGCCATATTATTTATTTTTTATATATGACGAACATGGGTTAGGGTCAGAGATTTGTTGCGTCAAAACGTAGACGCCTACATTTTCCGGCGATATAGGCTTTCGAGGGCTGATTTCTTGCGTGACAAGATTTAACAAGTTTGAGGCACCGTAGCATATGGCCTGCTGAGCGCTGGCCGTTCCACACGCCCGTTGGCGCGGCCGGTAGGTACCGGGAGCAAGGATTGCTAATCCCTTCACTTCCGCGTAGGAAGCTATAGTGACAAGCCTGAGTTATCATATACGGAAGTGTAGGCACATACTCTTTCCTGCGATGGCCATGTACCATCGGCGCAATCACCACCCGTAAATATTCCGTCTCTAGTGGTGAGCTTGATGTACCCAGGTCGCAGGCGCTAATAATAATGCGCCGGTAGCCATACGAGGAAATAGGGCCTGTGTTCTATTCGAGAGACACCTTTACAGTGAGGTCCGCTCGAAAGTGTGTGGGTTTCGTAGGGGACAATTTGTCGCCACAACAGTCACCTTCACGCCAGATGGCATAAATAGGGGTTTCTGTGACCGCAGAGGGTTAGTGGGACAGTGAAAAGAAAATGACTCGCGTAACAAAGAACCGGCACTACCAACGGCTAGAAATGTCGATGGGGAAATGAGTGAGCGGAAGGGGAGTAGGTGAAGGGGAAAACCGTAATACCTAATACCTACTGCACTCCAAGGGAAAGCGGGAGATATTTCACCCAACGTGACGAAACCTTCAGTTACTGCTGGGTGTGTACCCACAATGCCTTAAACCAATGTTACTAAACCCTCCTATATCCAGGCCCTATCTATGAAACTCCAACTAGAAGAGAAATATTTTAGATAGTTGAACTTGACATTGCGCACGGCCCACTCCGACGGGATCCGCAGACCTTGAAACCCCCAGTTTTCCTGAGTTGCGCCGTGTAGCCCCTTTTTAGGATAGTCTAGACGTGAATTTATACTGCTATGTCAGATAAACAACTACTCCGTGGCTGGAGTTACCGAGGGAGCAATCATATTCCAGATTTGTTTCACTCGCGCAGGATATAGGGGAATTATTAAGTGCTGTTAATTCATCTCACACTTATGCGTTCCGTTCGAGAAGACTTCCCCGATAATAGCACTGGGACCATGCAAATGGAGAAAAGTGGAATCATAGAAAGGGGTATGACCGTAACGCGGACCTATATCGATTCGCGATCGCTTTGGTAGACAGGTAGTGATGAAAAGACTACCACTAATAGGGACTGGTGTATATTCCTGTCGTTGTTACCGCTTGATCATGAGTTCTCTATTCGTAATCTCTCTCTCTCCTAGATTCATATGAGAGCTACGTCATATTCTCAACCTAGGCTAGGATGTTCTAGCGCGCACATATAGTAGGGGAGAGGACAATGGCGGTGATACGCAAAAAAAAAACCCCTGTTTATCTAGGAGCGTTCAACGAGGACGTAAGTGTGGGGGGTCGTGTGAGACCCAAACCAGTCTGGCTCGCGATACCCTCTTGACCCAGACAGGAAAACCAAGCAAGCTGCTTTGGCTTGGCCAAGTTAAGTATCATAAAAGAGTTAGCAGTGGGTATCCAACAGATGATTCAAGATAGACCGACTAGGGACTGCTTGTAAGGTCATGATACCGTTGTTGCCGAATATTGGGCAGGTATGTACCCAAGCTGGTATGACTTGGTGCCCCTCTCGAATCCTGGCCACACCAGGGTTGTGTGTAAGCTAACCTGCCCCTTCACGGATCACCCCCTTCACGGACCGGTTTTTTTTGTATGGGTTCACGGTGTGTGAGCAGGTGGAGAATATGGTCGGATACTACTATAACTGTTGAGTAACGAATCTAGAACCGCGTAGAGGATAGTAGATAGACTACATGGGGCCAGGTCACGCGGAGGCAGATGAAGTGAGTGAATGGATCGGTTGCTTGTGGGCTGTTGTCGTCAAGTCTCCTAGACATCACCTTCGCTGTCCTCCCCGACGGATACTACCCCGGGTCGGAGATTCCCCTCCTCGATGGGACGAATATCTTTGCACGACGGCGAGCAGGTGCCGCAATAGACGACGCAGCAGCTGACACAACTTGGCCTACCATCGAGCCGCGATGCCTGATCTTGCGTCGTAACCAGATCCCTGGGACAGTAGCGGACCCGGTACGTTGGGCGCAAGAAGTACGGGTGTGACAACGCCGCCGAGTATCTGGTGTGAGAATACCATGTGGGGATCCCCTCAACGCGAAAAGGGGGAAAACACATAAACACGGGCGTGGTGTGCACCTGGCTGGCCATCTATCATGTCTTTGGTAACCTCTTGGGTAGCCTACCCAGACCTACCCTTAGGTTCCCGGGAGGTTATCACCTGAGGCGCTATTCCTTATACCTATATTGCATAGGTGCATGCACACATAAATGTACAATAGCCATATGCGAGGCTGTGGCGGAGATAAAATGTGTCTAGTCTGTTTCGAGGCCTCCCAGGGTGATTATCCAACTATTCGGTATTACTACTCTACGGCGGAATAATCTAGTTGAACTAGCTAGCTGTCTTAGGTAATGGCGTCGTCTCTCTCCCTTCCCTATCACCTCCACTCTAATACTACATACCCACGATAGGTACCCAAGGTAGACCAGCTTCGACGACCCCATTTATGGTGTATACCTAGAAACTACCGCGCTCATGTATCTCGGGAGGGATGTCGTTTCTTCTCTGCATAGCTCGGGACCGCTTCCGAGCCTATCAACGGTGCGGCCCCTCGGCGACACGACGAGGCCGTTGTGTCTAACACCATGTGCTACCCTACTACGGACAGCCAGTAGCACCCCTAGACCATGACCAGGGAGGGTGGACGGTTCTGGGCATCAGTGGAAATCATGCCATCCCAATGCCACGTCCGACATTCAACCGCTCACGATGTCTCTCTCTCGGGAGCTTGCCGTAGCTCCGCTCCGCATCGCATCGCCTGCCTCCGAGGGGCATTTGTCCCATATACGACCGAGAAAAGCCCAGATTCTCTAGGCTGGCAAGGGATACCCGGTGACCACCTCAATTTGATGCTGCCGAGCATCCAGAAGAGCAGGACACTGCAGGCGGAGTGGGATCAAATGGGGGAAGTTTCGCCAGCATTTACCCTTCTTTGCAAGACGAGGGCGACTAAAATTCCATACTCGGCCGAACTAGAAGATGGTGCCTTGGGTGTGGCCTGGGGGACACGGTGCACTCCTTGCTTGGGCGCGCGCCGATCCTGGCAGGATCTCCCTCTATGAATCTAAACATGCATCGCTGGTGGAGGCAAGCGGCGTTCCAGTCTTTAACCAACAGTGATTCCCAGCCCCTGTATTCGCTGCGTTCCCGGCCAAGGCCAAGCTTCTCCCCAAGCCATCTACGCCCTCGCAACCATTCGAGAATGAGGAGACGTACCGACACAGGCTGTCCCATTGGTGGGCTTTCCCACTCGGGTAACAACCCCGGATAACCCCAGAGTCATTGGGGTATTGGGGTTGAACCCACGGGGACAGCATGGGCCGGAGGAATGGCGACGCTTCGCTTGATAATCCGCACCGGGCTACCGTCTCAATGCCTACCGAGCTCTGTGTGTGTGTAGATGTAGCCTAACCCCTCGACAGGAGACGCAGATACGGGTGCCTGGCTGCGGGGGCCTGAAGCGGTGGAATTGTCGATTCCTTCCAACGTTCGATCGAAATGTTCAAGGATACGAGCCGTGTGGCGTGAGACACGGGCGTCTTCGTCAACCAATGGGCCGCCCAGCTCGGACAAAGGAGCGCCCACAACGACTACTACAACGACGACTTCTCGCCCTGACGTCTGTTTTCCTAACCCCGTCTAGGCTGCCCCTTACCTCCACTGCTAGACCACGAAAAGACTAACTGATCTCGGCTCTCGGGCTAATTGCGGTCTCTTCATCTCCATACTCCACAAACTCGAAGCACGACAGGCCTCCCCCACGTAATACTGACCCCAGTCCCCGGTCCCCAGTTTCCCTAGTAGGCTGGGGATATATTTGTGCGGCACAGTCGAGCACTGCGAGCGTGACTGGACTTGGGGAGAGACTGAAGCGACTACCCGACCCAGCTTGGGACGACATCGAATGCGTATATGTAGCACGACCCCGTTCTTTCGTCTGGCTGGAAATCCCTCCGTCCTGTTATCTAGTCTTGCAGTCAGCATTTCCCACCTCGACCCCCTTACACTACAGAAAGCCTCGGGGCTGCGTCCTCGGGCATTTTCGTAATACAGGATGGGCGTCAAAGAGTTTCTGAAGAAACGGTCTCTGCGAGCGCCCGACGACAGGCGTACGAAGGCGGCTGAGCTCACGTTGCGAGAGTCGCTATTTCCGATATGCCTCGTTACGGTCCTATTTTTCCTTTGGGGATTTAGTTATGGTATGTGGCAATAGCGCATGGCAGAGGAGACGAGTGCCGGGCTTCCCGCAGACCAAGTCGAAGGCTGGGCTTTTGCTAACGTCGCCAAGGCTTGCTCGACACCCTGAACAAGCACTTCCAGAACACCCTTGACATTACCAAATCGCGATCCTCCGGCCTCCAAGCCGCCTACTTCGGGTACGTCTAGCTCGCACTAGCCATAGAGGACGCGCACACGATGGGCCGTCGCTAACACTCTAGCGTAGTGCTTATCCTCTGGCTTCGCTCGGCCACGCGAACTGGATCCTGCGCCATTTCGGCTATCGAGCAACGTTCATATGGGGTCTCTGCTTGTACGGTATGTGGCGCTCGCCAGAGCGGAACGGATGCGTCTAGTCTGACCAGATGTCGTGTTATAGGTATCGGGGCCCTGATTGCATTCCCATGCATTCTGGCTAAGTCATTCGCCGGCTTTTGCATGGCTATTTTTGTAATCGGTAATGGCCTCGGTTCCCTGGAAACTGCCGCGAATCCGTACATCACCGGTGAGTTGAACATGGATCCCCATATTCCCCCTTCCCCTTCCGGTCCGACGATGAGAGGGTTGTTACTGACACACGCGATTCGGCTGAACAGTGTGCGGCCCGCCACGGTATGCCGAGATTCGCATCAACCTGTCGCAGGCATTTAACGGAATCGGCACCGTCGTAGCCCCCGTGCTAGGCTCGTACGTCTTTTTCACCTTCGACGACGAGACGGCTCTCAGGAATGTGCAATGGGTGTACCTAGCGATCGCCATATTCGTATTCGTCCTCGCCTTTGCCTTCTTCCTCTCCGACATTCCCGAGATCACGGACGCCGACATGGCCTTCCAGGCGTCCGAGACGCACTCCAACGCCGACAATCAGTCGTTCTGGAAGCAGTACCGCTTGTTCCACGCCGCTTTCGCGCAGTTCTGCTACACTGGAGGCCAGGTCGCAATCGCCAGCTACTTCATCAACTACGTGCGCGACACGCAACCGTTGGCAGACGACGCGACGGCGTCGCGGTTCCTGGCCGGGGCGCAGGGCGCGTTCGCCGCGGGGCGGTTCTTCGGCGTGTTCCTGATGCGGTACGTGCGGCCGCGGTGGGTGTTCCTCGCGTTCCTGACGCTGTGCGTCGTGTTCATCGCGCCGTCGATCACGCAGCACGGGTGGACGGGCATGTCGATGCTGTACGTGACCATGTTCTTCGAGTCGATCTGCTTCCCGACGATCGTCGCGCTCGGCATGCGCGGGCTCGGGCGGCACACGAAGCGCGGGTCCGGGTGGCTCGTCGCGGGCGTGATGGGCGGCGCCGTGGTGCCGCCGCTGACCGGCGTCGCGGCCGACGCGCACAACAACACCGCCTTCTCGATGGTGGTGCCGCTCATGTTCTTCGTCGCCGCGGCGTCGTACGCCATCGCCGTCAACTTCGTCCCGGCGTACCGCGACCCCGCCGACGCCTTCTCGACGACCGAGCTCGGGCTCACCGGGGCCAGCCACCACGAGGACGAGGAAAAAGCTGGCGCCGCGGGCGTCGTCGTCACGGACGAGAAGCCGGCGAAGAAGGAGGTCGAGGCGTAGGGGTCTTGGCAGGGTTCTTCTCTGGGACGAGAGGTGGCGAGTTACACGTGTGGTTTATTCAAGGGGGTCTACGTGTAGTCTGTTTTATCAAATGCACGTCTTCGCCCTGGGCCCTGGCGCTCGCCACCGTTGTAGTGGAATGAGCACAGGGTTGGCGTTGGTATTAGACAGTTTCTCGAAGCCATGCCGTGAAAGGACGTGCGCGTGCGCCCGTACCGTGCCCGTGTGCGATGCGCTGTGCGATGTGATGTGCTCGTGCGAGGGGATCCCGAGGTCTCGAGCAGACGAACACAATCGGTACCTGAAGCCGGGCTGGTCGATGTACCTACCTACGTTGCTGTTACTCGGGACCTGTCTAGCCTCCGCGCCACGACATATCTAGAGCATAGGTAGGTTATACCTACCTACCTAACCTACTGCTTCTGTTTGTCTGTCTGTCGGTCGGTGTACACATGCATGCGTCCCGGCCCGCCGCCCCCAGCCCTCCCATGTAGGCACGTCCCGCATGCACTGCCCGTAACGTGCATGCGGACGGTGGGTTCCTGGCGGGACTTTCCGGAGGGTTGAGCCGGGCACACCACATGCACCTAGGTACATATAATACCCGGGATGTAGGTGCATATGTGTGTGTGTGTGTGTGTGTGTGTGTGTGTGTGTGTGTGTGTGTGTGTGTGTGTGTGTGTGTGTGTGGATATATACGCGCGTCGGCGAGGTCTCGATCTCGGTCGGATTCTTGAGCCGCGGGACAGGAGGTGTGGGTGGGTGGGTTCGGTGGGAACGACTTCTCCCACCGTTTTGTAGGTACACGGACGGATTGCCTGCCGGCACACGCGCGCATTCGTATAGGCGCGACATCATCTCCCTCCCTCTTGCTTGCCCACCCAAGGTCCTCCTGGCGAGGTTTCGCTCCTGCGCTCCACGAAGTAATATGCGCACATCGCGAAACCCGAGACGACACGATTAGTAGCACGAGAAGAGAAAACGCGTCTCGTCTGTCTATTACAAGAGCAATGTACGCTTAGGTTGGGTCAGGTAGTTAGTGTAGTTACTCCCCCCCCTCGCCCGTTGAACTATCGACGAGAAAACCCCCATCAGCTCTCCCGGGCCGTAGGTTATGGGCGTAAGACGGGATGGAACAGAACCCCGATCAGTTAGTAGGTATTTTCCACCTGCGCCTTACACATATCCGCCATTCCACCATTCCCCTCTCATGATGCTGCCTAAAGAAAATCCGCTCGAAGACGCGAGAACTGCGAGGAATCCTGAGCTCGCGTTCCGTCCGCTCCGAGACAACCCCAAAAGAGAAAGAAGTACGCCCAGTCGCCGTGAGTCTACCCCCGGCTACTCCTACCTCGATCACCGCCCCGACCGGTCATCATCCCCGGGCCCGAAGCGCGTAGAAAGCCCCGCCCAGACGGAGACGAAACGGAGGAAGTGGTAAGGGATAAATAGAATGGCGTGGGCGGAAGCCAGTCTTAGGGGGGAGAGGGGGGTTAGGTATATGCCGAGTGAATACTATGTATCCTCCAAACTCCTCCTGCTCCGGGAATAAGTCAGAGAAAGAAAAGGAGAAAAGCCCGTGCAGCTACGATAGCCTCCAAGAAGGTCTCCAGATTAACCTCGGCGTTGGCCCGATTCCAGCATTCTCCCGTCTTCTTCAAAAAGACGCCGATCGCCGAGCCTGGCGACCGCGGTGCCCCCGGTGCCTACAGGAAAGGTGTCCCCAGAGAAATGGCTAGATCCCGTCTATATAAACCCGCGATGCTTCCCAAGCATCTAACACTTTTCATGGCGCCGCAGAACCTCTCGCGCTACTGGCTTGCGTCTTCCTAGGGATACCCAACGGGTGCGCTATTGCTGCTCACCATCGCCCCTGTCTCCCTGAACGATTCTGTTCGATGGCCCGTAGTACCCGTGAATTTCGCTGACCTCGTTCACGGTGCCTAGCGGCGGCGGCGGGCCCTCGCCGCGCGTCCGTGAGGCGCTGGACGCGTCGCTCGTCCACCTAGCGTGGCCTTTAGACCAGCCGCCGATGCTCCCCGACCGCCGCCTCGCCGCCTCGGCACTATCGGCATTACTGTCTAACTCCGATCGACCGTGATTCCCGTCGGCGCTGCCGCTCACCTCGCTCGCGTTGCCAATGCTCCATTTACGGCCATGTGTGCGTGTCCTGTCGGAGTCGACGCTAGTCCGTTGCGCGAACGGGTAAGAGTCCTGGCTCGACTGCCGGCCATCGAATCCATGAGAAGGCGGCAGCTCGGAAGCATACAAAGGCCACGCCGGTGGTGGTGTTGAGGGGCCATTCGGACCGTAGAAATTGGGCGTCTCGGACCGAGATTGCGTACCGTTGCTGGATTCGGATCGAGCGCGATAATGACCAGTGCGGGCGATAGAATCCACGTCTGTGCCGTCGATTTCCGAGATCGTGGTTTGTCCGAAAGCCGATTTCTGAGAGGGCTGTTGACCGCTAGAAGATTCGTGCCTAGACTCGACCGCGGCCTGTGCGGCCAGCTCTGTCTGTTTGAGCCGGCGAATGATAAGTACGGCGGCGACAATAACGACGATCAGCAAAACGACAACACCGCTGATGATGCCGCCCAGCTGGCCCGGCGTGAGGCCGCCATCGCCACCACCAGACAGTTCGCCGGTCTCGATCGCGGGTAGCTTAGCGATAGTTGTGGCAACTACTTTCGGCACGCCCGCAGGGGCAGCCGAAGAGTCTGACGGATTCGGGCCCTCCGTAAAAACCGACGTTATCGAGGTTATCACCGTAATCTGGTCTCCGTCTGAGTTGGTTGTCGTCACCCTTGCGCTGACAACTTGGGTTGTAGGGTCGGTATGATAACAGCTCCGCATGCCGCACGCCATAGTAGCCGGGCAGCAGCCACCCCCCAGAGAACTTGCGCATGCCGAGTAGGACGCGGGGCAATTCGCCGGGTATTCTACTCCAAGAGGCGGCTGGCAACGGTCCGGGAGACAGGTCCACCCTACCGGACAGCAAGTTCCTAAGCAAGCAGGTCGTATTAGTATAGCTGGTGGTTAAGCAAGCTTGAGTATGGGCCGAGATTCTTACCAGCGCCAGCAGACAGTGGGCAGTTGTAATATCCTTCTTGGCCACAGGCGGTTGTTGGTCCTGCCGTCGTGGTGTAACAAAACGAAGCGGCGCAAGCATATCCTTGAGGACAGCATCCACCCTCTGCAGACACGGGACACAACGTCCAATTCTCCTGCTGACACGAGGCCTCGCGCTTTGGATGACGGAACAGCTGGTAGTCCTTTTCTAGCTGGCGTGCTTGGTGTCTGTTGTCGTGAGCAGCGACCGATGTGCGAGCCAGGAGCGCCCAACCGGCCAGTCGAATCCAGCTCGAGAAACTCCAAGGCTTTCCCATATTGGGGATTATACTAGACCCCTCCCTCGTCGATGCGCAATCGAAAGCCTGGAGGCGGTACGCTAACGCGCGGCAAAGCTTGCTGGGTAGCGAGCCTCGTTGCTTCTTGTGATGGCGGAAGAAGTACTCGGGCGCCGTACGCGATTTTCTTCAGCCCCCGAAATTACCTCCTTGTGGATCACATATATTCCACGGCCGTCTTTGCGAGCGCATAGAGGTTCGGGATCGCAAACAAATCGCGGAAGCAGTTGAAGTTGGAAAATCCGAGCAAGTTTGCGTGGGGGGGTGTAAGAAGAGAGGACCATGTTGGTATCGGGCTCACGCTAGCAGAAAATGACCTGACGAGCGTAAGCACTATTAAAACCAAGCGGTGGTGGATGGTGGCCTACTACGTACGGGCTGAGTCTGAAAATAGCACGCTCTACCTAAAGCTTAAGGACCGAGATGCCCCCATCTAGACAATGCTTGCGGATACACGGTGTGTGGAACCCATAGGATGGAACCGATTGGAACGATGCGCAGATTCGGAGGAGGCACGGTCTTCGGGAAGGGTTACCTCGAGTGTTGGCGAAGGGGTTCTACTTCACGCCTCCCTCTGGCCGTAGCCGTCGGCTCCCAGCATGCTACGAGAGACAGGGGTTATCACCAACTGCAGCGACGAGTTCCAGCAAATGCAGCGCGCGATAGGCTCGGACGGCCTCAGCCATTCAGCTGGACGAGCGACTCTCGTAGGTGTAACGACAGCTACGTGAGTTCCATGGGCGGCCCCCAGAGAGGGGTAGGTCCTGGGGGGTGACGAGGTCGGCTTCGACGGTCTGTGATTGGGTCGAGGGCGAACCCGGCAGAGATGGGTTGCCCGCTCTTTCGAGCCGGTACGACGCCGCTGTCTTGCCTTAGGTCTCGCGGATATCGCAGGCACCCTGGGTATGTCGAATGCATGTAGCAGCCAGTGAGTGGTCGGGCGTGAGATAGGCTACGCTGACAGGCTCTCACCGACTCGACCGGCATTGGACGCCCCGACGACGACGAGCCTAAGCACATAGGTAGGGAGGGAATAAGAATAGATTGGGGCCCGGGGTGGATGTTTTGCGTGCCCCACCCGGCGGCGATGGTCTTGGATGGAGGCGAGGGTGTTCTATGACTTGCATGACGCCGTCCGATCCTTGCCTCCTCCATGTGGTGAGGCCGGAGGGAAGAGCTCGTGGGGGGGAGAGCGCGCAACAACTCGTCTCGACTCTTTCGGGTTTCCATACCTACCACCTCGGCGGGCAGTTCTCGAAGCGGCACGCGGGAAGAGGTGATTATGTTGTAGGTAAGAGAGGAGGGGAGGAGAAGGAGGAAGAGAAATACCTAGGTAGCCCAAGTGGTAATTTGACTCTTCTCCCGACTGACCAGGCCAGGTGTGATTACGACAGAGAAGGGAGCGAACGGGGCGATAGGGATGAATGGGTGGGTATTACCTCAGCAATGTTCGTGGTAACCGTCCACTGCAACCTTCGTGGCCTCCTCCTCGTGCAACCAGGTGTATGTAAGTACCTAGGTACCTGCCTTATCTGTTATCGTGGGCCTAGTCACCTAGGTACCTCTATGGTAGGCACCTCGGGCCCCGGCGGGGGCTGTAGGAGTTACCTCCGCTCACCTCACTCACACCTAGCCTCCGGTAGCCTCGGTACAGCTAGTTTGATCCTATAACGGCCTGTCTATCGCGATTGACAGGCGTTTAGGCGATACTATCCTACCCCACCAAATCAACGGCGGACCGTCCGACGGTCCAAACGTACTGCCCACCGCTACTACGTTCGGCGTGCGGACGATGGCAGCATTTTTCGTGGCCTCGCGACGTACGACGGACGTCAAGACGTAATGGCATTCGTGCCCACGCCGCATACCTGCTTACTATGTACGTAGTATGTACGCAGATGGTGATCGAATGGGGGAGGTTGCTATTATTATGCCTGCCTAGGCGCCCCGAACACAGCCTACCGCCCGGCCTCCGGGAGGGCAGTCGTTGACTGCAGGGAAACTTGGGTACTTCGGTAGACCAATAAACAGTATATGCGAGCCCAGACAATTCGGAGTGTTCCGCCGTATTTCCCAGCCACGCCGATATTATCCCACCGTATATAGTAGGTACCGTAGCCCTCTGCGAACGCGAGGTTGTATAGCCATGTCTAGGCGAGCAGCTGAGTTAGCTCGTAACTCCCGCGTCTTAACTCTTTCTTGTATGATATCACTACACACTACCTATCCACAGCGTCTTTCCGCCGGCCCCCCCTGAACGCGACTAGATAGAATTAAGTGCCCATAGCTGCCTGGACTCCCCTGGTCCGCGGAGATCAGCTACTACGACGTCCAATCTGCATGGCCGACCCAGTATGCGCCCAGGCGGTACGCATGAGAAGAAGTCGGCGGGCGGACAGGGGAGTAAGACAGCGAAGCCCTCGAAACCAGGATAGACAAGGTACCTAAGGTAGTACTCCTACTCCTCCGCCTCCGTCTCTCCCCTCCCCCCCGGTCCCCTCTCCCCGTGCTGCCCTAGCCGCCGTCCCTGTCATCTGGAAAGCGAGGTTGCAGCCTAACCCCGCAACTTGTACCATTCCTACCACTGGAACCTGCACGCCCTACCCGCACGCACACCAGGATACGGAGAGCAGCGCTCGTGTTTACCTAGGTAACTTCCTTGGGTGCATGCCTACCTCCTACCGAGGTACCTAGGCAGTTATCTAGGTGTAGGTACCTAGGCTGGCACCTGAGGTTGGAGGTACCTCCCCTCCTATGAGGTACCCGTATGAGGTACTTTCTCGGCCACGCGAACATATACACCCGCACCTCAGGTACCCCGCGTGGGCACCTCTTCCCGCCCTTCCTCCATACCTCTTCCCCACATCGAGGTCTTTCGCTAGAGGGTACCTCCTTGGTAAGTATCTAGGTACCGACTTACCATGTACCCACATCTCCTAGCGACAGGTAACCTTGGGCACTTCCCTACAGGTACGGGCAGGTACCTAATGTACTGCCATTGCGACTTGGCCCGCCAGCCATTTCTACTACTATACCCTCTTACCCCCTTACCTGAATCTTCACTTTTCCCACCATATACCGCGGCCCAGCAACCTACCGCCAGCCGACTTGTCTTCTCCTCACGCTGCCCTCGAAGCCTCCTCTCGTGGTTCCGGGTTTTGCTCTCTACCATCCCAAATGGCCAACGTGATGGTCGCTTCGTCCGTTTCGGAACCTGTCTCCGCTCACCGTTCCTTCGACCAGGGCCAAGCTTGGTCCACACCTTTCTCCATAATGTCACGATGATAGCCGAGAGATCCTAGACTACCGGCCGGCTCGCCTTGCCCATCGCCCCATCCTAGATTTTTCCATGGTCCCCGCTGCACCTTTTCGTCGAGCTGCCAGGAATCAAATTCCCTTTGCTCGCCACCCTTCCTTACCATGATCTTTCCAATTGCTTTCCAGTCGCGATATTAGGCGTGGTTGAAGCCGCAAAATTCTACTCCCAGCGACGCCTCGATCGTCGGATCTTCCGGATGTATCGCTCAGCTTGAGGGGGCAACGGGGTCCGTCTCGTCTGCGCCGTACCTTAACCGCTCGGAAACAAATACACGACACGATAGGTTCAATTGCTCTTATTGCCTGGCCTGGGCGATAATGTTGCTCTACACTAAACTCGCGCCTCCCAAGGTGCCGAAGAGGCGCTCCCGCGCAGGTCAGTTCAAATCTCGCCCGTCGATTTGGCATTGCGTCCCCCTCGCTCTCCCCGGGTCAATAGCTGACTCGTAGGCCTGGCTTCCCAGGTTGCACTTTTTGGTAGGTCTAGCCGGGGCCGTGGCCTACATGCTGGTTTTCTCTTAACAGGAGCGCTGATGTTCAAAACGAAACACAGTAAGGAGAAGGTAGGGCCGCCTCATCCCCAGTGGACCAATCCTTTGTCATACACATCTCGTGAATATCGACCATCTAACTAGTAGCCACGTCTTGGGGGACAGAAGAAGAAATGCGACGAGAAGCGCCCCCAGTGCGCGCGCTGCGCGGAAAAAGACCTTGAATGTACCTATGAGGTGGCCAAGCCACGCCAACGAAGGAAAAGGGACCCCTCTCAGGCCAAACTCACGCTAAACCACCAACAAGAGCGCGGGCGTGTCTTTGGGAGCGGCCAACGGCGAGAGCTTGCGGTTGGCGACGTCTCTGAGGCTGACTGTTTCAGCCCAATAGATAGCAGGTTTGATGGTAGGTCGCCGATGGACTTTTCGATCGCAACCGACAGCATGTTCTCGCCCATCGACCACGGCTCCGTCGTGTATGAATACGACGAGATCGCGGACGACGGGGGTCATCAGATACGAGACTTGGTCCGGAGGAATTCGGGCGGTTGTGTCGCGTCCCAAGCCCGATCTCTACAACCCGACCTCGCCATGATCGCGCCTTGCCCGGTTGGTTCTCCGACGCTCGAATTCATCTCCCCGTCGTTCTCCGAATTTTCAGACCGTCCGAACCGGCGGGCATTGGTAGACCACTTCTGCAATGTGTTGTCACATCTGATCGTTTTTCGGGAGGAATCCGGCAACCCCTTCCAGCAGTTGGTGCTGCCGCTTTCGTATAGGAGCTCGCCGATCATGAATGCCATTTATGCGCTAACTAGTGCCCATCTGGAGTATCGCGGCGTCGAGACTCCTGAGAAGTCGCCTTACTTTCATAACCGGGCCATACAGGGCCTGACCCAGCTCATCGAGCAGCAAGAGAGGGTTGACAAGACGGAGCTTCTAGCAGCCATCATGCTCCTAGTGTACTATGAAGTCGTAAGTGTCGATACGCGGTGGTGGAATTCGGGTTTCCCGCCTCTAACTCGGCATTACTACAGCTTGTCCAGCGCGGGCGGTCGAGTATCGTGGATGGGCACCTCAAGGGGGCACTTACCATCATGTCCTGCTCCCAAGAGGACTCCACACCCGCCACCCTTTTTTTAGAGCGAGTAGGTCACGGAATTAGCCCTGCGACGCAACGCGCCTTGGTTACCTCATCGCGCTGATAGGATATAGGCTTTTCGGTTCTATGATGTGATCACGGCCCTGTCCCTCGGATCGGCTCCCCTCTCGGCCGCTCCGGCAGCTGGTTGTCTCCTTCCGTTCCCCCCCCTGGATGCGCCAGCAGTATCGCCCTTAAGCAATGTAGACACCCTACTTGGGATGGCCACTACATTATGGCCAATCATGCATCGCTTATCGACTCTTCTTTCTCTGAAGGCTGATATCGAGAAGGCGTCTCGAGAGAAGCAAGCTTCGAAAAGCGCTGTCCTTAGGATGGAATTCGAAGCGACGTCTCAAGCTATCGAAACCGCACTCACACAGTGGGAACCGTGTCTTCCCCCAAATATCGTCGTCGAGGACGGTATGTTGAGGAGCGGCGGAGGCGAGGACATTCCGGAGCAGCCGCAGCTTCGGTCCATCGTCCACAACGCTTTAGCGTACCGTCATAGTGCTTCTGTGTACCTCTACCGGACAATCTACGGATTTTCGCCACACCGTAAAGTGGTGCAGAAGCACGCCCACGCAGCCCTGGTGCACTGCTCTGAGACAGTCGCCCATGGCGGGCCTATGGGTGCGTTATTATGGCCTCTATTCGTAGCCGCATGCGAAGCGGTGAGCGCTGAAGACAGACGACTGGCTCAGAGAGCATTCGTCGGAATTGATCAGCGCCAGGGCATGACCAATATCGGGCAGGCTTGGAAGATTGTCGAAGAGGTCTGGAATAGGCTAGACGACATGGGCGAGGGTGCCTATGAGGCTAGAGATAGCGACATATGGAGGAAGGTCAGCGCCGACATGGGGGTTAATATCGTCTTCGGTTGATACTGCCGTTACAACGGACCGACCTCTCATTATTACATGTGGCGAGGGTGTTGGCTGTCAACTAGAGAGATACCCGTCGTCTTGCTGGAGGCCGCCTAGTCATCTCACGCCACAATGGCCCACAGAACTCGAGCAGTGGGCATTTCGGTGGGCACGTGGATGCGACAAGATGTCTCGAAACACATTGACGATGCCAACTGTCGATGGGCGGTTGCCGCGGTAAGCGGCCGACCGGGTCCTCTCTCGAAGGCGCGGGCTGGCCGTTGGAATACACAGAAAAACGTGGTCGAGCGCCAGGAGACGATCTCACGGGATTAGTGTAACCGTTACCGATCGGGAGGGCGAAGGAAAGCGATCTAGCACACCAACGTGGTCGCAATACGATGGACACATTGCTGGCGGCCGAACCCAGTGGCTTCCTTTGAAACCATGGAGGATCGGTCCTATACGGCGCGTGGCCTTTTTAGGCTATTCTCTACGTAGGTCTACCCCTATATTGAGGACATCTGCCTCGAGCGTCGGCCTCATACTATCAATTGGCCCAGCGGGGACTATGGGGACAAGGGCTTCTCCGCGGCAGGGAGAGAACTGGAGAAGGTTGCGGGCTATGACGAGCCCCCTATTCGGATTTCAGCGGCAACGGCCGCAGGCTACGTTTCCCACCTCATCTCGGTTAGGCTGGTCCCGAATGGCCGGTCAACGGCTCCGAGTCGGCGGCGAGGAGGGGAGAGGGATGCTAATTTGTAAGTCGGGAGCGAAGTTGCGCATGGCGCAGCAAATGCCATGCCGACTTCGGGCGTGCCAGCGGGCTCGCGACTCGTGCGCTCGCACAGATCTGTCGTGTGATGGATGGGGGATGGCCATGCGTCGAGGCAATCGGGGAGGACAGCAGGGCAGGTAGGTGTCGCCGGCGACGGAGGACGGTGGAAGCCATTAGATATATATGTACTGTATGCTACGTAGGTGGGTAGACAGAGACGGGCGGCACGATGGGAAAGGGAATACTCCGGTCGGTGCGGAAGCGTGTCCGGACAGGTCCGATGTGACCCAACCCGAGCGAGGCGAAGGGATGGGACGATGGCGTGGGCCGGAGGATGCCACGAACCACGAGAGGTAGGATTGCGAGTCGGCTCTAGTCACGTATGCGCTTGTGATGCTCTGTTATAACACATATATACCTGTCATGTGGGTGCGTGAATCGGTGTGGACGTAGAGCGCGGCGGATGGAGAGTGTTGAGTGCGACTCTGTGACTGCACGCTTCCCAGCTCGTCTTGCTGCGTTCATCACCTGCTACACATCGCACTTGGATACCTCACGTACATGCGGTTGTATCGCGCATACTGTTGTATCGTGCGTAATGTGTGTGTGTACGTGTGTGTATGTGCATATTTCGGCCCTGTAGTTGGTTGCACAGGTGCGAGCTCTGGATCTTCGTATGTGCATGGATAGATAGATAGGCACCTAAGGTAGGATGTGTGCGTGCCATGTAGGTAATATAACACGTCCGCCAGCTGAACGAGATGGGGGCGGGTGGTGGGGGGAAAAGGAGGAATAAGAATAAAATAGGAATAGGGAGAGGGAGACGAAGAAGAAAAGGAATTAAAAGAAGAAAGGGAGAAAAGTTCTAGCAAAAAAAAAAAAAAAACACGGCACGGTAATCTGACACGAATATGTGAGAAATAATAATGATGACAGCGGATGGCAGGGCGGATGGATGCCGTACATCTTGGTGCTTCGGGAGCAGGAGGAGGGGATTGATTTACGTAGAGTCCCTAATGTCTGCACATAATAGGAGGTTAGGTGGGCATAGGTAGGTACCTAAGCTGCCTATAATCTCGTGCATATACCGAACAGAGCAATTCCAGACGGAAATGCATGATTGGTTGCTGCTCGCCGATATTTTTTTTGTCTGTCTCGTCTCTCCTTTCTTTCTCTCGGCTCGATTTGCAGCCCGAGGTGTTGTTGCCGCCCTGCCCTCCCCGCTCTCTCGTCACATTAGTTATGTAGGGTTGATCCAATATTCCCACGTCTATAGCAGGAGGTGCGGAGAGGGCTGAGGCAATCGTTTTGGTGGGCTGGTGGACAGGTGCTCGGATAAGACGAGCCCAGACACGGCTGGACCGGGGGGCACGATGGATATTCGACCAGAAAATCCTGAAGCATGGTTCAGCACCGAAAAAAAAAAAAAGAGAGAAAGTCCGGGGAAGGTAGAGAGTAGACTCGGTTCTCCACGAACTGCTGTACGGGGTACCTGTGCTGATTGCCAATACGGGGCGCTACTACGTGCCCGTATATGAGATACCTACCTAGGTACCTACCTAGGTACAATATACCTCTTATGCGCACATGGTATATCGGGTACCTAAAGCTTAGTGGGTTTGATAATAGAGGATAGGTTCGATTCCTGACAGCGCTACTTGGTAGTCTCTATTATTTAGCCTATCTCCTAAGTCGTGTACCAGTGCACGTACCCTGTTGCAGCCCCGGGATTGGATGGTGGGCTAGAACCGATTGAGCAAGGCACGAAAGCGTGCGGCGTAAGATTGGGCCCCACTCCTGTCAAGCGACGGTCACGAGAAAGAAAAAAAAAGAGAGAGAGAGAGCTAACTAGCCTGTACCTCCCTACCTTAGGTACCTGAGGTACATGGGGGTGGAGGAAGGGGGGGAACTACCTCTGACCTCTTATGCAGTGCAACTCACTCAGGTACCTGCCCATATGTGAGAGATGAGCTAAGATGAAGGTACCTCGGCACGCGAAGACAGGCGGGTGAGGTACCTGGGCACGTACGGATTGGCTTCATGCCTATCTCCTACTTAGCTATGTCAGATGCTCCCATAGATCTGATTTGTGAGGTGCATCTTGGGAGGGTTGGCAGGGTTGGCAGCGGGCGCATCAAGGAAATCTCAAGTACCTACCAAACCTCGTTCAACCCGACCTAAATACCTAGGTCCCCACGACACTAGAATCGTACCTATCTGGGTACCGTGCGACGCCTCGTCGACTGAACTAATATCTCTTAGGTTAGGTACTTGTACTGCAAATAAGAGATAGCCGAAGTCGTGGGGTCCAGCTCTTCTGGCGGAGATCTTCTATCCTCAAGGTTGCTGCTCCAGCTCTCTCTACCTCAACTTACCTCGGAGTCCCCTGTCCCCCACTTAGGTGCTCAATATTATCCGCCCCACCTTAGATGTATATCTGCATGATGCCTGAGGTACCTACAGCCGGAAGCTTAGGTAGGTAGGTACCTCTGTCTGTCAAACCCCGCAGCCCTATAATAATATTAGAGAGAAGGGGGGGGGGGAAGAGAGCGATCACGCATGTACGTGCGGTTGCCATTTCCACCGCCACCCGCCAAACCGTCCGGGGGCATTGCCAACGGTCTGTCGCTGAGGTCGCCTGGCTCTCATGCGCAAGGCACCTCTCATGTACCTACGGTCGGAGGTACCTACCATGTGTATTTGGCCCACCAGTCAAATTGTCTCCCCCCATCACTCACCACCATCACCGTCACCTCCGCAACCCATCGTCACCACCACCACTACCACCACCACTCTGCTCAGTAGGAGTGCTCCTACTGCTACCCACTATCCATAACCGTCACGCTTTCGACGTTGGTCGCCGGCTCACGCCAATCTTTAGTTACATACCTAGCTACCTTCAACACACGACCTGGCATGGTACTCTGGACGCTTCCAGCCCACGTAACCCCGGTTAGATATTTTCCGCGTTCCCGCCGTTGTGGTTCGAGAGAAGAGTCTCGGCGCTCTCGTTATTATTCTTAGCCCCCGATCGTCACTCGCTTCTCACTGTTCCCTCCCCTCCCCCCCCTCCCAAATCTCGCTCACCCACACCCACACCCTCGCCCACACCCTCGCCCACACCCACACCCCATGTTCGTTCCCTTCGGCGCACACGCCATCCACTACGACGCAGCTGGCCTTACCTGCTACTCTCTCTCGCAAATGGCACGCAGACAGACCGACTGCTGCTACTAAGCTACCTACCCCAACCGCAACAGCATCTGCTTCTGCTGCCACCGCTGCTGGCATCACACACGCGACTCTTGGTACTGCACTGTGGCATACCGACGATACCGTACTATGCCGCACCCTACCTTTTAGTTCCCTACGCTCCGGCCGGCTTCCACGATCTTTTCCCTCGAACGAACCCCTGAGTAACCCAGGCAAGTTTCCTCCATCCACAACTTGGATAATTCCCGGCCGCCCCGGCTACGTGTTGCGTTGCCTCTCCCATTCTCAGCTTCCACACGTCCACCCATCATCCGACCTCCGTATACAACGTGCATGCCTGGTTTGATTTTTCCCCCGGAAAGGCAACGAAATGACTTCGTCGTCCAGCCTCCCTCTGCCGTGACCTTGGGCGGAAATGAGTCTCGAATTGATCCTCAGAGGACTCCTCTTCGACTCCCCTCGCTCTACCGCCTCTACCTGCTACCGTGCGGCGGCATAAGAATACATACTGCTCTCTCGTCGCCCGTCGTGCGCGCACCGCCATCGTCGTCGTGGCCAGCTATAGCACCGCATTCGTACCTACCTATATAATCGCTCTCGACTGACTAAGAAAGAAACCGACCCTCGACAACCACCACCCCCCCCCCACGATAAACCGACGTACCATTGCCCTCGTCCTCTTATTTCTTTTCTTCTTTTCTTTTTCTTTGGCTCGACCACCGAAGCTTGCGTAAGGCACCACTCGCACGCAGCGGAGGGCTTTTCTGCGACCCCGTACGGTGCCACCCAGAGATGAAGGAAACCCCACCGTTGCTGTGTGCGGCTGCGAATCCACCAAAAGATAAGAGTTGATCTGTGGATATCTAGAGGAGCAGCCATTTAGTATTCGGTACCTGCGGGAAGAACAAGAGAGAGAACAAGGGGACGCCAGCAACGCTACAATACCGTTTCTGCTGTCGTTGCTACGACCTTCTCCGACAACGCCTTAGCCACGTACCTATATACCCGGGGTTGGGGCCGACTGATTCCTTTGCTTCAGCAGTATGGTAACTCTTGTCGGCAGCGACGGTGCCGACCCGTTGCCGACTCCGAAACAGATCCGCTTCGTCAATAACCAGGGCCAGCCGCCGACGAAGAGACGGAGGATCAATGCTGCGTAAGTGCCAACCAATTCTTCCTTTTTTTTAATGTCCTCCAGGCTGCGGCTCGCGACCGTGTAGCAACTGCACTTGGGCTGTCTCGTGTTCCCGTACAGCCTACTCTCCCTCTTACCATCGCGCCAAAAATCGGCGTAGTCTGGCCGCAAATTTAACGGGGACGGGAGCGGACAGTTCCGAATATCATAGCTGACAATGTGGTTGCTTGGTGATGCTCAGGTGCCTTACGTGCCGCAGGCGAAAAACAAGATGTGCCGGCGAACATCCCACGTGTTCTACCTGCACCAAAAATGGCCATGCGTGCATGGGGTACTCGGATGGTATTGAGAGGATTAAGAAAGATCCCGGGCGGGGCCCGGGTTCGGCCTTGGACACCGCTGCCCAAGTCGACCCCGACGAAGACTACTACGTAGACGACGACGTGGAATTAGATCGCAAGTTGCGCAAGGGGAGGCAGAATGGGGCGAAAACCGACCTACCCGATGATTCCCAGAAGCCGTCCCGTCATACCTCCGAGTCCTCGCGAGATCAAATCCAACCCGCCGCACCACTTAAGTCGGAGACCGCGGACTGGAGAGAGACCAAATCGCAGTCAACACCGCGCCTAGATTGCCAAGCTCGACGGCCGACGAATCCGCGAAACCCCTCGTTCTCAACCGAGGGCGACCAAAGCTCGGCAAGCCACTCTCCGGTGCAATACCATACCGACAGCCAGAGCCAGAGTCAGGGCCAGGGCCAGAGCGAGGGCTACCGCGTCCCGTATTTCAGATACTTCGGCCCGACTGCTATAGTTCCGGGCTTTAAACAGATGGTCGTCAAGGTACGGGGTCGCCGGCGTAGTTCCATGTCGGCAACCTCGCCCGGCACGAGCTCTATATTCTCTGGTATCGTGAACTCGATCCAGCAGGAAGTTGATGCCGGCTCTGTCGAGGAGATGCCTGTTTACGACCCTAGCGATACGAACCCGGTTCACCCGATAATTACACACCTTGTCGAAACCTTCTTTGTACACCTGGGGGGGAACTATCCCTTTCTCAGGCGAGACAAATTCCCAAAACTCGTCCAAGAAAAGCGGGTGGAGCCCATATTAGTGGACGCCGTATGCGCCCTGGCGGCTCGGTTCTCCGACCATCCCCTGTTCCGAAGGTGGAACGAGGGCAAGCTAGCAAGATCTGAGTACGGTTACGTATATGCTCAGCGAGCCAAGTCAGCCACTGTCGATACCTTCCCGTGCCCGTCGGTTGCGGCCGTCCAGGCCTGCCTGCTGATGGCGTATGACGGATTCGGCGCCGATCAGGACAGTGCCTTGTGGATGTACCTAGGGATAGCGATTCGCATGGCGGTGGACCTGGGCCTGTCCAAAGAAGACGGCGTAAGGTATCGAGAAGAGAAGGACGCTTGGTATACCCGCGGCGGCTATAGTAGAAAGCAGAGCGAGGAGTTCACCCAGCACAACAACGACAGCCGGTTGGGTGCCGAGGGCAACAGTCTCACCCCCCGGGAGCGAAAGCAAGTCGAGCAGGAACGGATCGACACCCTTTGGGCTGTCTTCTTTCTAGATCGCGCCATATCCTCCGGCACCGGCCGACCGGTTACCCTCAAGGATGATGACTTCGAGCACGAACTTCCCAAGTCGTCCATCGACCCTGTTACTGGCTGGCCTCACCCACTGCCTTCACTGCTGCAGATCATCCACCTCTATGGCCGAGTGTCGGACGTGCTCAACAATATCAGGCACGCCCAGGACTTGACGCAGGATAAGCTGAACAAGCTTGCCGAGATGGAAACGGAGCTGACCAAACTTCATCAGAGGATGGACCAGCGGCTGCGATTCGACGCGAATAACTTCCAAGCCCACGTCAGGAACAGCCAAGGCACCACCTTTATCCTACTGCACTTCTGGTTCCATGCCTTAATTATCGTCTTGCACCAACCCACGCTGTTGACGAAAGAGGGCACCATAAACCGGTCACACCAGTTGAAAACGCACAGCCGCGAGCTGTCGATGTCGAGCGCGAAAACCATTGCCGACATACTTGCCTTCGCCGAGTTGCTAGATCCCAAATGCTTCATCGGCAATCCGTTCACGTCGCAGCCCATCTACATAGCGGCATGCGCGTTCCTCAAAGAATCACGGTCCGCGTCGTCGCAACCGGCTTCGCGAGATACGACACCTCCCCCGGAAGCCAGAGCTCACGGGAGTAAGAGTGGATGTGCTGTCCTCGACCCGGCCCCGTCCTCGAGACACTCACTCCTTGCCTCGGCAGCGAGTCAAAACTATCAAGCATGCTACAAAGCTTTGAAGCAAATGCGTACGTACTGGGGGGGCGTCCGGTACATTCTTACCGCTCTCGACCAAAAGCTAGACGGCCAATGGGACTGTGAAACGTTCACGGTCGAGGAATATGAAAGCACAAGGAAATATCGTCAAAGTAGCGCAGCAGTCAAACAAAAGCCCGTCGAATATCCGGCCTCACCCGCTCCTGATAATGGGCCTCCACTAGCGTGGTCCCTGACAGGAACGACGAATTCGCCGAACTCGAGCTTGACTCTTCTATTCCAGAACCCGGTATACCACGCTGCTGTCATGTCGACACCCGTTGTCCCACCACTTCCGCCGCCACCCACGTCGGCGGCGCCAACCTCTGCACCTACACCACCTGGGAACATGATCTACGACCCGATACGTCAGAGCCTTCCAGAAACGACGGCGTCCATCTACCACCATGCATACCCTCAACCAAATACCTCGGCCTTACGGCACTCCATCAGCCGCCACCGTCAAGTCTCTGGTTCGCCGGGAACGCAAGGCAAGCCGTTTCCAAGGCACGACGGACTAGCTTCGCAGGACGACCCGAACAAATCACATTCGGCTCAGGTCGCCATGAGCGTTGCACCGACTTCGTTTACCCCTTCGTCGCAACACTCGTCGGGATTCGACCAGTCCGGCAGTTTTCCGCCGAATAATGACTCGCCGGCTAGCACGCAGAGCCATAACATGGGGTCCTCGTCGGACGGGGGCCCGTCCAACTTCGCGCAGAGCGGGAGCGGTCTAGCCTCTAGCGGCTACTCGTACCTAGAACCAGGAGCGTCAAATATCCATCTCTTAACATATAACAACGAGACAGACATCAGCCAGCACCTGACAAGCTTCGAGAACAACGAGATGCTGAGTTGGTTCGGCGATTACTTTCCTAACGATATGCTGGGTCTGTTCCCTAGTGACTCGCACTTGTCTTGACCCAATGGATGCCAGAAAGGCAGAAAATGGGAAGGAAGAAGCAGAAATGGGGCCTAGGACTGAACTGAAGCCCATATATCTACCCACGATTCGAGCATATCGCAACAAAATTTACGTTTTATTATATCCCATACGTTAGAGATTCAAAAGGATGATCGCCGGGGAAGGACAGCAGCAGTAGTATCTGTACAGACGCTACGGTGAGAAATGCAAACCTCCCTACTTCTAGAGGGAAAAATTTCAAAGTTCCACCCGGGTGGTGCACCTCTAAGGCGTTAGGACGCGAAGGCGTATTGCCGCCTACCGGGAGGGGGAGGGGGGAGGGGGACTTGCTTGACATGATTCGTGTCTGGTTCCGATACGACATCACAGACCTTGACTGTTGATTATTTATATCAGAGCAGCGTTAGTCCTGCCCTACGTTATGAGATCGAACCTCTCCTTTTCCCTCAATGACCTTGACGCCAACTTCCCCACGGCCCGAGGGGACAAGTACCGAGAGAATTCTTGCACCCTGCAGACAGAAGTCGGGCATGGGGCGGGGGAGACTCGGGAACGATTCATTCACGATATGAGAGACGACATGTAAAAGTTGAGATACCCTGATGAAAAATAGAAAGAAAAAAAAGCCGGCAGGGAAGGATGCAGGCAAAGAAGGTTTGGTATGGGAAAAGGGGAAAATATGCTTTATTTTGCACGGGGCCTGCCGAACCTCGCCGGTTCTTAGGATTACGATTACGTTGTACGGACAGACGGACGGATGGATGAATCGATGGATGATCATTAAGATACCACTGAACGTTTCTAATGGGGGAAGGGGAAAGAAAGGCGGAATAATAGCCGACGGCGGTTTACGGAGGTGTCCCTACGGTATTTAAGTACACGAGACAGACAGACGGAAAAAGAAGGTCGCGTGGGACAGCATAGGGACGGCTACGCCGGGCGACGCGAGTGTGAGGGGAAAAAGTGAGAATACGGCTAGACTTAGACTCGACTCTGAGGTCTGACTGCCTCTTGATATGGGGATCTGGGTGCGCGTGCGCGTGGTTAGAAGGATGAGGTGGTCTCCAACAATCTACTCTAGACATGTATCTCTTTCTCGCTCCGCATCTCGGGCCATAGTACGTCTTCGCCCAGGCAGGCATCGCAACTTATCTCGAGTAACTCGCTGCCTTCGCAGAGACACCTACCTGCCGCCTCACATGAGAATTCGACCCCGGCTGGGGTGGTACAGATTGCGGCCGCGACGCTTACGCAGTAGACAGATAGGCATATGTGTATAGGGGCCTAGGTGCGGGTACCCGCGCTCTCGCCGACGCACCCCTACCTGCTGCTAGCAGCCGCATGTAACCGAACAGGGGGGCCACGCAATAAAGCTCGCGGCAAATGCGGAGAGCTCCTGATCCCGGCCGGCACGTTCGACCACGTGGGGGGGGAGGCGGAACCCTGCGCGTGCGATCAAGAGCTTACACCTCGGGCCACGCGGGCTCCCCGCACGCGCCCTGCCGCCCGATCCAGGCCTGGATCCTGTCGACGGCCCAGCCGCTGACGCAGGCGGGGCCCGTATCCGCGGCGCTCCGGACGGGGCCGCCGAGCCGGACGCCGCGGTGGTGCGCGCAGGCGCCGGCGCGGTAGGCGAACTGGAGGCAGCCGGGCGCTCGGTCGCAAGCGCGGCGGCAGTCCTCGGGGGAGCGGTGGGCGGCGCGCTCGGGGTCGGGGGCGGGGACGTCGGCGCTGAGGTTGTCCCAGTCGTCGCGGCCCGCGACCAGCGCCGGCGCGACGAAGCCGGCGTAGATGTCGCGCAGGCGGAGGGCGGGGGCGCCGCCGAGGGCCCGGTAGAACGCCTGCTCGAACTGCTAGAACGAGAGGAGCTCCGCCGCGCCCATGCCGCGCAGCGTGACGACCGGACGGCACCACGCGCCCGGCTCGTAGGACAGCGTGTACGGACTCTCGCCGCTCAGGGCCGGCCACTGCGCGCAGCGAGAGGGTTAGCGGGGGTTAGCTACTAGAGCAGGTCGACCTACGGCCTAGCGCACTCGCACGCCCGCGGTGTCGTTCAGCGCGACCCCCAGGACGTAGTCGCCGCGGCGCGACCGCCTGGCCAGCGCGTCGTACTGCGCGCCGACACCCGTGCGGTTCTCGACGAGGCCGCGCAGGGCCGCCTGCGAGAGGAGGTAGCCGCTGCCGCCGCGCGCGAAGGCGAAGCCGTCGACGACCGACACGCTGCCGACGTAGTGGTGCTCCCCGGTGTCGGAGCCGACCCCACGCAGCCACGCGACGAGATTGCGCCAGAGGACGTACGTGTCGGCGTCGACGAAGAGGTACCAGCGGTACCCGGGGCGCAGCTGGTACGTCTTCTCGGCGACGTGCACGTGCTTGTACCGATCCAGCCGCCGGGCCTCGGACGATCCGCCGGGGTCGCAGTCCGGCTGGCCCGCGCGGCAGTCCTGCTGCCGCCGGTAGACGTCAAAGTCCGGGTTTCCGTCCTTCACCGCCGGCGCTACCGTGTCCAGGCTGTCGCGCACGCGGAACCCCGCGACGTCCTCCTCGCGGTCCGAGAAGATCAGGAAGTCCGGGACGCACCGCAGCACGGTCAGGAGCTGGCTCGGGATCTGGGCGCGCGACGAGGCCGCGCGGGTCCGCACCACGATCAGGACGTCCGAGGTGTCCGGAAACGAGGCGCACGACCGGTCGCAGGGTCTCGCGGCGGGAAACGTCGGGTCGTCCGCGGGCTGGCGAAACGGTCCGACGTCGCCACTCGGCCGGGTGGCAGCGGAGGCGCGGGTTCGCAAAAGCGACCACGCGCCGAGGTCCCTCGCGGTGCTGAGGAAGCCGACGACGCAGAGCGCAGCCAGGATAAGCCTCCCCGAGGGCCGGCCGAGGATTGCCATCGCGGAAAGGCTTCGCAGTGTTGTCGCCAGACCTGTTTCTTGCTTCCCCTTCTTCTTCTTCTTCTTCTTCTTCTTCTTCTTCTTCTTCTTCTTCTTCTTCTTCTTCTTCTTCTTCTTCTTCTTCTTCTTCTTCTTCTTCTTCTTCTTCGTCTCAGGCCTAAGGTGGACGTATAGAACGAAAGGGAGATAATATGAAGGTTATTACCTAGAATGCGAGGTTGGCCTGGGCTGGACAGCGTCCGCCGGCGGAGATTGATATCAATGGATACGTCAGGGCAGATGGGACGTTGAATGTTCAAGAGGGAGAGATCGATAAGTCGAAGAGGAGAGCCGAATGGGCGATGGAGAGGCGAAAGGTAGGGTTGAAGAGAACTAAGGAGACGGGAAGGACGGCAGATGGAGATGAGCAGAATTTAGCAGAACGTTAAATCGGCAGGAATGATGGGGTCTGGAAACAATACCAAGGTACGTTCATCGTCCGTACCTTCGATCCGAGTGTGAGGCTGCGAATAGTGCAATTCGTGGATAGATGCATCGCCGTCTGTCACACCCGTTCCCGGCCCTCTAAGGGGGGGAGAAGGGGGGTTGCTTGTTGTCCGTAGGTAAGTAGGCGCCGCTCCATGATCCTGCTGTTCGCATAATGGCAATGTCTCTCCGGGAATCCAGCAGTTAGTAGGGTCCGTATCTCGGTTGGAGAGGCGCGTCGACATCGTCGAGGCGGGTTGTCACCGCAGCAAAACGCACGGGTAAGGAGGACCGAGATAACGCGTGCTGGGTCGACAATACGTCGATAGTAGAACCCTGCAGCCAAGGGTTGCCCTGCATATAGGTAAGTCTCGAAATATACCTAGACTTTGGATCACACGGCAAGAGACAGACTTGTCCCGACGATGAATACCTTACGATCGGTTCGCCCGCGGCCATTGCGCCACTTGGCGGCTTGGTTGCTCCAGCTGGAGATCCTAACAGATGATTGGGTCCGCAATTGTGCCCCCATAAGATAGGTAGGTAGGTAGATCGGCTGGTCGGACGTACGCGTTCCAAGCCATAGAGAGGGAAAGCGACAATATGCCTATAGGCAGCTGGTTGGGATGGGTAGATCTAGCTACTATATTTGCTTATAGGTAGTTGTTGTTCCCGTCCCTTTACCTGTTCCCCTGGGGCTTAGCTGGTGTTTGCAGGTTATTAGACTCGTATGCTTACCTGGGCCGAACGACAGCTCCCGATCACAAACTGACGCCTCTACCAGGTCGCGGTCATCACACCCCACCCACACCCACACCCACACGCATCCCCCCCGTAGACACGGCGCCGAACCTCGCTAGCAAAGTCGGCGCACGCATCCAGGGTTAGCAGGGGCCAAGTAGGACTTTGCCCAGGATGCGCAGGCTCAGCGGACGGTAAATACAACGTGGTACGTGGTACGGCATATGTGCGCAGCAAGCGATATCGCAACACCAGTCGAGTTGCTAATACGTGGAGACAACCAGGCCGCCGTCACACTGGATGGGTAGGTAGGTATGTCGGGGCCGCGAGAAACAGTCATGCTGGTGTGGGCAAATCTGCCACTTACATTGGCTGGACTTGCTACGCATACATACCTGGGGATCGCTGGCACTGCCGCCTGCACCGTCTGTATGCATCCTACCTCACACACCGCATTGCTATCGTGTTCTCGCCATCTACATCGACTCGGTGCGCGCATATGCTTGCTCGATCGCATACATCCACCTCGGGCACCTGCGCTTAGCCAACCCCTCCTTTGCCCCCCACCGACCTATCTCCATACGGCATACGCGCATACAGCAGCTACCCTGGGAGTTGCACCACCGCAGCCTCGCTCGCTTGCTACGTAATCCCACTCCTTTTCCCCATGCCTCACATTCTTTCTCTCTACCCCCCCCCCCCTTCTTCTTCCGCTTTATCCTCTTCTTCTCCCCCCTCTTCCCTCCCATCCTGTCCCTCTCTCGGCCAGAAGCAAGTCAAGTAAACGGCCTCAGGTCATTGTCAGCCACACGGATCACGACATACATGCGCGCTGGCAACGCCTGTCCTGATCTCGTTATCGCGTCCCCCTCTTCACCCCGCCCTTCTCTCTCTCTCTCTCTCTCTCTCTCTCTGTGTGTGTCTCCACCCTCGTTGGCATCATCTCCTACATTTATCTATAGTCTCGGCGCGGCCTTGCTCGCCTTCCTCCTACTCCTTCCCTAGCCCTAGGCGGCTATTGAAGTTCTGTCTCGTGTTTTCATCGTGTCCCTCCCCCTCTCTTCCATCTTGGGAAATCCACCGCGCCGACACTCACGGCATATCTTGACAAATTCAAGCGCTGCACCGCCTTCGCGGACCCGGCTCTCTGTCCCTTCCTTCCTCTCTCTCTCTCTCTCTCTCTGTCCCAGCCTGCACATGTTTTGATCATCTGGTCCTGGAGACAACCAATGAAAGCGTATCTCCGCTTCACAACGCTCTGCACCCCGATTTCTGCGGCTATCCGTTGCCGTTGAATGGCACTGCCTCTTAGAAGTCTATTCCTCCTCGGCTGTTATTTATCCTGCTCTGTTCCCTTCTGTCAAGGGACGTATCCAACTTCTTCCGTCCTGTTCGTCTGTGCTTGGCCGCCTCGTTCGTCCCTACACCACAACGCCCGCTTCTCTACCTTGAATTCTACGCTCAACTCAACATGGACAGCATGGAGGTATTCATCAGGGGTCTCCCCTCGGATCTCTCCGACAAATCCCTGGAGATGCAGTTGACCGGTTTTATGAAAAAACTACGTATCACAAATTGGACTTGCCAAAAGTCTCGTAAAAAATCGATCGGGTCCATCACCTTCCTTCATCGCGTCGACGGCGAAAAGTTCCTTCGCACGCACGGTGAAAAGGAGATACCTGGGATATCCAAGAACGGCAAGCCGCGTACCAGAGCTCAACTACAGTTGTTCAACTCGAATATATACTGCAAGGCAAGCGATCGTATACCTGACCAGTTCTTGCTGAGAACTCTGTTGAAAACTGCCGAGGACGAACAGCTGAAAGGAAAAGAAGAAGAAGAAGAAGAAGAGAGGGCGCGCGCACATAGCAAAAGCGTGAGCTTCGAGCTTCGTGAGCTTTCGTGCGGGCACTACGAATACCCCGATGGCAGGCTCACCTATGCTGCCGATATTGCCTGGCACTCTCAGGGCACAGCTAAGTTTGCCAGGGACATGCTCATCATCACGTTCAAAACTCGGTCCGGACTCGCACGGGTAGAAATTCTCTACCGCACTATTGAATGGGTCCTCGCCTCTGGATATCCTAGTTCCTTGTTACTGACGCTTTGGGAGGCACCCCGATTCTTCGAGGCCGCCGACCAAATTGCCGAACTAACCAGTGGCATGAACGGGCTCGGGATCTCGAAAAAGCCGGCCGCGGGCGCGAACCAACCGTCAAGAGTCCGCGTGAGCAAACTGCCGCACGATCTCGCGAACCATGCGGAAATCGTAGGACAGTCTCTCGTATACTGTCTTCAGGTCTCGCCGGCCGACTTTCGCTACAAGCTCGAGGTGGTGAAGGCTAAGGAATGCTTTACCGTAATAAACCACGACCTGCCGGGTTTCTCGCCGAAGATGACCTTGATGCACACTGGACAGAAGGAATTTAAGCGCGTGGTTGAGCAATTCGCCACTAGGAACACGGTACCTTTCGACATCCTTTTCCAGTTCCAGGCTCTCGTCCAGAATGGCTACATACTGCCCCAAGTAGCGGCAACGTTGCTCGGACGTCTTTCCCGGGCATCGCGTGCGTCATCTGCTCACCAGCCACCAGGCCGCCCCGAATCAAAGTTCCCCTTCTCCGCAGCGGCGGTGAAGAAGCTCTTTGGCCAGACACCCTTCCCTGGTCCCGAAACCGAGGCGAGCTCCTTTACGCCTGACGGGATTTGGTCCTATCTGGAGGAAAACGAGAAGAAGGTCCGCCTGGGAATAGAGGAGGAATTGATCACCGAACGAGCGCGTCAGAACCTCGTGATGGTTTACAAGGTACAAGTCACCCCGAGTAGAATTATGCTGGCGGGACCCGAACCGGAAGCCAAGAATAGGATACTCAGAAAATTCCCTGACCATACTGGCTTTTTTGCGCGTCTCCAGTTCTGCGAGGAGGACGGCCAAGACTTATACTTCAATGCTAGGGTGTCTCTCGACCGGATCTGGGCGCGGTTCAAGCAGATCCTCAACGATGGCATCATAATTGCCGGACGAAAGTACGGCTTCTTGGGCTTCTCTCACTCCTCCCTTCGGGCCCATGGTGTATGGTTCATGTCTTCCTTCTTTGACCAGGACGGGGACCTACATACGTATTTTTCCGTGATCCGTGACCTTGGGAAGTTCAACAGTATCTTCTCACCGCCTCGTTGCGCCGCCCGGATCGGCCAAGCCTTCTCGGAGACTCCATTCTCAGTCGATTTAGTGGAACTTGGAGTCGAAATCGAGTTTATTCCCGACGTAAAATCGGCCGACGGCAGCCGGGTGTTTAGCGACGGCGTCGGAACAATATCCAGAGCCTTGATGGAGGCGATTCGCGCCTCGTTGCCGCTGAGAAAGAGCAAAAATCATGCTACCTGCTTTCAGATACGATGGGCGGGCGCCAAGGGAATGCTTGCTTTGGACGATACCCTCCGGGGGATGGTCATGCGTATCAGAAAGGAGAGCATGGTTAAATTCGATAGCGACGACACTCGATATCTCGAAATATGCGACATGGGGAACAAGCCCATCCCGCTAGTCCTGAATCGGCAAATGATCAAGATTCTAGAGGACATGCGGGTCGCAGACGACTGGTTCTTCCAAATCCAGAATCAGGAGCTCAAAAGACTGCGGATGATAACAGCCGACGTGCACAACACGATGGTATTCCTCAAACGACAAAAGGTCGCCGACCAGATTAACTTTTCGCAGTTCATCAAACGCCTGAGCAGACTGGGTATTGACTACAAGAACGATCCGTTTCTTTGTTCGGTTGTGGAAACCGTCGTACTTAGAGAAGTGCGCCTTTTAAAGCATAAGGCTCGAATTCCTGTCCAGCAGGGCGTTACGCTGTTTGGTGTGATGGACGAGTTCGCTTACCTGAAAGAGGACGAGGTATTTGTCACCTTTGACGAGGACAAGCTTCTCGGAGTCGGATACCCGTATCTACACCAGAAGCTGGTCCTGGTCACGAGATCGCCCGCTCTTCATCCTGGCGATATTCAAGTGCGAAGATCAGTGATCCCTCCGCCTCATCATCCGCTATGTGCCCTAAAGAACTGCATCGTATTCAGTCAGAAAGGAGAGAGGGACCTTCCGAGTCAGCTCAGCGGCGGAGATCTTGACGGCGATATTTACAACATCATCTGGGACGAACAAGCAGTTTCTTCGTCCAAGCTCGAGTTTGAGCCGGCGGATTATCCCCGGGTGAGCCCGGTAACCATCGACACAGAGGTTACCCGGGAGCACATGACCGACTTTTTTGTCGAATTTATGGCAACAGATCAGTAAGCGTGCCCGTACTACTGGGAGATTCTTTCCTATATTGATTGATTTTCTAGGTTGGGCGTCATTGCGATCAAACATATGGTACTAGCCGATATGAGGGACAGCGGCACTGTTGACCCGGAATGCAAACTGCTTGCCGAAATGCACTCGACAGGCGTAGATTATAGCAAGTCTGGTATTCCGATCGACGCCAACAAACTCAAGAGCCTAACCAGGACGCGATACCGTCCCGAATTGTAAGTGAACTCCGCATATCGTTTAAGAGTTGTGTCTATGATTATAACTGCGCCGGGAAAGGCCGATCTTCCTCTAGCTTGCTGATTGTTACGGTAGCCTCTCACCCGCTCCACCCGCGAATATTGTAAACCGGAGCGAGGTCACTTTTGAAGTTCCCAGGGCTCCCTCTCCCGAAGACGACGAAGACGATAACACTCCCAGATTCAGGTACTACAAGTCGACCAAGATTCTCGGCAAGCTGTATCGGGCCATTGACGAAAAAAAGATATGGAGAGAGGATATCCGTCGAAAAGTCCCCCTCTCCACGAAACCGGTGTGGGACCTGCTGACCCGACAGATCTTGAAAAAATGCCGAGAGCTTGGAGGAGTCAACTGGCAGCCGGCGGTAGAAGAGGCTACCCATCTCCGACAGGCGTACGCGATCCCAATCCTCCATCGCATTCCACCTAGCTGACCTCCCTCCAATAGATACGACGACGCGGTCTGGACCTTGGCTATGGATTTCAGAGAGAGCACAAATAAGGCTCTGTCAGAACTCGAGGTTTTCACGGGGTGTATTTTCAATAAGTCCGGGGTCCAGACACGAAGACAGCGAGACACTTCGGTGCGCCTCAAGGATGAATACGACCGAGTCTCTAAGTGGATCAGAGACCTTATACGCAAGCGAGGGCCTCGACCCGACGAAGAGGAAGAGGAGGAGGATGACGACGATGACGATGACGACGACGACGAGGTCGGCGGAACTGCTCTGAATGACGATGTAGGAAACGACCCTTACGACGGGTCAGAGGCCAGCGAAGCTAGCTTTGTGAGAAGTAGCCGTAACATTACCCCACTCGAACTAAGCATCGCTTGCTTATACGTCGGGACCAAGGGCCCCGAAAGGTTCAGTGGTAGAGAAGAAACAAAGATAGGGAGTTTCAAGATCGTTGCTGCGCAGTGTGCGCTGACCGAGCTGGAGGCTGCCCTGAGTCTGAAAAGGGAGGCGGAGGCGGCTTTCTTCGAGTCCGCGACGGCAAGATTCATGGCTGGCCCCATCTCCTCAACCTCGAGGGCCGCCCCTTATTATCATAGGTAGGCCTTTACTCGACTATGGATTCTGATGGAGACATCTCGGATATATGAGTGTTTCCCACTAGAATAGCAAGGGAAGGTGGTGCTTTTAAGGGCTCGGAAGAGTTGGCGTCTTAACGACTTGATGACATTTTTGACTACCGCAGTCCTTGGCTGGTAGGTTCCTCGCGGCAAATCAGGCTAGTCAGTGCGCATGTTACGCTTCATCGATCTGCGAAGTATGCGAGTTTACGAAGAGGTCAAGGCGGTTGCGAGAACGACGAAAGCTGGGTTGACAGGTGTCAGCTCCGTGGGGACGCCGCGTGAAGTTGTGCGGTTCGCAGGCTTAGACATAGTCCTGTGTCGATAGTCACCGGAAACCCAAATACAGTCGCCGCTACCTCTACCACCGGGCCAAATTCCAGATATATGCATCCCGAATGTGAACATGCCTCTGGGGTTCTTGGGGTTCTTGGGTTAAGCGGTGAGTTGCGTGGTAGCAATCCCGTGCATACATAATAGTACGGCAAGAAGGATATCGTAACAGGCACCGTTGACTTGTCGGAAGCAATCGAACGCTACAAGACTATACGTGTAAGCCCCCCTCCCCGCCCTTTTTAAACACTCGTCGGACGCGTGCCCGCTGGTGCTGGACGGAGGCTCTGCCGCCGACATCCGGCTTAAATAGATATACGCGAAGTCCCAACCCCGCGGAGCACGCACGAAACACGCGCACACGCGGGCGGTGGTGAGGGGAAAGGGGCATAAGAGCGGGAGCGGTGGATTTTAGCCGGAGGGGCGCGGGGGCGTGATCGTCTGGCGTGCGGCAGGCCGGAGAAAGACCGGGTAAGGTAAGTAGTGAAGTCGGGGGCATGCTCGCTGGGACGCGGCCGCGGCCACCTCTCTGGCTCCTCCCTCCCCCTTGACCGCGTCCCCCGCCCCCCATCCCGGTAGAACGCCGTGGCCAGCTCGATCCGTCCGCCCCATAACATAGCGCAAGTTCTCCCACACCAGTGCGGCTGCTGGTTCCTCCTCCCGAGCCCTGCGCGCGTGCCATAGGTAGGTAGGTAGGTATAGACATACATACAGGAAATGCAACATGTGTATATCGGTGTATATATATATAGGTATATATGTGAATGTGTGTGAGTGTGCAGAGGTATCCTCGCCGCTTTATCCACGCGCCCTTCTATCCCCCCTTCCCCCCTTCCCCCTTTCCCCTCCAATCGTGATTACTCCTGGCCACCGGCCTTGCCGCGGCGGTCGTCCGCCCGGCTATTCCTCGCGCCGCCGTCTTCGTCGTCGTCGTCGCGGGCGTGCCTCTGGCGGTCGCGCTCGCGGTCGCGCTTGCGCTCGCGCTCCGCCGCCGCCCCGCGGTCCTTGCTGCTGCTGCTGCTGCTGCCGCTGCCGCTAGCGGCCCCCGCGGCCCCCGCCCCCGCCGGGCTGCTCGCCCGCGTCGGCATGTAGAAGTCGTACCGGTCCGGGAACAGGATGATGTTGGCGAGCCGCACGACCTCGGCTTCCGCCTGCGTGCTGCTGCTGCGGCTGCTGCTGCTCGCGCTGCGGCTGCGGCTGCGCGGCGCGTCCATGTCGACGTCTGCGTCGCCGTCGCCCTCCTCCTCGGCCTTCTTCTGCTTCTTCTTCTTGGTGTTGTTGTTGTTGTCCGGCGACGCCTGCGTCGACGAGTGCTTGCCGCGGCGCAGGCTCCACGGCGCCAGACCCATCGCCTGCAGCCCCTCCTCGCCGCCCACCTCCCCGATCTCCTTCTCCCCCAGCCGCCCCGTGTGCGGCGCCTCGCTGCCCAGCCCCGTCCCCGTCGAGTCGAAGTCCGGCCCCGGGTGCCCGCGCAGGAACGCCTTGCGCTGCCGCGCGAGGAACAGCGCGTTGGTCTGGGTCAGCGGCGCGGCGGGTGTGTAGACGAGCATCGAGGTGGTCTCGCTAGTAGTAGTAGTAGTAGTAGTAGTGGTGGTGGTGGTGGTGGGGGGCGCGCCCGGCGCTGCCGCCGGCGGCTGGCTGCTGATGTAGTTGGTGTTGGAGAACTGGTAGGCCTGGTCGGGGTGCCAGAGGATGTAGTCGCCGACCTGGAGGGTGGGCGGGGTGATGAGGCTCTTGTCGAGCTGGAGGTGGGGGTGCCAGGCGGCGGTGACGCGCTGGGCGTGGCCGGGGACGGCGCCGTGGATGACGGTCGAGGGCTCGCGCTCGAGCGCCCAGTTGGACGCGTCGAGGTAGGCGGCCCAGGCGGCGTCGTCGCCGGCGGGCGCGGGCGGCGGCGGGCCCGTCTTGGGCGCGAAGAAGGGCCGCAGCAGGAAGTACGCCGTCGACAGCTTCGGCGACGGCAGCAGCCGGATCATGCCCGGCTCCACCACCGTCAGCGCCAGGATCCCCTGGAACAGCCGCAGCATCGAGCACGCCCCCGCCCCGTTGTACAGGTCCGACGTCGCGCTGATGCGCCCCGCCGGGTCCCACGCGTCGTACGCCTCCCAGTCGCCGCGGAAGATGGCGTCGTAGAGCCCGCCGCGCCCGTACCCGTCCTGCTCCCACCGCTCGAGGCTGCCGTTGTCGACCTGCGCGATCTGCGCCGAGGACGCGGCGGCGGCGGCGGCGGCGGCGATCAGGCTGTCCTCGGGCGTGGACTGGGCGGCGGCGGCGGTGGCGGCGAGCCCGTTGACGGTGAGGTGGCCGTTGGCGAAGGACTCGATGCGGATGCGGTCGGCGTAGGTGATGGGGAAGCGGGTGGCGAGGCGGTCCTCGTTGCTGGTGTTCCAGAGGGACATGGCGAAGCGCTGGGCCCGGAGGACGTTGGGGTGGGCGCGGGAGCGGACCTGGGCGGGGGTCCAGAAGAAGTCGTAGCAGGTCGGGTCCTGGGCGGGGGGCGGCTTGTACTCGTGCTTGGTCTCGAGGTAGGCCCTGGTCTCGTCGACCCAGCGGGCGGCGTCGGCGGCGGGGACGACGCGGCGGATGACGCCGATGCCGTGGCGCTGGAGCTGGGCGGCGAAGGGCGCGACCGCGGCGGCGTCGCCGATGTCGCCGAAGTCGATCGCCGGGATCAGCCCGGACCCGTGCGCGTCGATGTACCGGATCTCGTCGCGCAGCGCCGCCAGCAGCCGCGCCCACGACGCCTCCAGCGCGGCCTCGTGGCCGGCGACGAGCCGCTTCTTCAGGCTGCCGAACCGCGACGGCAGCGGCAGCGGCTGCGTCCCGTAGAACGAGAGCACCGGCGGCTCCATGCTCTTGGCTAGCGACGACCTCGGCCGGCTCTTCGCGTTCCGGCCCTCTTTGTAGTCGCCGTTCCTCGTCCGCTTAATCCCAATTACCCCGTTCTGCGGTTTTTCCGTGCCTCTGGTGATGACGACTCGTCCCGATGCCCCCGCTGCTGCTGCTGCTGCTGCTCCTGCTCCTATTGACGTTCCTCTTATTGCGCCTATGGCGCCTACGGCTCCTACGGTTAATTTTGGCGGTGTCGCCGTCGCGGGTTTCGTCGCTGTCGTCGCTGGCGGGATCCCTGTCGACGACGTTAAAGGCGCAGAGGACGGTGTTGGGGTTGGGGTTGGTGAGGGTTTCGTCGCCATGGCCGCTGCGCTAATGGGAGGAATTGTGGTGGTGCCGCTGATGCTGGTGGCCGCTGTGGCTGTCGCAGTGGTGGTAGTGGCAGCAGCAGCAGCAGCAGCAGCCATTGCGCTGTCCAACGGTGAGGGGAGTACACTATTACCTGCTCCTCGCCCTGGTCCTCCTCCTCCTCCTCCTCCTCCTCTACCTCCTCTTCCCGCAGCGCCTATGCGCTGTACCACATCGACGTTGGACATGCTCAGCCTTTTTTTCCCTCTTCCCTGGTGCGTGCTGCTGCTGCGCCGTGTCTTGTGATCTCTCCGATACGCTGTGACTCGGCCATTCAGATTCCGTCTCTCTCTTCGCCCACCCGGGAACCGCGGGGTCGCGCAGGGACTAAATATGGCAGGGCTACTCCAAGGGCGAAGGACAGGTCTGCGATGGGGGACCCCTGGCCGTGGCGAGCGAGGGGCAGCGAGCGCCTGGGGTTGGCCCCCATGCGGCAGGCCGGCCCGACGAGGCATGGATACGGCACGCCCATTTAGATTGACGAGCCGGCTCGTGGCTCCGCGTGCCTAGTGTTGCCCTCTGTCTCGCTGTCTGTCTCGCTCTCCCTCTCGCTCTCGCCCCCTCTGCCCTCCTTTCGTACTCCTCCTCCTCCTCCCCCCCCTCTCCCCCCGGCCTTGCGCCATATCTAGCAGAAACACGTCCCTGGAGGCGACGCTTAGGCGAGCCGAGCTGACAGTCCAGTCCAGCAGTGAAATAGATTGGCCCCCTTGCGATGGCTGATACCTACCTACCTACCTGACAACTCCTGACAAACCACACGCACTCGTCGCGGTGGGTTGTCTGGGGTTAGGGGTGTAAGCCGAGAAGACGAGGAGGGTGGGAACAGAGGGAAAACAACTCCTCCCAGGACCCTGCTCGACCTCGACAACGGAGCCGACCCTCTTTCGCACCCCCAGAACTGCCAGGCCTTGCTGCGCAGTCCCGCCCACAGCAGCATCCGGGCTTTCACATCGACCGTCCACCATTGGTCGGAAATTCAAACATGGGAAATTTCCCGTCGAGTCTCATCCGGGTCATACACTTTTGCATGACCCATCCCGGTATCGTGATCTGCTTGTAATGTCTTTTTTTTTTCCTTTCGCACTCTTTTCCGACGACGACTCCCGAATACGTTCCTTTGGGGCAAAGCATTGGCGACCTGCCCGGGCAGGACAAGCTTGCGAGGGAGAGATGACACACCCACTACTAAGTGTATGGTAATGCCCCATCACCGCTCTCTCCGCCTCCGTCGCCGTCTTCGTTCGTCGCTCGATGACACCTGTCGCGACCTCGCGCGAGCATTCTACCGGGGTCCCGTGCTGCTGCTCGCCACTCCAAGCTACACAACACCACCATAGTACCTATGTAGGCACGTATTACGCACAGTACTTTCGCCCCCCAAACCTCCCCCTCGCCCCAGCTTGGGGGTGCGCATCCTTACCCCGATCGAGAGCAGAGGGGCATCGCATTTTCCCGGGCGAGAGAGAGAAAGAGAGGGACCGCCAAAAGCATGGCCCGATCCTAGCGCCCGCCCCCATTCCCAAACGAGGCTCCTGATAACCGGATGCTGTCCTTCTGGGCAGGTTACCGGATTTGGCAATCTTCTCGTCGGAACTCGCTACATAGAACATTTTACACAACGGGGAGCGGATAGTAAGTGAGAGAGGCCATTCCGCCAGGGCTTCCAACCCGCCGGGTCGAGCTGGATCCGCAGGCAGCGGGTAACGTTACGAAGCCCCCCCCAGGACGAGGACCAGCGTGTTACTCGTTAGCAGTGATTTGTAACGTCCGCCCATTCCAAAACAAAACACCCCCTAGATAGATAGACTGCGCACTCGCGCACGGGAGGCACATCCCCTAGCTTCGCGCGCTCGCGATCTTATCGGCGCAACCCGAGTGGGCGGGTGGACGTCGAGAAGGCGATGCAGGGCGTGCAATCGATCCAGGGTAAGACTAGGGCGAGAGAGGCCGGTATCTGGCGATACCCATCTACGAAACAGATGTCTTGCAGGGTGTCGTGTCCACAGATTGCGGCTCGCGATTCCTAGGCCAGACGACTAGGCGTGTCCTGGATCCGGGATAGAGGGCGGAGTATTAGGAGGGTGACTTTGGGGGGGGGGGAAGGGGGTGGCGCGGGCTTGCTGCTTGACGGCTGTCAGAGCACATGGCCAGCTGGCCAACAGCATCCCGACTAGCCTGCTACACGCACAAGCCCAAAAAGCCTGGGCGGACACACTCGACTTCCGGCTCGCGCGCCCGGAGTTGCCTGCCGAATGTGCCAATGCCACCAGCGACCAGGCCGCGAATGGCGAGGACGGCGTGCGCTGCGGGCTCTCTACCTACATATAGGGAAGAGATAGGCGAGGGCTGAGACGGTGCCGACACGCGAAAACAAATCAGCGAAGGAGAAAAGTGGGAAGGAAGAAAAAAAGAACGAAGACGATACGGATTAGCTGTCATCACGCCATGGCAACGCGGGCACGATCAAACGCCCCGCGGAAACGAGTCACAGATTTGGACCCAGACCCGATTCGCACCCGCACACGTTACTACTACCTGCTATACTAACGGATGCCAGCGCCGCCCGCGCGCGTGGCGTCGGTGACAGGACGCGTTTCCCGCAGTCCCCATCACCAGCGCTGGGACTGGCTTACCTGGCCTGGCCTGGCCTCGCACGTCGCATCGAGGCCGCGGCGGCGCTCGCTCGCTGTCGACTGCCCCTCCGCGAGAGAGAGAGAGAGAAGCGCATTAGTTCCCTAGATGCACGTACTGGATCGCCCGCGTGCCTATGCATGTACGTGTGCGCGGACAAGCGAGCGGGCGAGTCGCATAGCATAGACGTAGCCATGCGTGTGTGCGTGTGTGTGTGCGTAGGCCGACGTGGCGCAGGCCTCCCGCATGTTCTCTCTCGCAAGCCCAGCCTATCCTGCGCCGCGGTCGCTGCCGGCGGGCGGCGCGCGCGCCCGCGATGTGCGTAGCAGATTACGTACCGGCGTGTTTTCGGGATCCTGGGCCTCTTCTCCCCGGGGGGGGGGGGGGGCCTCTCTGCACGCTGTGCTCTGCGGCGTCGAGGATCGCGGTCTGAGACGCGCGCATCGCCGCGGATCGCGCTGGCAGGAGCGAAAGCTGCGGCGTTGGTAAGGGCGGTGGGCGTCGATCAGGCCGGCGCCGGTGTGCTGCCGGTCGTCGTCGTATAGGCGGTGATATAGATACCTATACTTGCCTACCTGTGGTATAGACGTCGGGCGTAAGTAACAGGGTAGGTAGGTAGTGCACAACACACAGACAGACAGGCAGGCAGGCAGACAAGACTAGCATGGTGCGGGCCGGCGGCTGGCATAATCCTCCACGCTCCCGTGCCGCAGCCACTTCCAAGACATCGCGACCGCGCAAACCTGCCTATAGGCAGCATTCCCGCTATGCTCTCTTCATTCCATACCTACCAGGTTGGCCGTGCTCCCCTCCTCCCGCGAATCCAGCCGCTGCGCAACCGCGCTGCTCACCTGTCTACTCTCGAGCTGGCGGCCCTACCCACCAGAGCTCTCTCCACACCTGCAGCGCCATCGGGTAGGTGTACTCAGATGGTACTCCGCTCTCTCGTCCGCGGCATCGCCGTCCGCGTCGACGTCCCAGGCTCGACTCGATAGGTGCGCTAGCCAGGACTGCGGGGAGGCCGTTGGTTCGGGTCAAGAGCGCGCGAGACGGCAGGCCATCGAGACGGCTACTACTGCTACTACGATGGCAGCAGGCTCTTTTTTTTTCCCTCCCTTTTCTCTCTCCTTTCCGTCGTCGAATCGCACACACACACACACCTAGGCAGTAATACCTATATTATGCTAGGTAATACCTATGTAACCCTCCCCGCGCAGGTCACCTGCTCTGCCGCGCGCGCCGCGACCGCGTCAGAGGGCGCTGCTAAGCAGCTGAATAACGCGTTAGAAATGCGAAAAGCGTTTCCCCGCGCGGGGGAGGGGGATGGGAGAAAGGGGGGGGGGGGGGGGGGGGGGGAGGACGTACAACGCTTATCTCCTCCCCAGGGCGCAACTGCGGGATTCGTCCGCGGTCGATCGCACGGTGGGTGGCCGTTGTTTCTATTTTTAACCGCGTCGCAGCGGCGAAGTCGGGCGGGTGCTCGCGGCGAGGCAGGCAGATAGGCAGGCGGCATCGTCGTGTCTCTGCGGGAGCAAGTGTCCTCGGGGCACTGCTGTGTTCCGCTAGGAGGACAGTCAGTTCGAGCAGCTCTCTCTCTCCGCGTGCGTTGCGGCCCGACGACGAACGGCAAAGTGCAAGCCCTGAGTTCGTGATATGCCTACCTACCTACCTGCCTTCCTCGCCCCGGGCCCGCCGCCCTTCGCCCAGGCTCTCCCTACCAAGTCTCTCTGGTGAACGCGGAACCCCCCCACCGCCGCTCTCGGCCTACTTCTCCCTAGGCCCAACTCGGGATCCGTCTGGAACGCGTAGAACCCGGTAAAAATAGCACGCGCGGGGAGCAAAAGCCTGGACCAGCGGGTGGTCGCGCGAGCAGGGCGATACCGGCCTACCCTATCTTGCCGCGATACCCCCGTGCTCCCGTGCGCCATCGCCATCCCTGGCCGCTCGCATCGCTCGCTCGCACACGCACGCGAGCCGACGACTGACTGACTGGCTGACTGGCTGGCTGACTGAACTGGTACCAGGGGCAGCTCCGTCAGCCCTAACTACCGAGACGGCCAGCGCACGCTTGCGAGGTTGCAGAGGAGGGCTTTCCGGGGGGGGAGGGCAGAGGTCGTTCTAGATGCGTCATCGCCAGGCGGGAGGCCCGGATAGGGCAAGGTAGGGTCTAAAGTTAGACAGAGGTGCAGCGAAGGAAAACTGGAAAACTGGTTCTGTAGCAGCAGCAGCAAGGGTTAGGCCGAGGATGGAGCTTTTCGTCATCACCCCCCTCTCTCTCTCCCCTTGGATCCGTGGGGAGGAGCTCCGGCTGACGGGCAGGGCAGACAGCGCATGATGGGACAGCGAGCACGGCCAATAGCAGGCGATGGGGTAAGTCTAGCATTTTGATTACACGCGCAGATAGATAGATAGATAGATAGATAGACGTATGAATGGAGCTCGCACGGCGCGCGGAGGCAACTATCGTTCGCCCAGGAGAGGAAGGAAGGAGAGGGTCGAAGGCGGGAATGTTCTATTTCCGACTCGGCAGCTCCGCCGACGCCGCACCACGAAGCCCACGTCGCCACGGCAGTCCCCGCGCCCCCCCCCCCCCCCCCCCCCCCGTCTCCCATTCACTTCCCTACCCGCCCGCTCTCGTCCCACTACCCATCATAGAAACTTCTCTACCGCCTCCCAGAACCCCTCCGGGTGCTCGAACATGGGCAGGTGGCCCGCGTCCGGCACGACGGCGAGCTTGGCGCGGCCGCCCTTGCCCAGCAGCGGCCGGAAGGCCTCCATGGCCTCGGCCATCTTGCCGTCGCGGTCGCCGGCGCCGGCCACCAGCAGGCCCGGCACGCGGCAGCCGCCCAGCTCCGGGCGCAGGTCGTAGTCCCAGAGCGCCTGGCAGCTCCAGCGGAAGCCGGCGACGTCGTTGGCCGCGAGCATGGCCGCCATCTCGCGCGCGGCGTCGGGGCGGCGCGGCGCCGTCGCCGGGTCGAACCACCGCCCGACCGTCTCCGCGGCGAGCCTCTCGATGCCCGCGGGGCCGCCGCCGTCCGCGGCCGGCTCCTGTGCGAGCGCGATGCGCGCGCGCCACGCGTCCGTGTTGGCGGCGCCGCTCGCCGCGTTGAAGTCGCACGCGACGAAGCGCGCCACGCGGTCCGGGTGGTCGAGGGCGAAGCGCACCGTCGTCGCGCCGCCCATCGAGACGCCGACGAGCGCGGCGAGCTTCGGGATGCGCAGCGCCGCGAGCAGCGCGCCGAGGTCGTCCGACAAGCCGGCGAGCGTCGCGGGCGCCTCGGGCGCGGGCGCCAGCGCGTGCCGCCCCCGCGTGTCGTACCGCAGGATCCGGTACCGCGGCCGCTTCTCCAGCAGCGTCGCCACGAAGGGGTCCCACATGTGCAGCGACGTCAGCAGCGAGTTGGACAGGGCGACGGTCGGCGCCCGCGGGTCGGGGTTGCCCTCGAGCCGGTACGGGATGACGAGGCCGTCGGGCAGCGTCACGTACGACTCGATGGCGGGCGACGGCGGCTCGTTCGCGGTCCTGGTCTTGGCGTCGGCGGAGGTGAAGGCGGCCTTGGCCGGCTCGAGCCGCGACAGGTTGTGCAGGTCGCGCGGGGCCGGGCCGAAGACGTAGAAGAGCGAGTATTGGCGCTGCGAGGCGAGCGTCGCGTGCTTGGCCGCGACGTCGTCCCAGGTAGGCGAGCGGGTCGCCGCGTGGCTCGCTAGGTCGCCGAGCTCGTTCTCCTTGGCGAACTCGTGCAGCGCGATGACCGACGTCGGCACGCCCGTCTCGAGGTGCGACGTGCGGAAGACGCGCGACCGCAGCCAGCCGGTGACCCTGGACAGCATGTCTATCTGGCCCTCGAACCACCTGGTGATCTCGTCCTCGGCTTTGGGTTCCGCGTCGTCCTTGAGCCTGAGCCGCACGGTAAGCAGGACGATGCCCTCGGTCTCGCTGTCGGACAGCTGCTCGATGGGGAAGAAGAAGGAGGACTGCTCGGTGCAGACCAGTTCCCAGAAGTACCTCTTGACGTCGACCCACCCGATGACCTCGGCTTCGCGGGGCGATCGGTTGGCCCGGAGCACGCTGTAGACTTCGGTCTCCAGGAGGGGCATCGACGTGACATCGTAGATGGCTAGGAACTCGGGCGCCTCTCCGTCTGCGGCGCGGTAGCGAAGCCCACTCGTGAACAGGCGCGGCAGACGAAGCCTGGTTGGCCCATGCTCGTTGTTGTACCACTCGTGAAACTGCTCTATCTGCAAGCCCGGCTTGGGCTGCATAGTCACGAACAGGACGCCGGGGTTAGCCATGATTTGATTCCTTCGTCGAGTCAGTTAGTTTCTTCTTATTCATGCCAACCGGGCCAGCAAGTGAGTGAGTCCATGCAATAACGTGTCTAGTATTAGAAACCCGGGGGCTTATCGTGAGTCGGGAGGGGTTGCACCGCCCCCTCTCCTGCCTCCCCCCCCCTTCGGCAACCCCTCCCCCTATCGATTGACGGTATTTTATCCCGTGACTCGGCTCGCGCGAGAAGTAACCGGATCGAGTAGCGATCGAACCGGGAGATAGTATTCACTTACCGAGACGTCGAGTGTAGGCCGCTGGATTCCTCCTATGAGAGCACAATCATTTGCAACCTTTTCGATGCGTGATGTCTCCGGGTAGAAGATAAATTCTCGACGCCGGCAGCGCACATCGGAGCCGTGGGTGCGCATGAGCGTGAGCGTGAACTGGAATCAAATCCGTGCACTCGAATCAAATCAGGCCATCTCGACAATGCGCTGAGCCGTGCTGAGACAAGCGCGCCAAGGCTGCGCCTATAGGTATGGCGATAGCACGGCAGCTAGGTCCGTAGAGCCTCGCGGCGCTGTCCCTAGCGGAGGCCTAAAGATGCTAGGAGCGAGTCCGGCAAAATAGTCAGCTCGAATATTGCTGCCGGGCGTGTGCTCGGTGGGTGAATAGTCCATCGGGCTCGACCGGGGCGGGCGCTGTCACTAAGGCGCGGAACGTCGTAGCGCTGGGCTCGGGCAAGCGAGGGGCGCTGGGCCTGGGCGAGGATATACCTGGACGCGCCCGCGCTCTCTCTCGGGCGGCGTGCTAGGTAGGTACGCTTAGGTAGATGTCGCCATTCCTGTTCCTGGCAAGCGAGCCGCCGTCCCACCGAGCGTCTTGGTCCAAGGCCCACCCGCGCCTCGTGCTAGCGGTAGATGTAGGTAGTTTAGGTCAGCGGTGTTGTCTGTCTCTGTGTGCATTGCCGAAGTGACAAGCTGGGGGAGGAGGAGGAGGAGGAGGATGGCAAGCGAGTTTCAGAGGACCCTGGCCCGGTCGGGAAATGAGTAATAGTTCGGCCGCGTCACGTCACGTGGGCGCAGTTGAATCATGTCAGAGGAGCATTGCTACATGGGATGAGTCGCGTCCATGCGTCCATCCGCCGGGGGTAGGCAATTCGGTACCTGCCTCTAGTCAAGAGTGTTTCGTCGCCAGTAGGGATTTGGGCTGTGACCCCTTTTTCGCTAGGTAAGTCCAAGTTGAATTGCTTATTGCTCGCCAATCACTGCTAGTGCTGCCGTTCTCCACCCAGTGCGGCCTCGTAGGGTCCTACACCGTGGAGGTGAAGCCACCCTGTATAATGGGTAAGACTTATTCGGTAATATACACCATTGGCCCACCGTTCGCCAGCTGGACCGCCCTATGGAACTCCTATATATATATAGACCTTCCCAAAGTAATTAAACCAGGTAGTTCTCGAGAGCCTCGCGGGCACTTGTTACCTGTATATGCTGCAGGACTAGAATATCTACATTCCATTCTCGCTACGACGTACCGAATCACCTACCTAGGGTAGGTAATACCATTAGCTCGACGCGCGCGGCGTGGCCGGGGCTTCCCCGTTGCTGGCGACTGCCTTACGACGATGGTCTCGCTTAGAGCATACTTACCCTCCAAAACGGCATGCCTCGAGGCTACCTATATCTTTAGGGAGGAGGGCAGCTTCGGGCGTCCCGCCTTGGGCAGATCTATCTCTGCGTTGCGGTTATGGGAACACGTAGACGTGTTAGCGAATCCGGGGGTTTCTAGATCCCGTCCGGACAGCCAGGCGACGCAGAAGCGCTGCCGAGTAACGAACATATCGTAGCGAGGACCATGTTCTCGGCCCGGAGGTTAGGGATCGCCTCTGCGCGGTCAGAGTAGTGTTTATCGTCCCCGTGCACAATCCCCTGCAGCGGGGCTGAGATAGGGATGCGGGATGGCACAATACTATACAAAGCCCACAGAGCCAAGGCCCAGGGGGGAAGAGGGTCGAGTTTCACGTGATGGCCCTCAAATAAATACCTACGTTGTTCATTATTTATCTTCCGGCTCGGAATGTTTTTGGGTTGAGCTTAACACGTCAAATCATCCATTATCGTCAATATTTTACCCTCGCGACAATATTATGATGCCCCTCTCGATGGCTCCATCTTCAGGATCGAGAAAACTCGTAAATGCCTTGATGGTTCTTGTCGTGTTGATTACGTTATCCTCTACCGTTTACTCCGTTCTCTCTACTCGTTGGGCAGCCGTTCGGAGTCGGATGTTAGGGATATTATTAGGGGAAGCTGATGATGAGCGGGCAAGGAGAAGATGGGATGGCGCGATGTAGTCAGACAACAAAGACCTGCAACCTGCTGGCGGAAGGTTTTCTGGTGACATGCAGTCGCAGATGCATCCGTTCGTTCTCGCGTGCCGTCGAATAATAACCTCCGATGGCTCGGACTGGTTGATGCCAGGTCCTTTTGATATCTCGTCGTTGCTCTCGTCACACAACAGGAGGTGGACAATTTCTCTTCGCTAGCCGGCATTAGTCCTGGACAAATGGGACTCCTGCCAATACTCCCGACGTACGGGCCCTGACTTGTCGCAGACGGATGACCTTTTGTTACCTAAGTGAACGTTGATGCACGGATCTGTGAGAGGGCAGAGCGGCGAGCGGCGTCGTAGGAGACACGCCGAAGAGAGAGAAAAGAAATCTTCCGATGCCGTTTCGTTGTCTCGGTAAACCTTCCGAACTGAGGCCGGCTGGTCTTAGAACGGTGATAGCAATTTGGGTGACTGTGGAAGCTGTTCAGGCCCGAATCCTCACGAATTCCTCCTAGGCAGCCACTTATTCATATTTGCCCCCATCCCCCGCCCCCCATTCTTCCCTCTCCTCATCTGCAATATATCAGAATCTGCTTCGTTCAGTCGTAATTAAGCGCCATCCAAGTGACGATGCACTCCGATTGTGTCCGGATGCTTAGCCTCGGTCGCCCATGTACGACCCTCCCCGACCCGGAACAGCCCCCAACGGGCGACATCAATGCCTCTTCACAGCCTCCTAGTCCACGATTAAATTCCATGGAGCGACTTCTCGGTTATGGGCCGTCATAATCTCGCCATGTACCGCGTCTCTGCTTTCGGTGGCTCAGAATACCGTCGTTATTTACACCCCTGACTACGATCGTCGAAATGCTCGATATCAGACGGGACTACGTTGGGATTAGCATCGTGTTCTTCTCGACCAGACGGGACTCTTCAGCGGACGGCCTGGTTAAATCGTACAGTAGTGACTGGCCCAAGCGATAGAAAAATCGTTGTGGTAACGCCCTTGGTCAGTCAGTTCCCTAATATCTATAGACGCCGGCGCCTAGCTCTGTCTATCAAAGTCACCCATACACTCGGGGGCAGTGTATGTGGGGGGGGGCGAGGGGGGGCGCTCGAAATTCAGCTGTGTTAATGGCGGGGACCGTCTGGCGAACAGTACTCAGAGGTAAACGATCATCCTCTCTTTACCGTCAAGTAGCAGCTTACCCGATATTGGATAGGTGTCGGCGTAACCACGAGCATCGTCTTATCCTACTTCGTTTCCCTATGCCACCGCGGCAACTTCAGGGCCATGGTATGATATGATAATAACAGTATAGGGGCGTTGGGGGTATTCTACCACCGTTCCACGTCTTCGAAAATAGGGACGTGGAGAGACAAATCTTTTTTTGCATCAGCTTGTCAGTCACAAGGTTTCATTCATTCGCCCATGCCTCTTCCTTCGCGTCCACTGCAACAGACCGAGCACAGCCCCTGAAAAGCCGCGACTACACCTCGACTATGTCGGGAACCGGATTGTGACGAAATTCGACTTGTGCCTATAGGGATCCCTTTGACTTGGGCAGATGTTACGTGTCCATGGAGGGTCGTGGCCTATCCTCGTGCCCCTGACTCTTGGCCTGACGGGGCAGATCCTGCTCGTCGCTTTCGAGGGGCGGCCCTTCGTTGCCGAGCCAGTCATGCCACTTTGGCTACCGGGCAGCGGTGGGCGTGAATATCGACGCGTTTCTCAGGCCTATGGCTATTCGCTGGCCATTTGCCTTCTTCCCGGCCTGCTCCTCCCCCCGCCGTTCGATTTAACATGCCAGCCAGCTCCCGAAGTGGATTTTCTCATGTTCAATCATATGGTTATGCCCGGATCGGCCATAACCTTGATAGTGTTTTCCAGATGGGGCCGGTTCAAGCCCTCCTATTCCCATAGCCGCCTCCTACTCGGCCTAGGGTATATGAGTGTTCAACGTGATGGGTCGCCGTACGAGCAAGGCGGAGTGGGTCTAGATACAGATCGTACCGGCGGTAGCAGGCGCTACAATCCTCTCTAGCACACCCCTCCCGGGTCTACAGGCTTCGTTTGCAGAAGCGGCCCAGGTCGCTGCCATAGCCAGCTTGGGGTGGTATCCGCGGCTGGGGAAGGATCGGCGGCGTAGCCATTTCTTCCTGCGGCCATACTCGACAGATTCGCGGCCTGGGATGCGTCGATAATCGACGGTGTCGCCGGTGGGAGAGCTAGAGCGTTGCCAACGTCGGGACCGTGGTAATTACGCCAGCGAAACGAAGGCAGGGCTCTTGACAGGCGCCAGGGTGGGGGGAGATGCCATCCCTGACCGACCACGGTGCCGGTTCGCTGGGCACGTTTTCGCGATACTCGGGGCCGAATTCGGTGTTAAAGACTCTCGAACCGGCCCTATGCCTGCTAATAATAACATCGCGTAGGTAGGTGGCATTGGCGGCGGGCGAGCGAATCCACGTCTAAGACAAGTCGGGTATGGGCAGTGATGGACGTGGGTATTTTCCCTAAGAGGCAGCAGAAATTGCACGCACGGCGTTACACACAGCAGCCGATGGAGTATATCGATTCGCATGAACGGCACAGTTGATTAATCCCTTAGATAGGTAGGTGTAGGAACCCTCCCAGCGTCGCATTGGGCGTGCATGGACCGTCTGCACTCAGCGCGTCCCGACCGAGTATACGCTGGTAGGGACTATATCGACTTATACAGGCAGCTCGATATGGACCACATATGGAGCTGCCTCGGCATGGGGTTCTGGGCTGGAACTGGGAACAGGAACAGACCTGTGGGAGGAGTCGAAGGATTCGGTACTGGCGACACTCCAGCGCACGGACGGGCTGCGCGGGAGAGGAGGTGGCTCGAGTCTCCCCGTCTTGGACACTCGCGGCCACTGGCGGCCGCTGGAGGCCACTGGGCTGCCCGCTCTATAGGTACCGTATACCTGTCCCTGAAGTACGATGCCGGCCGACGGCACAGTGCTGTCGGTGCTGCTGCTGCTGCTGCTACCTGGCTTCTAGCGCTTTTCTGTGGGCTGACTGGGGAGGCTAGGTCCGTGGTGCATCGGGATTACCTGGGGAGGTGGGTACGTGGCCGGCGGGTTTCGAGGTACATACCGACGACGCGCCCAACTGCCAGAATCAGGGGTCTGCCAGGGGCAGGTTTGGCAGTAAGTATAGGGCGTCCAGTGCCCATCTATAGGGCAGTTTACGGCGTTGTGGCTGAGCGCACCACGTCGTAGGGGGGGGGCGCCTGGGCTTCTAGGGCTCCCAGCGGTGGGGGATGGGCGTCCGCAGTGGGTTCCGCGGACCCATCCGTGCGCCCGAACACCGACGCTCCCTGTCCGTCGCCCTCGACTATAAATCAGATATGCCCTCCACCACAAGGCCCGGATTAGGTAATGGCTCTAATTAGATAATCTCTCTCAAGTATTCCGACCCTGTTCGCCCCTTTGGCTGCTTCTCCAACCCGGCCACCATCGAGACTGCTCACAAGGCTGTTGAGGCTGCTGTCATCCCCCTTATCATCGTCAACCCCCTCTCGCCATCTGTGCCTATGTGTGTGTGCTGCTGATACCATGGCGATGGCTCCCCATGCGAGGTCGAGCCTACGACGCACTGCCTGCGACAGGTAGGTCCCGAGGAGCGTCCCTCATCCCCCCCCCCCCCTCCCCTCCCCCGAGAAACCGGTGGCTGAGCTAGCGCTGCTCGGCTTGTATAGATGCCGGCACTCCAAGTTGAGATGTTTTCGCGACGAGAACCAGGAGCGGTGCGCCCGCTGCATACGTCTCGACCTGCGCTGCGAGATCGCGCCGGCCCGTCCTCCCGGGAGACCGCGAAAAGTCGTCTCCTCGGCCGCTTTGGCAGGTAAATCGCTAGCCACTTCAGCCTCCTCGTCTCCCCAACCGCCGGAGCCGAATACGAGCCAGAGTTCGCCGTCGCCAGACTATCATGTCACCGACATTCCCGGCGAAAGCCCGGCGGCTTCGTCCGTTTCTGACCACAGGCAGCAGCAGCAGCATCATTACGAGGCCATCTCGCAGATCGAAGGCTTCTCGGGCCACGCGGCCGGAGGCAGCACCAGCATCAGCGATAACTTCCATCCAGACGCCACCTTTCCTGCCTCCGGGTTTAGGGGTGCCGAATGGCTGGGACCGGGCTTCGATCACAGCACTGTGCCACCGGGTGGGGACCTGCTAGATGTTCACAACCTCTTCACGGCGAAGCTCGACCGGTACGAGTGCCTCAAGGAGCTCTCGAGGCTCAACGAGGACCTACATCATCAGTGGCGTGTTATCCGGGAGGCCAACGACAGCGGCAACATCGGATTCTCCACCTTCATCGTACACCCCCCGCCCCCGGACGGCGACGGCGTTTCGGTGGCTGAGAAGTTGCTGATCATGTCCCAGCGGTTTCAGCAGGCCATTACGAACCTCAGTTGGGTCGTGAAAAACGAGCCGAGATCTCCACTACCGAGAGCGGCGCCGCCGTCCGGCTCGGTCGAAGACGACTTCACGCTCTCAGCCCTGCTCGACAGCGCTTCTGGGCTCTCGTTGGCGGCGGTGGGGTCGCCGGAGCACGGCGCCGAGAGCCAACCGGGGTCCCCTTACGACGCTGATCGGGCGACCACCTCGGACGGGCAGCTCGACTCGCCGTTCGTCTACGCGCTCGTCAGCTGCTACGTGCTCCTCATCAACCTGTGGGAGGCCATGTTCGTCCACGTGCGCCGGCGGATAGAGCGCGTAGACCAGGAGCACATCCCGCTCTCCGACCCGAGCAAGGGCATCCAGATGGGGGCCTTCTACATCTACAGCGGGCGGCTGCAGAGCATGTTCTTCTGCCAGGCCGTCGACTACTTTATGGGTAACATCGACCGGGGCCTCGGCATCTCAGCCGAGCAGCGGGAGCAGGGCGTTGTCGGTCTGCTGTCGCACCCGCGGCCCTTCGGCCTGCTCCAGAAGGAGCTCGGCGGCCTGGGCGACAACGGTGAGAGCCAGCGCCCGGCGATGCTCCTGAGGGAGGTCGAGTGGGCCAGGACCCGTACATTGAAGGATGAAGGCTGGTAGGGACGGATGAAATTACGGCCATCCACTACCAGGATCGGCACGAGCCAACGCCAGCCGAACGCTCCCGGCTTGGAGGGCAAAGCTCGGAATCGCCACAGCCGGCTCAGTGCTCCGGGTCAATTGCTGGTCCAGCTCCGGCCTGGATAAGGTGTTGACATCTACCTTTGCCGCCTGTTTGTGTTAGAAGATGACGGACGTGTCGAGGAGGGTTACGTGTCCTACGTGGTAAGACGGACTCCGCTAAGGTCAGCCACGAGCGGGGCGCCGTGTTACGTAGGAAGCTACATGCCCTTACGTGTACAGCGCGAAACAGCGAGGTAGAGAAAGCGCGGCGTGGATTTCCTGGTGATGGCACCTGTCCACTTTGAGCCCTCGCCCACCTCCCCATCTCACGAAGGCTGCCTCGAGTCGACGTGCCACATCGGAGCCCGAACAGGCGTGCCAGGGGAACACTACGCAGACTCCCTTCTCCGCACCAGAGAGGCAACCCAACCAAGAGATCGCGACGATGCCGTAGGAGGGCTAGACGCGGCGACAGCATCAGTGCGGCCCATGGACTCGTCGTCATGACACACACACACACACACATAAATGTGCATGCTCGTGTGTGCGCCTCCCTGCCTCTGCCTATATACGCACATAGAAATAACATGGCAAAATAGATATGCATACCTATATCAATCTCTCTCGCGCGCGCGCACAAGATGCCGCGGGAACCAAGGGGCGAAACAGGGTGCCTGGGACCAGTGCCCGGGGCGTCCTTGATGGAGCTCAGCTTGTCGAGTAGAGTTGAGCCTCCGTTAGGTGGGTGCGACGAGTTTACGGTACCTGCTAGAACACGACGTCAGGAACGCGCATGCTGTAAAGGGGTGGGTGGAGCTTAGAAATTCCCAACGGTCTCTCACTCCTAAGCGGGAAGACATGTGCCAAGGTAACCTGGGGGCGCCCACGAAGAGTGGAAGAGTGGAAGAGGGGAAAAGGGGGAGTAGTGAGAGGAGGGAGGGCCCTTAGATTCGACAACTCCGCGAAACCTTTTTGTCACAGTGCCTATGGGAGGGTCGTCAAGCACATATTATATGTGTACGCAAGTACGTGATGAATTTATTAGCCTATCTCGTTGAGGTACACGCACATAGGTGCCTGAGGCGATCGTGCAGGGCCATTCGGGTATCTAAACACCCCCTGTCATTGCCTGTGCCTGCAGGTCAAAGCGGTGCGCCAGGGATTGGGTGACGGCGCATATCTCCCTGTCCTTAGAGGCGTCGTGTGATACGATCCGAGATCAGAGGCTGCTTGTGCTCATCCGACAGGACCTGTCACCTAGGATGCTGGGGAATCGGGACGCGTTTCTACGTTTCGACGTGATGTCCGGCGGCACTGGCATGATATTAGGGAATGGAAGAACGCGCTCGACATACACACTATTCGAATATAAGAATATTAGGTAGGTACCTAGGTATTATGTCGTCAGTACCGAGAAATCCCGTCCCAGGATACCTACATAGGTACGTGGGTGGGACCCTGGCTTGCTTAGAGCGCTGAGCGGGTAGAATGTTCTTTAACGCTGGCCGTGAAGGAGGTGGGAGCCTACCGAGGGAGAGGTAGGTGGGGTAGATAATCATAACCCTAGTAAAAGGCTGGCAAGCGTCATTCCGCCTCATAGAATTAGGTACGTACCCTATGGCTAGGATTCTCCAAAATCTATGAGTAGCGTAATACCGGTATGGCAACATCTCAACGTGGAACATGGTGGCATCAACAGAAATCGGTATGGGCGGTAGTTAACTCTAACGTCTTGCAAGGAGAGAAGACATAATGTAGGAAATCAACCCATGTAGGTAAGCCTATATTTTCGAATCGTAGAATGTATTACTTAAGCGCTTACTTATTCTGCAACCGAGGCAACCGAAGAGGAGAAGGCCTGTTTGTAGGGTTTAAATTGAGGAATGTTCCCTCCCAAGGATTTTCCGCCGTCTTGCGATAGATGGCCGTATAGTATGCTAGCTAATAACCTATATCTGAATCTGTTCTACTTACATGTCTCCCATTTTCTTTTACCCTTGCCTTCCCTTTTCTAGGACCTGTCGTCGTACCCGTCTCCTTTCTCCCGCCCCGGCCCCGCCGTCGCCGGCCCGAAGCGCTAATACGGCGCCCCGCGAACCGGTTCGGGCACTAGGTAACATCCTAGGTTGCATCAACACGTGCAACCCGGCAAGTCCCAACTCGCTTCTCCGCATTCCTTTACATGCCCGTTGCCCCAGCCAGTCCCGCCGCCGGCCACCTTTGCACCTGCCGTTTTCCTCCGTACATGCGAGTATCCCTTTATTCCTATCGTGAGACTGGAGAAGTATAAAAAAGAAGAAAAAAAGGGAAAAGGGGTAAAGGGGTAAAGGGGTAAAGGCACCAATCTGGGAGACAGACTGGGAATAGAACTAAAACCGGGTAAGATTACTTCTGCCGGGCCGGCAGAGGCACGGTGAAGGTGAACTCACAGAGTGGCTCAGAGGCGGGGCGCGCGAGGGGGGGGAAGGTGGCGGAGTCCCACTCGCAACCCAGCACCTTGAAGCAGACGTCCTCGGCGCGGCGCTGGCTGGGGAAGCGCTCGCGGCAGTGTCGGACGTAGTTGGCGCGGACCCAGTCGAGGACGGCGAAGACGTGGGTCGCGACCTTGCAGCACTCGGGCACGACCTCGTAGTACGTGCGCGCGCTGTCGGCCGTCGCGAAGCGCTGGCCGCGGTAGTCGCGGTCTGGGACGGTCAGCACCGGCCGGCGACGGGATGCGCGGAGGGGGGGCAGGGAAGGGGGGGAGGACAATACATACCGTCCTTCGGGCAGGTGCCCGTGGACCGGTCGCGCACCCGCCGGATCGCGAGGCAGTCCAGCAAGTAGAAGGTGCGGAGGTGCGGGAACAGCGCGGCGAACTCGTATGCGTGCTGCGGGGGCCCGTCCGCATGCGGGCTGTCGTGGGAGCTGTCGTGGGCGCGGCCGCAGACGCGGCAGACGGTGGACTGCGCGTCGCCGCCGGGCCCCTCGCCGACGAACCGCTCCCAGCTCGGGCTGTACCGGATCGCCAGGTGCCGGATGCTGCCGAGCTGCGCCGGGTCCAGACGGCGGGCCCACGCCCCCAGGGCGCCCGAGTGCTCGACGCCCGGGTAGTCGATGCACACGACGTCAGACGAGCGCTGCAGGAGCACCAGGCGCCCGCTGTCCAGGGTCAGGTTGCCGGGGCGTGCGCGCAGCTGGTCGACGAAGAGCTTCATATCACGGCACACCAGTCGCAGTTGGTTGATGGCCTTGTTCATAATGGGGTAGTAGGACTTGTCCGCGGCGGCGATGGCGTAGGCGGGCTGCAGGGTGCTGGTGAAGCCGGCCGTGGCAGCGGCGTCTTCTTCTTCGGGTGAAGTTGTTGGTAGGGCGTCGCGGGTATAGTCGTTAGCGACGAGTTTGAGAAAATGGATGCCCGAGGTGCTGACGGCGTCCTCCAGGATCTGGTAGGAGATCTCGAGAGGGAAGTTGGCAAAACCGTGGAACTGGGACTGGTCCTGGCGGACGGCGGACGGGGAGGACATGTTAGTGGGGAAGAGCAGGGCGGGGAGGAAGCAAGAAGAGACGGCGGCTAAGCGGCAGGTATAAGTCAAATAAAAAAGGTGCTTTGTAGGGTTTAAAGTTGAAGCATGTGTTAGATGAAGCCGAGTAGAGAAAAAGACAGGACGAAGCCGGGACGAAGGCAGTTAACCTGTTGACATATATAGACACATATCGTTGCAGCATCTCAATGTGGTCGCATAGCTACATCTGGGAAAAAACCCATGCGCGGTTACTCTATAGGGCCCGGTTGTTGACTCGCCTAACCTCCCCCCCCCATGCTTTTTCGGGGGAGCCGGAGGAGTCATCATCCAATCGTGAGTAGGGAAATTCAGCCTTAGTCCTCTTCGTGGCTGACCCGTGGGCCTAGTCGGACCAACCAAACGTAGGTGTGCCTGGGATGACATGATACATTCACGTTGCATAGCTGTCCCTGAGTTGCGTCCCCCGCACCCGAACACATCTTCCCCTCCTTCCGCGCTGTTAGCCTGCGGGATACCTCCTCCTCAGCGCATACGCGGTGCCCCGAGCGAGCACGCTGCGACGATGGGCGACGACGATAGGGGACTTGCCCACACCTATACGTTCTCCGGCGGGTCCCCCATCTGGCAGGAAATATCGCGCACTTCTCCTTTCAAGAGAGGGAGACGTACAAATAACCGCTCGTATTTCACAGTATAATATTTATATTATTATATATAGCGGGATGGCATTGAGAGCAGGTGCCGGCTTACTGAAGTTGCATTGTGGGTGTATGCAATATGCTCCATACTCTCTTTTGCTCTCCTTTAGTTAGCGAGTTAGCTCAGCCATATTTCTTTTTGCCCCTCCGCTAGAGAAACGCCATCCTGCGTCGGATAGCCGTTTAGTAGTTGAGCTAATACCCCTGCCGAGACTAAGGCGCTAAGCTGCCATCCTCCTGGTCCATACAGAAGGCCCGGTAATCTTCAGCACTGTAATCGTGCTGGCAGACCTGGGGCTTGATGATTTTGTTATCTGTATTTGTGTAATCCAGATCGGCACCCGCCTCGGAGCTTCCATTAAGTCGAGGGCTGTTCGGTGAACAGCTTCGACTACCTATAGATCATTCCCATCACTTAGTGCTTCCTTATCCCGCTCTCACTTGACCGTGTTCCTCTCGCGGTGCATCCCTGCCCTTTGCGACCTCGGCTCACCTATCAAGAGCCAAGCTCTAAACACCTAAATAACCATCTGGTCGGTTGCGTGGTTTGGCCGTCTCTCTTTTATCAGACGCTAATCTAATATTGTATTTTTTAACCTATTGATTGCTAACTTCCTAGACAACACTCTATAGCTATAGAAGGCCTACTAAAACTATGACAACACATGTGTGTCTCGGACGAGGTTATGAGCCTCGGGGTCACGAGCGAGCCTACGATATATCAATGAGAAATAAATAGAGAGCCTTTCCTCAGCCTACCTACCGTTCACCTGGTTGGGTAGCAACGCAGATCCATGTTAGCGTGGCTCCACTAAGAAGTCACCCTGCAGTATCCTATCCGGTGTCGACGCCCTGCAAGACAGCCACCATTAATTCTAGAAACGTATCTGCCCCCAGCCCGACCGCGTGATTTTGCAAGAGTTATGGCGACGATTGTGGGCTTGCTGGGAAAATTACTGAGTCCTTCTGTCCCAAGCACTAGACTTCCCCTAGAGCCGATTATCAGGCTGTTGAGGATCTAGTGTCACACCGATAACTAGGTATGTTCGACACGGACGACCGTAACGCCGAGGACTCCTTCGCAGAATGGGATCTGTGCATGCCTCTCGTCGCCGACAGCGCCATCAACCCTGGCTTCCGAATCAGGAACCACCCCAACGGCGAAACCCACCGCGTCCATCTCACCGGCTACGACCGGCATAACACGATGGTCGTTCGCGGCCGGCTATTTCACGTAATCCACGGCAGGTTAAGCCCGGATGACAGCACACCGGCCACGCTGATTGTGTTCGAGTGGCTGCTAATACCGGGGAAGCTGGGCCGGCGATTCCGCCAAGTCCAGGTCGACGTAACGTTCGCGCCTCACGGCCGGCGGCCCGGCACCCTGCCGAGCGACGACCTGTCCGAGTATACGCCGCAGGTCCGCGTCGTGGCACCCGACGTGCCCGCTGTGTCGTACATAACGCGCCGCGGCGTGACGAGCGAGAGGTATAACACGGCGGGCTTGCGGGCGGGCTACGACCCCTTTGCCGCGGCCACGGCCGACGTGTCCCGGGGCAGGGTCGAGACGACGGAGCGCACCGACTACCGCTTCGTCGCCGGGTACCCCGCTTTCGTCCGCAAGACGTGGGGCGACCCGAACTCGGTGCACTGGACAATGCAGGAGAACGCGCCGCAGGAGAGCGGCGTGCCGCACCTCTGCCGGCGACGTCGGTGCTTTCACTACCACTGTCGAGACTAGCGCCCACGTCTCGATTCTGGTTAACACAGCGGAAAAATTCCGGAAGGCGGTGGGGCGGATTCCCGAGGACGACCCGGTCTATTTTGATCCTCGTCCCGTTCCGGGCGTCCCCCACGGCGCCGCTGTGCTGTACGGCCCGAGGGACAACGTGCGTAACCAGCAGAGCCCATGCGACAAGGATAACCTCGGTGCTATGGATCTGACCCGTTCCCTGGTTGTCGAAGATGAGCAGCCGAGAGTGGGTTAAAAGGCGCATTGCAAGGAGACGATGCCCTGGAAGTATTCAATTGAAACGAGGGGGTAGGCTTGGGGTTTGAATTGTTATAGCTCCCTACACGAGAAACATGTCTACCTGGAGGGTGGTCTTGGATACCCAAACCTCGGTTGATGTGACTGTTCGTAAATAATGTCTTTTTTCTGCCTTAGTATATACTCTTAATACTGTCGCATCAATCCTTCTGGGCCGCGAACTTTTTCACGAGGTGAAGAATGCCTCCCTGGTCGTCTAAACGTAGGACGTCCTTCACGTGTACCACTTTGTTCATTTCACCATCAAACACTTTTGCAAATACGTTTTTCATCCAAACACGCCTATCGATCGGAAGAGCTTCGCCCTCGGCCAGCATACAAAAGAACACCAGGGCAGCAAGACCAGCGGCTAACGCTGTTGCGCCCGAGTTTCCGGCATCGGCATCCTCGATCCGGCTTAAGATGTGCTCGCCAGGGAAGAGGTAGTCCACTTTTTTGTTCAAGTTGACGTATTTTTTGACGTCGAAGTCCATGTCGGTGGCTCCGATGCTAAACACGTTCTGGTTGCCACAGGGCACCCATGTGTCCGACGGCGTGCTCTGCTTGACGTCGCACGCCGCCCCGAATACGAGGATATCCTCCCGAGCCGCCTCTGTGATGGCAGCCTCGAAATTTTTGATCTCATCTCTCTCCTCTGCCGTCATTCTTCCGGAAACGTGGCACACATTCCAGCTCATTGAGATGATATCTACCTTTTGCTTAATTGCCCAAAGGATGGCCTTCTCGCCGCATAGGTTAGTACCCGTATTAGATGCGTGAAATAGTTCTAGAGACCACTTGGTCTTCTGACGCCGAAGCCTAGGTAGCCAAAGGCCGTCATGGGGGAAGGGGAGTCGCTATTTACTTTTGTGGCCTGCGATAGGTTGAAAGACCGCTGGCTCGGATCCTCGCCGCTCTCAACGTCTAGCTTGGCTACATAGATAGTCACAAACGGACAGACCTGGCGTATCAGCCACGCCATCTTGCTGCCATGCTGGTCAGTAGATACGTAAAAGCTCCTGGGCCCCGGTTCCGGTTCTCCGGAGTATATTGGTGGCCAACCGGCGTGGTGGAGGTTCTCGCCGTTTCGCTCATACGTCGGATCTACTCCGTCGTCAAGGAGAGCGATTTTGACACGGCGCGGACGAGTATTGGAAGCGAACGACTGATTATGGTAGAGGGTGAAGAGCTTATCGCAAAATCCCGAAACGTGTTTCAGCCATGGATGAACCCTAGAGAAGGATAAAGGTGGTTAGAAGCATATCAATGGCCATTCCATCGCGGGGTAAGAGATATTTTCTCATCGACGAGGGTTGGCGGCGGGCGTGCTTACGGAGCTTGAAGGCTGTTCAATCCACGACTCTTACCACCCTCTCTGAATGCTCGGTCATCATTACGGACAGTTATGAGAATGGGTTTCCGTTTCTGCCATTTTTTGACACGATCCTGGAATTGGGCAACCTTGACTTTCCTCGACCTGTCTTCTAGTTCGGTACCCTGTATATTAGTTAGCAACTCCGTCTCTCGTAGAGAACGGAATATGTACTTTTCGGATGTAGATATAAACCCGCTGAAGCTACAAGGCCGTTTCCGTTAACATCTAAGATTATTAACGATATAGTATGGGGGCAGACTTGCCTTCTCCAGTGTTTGAAGCCCCTCCGTGGCGGACCAGCTCCACAAGACCGAGTTCAGCCCAGACCAGTGCAGAGAAACCTCGACCAGAGTTGGAGGCAGGGTATATCTGTTAGCGCACAAGTCGGGTCGGTTCCAGTTCAGGTACATGACCTCCAGACCCCTCAGGCATTCCTCGACAGTGTCGTCAGAGCAGTAATGATCCGGGTTATCCTTAACCGTGAGGCTTAGGATGGTCTTGACTCCCTTCGTCGTCTTGAGCCACTCGAACACCCTCTTTAGATTTTCCTCGTCCTTAGCCCATATCTCGGCCTTTTCTTGGTCGTCCTTGGGTAGGATGTCTAAAACTTCCTGACTGTACTCGAGGCTCAGAACAACAGACGCCATCGTGGTTTCGAATTTGAGAAAGTTGAAATTTCTGGTTGTGTTGGACTGCACCCGTTGGTCTCCTTCAAGGGAAAATTGCCACTGGCGCTCGAGCTCTCCTGGCCGCACACGACATGATCGGTTAGTGCCGCTGGATATTATTTCGGAGCGTTCCAGGAGGATATTATGTTGGCGGCTCACCAGTCCAGTAAGGAGACCTCTTGACGCTTTGGTTGCGAAACAAGCAGTCACACGCCTTCTTGTAACCCCCTAACCTAAAGGAATTCTCCCATAGCTTGTCTAATACTTCTTTACAACCAATTTCCTTTTGTCTGAGGGTCTTCATGCTATGCGCGGGAGCTCTGGAGTTGTTCCGCGGCCCGGCCACACCTCCGATGTTATGATTTCCCTTGGCATCGGCAGCACCCGCCGCACCCTCACCTTGTCCTTGGATGGGAGGATCCAGCCGCTGCGCTTGTTTCTTCTCCTTTTCCACCTTTTCAAGCTGGAGATGCGAGCTGCCGCCTTCTATGGCGTTCTCCCCCGTGTGCTCGGTGTTTTTTCTTCTCGGTCCCGTGTTGATTGGCATCACCCCAGCGGCAGTGTTGATCCCCTGAGTTAGCAATGGGCTCTGCCCATTTACCACGTCTGAACGGGATTTTGCACACCTTTTTTCGGCCCGTTCATGGTACGAGGTATACAGGTAGAGATATGGAGACAGTCCGGCCGAGTTATGGATCGTAAGAGCCTCTTCCCCTCCGGCTTGCTTCAGGAGAAGATCGATAATTTTGTTAACTTTTTCAAGGACCGCTTTATTCTGCCTGTGCACCGCTATGCAGGTCTTGCAAGCGTAGGAAGGCGTTATTCGCACCTGTCTGCTCTGAGGGATGGACGTCGCGCTCTCACGCGGCCTGGATTGATTACTGACAACCTGTATCGGTGGTTCCTGGGCTTGAGGGGCGCCGGGAATATCGCTAATGGTGACGGGCCATTGCGCGACGCTTGGCCACGTCGCGTTCCGCGCCGCCACAGCCGGTGGACCCAGTATAGGAGTCGGGATCTGGCAGGTAGGCACTGGCCGGATGAATTTCTTCATATCTAGGGCATCGTGGAGAGGCGTGTTGCCGTCGCAGGAATCCCCTGTACTTCTTTGTTCTATGAAAGCTCTCCGACCTGCCATTTTAATCAGACCCTCGACACCTCGAAGATCATGCAATATGGCTAGGTGGAGGATATTCTGTTTAGCATCGTTCACTTCGCAGATTCCTTCGGCTGCTTGGTCCTTCATCAATTTGCACAGGTAGATGGTTATGTCGGGACGTAACTGGGGAGCATGTTTCATCACCTCGATGTCGGCTGTGACGGCGGCGTGAAGGAGTCGTGGCCCGTACTTGGGACTTAGATCAACTGGCTCGAACTTGAAGATAAGCTGGAGGAGAAATTTCGCCTTTTGAGGTCCCACAAGATATGGATAGAACCTTGGAGCCTCCTGTAGCACATATTGGAGGAAGTTGATGGGAGACTCGTCCGATGACGTCCCTGCGAGATAGTCTCGCTCAATTCGGATCAGACTGGCGACGTCTTTTCTGTACTCTTCGTAGTTTGGATGTGCTTCCCAAGCCGCTTCGTCCTCCCAGTCAATCTTACGGTCTTCGGAAATTTTTGTCTTCAAGTCCAATCTTGCTTTCTCGATCTCGGGTGCTGGGTCGGGTGCTGGGTCGGCGTAAGGTTCATCGACGTCCTCACCGTCGTCTCGGTCAAGCCCACTCAGATCTCCGTTCTCTCCGTAGCCAGCTTCTGGTTCTTGCATGCCAGGGTGGCTTATTGCATCCGTCATCAAGCTCCCATATCGAGATATTGTCTTCTGGTGCAGCCTCAGCGCGTCGTCATCGTCATCGAGGGGTGGAGTGAGCCGATTGCTGGGTGTCATGATAGATGCACGCGCGGGCCTGATAGGCGCCGGGTGAAAATGACGGACAGGTTTCTAGTATACGGTTCTTACAATAGGTAAATGTGCGGGTGGCTGAACCGGGAATTTCAAGCAGAGAGGTGCAAACGCAAGGAGAATCAGCTACTCGTCCGCTCCCAACTCCAAAATTCTTCCTCGTTGATCGCGCACCAATGCCACCAATGCCACCAATGCCATATACGGACCAGGCTGCCTTGCACCCCAGTCGCCGAGCCGTGTCGGTCACTTTGAGCGTGCCCCTCTCCTGCGGCTGTCAGCCAGTAATTCCACGTAGTGTAGTATTAACCCGCACACGGCCTTAGCCGATAGGCGGCAACGGCACCAGAAAAACGGGATCAGGCCGTATAAAGAGCCTTAGACACTCTAGGTTGGCATATCCATCATGGGCGTTATGGCTCCGCCTCCTGTTCTCACCCCCGCCGGTGTCGTTGCCGGTCAAGCTTTGCCTAGGCAGCCGCCCAAGACCCAGTGAGGTTCCATTTTATTCGTCGTATACGGGAAAGGTTAAGGGACGGTTCCTGCTCACTTCAAACCCAATGGGGTGGTTAGGATCTACGGCCTGATCGGCGCCGAACATGAAGACTATTGCTCTTTGTGGGACGAAAACTAGTTACCCCCAGGCCCACTCTCTAATGTTAATACTCCTTCGGGGTCTCGCCTTCCTGGTGAACAAATTTCTGAAACTGTTCACAAAGGAGAGGCCAGGCGTTGTTGGGCTGCTAATCCGCCCTACGGGATGTCGTTAAAAGGGAGAGAGGACAACGAATGCCTGACAGTTTTTCACTATGCGGCCATCTCGAAGTCGATTGACATAGTGGCGAAGGTACTCGCAAAGTGGAAGGAGGATAGCTTTGAGGCCTCGCATTTGATCAACCCGCTAGACGCCGCTCCATCGGGCATGTCGGATGCCACGAAAGGAGGTCATACAGGCACTGATAGGCAGTAGAGCGGATCCCCACGCCTAGACAATAGACGGCTAGAAGCCTCGCTACATTGCTGTCCTTTATAGAACAACTAATAGCGGAGAGTTTGCGCTCCTCCTAGGTCCCGGTGACAAGGGGTAGGGACTGCCTAACGGGATAGTAACCTACTATGACGGGTAGTGCGATGTATGCTACTTAGTAAGTCCTCGAGGAGAAGACACGGCAAGATGAAACCTGTTGCTAACAAGCCCACAGCCCCTGCGGTGGAAGTACTACCACTGCGCGGATGAGGAATGCGACGACTTTGACCTCCGCTTTAAGTACTACATGCACGTTGAGTATATTCATCAGGGCTTCCACGAGTTCGAGTGTGTGGAAGAGTAAACGTGTGGAGCATTGTCATCATCTCGCCTAGGAGAGTCATGAGGATGGTTAGATCCGGCTTTAAGCTTCGTAAACACCTTTTCGTCCCAGGAGACTATGTTACGGCTAGCTAGAAGCGAGGAACGAACTCGAGCAAGTGTTAGCAGCGTTAAGTGATAGCATCGATCAACTCCACTCGACCGAACGTCCAAAGCTCTAAAGCCACAACCGTCGGGGAGGTAAATTCAAATGGGGAGACGTAATAAGCCGCAAAAAGACAACCCAGGAGCAAGAAGAGATGATAAACCGTGTCGGTGACCGTCTGAACCTTCCTGATGAAGATGCGATTGTATAGAAATGGGTGTGCGACCTATATTACTTAATACCTATTACAAGGTACTACATGAGAAGCCCTATCGAACAAGTTAAGCAGCAAGGGAGACGAATACCCTTAGGCAGACATGAACGTCACACCTACTAACGAGTGACCCATCGGCCTGCCCTGAATAGCATACGCAGATGCAGTTGACGACAGCATCGCCGCCTCCACCCCAGAATGTCGACCACAATGAGTTCTGCCCCTAGGCGTGTTAGGCACGCTATGAGCGGTATAACAGCGTAACGTTTCCGGTAACAGTATCCTGTCGAATCAAGGTTCCAAGAGAGCTTCCAGGTGTTTTATGTGTCCGGCTTTTGAAAACACGCACTCTCTTGTCTTTGCAGAAGCGAACAACAATATATATATATAACTATGCACATTCTCGCTGTCTATCTACAATTCCTGTCCGTGTAACTACCAATCTAAATCCCAAGTTCTCTAGACATACGAACACCAGTCCCTCCATTACACATCTCTTGTGACCACTCCGCCCAGGCTAGCTGTGACACGACGCATTCTCGTCCTCGCTAGTCGAAGACGTCGCTCGCGTACCGCGTGTTGCGGAGGCCCTCCCACCACTCGGAGAGGTGCTCGTCGGAGTCGTCCTTGCCCTCGCGGCGGGCCTCCTCGCGCGCGATCCGCATCACGGCCGCGCGGACGCTGTCGCCGACCGCGCGGGACCCGCAGATGAACATCTTGACGCCGGTCCGCCAGGCCTCCAGCACCGCCTCCTCCTCGCCCAGCAGCGCGTCCTGGACGTACCGGTACTTCGCGCCCGGGTCCCGGCTGTAGGCCCGCACCACCCTGATCGCCCCCTCCTTCTCCCACTCCGCCAGCTCCTCCGCGTACAGGTCGTCGCGCCCCGGCCGCCGGCACCCGAAGAACAGCGTCGCCGGCGCCAGCTTGCGCCCGGCCGCGATCATCGCCGCGCGCTCCTGCACGAAGCCCCGGAACGGCGCGATCCCTGCGCCCGCCGCCACGCATATCACCGGGGTGTTCTCCACGTCCTGCGGCAGGTGGAAGGCTGCGTGCGACGGCCGCACCGCCACGTGTAGCGTGTCGCCGGGCTGCAGCGACGCCATGTACGTAGACGCCACTCCCAGGTGCATGCCCTGCCCGGACTTGGACGGCGCTTCGAGGAGCGAGAAGGTGAGCGTCACGTGCGAGGGGTTCCATAGCGGCGACGAGGAGATCGAGCTACGTTTGTTAGCACGCGTCTGTCCCAGGTCATGCCATCGCCATGACGAGGAAGGGGTTCGGGTTGAGCAGTTACGTACTATTGGCGCACACGCATAGGGGGGAGCATCGAGAGGAAGACTCCCAGCGGCAGGTCTACAGAGGGATACTTCTCGAGCAGATCGAGCACCGAGATACGTTTGGCCAAGACCTCCTCGTAAGACTCGCTTGCGAGTTTCTTCAAGGCTTCCTTCGCGTCTTGGTCCTTTGTGGCTTCGACTAGGCCAGCTATGTTCTGCAAATCATTGTTAGTTGTCTTTATCCCTCATTCATCGATGGATCCGGGACGGATTCCTCGACTTACCCTCTTAGTAGCCGGCTGGGACAACTCAACGTAGGCGCCTAGGATGTTATGAGCAGGCAGCGACGTGTTCGTGGGGAGATAGCTAATCTCATCGCTGGAAATGGTAACGTGAGAATCCCAGGGGAGATGGAATCGGCGCATTGCCCTCTCGACAACGGGCTTGGGATTGATGGGGAGCACTGCCAGGTAGTCGCCTGCTCGGTACGTTTGGTCGCTCGGGAGCGTAATTTCGATATGCTTTTTGACCGGTTCCCCCTCAGCGGTTAACGTGCGAGTGGACACCACTAAACCGTCCATGACATCCTGCCGGAGAGTCGACGAGCGCGGGCTTGTAACTGTCACCTTAAGACTAGCACCTTGCAGAACATCGCTCTCATCGCTTGACGTGCCGTATTGCTTCGCGAGTGCCGGCCAGAATACCCCATCCTCCCAGCTTTCGAAGTCGACAAAGGCGTCGCCCGACCCGACATCGGCGAGCCCAAGATCCGCGATTCTAGTAGCGCCAGCTTCGCTGAGCTTGCTGTCTATCAGCTTCGGGATCCGATGGAAAGTCTGAGCCCACTCGCGGTGGCCGACGCCAAATACGGTGTATTGCACGCCCTCCAGGGCTGTCTCCCCCTTTAAGCTCTCGATCCAGGAAACAAAATGAGCCGCGTTGTCTGGCGGTTGTCCTTCGTATGACGCCGTAATTATGACGACTGGTTCGCCTTTAGGTAGGCTTCCGTTGGCAGTGTCTAGGTGGTCAAGCCTGGAGATTCTGAAGCCGCGATGTGACGCCTCGCTGGCGATCCGCTGTGCAAGGGATTCGCATGTGCCACTGTTGCTCCCGTATAAGACCGTCATGGGCTTCCCGCTGTGGCCGTTGGTGGTGGCTGAGTTTGAACCATTTCGTACTATGCCCTGAGGAGATGCCGGCGATATCTCCTTCCCGGCCAGGCGATTCTCCAGCTGGCTCGCCGTCAACCCGTCACGGAGGGATGCTCTCATGCGGAAGCCCCTCGGCTTGAGAGTCAAGGTTTGCTTCAAGGCCAGGCTGTACCCTGGGTCATCGAGGACGAAGTTGAAGTTTTGCAGAAGTATAGCCATGGCCAGCGTCGCTTCTTGCCAGGCAAAGGGCCGACCAATGCACTGCGATGCTTTTCATTAGTTGGGCTGCCAGAGGCGTGATTTTCAAAGCCATCGTCCACATCAGATTGCCGACGGTAGGGAGAATGGAAAAGGGGTATTTCTACATGCAGGGAGACAGAAACACATACCCCACGGAGCCCGTTCCCGAACGGTTTCCACGCATTCTTGGGCAGTTTATTGAACGGTTCATCAAGCATACGTTCCGGCTTGAACTGCTCGGCATCGGCACCAAATACAGCCGGATCACAATGCGCCTTTTTTATCAGGACGCCAATGGTTTCGTCTGGGCGTATCAGGTACTTGCCTGCGAGAAGGGTTTCCTCCTTGGCCGTCAAAGCATATTGAGAGATAGGCGAATCGACTCGTAACGTCTCGCGCAAAACCTATACCCAGGTAAGCCAATCTGCAACGGTGCAGCGAAGAGAAGAACGGCCGGCGACCAAGAAAAATATTTAAACGAAATCGGAGCGTTAAAGACCTACGGCTGCGATATACGGAAGCTTGGACATGTGCTCCACGGTGATGGGTCCTTTCCCGATAACCATGTCAACCTCCTGCTGCGCTTTGCGATAAGCCTCAGGGTGCTTAAGGAGTTCGTAGAACGCGAAGGAGAGAAGGCCGGATGTTGTTTCATGCCCTGCGATGAGGAATGTGATGAGGTTGTCCGTGATGCTTGAGTCAGACATGTGCTGGCCCGTCTTAGGGTCGACTCCTTTCAGCATTGCGGTGAGGAGGTCCTTGCGGTCGGACGGGTGGTTCTTCCGCTCTTGCAGAACCTCATCAGCGGTGGTTCGCAAGGTTTCGATGTCCTGCCAATACTTGGCGTCTTCCTTTCTATAGAACCAGGACGGCATGGTTCTGTTGGGCCTGTTGCCCGACTCGGTGAGGAAGTCGCCCATGGCTGCGACGAAGGGGTGCAGCTCGGACGTGTAGTAGCTATTGAAACGATAGCCCATCGAACAGAGAGCGAGGGTGTCGAGCGCGAGACGAGTGAAGTCGTCCGGGACCTCGATCGGGTGATGCGGTCCATATCGGGCCCACTTCATGGCGAGCTGCGAGGAGATGTCGTGCATCTCATCAAACATGCCTCGGATGGATACAGGGCCAAATGCGGGCATCAGCACTGGGCATGTCAGCATTCCGAAAGCAGCGTGTGTCGAGTGCCGATCAACCAACCTCGATGAGCGATTCCCCAGTTGGGCTCTTCCAGCCGGGCCTGAGCTGTATGTTAGAGCTATACGGACGATGGGTAGCCATAGGAGCTACCTTACCGTAAACAGGCCATCGTGCACGCCTTGTCGGATCTCATGCAGGGCACCTTTGGGGACCTTTAAGAATCGCTTCTCATCGCATAGTTCGTCTATGAGACGATGGCTTGAGCATACAACTAGCGATCGTCCCGGAAGACGAAGCCTGTAGATCTCGCCTGTATAGGTCCAGTTAGCAACCGTCCTCGCTGTCCTGCCTTCTTCACACGTCAGGTCAGTACTGACCGTACTTGTCGGCAAGTGAAATGAAGGACCGTATAGGAAGTTCCCTATCGAGTTCGGCAAGGTGACCTATCAAGGGAAGACCTGGGGGTTCTGGAATGGGAACTTCTCCCGACATCTTGCTTGGCTAAGTTGGGATGCTGGACCACGTAATAGGGGTGCGGATGTTTGCGTGGGAAGCTGTCTGGAAGCTCGCTGGGAGCTGTCGAGGCCGGTATGGATATATATATATGTGTACGTGATGTCAGTGTGCGGCTATGTCTGTAAGTGGGTATGCAACTAGTGGCTAAGAGGGAGAGCGTGTGAGTGGGAATATCGGTATATATATATTTATATTAGCGTTGGAGAATGCAACACCCGCTAGCCACTAAAATCTGGCCGAATCTCCGTTCGGTCGAGGATGTTCGAACACGGACTTCTGGGTTGATCTCCGACCTCCTGCCAGGGGACCAGAAACAACAGGAAAGGGATGACTGGGGCGGATTATCACTTGATGCAGGTAGTATTGTAATCATTCAACCCGCTAGCGAGACCGAAGCCGGTCGCACCAAGCCGCTGGCGGATACGGGAACAAGGAATAGACATAACTAGGGAATGAAGGCCGTGAAAGAGAGATAGATACAGAATGCTCAGCCCACCACACTCATTCGATCAGGCCCTGTTTTTTTTTTCTTTCCTGTGATCGTGTCGAGTCCTACGCCAGCGAACCTCGGCTGGTTCTCGACTTGCTCCACCCTAATCAGTGACGACGAGAAAACGTCGTGAATCACTATCGACCCGCTATCCCATCTCCACGGGTCCATCGCAGCACGAACGCGTGCATGTGTAGGTATATACCTAGTAGAGACGCATACCCGCCTGCCCCAGTTAGCCCGGCGAATGCATTGATCTGACCTACATGGCATTGTGGGAACTGCGAAGGATTTGGCCAGTGTCACTATTGCCACGGCGCGCGGGATCCCGCGACCTCAAAGACCTCTACGTGTCGTACTGCACCATCGCCACGGCATGAATCCCTAGGGCCTTACAGAGCGTCTTGGCGTCTAGTCGAAAAGGGGTTTCTCGAAGCTCGGAGGGAGCTGTTTCATGCCACGGCGGGCCCGGTTTGTTCGGTCGGAGCTTGATACGTGTTAAGAGGCGCGGGGCGAGAGGACTGGCGGGTGGCGTGCATGATGCAAGGTCGAAAAGGCCAGGAATCTCGATGGAGGTCAGCGGCGCCTCCGACAGCGAAGAACGGTGTGTCCAGTCAGGTGAAGTACATGGGTACATGGAGATCTAGGAGCTGTCTTTCTGGGTTTAGGCGTGTTATGAGATGCTGGCATGTTGTCGTCATAGGTACCTACTTATAGTGTTCTGTGGTCCTGGTACCCGGTTAAGCCTTGGCCGAGAGCACGCCGCATCCAGGAAAATAAATAGGTGGTTAGGTACCTGGAGGCCCTACTGCAGTACCTACGGAGTACTGTGTGCCACAATTGCCCAGCGTGCTGCGCCATCAGGTACCTTGGCACTTTCCCGAGGTACCTCCGTCTGGGCTCAGCGTCTTCTTCTAGCCACAATATTAGAGAGCGAAGGCGTCATTGGCCACGAGCCAATCCGTAAGCAACATAACGCCGGACGTGACTGGCTATCGGCATGTCGGAGCCTAAGATACCGTGCCGCCCTCCCGCTTTGCATTATCCCGCCCGGGTTAAAACAGGCAGACAGGAGCCAACGGGGAAACCCTTGGGATCGCGAGACCGCGAGACCGCGAGACCGCGAGACTGCTCAGTTCCGCCATCGATAGTGCACTATACAGCTTGTCCTGGCCTATCTTCGGCGCGACGAGCCGTTTTGGTATCTCAGAGCCCGTGCCCCCCCGTCATGCCTCGGCAGCTTCGAGCAGGCGATAACTAATATACCTCGACCGAGACCGCGATGCGCATTACCAAGCCGGCATGTGAATTGCCAAGTTGCTAACCAGCGAGACAAGGCAAGGCTTGTTCTGCAAGCCAGGGGACGACGCAACGACGTCGTGAGGACAGGGAGAGAGAAGGACGTTATTAGTAGCTGGCAGTGGGGGTGATTGGTGTTGCATGACACCTATTTAAGGATACGCCGACTTGGCAGCGGGAACCTCAGCAGCAGCTGAGCCACATGTAACTCCCCGGGCGCCACGCTTGCCTATATACGTGTACCTAGTAATACCTATATTCTCCCCTCCCTCGCTGGCGTACCAACACTTCCATCTTTCCTAATTCATCAACCCACCATCAGCCGCCACCCGCCCATCTTCACGACCTCGATCCATCCCGACCCTACCCCGAAGCTCGCAATCATCTCTCGTGATAAGCTATGCCAACATCAGTTCCTCCCTCCTGGCAGGCCCCGCCAGCGAGCCGCCCTAGTAGCCAACAATAGATTCTCGGCCGTTCCTCGACTTTGGCTTCCCTTCCCTTCGCTCCCCAGTTGCATCTCAGAATACATGTCAAAACGATGGCAGATGGCCGTGGCTGGGCGGGTTGAGGATTCCAATTAGCGACAGCCAATGTAGAAGACACTGCGACCAAGACGCCGTGTCGAGAGACACCCACAGCCTTTGTACTCGGTGACTAGAGCAAACTTCTCGCATCCTTTGTCATCGATACTCGTAAAGATGGTGATGCTGCAAGAGAAGCCAGGCCGCACTCGTTAAGGGCCCTACATATACATCTATATATTACTGCGTATCTCACATAGCTGCGTATCCCGTTCGGCATACGGCCTTGTTCATCGCTAGCTTCGCAACCAACCCATTCATATTTCGGCGTCTGCCCCTTGTTGTCGTTCTCCCCGCCCCCTGGAGCATCCCTGCTTTTTGCCTGTTCTGTCTTTCCACATCAGTTCTATCTAGACCCCCGCGATGCCTCCCAAGAAGCGTCACCAGAAACGCCAAGCCGCGGCCAATCGCAGAAAGACGCCAAAGACCAAAAGCACCACGTCAAGTGAGTGTGCTATCCATTATGGTCGCGTTTTGCTCACTACGTATGTACTCACGCCGTATACCATGCTTCGCAGCTGTCTCAAAAAGGAATCCGCCTAAAGCCGAGGTTGCACACCCTCGTGGGAAGGCTACTGGGGCCAAACGTGCCCTAGAAGAAGACCACGCCAACCGACTCCCATCCAAGCGGGCAAGGACAACGTTAGTGAGGAAAAGGGGTCGGCCTGCATCCCGCCCCGCGATACCTCCCACCATCAACCATCCTCCCACTGAAGTTCTCGCTATTATTGCCTTTGGAAATGGTGAGTCCGGCGAACTTGGTCTGGGCCCTAACGTAACAGAAAGTACTCAACCGCGCATCAACCCATATCTCGATCCCCGAGACCCATCCGCGTTCCACGTGGATCAGTTTAGCTGCGGTGGCATGCACACCGTTGCGTTAACCGTCACAAATCAGATCATCACCTGGGGAGTTAACGACAAGAGCGCCCTCGGAAGAGAGACAGATTGGAACGGTGGGTTGCGTGACATTGAGGAAGATAGCAGCGATTCAGATGGGGATTTAAATCCGTACGAATCGACCCCTGCCCCAGTCCCAGAAAAGTACTTCCCTTCCGGTACAAGATTCGTACAAGTTGCCGCTGGAGACAGTTGCAGTTTTGCACTCACCGATACTGGGCTCGTGTATGGATGGGGTACGTTTAGGGTGAGTTCTGTCCCCTTCTCCTTCGGGGAGAGTAATACTAAGATTTCACAGGATTCGAAAGGGGAAGATCGCTTTTCCCTCGACGCAAATGGGGTAGTTGTCGAGATTCAGAGAAAGCCGGCCTGCATCTCCGGCCTTGAAAAGATCACCCAGATCGCCTGCGGAGCTAACCACGCATTGGCTCTCGATGCAACTGGGAACATCTGGGCCTGGGGCGCGAGCGAACAGAATCAACTTGGCCGCCGGGTCCTACCTCGCCGCTATTTGGAATCCTTCAAACCCAGCCGAGTCGGTGTCTGCCGCAATAACGCCAAGTTCATTGCTTCCGGGGAGTATCACTCCTTTGCGATCGATCGGAAAGATAATGTCTGGGCTTGGGGCCTGAATAGCTTTGGCGAGGCCGGCGACGCGAAAGGTGCTGGTGGAAATTCCATCCTCGTGCCATATCCGACAAAGGTCCGAGACCTCTGTGGGGAGAATATCATCCATCTAGATGGAGGTGCTCATCACTCTGTTGCACTAACTGCTGACGGCCGGTGTCTGGCCTGGGGTCGGATGGACTGCGGACAGCTCGGTATCGACTTCACCTCTGAGCAGCTGGAGGACATATCTCTCATTCGCTATGACGGGAGAAACGAGGCTCGCATTTGCCTGCGCCCGACTGAGGTCCCCAACGTCGGTCACGTGGTCTACGCGTGTTGTGGTACGGACCACACTATCTTTATCGACAAGGGCGGAAAGGCATATGTTACTGGTTTCGGGTCGCAAGGCCAGCTTGGCTTCGGTTCTTACGACGACGTACAGATCGCCCAACCCCTTCAAAGCGGAGAGACCGAGGGGAGGACCCTAACAGGGGCGGGTGCAGGTGGACAGTTCTCTTTAGTTGCCGCACTAGTTAAATAAACCTTGTGACTCTGAATTATCTCGCAATGCTGGACGTCAAGTAGCCGTTGAACCACTTAGGCGTTGAGACCCCCTCGAGTTATATTATGTCTAGTAGTACAGGTCTAGTACAGCGCAATTGGTTTGCGAGCTAATCGTGGGAAAGGTTTCGCATCGTTAATATCACCTCCACGGAACCGCCCTCAAAGCTCGCCTTTGTAGACCGGGCTCTGATCTTGCAACTACGGGCTTCGGAACCTCTACCACCTCATATCCAAGATCCCCCAGATCTTTCGGACTATATACGACCCGGCCTCGGCCGAACCCTTTGGCAAGTACCACCTTGGCGCAACTACTGGAGATATTAATGGAAGCGCTGCTTAATCCTGACCAAGTTGACGGAAAGCCGCCATGAGAACCTGCGGCGATCTGGGGGGAGCCAGTGGTAGAGTACCTGGGACTTAGGATGTAAGATGTAATAAATCACCGTTGTACTTTTCAGACGACTTCTCTCGGCTATGCACTACTCGGGGCCATCCATTAAAAAGGGGGTTTCGCTAAAGTAGCGTAGGGGCGGGGGGATTTATCGACGTGCTGAGCGTGCCAAGAGATCGCATGCAACTGAACCTCCGACAACTCCATGCCAGGTAGGATTCTAGGAACCGGAGAGAATTCGCACCGGCGAGCGAGGTTCGGAGGCATGGCGTGGCCGTGCTAGTCTCGACAGCCAACACAGAGGTCAGCCACCCCAATGCCCGGCTTATTGCACAGCCCGTCATCGCCAGCCCTCCGTGATCACCGACTGTACCTTGGACAATATTCATCGCGATAATGAATTTGCATAGCCATGCCTCCAACCCACCTCGGACTTGTCACTCAAGGGAGGGAAGACTTACGCGGAGTAGTTACCGCTACGCCGCAGCAAGTCTTCGATGCGATCTCCGCGCTTTGTGCAGTCCTATTTCTGCTCTACTTGCCTGTCCGGCTCAGGAAACTCCGCGCATCCCGCCCAAACCCCATCTCAAGCTGGCGAGGTCTGCCCAAAGCGGTGTGTAGCAATATCCAAAACTTGTCATGTCAAGATGTTTAGTTGAGAGTCATGATCCGAGCCGCGTATATAGGTTATTGGCGTCTCGCTCTCTATCGTGCTCTTGGCATACTTGGCCAAGCCTCATGTCTCACCCGCGCAGACCGAGACCACGGCTACCGTGTCTCTCGCGGTTTCGCTGGTCGCAGCGCTGGGATTGAGCCTCTTATTGTTTATGGAGTCGCGCCGGTCCTCCACGCCTTCGGATCTTGCGACTCTGTATCTCCTTGCCTCCGCGGCGTGTGATGCGGTGCTGCTGACCATGCCGCCTGGGGAGCATGCGCATTTGGAAAGCCGAAATCCGCTGATTGCGCGACTTGTCATGCATTTGATGCTTTTAATACTCGAGTCCTGCGGGAAGCGCCCCGCACAAAGCGGTAATACCGATTCGGGGGGATCTTGTGAAGAGTCGCATGGTGTTCTGAGCAGAGTGTTTTTCATCTGGATCAACCCGATCCTGCGTCGGGGCTACAGAAATATTCTCGGCCCCCAAGACCTTCCGCCTCTTGGCAAAGACATGAAGCCGGGACTGATGAGGAAGACGATTCTACGGACGTGGACTCAGCGGGGTCCGTCTGCCCATTTTCTGCGAATGCTTCGTATGTAGCTGATATTAACTTGCCTAGCGAAACCCGAGACAAAAAGAGCGTTGCCTTTAGCGGTACTGAAATGCACGAGGAGCCCGTTTCTAGCCGCCATCGTGCCACGACTATTCCTGATAGTCTTTCGGTATTCTCAGCCCGTACTTATAAAGCAGTCGATCAGATTTGTTACCATGGCCCCTACGAACACGGTAGGTAATTACGGTTATTGGCTTATCCTATCAGCTGCGACCGTATATCTAGGCCTTGCGGTAGGTACTCGCGTTTCCGGTTTCTTCAACCTTTCGCTCACTTGAGGTTTAGATATCCACTGCCGTGTACCAGCATGCGTTGAACAGACTGAAGGTAATCACTAAAAGTGCCCCAGTGGGCCTCATCCATCACAAGATGATGAATTCACCCAACACTACCTATGACAACGGCGAAGCAACCACACTCATGAGCACGGATGTAGACGGCCTGGAAGGGATCGGTGAAATGTTCCACGAAACTTTGGCTCAGGTCCTTGAAGTGATCATAGGTGTTGTCTTGCTGGCTGGGGAGGTGGGGTGGATATGGCCTCTACCCCTATTTCTCGTCTACCGTAAGTTCCTCCATGTCCCCTCCTGTTCCGAAGCTAAAGACTTCTCCCAGTATGTTCGTACGTGAGCCGCTATGTCGCCAAACATCTTCGGCCCCGACAAAAAGACTGGAATACTGCGACGCAAAGTCGCGTTGCGGCTACGAGTTCTCTACTTAGCCACATGAAAGTAGTTAAAATGCTCGGATTTCAGCATCACCTTGCCTACCGAATACAGCAACTTCGCGAAGTTGAGCTTTCAGTTGCTTCCAAAGTTAGATGGATGATGGTTTACTATAACGCAAGCGGTTCGTCTTCGCGTCCAAACTTATCGACGTGAAAATGTTAACTGATACGAGCACAGCTAATGCGCTCGGCATCTTCTCGCCAGCAATCACACTAGTCCTGTCTGCCATTATCACAGCTGCTCATGGTAACAACTTAGACACCGAAACTGCATTCACTACCGTCGCCATCTTGGGCATGATTACCCATCCAGCAAATATGGTCATGACAATTGTGCCGAGAGCGGTCGCGGCATTTGCAAGCTTCGATAGAATCCAGAGCTTCTTACTCCGGCCGCCTTTGCGTGACCAACGTGGGAGTATATTAAAAGCCAACACAAGGGCCCCAGATATAGAGCCTGCGTCTAGTCAATTGACAACTCACCATAGCTCAGCCATAGTAATCCGTAACCTAACGATCGGCGAGAAGGCGCTGATACTGGGGAATATTAACATCGAAGTTGCTCAAGGATCTCTTACGGTCATCTCAGGTCCCGTTGGAAGCGGCAAGTCAACTTTGCTACGTGCGATCCTTGGCGAAGTAGCCCCTATTCGGGGCTCTATCAAGCTATCAACGAAGCAGATTGCGTATTGCGCACAACGGTCATGGCTCCCTAACGGAAGCATTAAGGAAGTCATACATGGAATGGCAGGCCGTGGCGACGCGCAATGGTATCGTAAAGTGGTGGATGCATGTTGTCTCACACACGACTTTTACTCCCTGCCGGACGGTGACGACGCACAGGTTGGCAGCAAGGGGCTCAACCTGTCTGGGGGCCAAAGACAGCGAGTGGTAGGTTCGATCACCTAGATCCTCGCCGGGCGATGCTAACGGCTGAAGGCTCTCGCTCGCGCGCTCTTTGCTAGATGTGATATAGCCCTGCTCGATGACGCATTTAGCGCCTTGGATGGTGAGACAGAAAACCACGTCTTCAACAACTTGTTCGGGCCCAGAGGCCTATTTCGTCAGCTAAAGACAACCGTCGTGCTTGTCGCCAATTCAAGTGGGTTTTACTACAGGCCGGAAGGCAATTAACTGACCGGCTTTAGGCCATCACTTTCCTGTTGCCGACCACATCGTGATCCTCGGTGAATGCGGTGTAAAAGAGCAAGGGAGTTGGCAGTCGATCAAGGCGAAATCGGCCGCGATAACGAAGTTTGTTCCCAACATTCGGAATCAACCCGGGAGTACCCCGTCGGCGAACTCTAACAGGCTCCAAGCTGAGCTTCGGGCAAGAGACGAAGCTGAGGTCGATCTTGCCAGAAAGACAGGAGACTTCTCTCTTTACGGTATTTTCAGTCCTACGATTCGTGAAGCAGGCTAACGTGAAAGTAGGGTATTATTTCCGCTTCGTCGGCCTAGTAAATCTACTTCTCATTGTTGGGTGCACTGCCTCTTACTCGTTCTCCATAACAACACCACAGCTCTGGCTTCAGTTATGGATGGAATCCGGCAATGGAAATACCGTATTCTACACTTGCGGTTACATGTTCCTGTCCCTCATGTCATGGTCATCAACTAATGGAATTATGTGGTAAGTTTCCTTTTGACTTGGAACTTGGTAGTTCTTTTGACCGGGTAACTAGGTCTACGGTCATTCGAATTGCCCCCCAGTCTGGGATACGCTTGCATCACCGGTTGTTGGATATCGTCACCAGGTAAGCACCTTATCCGCGACCAAGAACATGTATCAATTGACATTCTCTAAGGGCGCCGCTCTCCTATTTCTCCAACACCGACAATGGGTCAATTCTGAATAGGTTTGGAGTTCCGTTGTCTAGGACCGTGCCGCTGCTGAGAAGCAATTAGATTCAGCCAAGACATACAACTCCTGGACAAGCAACTACCATCAGCACTCGCGAACACGACAAATCGTGAGTCGCATGCCGCGTTCTTCTCGCAACCCCGCAAACATTAATTGTCCAAGAAATTTTCAAGCTTCTCATGCAAGCCGCCCTTCTTCTGATGGCGCAGAAATACCTCGCGTTATCTCTCCCGGCCTGCGTGGTCCTAGTCTACGTGATCCAGAAAGTTTATCTCCGGACATCACGGCAGCTCCGATTTCTCGAGCTAGAATCTCGCGCCGCGGTATTTTCGAGTTTCTTAGAATCTGTCAGTATTACTTTCAATCTCATAATACGACCTAATACTAACTTTAATCAGGCTGAAGGCCTTGAAACCATCCGCGCCTTTGGCTGGCGCCGAGAAGCAGCACGGGAAAACATCGTACGCGTGGAGAACTCGCAGCGCCCCGAGTTTCTTCTCTTATCCCTGCAGAGGTGGCTTAATGTTGTTCTTGACTTGCTCGCAGCAGCGATGGCAACAGGTGTTATTGCCATAGCGGTCGCGTTGCGTGGCCAGGTCAGTGGAGGCCAGATCGGAGTGGCCCTCAACGTGATGCTAGTTGCGAATACCACATTGCTACGACTGGTGGAATCGTGGACTACCCTAGAAGTCTCGCTCGGTGCCGTTTCACGCTTGAAGACGCTCGAGAGAAACGTGCCGCCCGAGGACAGAATCGAGGAAAACTGTGAACCCCCGGCCAATTGGCCATCCCGAGGGCGTATCAAGTTCAGAGGTGTCACCGCTGCGTATCAGTAGGTTTTCTACCTCGTGAAGCCGAACTGTCTCCCACCGAGACATCTAGCTAACCCTCCGACAAAGCGCCGACGCTATTGCATTACGGGACATCAACTTAGACATCGCTGCGGGGCAGAGACTCATCCTCTGCGGGCGCACCGGCAGGTAAGCCATAGACGGCGGCGCGAGACGCATATTCCGACAATCTCACAGGGAAATTTTAAGCTGACTGAGAAAAGTGGGAAAAGCTCACTACTTCTGACGCTCCTACGGATGCTCGAGCTGCGGTCCGGCAGCATTGAAGTGGATGATATCGATATCAGCCGACTGCCGCGAGACACCATACGCCGGCGATGTTTCGTCACGGTTTCTCAAGATGCTCTACTCTTATCGAACGAAACCCTGCGGTCTAATTTGGATCCGGACGGGATGCTGTCGGACGATGCTATTGTTAGAGCGTTGGAAAGAACAGCGCTGTGGCAGCATTTTATTAAAGGAGACAAGGGACCTGCGGGCTCGGTTTCGGAGCCGACCGTGCCTGGCGATCTAGCCGCGTTCCGCGACCACCCGGTCCTCGACCGAGAGGTCTCGTCTTTCCCCGAACTGTCTGTCGGGCAGTGCCAGCTCTTTGCACTGTCGCGGGCGATCCTCAAGGTCAACGTTCTCCGGAACGACGGCGTACAGCCGATCATTCTCCTGGACGAAGTCACTGCGGCCCTGGATCATGCTACAGAGTCGACCCTCCACGGGGTTATCGACCAAGAGTTCACCGCGGCTGGCCACACCGTCATTACCGTCACTCATAGGGTGGGAGTCTTGCGGGAGTATGCGAGGCCCGGCAGGGATACCTTGGTAGAGCTTAGAGACGGTCGTGTCTACGACGTTGTGATCGAGATGGGCACAAACATCTCATCGGATTCAAGTCAAACTTTCTAAATAAGAGGGACACGTGGAGGTCCAAGAGGGTGCTAGGTACAAGGGCCGATAGCGTTATACAGTATATAATCAGAATGTGATATGTTAGGCTATTATGTCTATAAATAATTCAAATCGCTGACTGTGCTTCCACGCCGGTACCTCTAACCCCTAACCTCTCCCCCCCCCTCTTGTTGAGCTAAGGTAATAGTACGCCGCTGCGACGCTTGAGTTAATATTCTTTAAGTTACATACTTGGCGTCCTGCTGTTAGGGTGCCACTTCAAACCCAAATTGTACCATAACCAACTGCTCTAGCCCTGTCTAACTTACGTAGTCAGGGGCAAAGGTAGTATATATAGGATGCTATGAAACAGAGGGGTTAGTAAAAAGGTAGGCTTATACCTTCTACTTAGTATTTTCAGTTAACGCGATACGCAGTTTTCGTTTAAATTTAAAATAAAGCCTGAATTATTCTAGTCTACAGAATAAATCGAGCTTATCTTTAGCGCTTATTGAAGAGAAACAGCGTAGTGTAGTGGTACGGTGGGACTAGGCCACGTAGCCTTTTGGATGAGTATTTGTATGGGTCTCGCACCCAGATTTTCATAGATCAGACTTGCCATCGGTAGGCATCACCACCTACAGCTCTATTCACTCCTTTTACGAATGCCTTCAATTGCCATCCCATTCTAGTCTTTCCCAGCTGCCGTTTTCAGCTGGCCGATCAACTGATCAGCTGTTTGCAGCTGTGATCTAGTTTGATCGGCACTGGGCCAGTTGTTGGCAGTTGGGTAGCCCTTTTCGTGCCTCCATCACAGCGTGCCCACGCTGCTCCTGTTCAGTACTTACAGAAGCTATAATTACTCTATATAGGTATAAGGCCTATCGTAGCGTATTACGTGATGTATTAAGAGAGCATGTCTTGCCGTACCACTACAGTATGACCTCTTTAGAAATAAGAAGTTTGAAAAGGTAAGGAGTATAAACTTAGCTGTATACAGAGTTGAAAAAAAAAGTTTAAGTTTCTAAGTTAAGTTTAAGTTTTTTAAGTTAAGTTAAGTTTGGTTAAAACTTAACTTAAAAACTTTCTTTTGCAACCCTGCCTGTATATCTCTCAATGCTACACACTACATTACCTTTTACTACCTACCTAGGTACCTAGGTATTATAGGTTAGGTTAGGTAGGTACTGAGTCTATGGTATACATACCTGATCGCGGTAACCCGGAGTACCCCACACCTTGTGGAAGCATCGCTTAAACTAAATGAGCAACACCTTAAATCTTCATACGCTTAGGCAGCCCCGACCGGCTACCTTTCTGTCCTGACTCATCCCCAAAACACCCTGCACTTACTACCTACAAAATCAGCGACAGAATCCCTAACACTCCCTCACGGCAAACACCATATATGATCTTAGACCAGGGCGCCCTAGCCATTTCCCACCGACACAACGTCGATCATCACAGACCAAGACGCTCATCGCATTCGCTGCTGTCATTAGCGTACAGAACTACGCTGCACGTATTTGCAGCCGTACCGGCGGTAATTGACTAGCCGTCACGACAAAGTAGGTACCTATCAAAGTCGTCGATCAATAGAGAGCCGCAGAAGCTGACATGCCGACTGGGCAGAAATCGCTTCACTGCCTTCTTGTCGCACGGCTACCTACATTCACAATGGCCACCCCGCCCGAGAAGAAGCTGACGTCAGAGTACACCACTCCTTCGAAAGATAAGGCCAACTTCTCGCCTCAAGAGCCGACTCCCACCCAAGGAACTCTGATGAAACATCTCCCGGTCAAAGGCGCTCCAGGAAAGGGATTTCCTGGTGGCATCCGACCTTTCTTAAAGGGCGTTTCTCTAACTCCCATTCGCAAGCGCCGAACCAAGATTTCGCTGTCTCCAGTCGAGATTCCCGAGAAGGCATCGGCTCTGAAGCACTACTCGTCCACGGGATTCGGCACGCCGACCCAGACCGTCATCGATGAGAGTGCCCGCAACGCGGTCATCGACGTTCCCACCTCCAGTCTTGACTTCGAGGACTTTTCCTTCAGAGCTCATGACGGATGGTTAGAGCCTAGAAGCCTCACCGAGGAACAGAACAAGGCTCTTAGAGAATACTTATTCAACGAGTTCGACCTCGTCTCGATTAGCTACTCCTTCCCATTCCTTGTCCTGCAATGCTCTGGAGACGCTCCGGCCGAAGACAATCGCCCCTTCACTATTGCTGGCGCAATCGCAGTCTGGCAGTTAGAGAACGACGACTATTTCCTACCACTGTTTGGGGAGGATGCTGAAGGGGACATCATCGAGATCGATGATGAAATCGCCGCGATGATGAAGCCCCTCACCCGTCCCCCTCAGGAGGTCATTGACTTCTTCGCCTTCAAGCTCGTTCCCGACTGCATCGGCTTGGCAGTCATCTACAACACAATCGTCATCGAGCTTCCAAAGGTGGACAAAGAGACTTTCATTCAACGTCTCTATACGCTTCCTCGGGACATTCGCCGGATCCCTTTCCGGTTGCGGTACTGGAACGGCCCTCTACCAAACTCCGAGAGACGTGGTCGCGTCGTTGAGCCTCGACCGGAAGTCAAGGCGAAACAAGTTGCGGACGAAACTGATTACGTCCAACTCGATGGAAAATTCTACCCGGGAACTATGATCCAGTCTCAGCCATTCCGTCAGAAGGACAGTGACGGCAATTGGATGTTCGCATCAGGACAAGCTACGGCTGGGATTCTCGTCGAAAAGAATGGTGAAAAGCGCCTCACTTGCTCATACCACAACTGGGAGCCGCTGGTTGAAGAAGCTCCTGGTCTTTTTGGCCAGTCAACATCTGAGGCAAAACACAAGTTCCAGGTGTTCCAGGGCGATCCCGGCACGAATGTTGGCTTTGTACGGGAGCGAATGTATAACACAGATGTCGCCCTTGCTCAACTGAACGGCGACATCTCCTTCGACAACAAATTCATGGAGGTTGAAGCTGAACCCAAGAAGCTTGTCCGCAGTACCGATTGTGAGATTGGTGATGAGTATATCATTGACTCGTTCGCAGTCGGAAAGCAGAAACTCAAGGGCCTGGGCTGGCGCTACATCAAGAGGATTAGGGGCCGTGGCGCCTTCTACCATGAGAAAGGCAAACCTATTAACTTAGCAAATGAGCCTCAGCTGCACCAGACCTACATCGAACTGCGACAGGGAATATGCGCAACGACCGCCGAAGTCATGAGAAAGGTGCCATACATCCGAGATAGCGTCTGCGGAAGTGTCCTTCTGAAGGCCGAGAAAGCTGGTAGCACTCGCAACGTCATCAACGTATTGCACGAAGGCGGAATATGCGGTATGTTGCATTATGCAGACTTGCAACTGAAGAACGTGGAGAGAGCCGAGTACTTCCTTTGCTATGCCGACGCATTCGACTCACTCATCGACGATGGCTGGACAGTCGCGCAGTAATATCCCTTTTGTCTTGCCACGAACCCTCCTGCGTTAGAGCAAGGGAATCATACTGTAGTGGTGCGGTGGGACTAGGCCACGTATAGCCTTTTGGATGAGTATTATATGGGTCTCGCACTTATATTTTCATTGATCAGACTTAGACTCGTAGATATCACGCCCTACAGTATCACGATAATACCCCGTTTCCGTAGCTTCTTCCGAACCAACTGTCTAATTCCGTGCCGTCGTCTACAAGCTTAGGAAAACAATGTGATATCTCTTGCGCCGAAGGTCAAGGAGAACGCTGGACCTGATATGGGACAATTGGTAGATTGGCATTAAAATGGAGAGAGTGAACCAATAATTTTTGACAACAAGCCTAAGAAATGAGTCCAACGGTTTGAAAAGATCAACGTTCAGAGTATTTATACGTCCTAGCGGAACGGCCAGCGCTACCGTAGGTGTTTTGCCCTCGTATGTGCTTGTCTCAATCCGGGCCTTGGCCAACTGCCTTTACGGGCAGCGTGCCTAGGCTTCAGCGTTCATACTCCCCCCTCGAATAAGGAAGCAGAACTGATAACTCCTACACGGTCACTAAGCCAGCAGTCTATTAAGACGATCAACCGCCAAAGCTTCATCCCATTCGAAAACCATCCTACGCAAACGCTCATCTGCCTTGGCTGCGACCAGGTCACTCATTGCCGCCTTCTGTGGCTCCGAAAGTAGATGTAGCCTAGCGCGGTGGTCTTGGTCCTCGTTTGGCCCGAAGTACCGCTCATCCAGGAACTTCCACCAGATGAAGTCGAACGCCCAGCTGCTTCTTACCGCGTAATTGACCATCCAGGTCCGCTCTTCCCAGCTCTTTCTCATGCTCTGGGAAAGCAGCGGAGCGGGCGCGCCACCGTCATTGTCGGGAAGCGATGCAACACCGCTCGTCCCTGCTGCCATCTTCTTCTCTTCGGCTTCTAGCATGCGGAGAAATGTGTGAAACCGGGGCTCGTAAACCTTCATCCACTCACTGTACCCGCCAGGCCAGTATTCTGGCTCGAGCAGGAGCAGCCACCAGGGCGGGTCGAAGGTAAACTCGGCCGGCGCCGCGTAGGCAAACTCCCAGTCTATGACACCGACGACTCGGAGATCCTCGTCTAGGAGGACGTCGGCCGGCCTTAGGCCCTGGAAGAACAGCTTGAAAGAGCGGGCGGACGGTCCCTGATCCGGCCAGAGATTATTCGCATCGACGAGCCTCCGGAACAGCTTGCGCGCAACGTATTTATCGCGGACATCGTCGTCATTTTCCGTCGTGTCGTTGTGCTGGAGCGCGAGCTGGGCCATGTGCATATCTACAAGGGCGCCGTACCATTCTTCCGCCGTACCATAGGTCTGAGACGGGAACACACGCGTTGGCATGTTCGTGTGGATAATCAGCTCATTCATATTCGTCGCGAAGGGCCTCCTCCCAACGGTTATCGAATCGCCCTCGTGTTCTTGGGCAAGAGAGCCGATGCGGGGGAAATTCAGCGAGGACAGCTGTAATAGGATGTTGGCGATCTGGCTATACAGAAACTCCAGTTTCTCTTGTCCGATCCCGGGATCCAAGACAGGGCGCTCGTCAATCGGACGTCTCGGATCCAGCAGCGCTCTGGACATGTTCCGGTGGTGCTCAATGTAGTCCATAATGATGAACGGTCCAAGTCCAGTCGGGTTTTCCGCAGCGGTTCCGTAATGGACGACCCGAGGAACCGGGATAGTGGTGTTCGCGGCGACGTATCGCATCGTTGCTACTTCATCGAGAACCTTCTCGTCGGGAAACGCAACAAGACCTTGAAACAGTCAGTTTGACGACTTGTGTGTTCAGTATGGCCAGTGAACGATACCCTTAATCGGAACTCTCATTATCAACGAGGTTCCATCTTCGAAGTCAAGGCGGTACACGACGTTGTAGCTCCCCCTGATTACGGTGTGCATCAGCGTTGGTTTGACGTCCTTGTATTTCCGTATGAACTCTCCGACCTTGCGACGTGTCTTGCTGGTCCTAGCCGACTCAAACCACGCATCGCTATCCTCTTCGAGCTCCTGCCATACAAGGTCGTCCTTGCGTGCACGGAGATGCCTGGCTTTGCTAGGCATATTGACGACTCAAGGAATCCGAACTGGATAATGCGATGGGAGGTATTACGGCAGGATGTGGATTAAGGGGAGTTTTTCAACCAACCCAACCATGGAAGCGGGGTTACTTTTTCACTGTCTTGATTCCTCAGGCAACAACTTGCTTGAGGGGGCCAAAAGAAGGGATAAACAGAAATGCTGAAAACCAAAGGAAACGGAGCATACAGGCCGGCTTAACTCATCCCCTACCTATACCTCCTGAAGATTCCGTTAGCTTCCAAAACTACCAACCACACCGCCCGCTACACCGACACCATTATCACCACCAGCAAATTAGCTACCTACATGACCACCAACTTGGCTACGCCACCACCAACATGTCAACCTCACGACCACCAACAACAACTGCACGGCTACTAGCAAGTCAGCTGTACGACTGCCAACTTGACTACGCCGCCACCAACACGTTGGCTGCACAGCCACCAAGTCAACTACACCACTACCAACAAGTTAGCTGCATGACCATCAACTTGACTACGCCGCTACCAACACACTAACCGCACGACCGCCACCAACACATTAGCTGCAAGGCTACCAACACGTTAGCCGCAAGGCTTACTAACACGTTAGCTGCAAGGCTACCAACAGGTTAGCTGAAAATGCATTTAGGAGAAAATTCCATAACCCTTATATCACGTAGATGGGTAGAGCTACGTGTGCGGCCGAGGTTGCTCTGCTGTAGGAGCAGGGGAATGTGGATTGAAGAAGTTGTATCGACTGACTAGCTAGCAAGGAAGGAAATGGATAAATACCTATATATACAGTAGGGACCTGCGAGCTCTGTTAGGCAACCGAGCAGCCAGTGAAGAAGTAGAGAGCTAAGTATAGGTGGCTCTCTACGTGACACCTTATTTAAAAAATAAGAATAAAAACCCCCGGGGTAAAGCTCAACATAAACCAGGGTTTTCGTTTAACCCGGTTAGAGGTTGAAGTATTGTACAAGGGACTATTTAGACTCATCTATAACCTGAGTGAAACGAAGAGAATTCGGTCCCACTATTCCGAAGTTTATACACTAATAAGTAATGAAGCATGGGTGCCTTTGTAGATACATGCTGCGCCGATAATCACATAGCCATTTCACCACGAGGCAGTGAAGGAGCTCTGGGAAGGCGGTTCTGTAAATATATGTCTCTGGGTGCCATGGTAGAAGCGGCATCATTTGACTTTGTCACAAGATGTGCGTAGGCATGATGGACAAGGCGCTGTCATGGTGGTAAGTGGAAGAAGATGGCCATCTAATCGGCCATCCGCATCCGGTGATGGGCGGCCCCGGGGACTGATGTAAAGGAGGTGTAGAGTTGTCGAGGCAAGGCCAGCGCGTATAGAAATATATAACGGGGACGGATCCTCAGCAACAATTCCCTCTCTGCCACAACCCCAAGAGCTGTTTGAGTCCAAGTCAAGATTCTCAAGCCAATCCTGAGCGTCGCAACCATTCATCCTGTTTGAACGTGTCAGGAACACAACCTTTCCTCCGGGCGATAAAATTTAGCAATTCAAAGTAAAGTCATTGGATTACTCACCATACAGATGGCCGATTGTTGAGCTTGAACTTGCTAACAGCTGAGCAGGATTTCAGGATGTCGTACAACGATAACCTCAGACTTCCCAACGATGAGGAGCGAAGATTGATGAGAGAGGCGGCGGATGCCGCTAAGAGAGCGCGCGAAGAAGCCCGGAGTCGGCGTGAAGAAGAGAGCTGGAGCAGACGAGCAGCCGAGAACTCACGGAGGCGTGACCAAGAGAGCTTGGGGAGACGAGCAGTGGAGAACCTAATGAGGCGTGATCTAGAGAGCTGGAGGAGACACGCAGTCGAGAACTCACGGAGGCGTGACCAAGAGAGCTTGGGGAGACGAGCAATTGAAAACTCAATGAGGATACGTCAAGAGAATGAATATAAGGACAGCTTCAGCCTCAGGCTTCCTAACGATGAGGAGGAAAGACGGATGATAGAGGCGGCGAAGGCGGCCAAGAGAAGGCGCGAAGAAGCCAGCAGGCGGCGCGAAGACGATAAATATAAGGGCAACTTCTTCTAGCCCTCGAGGAAAGAACAGCAGGAAATAGCCTCTTTTGCCTTAGGGGGTTGCTTAGCGGGGGAACGGTCTTTTTCGGATTTTGCTCTGGTATTACCCTGGGTCGTGTCGGTCTCTTCCTAACGTATGAATCTTGTCGCAGCCAGTTAGCCAGCCAGTTGGTCAGTCAGTCAGTCAGTCAGTCGGTCAGTCAGTCAGTCGGTCGGTCAGTTAGTTAGTTAGTTGGTTAGTTAGTTGGTCATCTTTGGAAATTCTGGGAATGATATCCATGCCACCACCATTCCTAAAAGTGAATGTGAAGAACCGTCGGCTGCTCGTGTGACCGCAAACTGCAAGACAATTCTTCGAGACAAAGGTGGGTGGCACCGACGATGGACTATGCTTCTGGCGTCTGGTTACACGCGTGTGGAGAGAAATAAGGCCTAGTAGAACAGGGCACAGAAAATTTGAGCGCGGGAAATAACGGGCGCGCTGGGAAGTCGTAAATATTACGGGGTAGAGAATCAACCACACCACCTGAATTGGGTTGGGGAAATTCGTAGGTATATCGTTGACCTGGACGTCCGCTATAAACATATTCATCTAGGTGCTTCTTCTTTAAGTCTTGGATGCGCTGGAGCGGCAGCTGACTGATGCTCTGAATTCTTGATCTCGTAGTTTGGACGAGTAGAGTTTCTCTAAAGTTTCTATACAAGGCGACTGACTGCAGGAATCGGAACTTGGGGCTTTTTTTTCTTGGAGGCCAGGTGCGGAGCCGCAAAGAAACATGAAAGTATCAGCTCCGTAATAAGTTTGGACAACACTCTTAAATTCATCGACGGCCTATAGACAAAGGGACACTGCGCCTCGAACAACACCGCTACAGGTCTTGTGGCAATATTCGTCTTGCGAACAGGCATCCCGGTGACGTGTCACATGATTGTTATGTGCCCATCCCGGCTCTTCCGAGTCCTCGGTACCGCATCCGCCTCCGCTTACAGTCCCCCCTGTCTCCCGTGCGTCCTCCCCCCTCGCTCCGTCTCGTCGCCCCAGTTCCACGACCTCTCCACCTCCGCGGCCAGACTTTTCGCTCTCCGCCTCGCCGCGCCCGCCGCCGTGGCCGGGTCCTCGAACCGCACTCGAAACGGGGATCGCCCTCGGTCCTCGAATCTCCCACGGTCCTCGAATCTTCCGCGGTCGTCGAACCGCCCACGGCCCCGGAACCGGCCGCGTCTCGCGGCAGACACGCCGTCGTCCCAGTCGGTGCCGTCGTCGGCGGCGGACTCGGAGACGCGCTCGGTGGTAGTAGTGGTAGTGGTAGTAGTGAAAATGCCGGGGTCGTCCTCGTCGCGCACCTCGAGCTGGAGGGCGCGCGCGTGCAGCTCGGCGGCGTCGCGGTAGGGCAGGTCGGCGAGGGGGGCGGGGCGCTCGGTGGCGCGCAGCCGCGCGAGGGTGCACAGGTGCGAGCCGGCGGGCGCGAGCACGGCGTCGAAGTCGGCCAGCGTCGCGTGCGCCGGCGCCACCGCCACGTAGTGCTCCGGCGGGCCCCCGTACCTGGCCCCGTAGTCGACCACCGGGAAGCTCAGGTCCGGCGTCCGCTGCGCCGGGATGTACACCTGCGCGTACGTGCCGAAGCGGCCGCGCGAGCGCGAGCGCGAGCGCGGCCCCGCCGGCGACCGCTCCCCGCTCCGCGACGTGCTGTACGTCGTGCGCTCGCGCGACCAGTGGCTGCGCCGCGGCGAGGAGAACTCGCTCCGGTAGTGGTAGTCCGGGAACTCGTACCAGCTCATATCTACGCTGGGGCCAGGGTACACGCTCTCCCGAATCGTGAACCGTGTCTGCTCATAGTGGTCTTGCCGGTGAGGTGTTTTCTCTTGTTCTTTCCTCTCGTGGTGTTATCGGGTTTGTGTTGGGTGGTCCGCAAAGCAGCAGGAAGATCTGGGGACGCAGCGTATATTTATATGATGGTGGCCCTTCCATCACAACGTTCATGGTCTCTGGTAGGGAACGGGTATGAGTGGGCGTTCCATTCATTGATGTTACCGTCCATGAATAGGTGTCTATGTAGTCGATTATCGGGGAAACATGTATGTTTGTATTACCTGCGTTGTTGTGAATGCCCGAACTTGGAAGACGAAGCTTAGATGTAAGCAAGTCACTATTATCGACCATTCAGGTACACATCTGAATAGAGAGCTATCGTGACAATATGTAAGTGGCCCATCGCGGAAGCCATGTGGAGCTGGCACCTCTGGAGGATGATTGTCTAAATTGACAATCTCAATCGGCGCGGAAACAACAACTGGGACAATACCACTACCTACGTTCCTACAAGCGTCGAAGAAACAGGAGAGCTTGAACTACAGCTGGAGGCTGCCGGGGCTGTTGACTCTGAGTGGTTCAGAGTAAGAAGAGCAATAATTGACATGGTGATATGGGCGGGTTAGATTCGTGGATACTGGTTCTGCAGATATACCTACGGTAAGTGCCGAGTTGTCACAACAGCAAACCTCGCTCGCTACGAACTCGGACGCGAGTCGGAGGTTCTGCCGGCGGGCCCGGCATGGCATCTGACACCGTTTCCACCCTCTGGTGTTTCTATTAGTTAACTTCGGCCACTATCGTAGGTACCTATTTCTAAGCGACTCAGCTGTGGGATTGTCTCCATCTCGAGGTCCGGGTTCAAAAACGTTCGTGTCGTTACTTGCCAAGAGCCCAAGACATAAAAAGTACCTAACTAGATTCCTTCACCTCGATAAGAGAGCAAAGTCTACATATAGAAATGCACATCCTCGGTATGTGCGAAAGCGTGCAAGTCGATTCCAGAGGTGCACGCTCCGTAGGCTGCCACTAGCGCCAATGCTCTGTGGCGCTGTACCTCGGGGGATGCCGAAACCGCCTGTGGCTGGAGCGGCAGAACCATGAACGTGGCCCAAAGGCGACGCCGTCCTTTTTTAGTCGCGCCGGGGCCATTTGAGTATCGATCCCGAGTCGTCGAAGGTACTCGAGTTACTACGAGGTAGTGCTACCAGAGGAGGTATGTACATAGCAGTAACCAGGCCAAGTGTAATATCAGTAGTCCGTTCGTTTCCTCAGCCGTGATTACATAAGGCAGGCAGGTACTTCGAGACAGCTACGTAAGTTGCCGAAAAGACCACCTTACTCCAAGTATTAGCCCGGCCACCGGTCGCCCGCAAAAAATTGCACCCAGAGGCCTATTCCCAATCCATCTCGCACCTTTCCCTCAGTCCAACGAACTGGCCTGCATCCTTCCCCGAGTTTCCCATCCTTAACCCCCAACAGCCTGCCTGCGAAGCGCAACACCAAGGACTCTCCTCTGCTCGTCCCACGCACGCCTAGCGGCCGCTTTCCTTCGTCGTCACCCCTCTCGTCTCCCCCTCGTCTCCTCCTCGTGGCCTTTTCGTGATCGCAAAGATGGCTGCGCTGAGTCCCCAGGTGTAAGTTTCCTCCTCGCCTTCTCGGTCGGCACGTGTGCGCGCGAGCCAGCGGCTAACCGGGGGACGCTCACGCGACAGCACCAACATCATCATCATTCTCGGAATGATGCAGGTGTCCAAGCGAATCCCCTTCGACGATCCCGACGTGCTCAACATTGTCCGCGCCGTGTACGTGACCAGCAACGTCATCATCGTCGGCATCTACCTCTACGTCCAGCTGCAGGTCAACAAGAAGAAGGGTACGTGGTGTCCGCCCGTCCGAGCGCGCGCAGGCGTTGGCACTAACCTAGCACGTCGCGTCCGCAGACCTGACTACGCTCAAGTACGTCGAGCCGGCGCCGATGGGCTCCTCGGAGGAGGGCAAGCTCGTGACCACGACCGTCCAGGCGTACGACTCGCAGCAGCTCAAGAGCTCGTTCCGATCGCAGCTGATGGGCGTCGCCATGATGGCCTTCATGCATCTGTACCTGAAGTACACGAACCCGCTGCTGATCCAGTCCATCATCCCCCTCAAGGGCGCGCTCGAGTCCAACCTGGTCAAGATCCACCTCTACGGCCAGCCGGCGAGCGGAGACCTGAAGCGCCCTTTCAAGCAGCCGGCCGGGCTCACGAGCGGCCTCCAGAGCGGGCCCGCCCAGAGCGACAAGAAGGCTGTCGAGGCGGCCGAGCGTGCCGGCCGCGGCGGCGCGAAGGACGAGTAGACGCGCAGCCTACCAGAGGTTGTAGACATGAATGGAAAATTTTGGAGGAGTTCGGGTTATGCATGAGGCTGGCAATGCAGACTTGTAATATTGCTGTTTATCTATCGTCACTACGGCTTGAGTTATGCAGATGTTGGTATACATGAAAGATGAGCATACAAGACATGCATCTCCTCTCGTCCCTCTGTGACTACAGTGCCACCAAGCAGGTCCATTATCGCGCATACCTACCTGACAGGCACCCCCAATAGAGCCATATCCCCGATGGCGCACGCCATAGTTACCTGTGCATCCCCGTTCCCATGCTAGCCGATGCCGGGTTAAGGCTCGAGTTGGCATAACGGGGCTCGTGTCTTCTGTTGGTGGGCGAATGTGGCGTAAAAGTAGTCCGATCCGCGACGAGGCACGCGTACGGAGTCGTATAGATACCTACATTCCCATTCATTTTCTCCCGAAAGTTGTTGCAGGCTGGGCTCGCTGATTCTGGAGAATTTCATCACCGCCAAGTCGACTCCGGAGGAACCGCCCAAACCTAGCTGTCATAGGGCATCCCACCGGCCAAGGCAGACGGGATTCACGAGACACATTCATTCAGCAATTCATAAAGTGTAACTAGGTAGCCCGCCCGGAATTGGAACTTTTGGAGCACATATCTGTGCTCATTTCCACCGTTTCATAACCGTTCCGTTTCAGGCCTCATGCTTACGGTTATCGCGTGGAGCGCGGCCGCGGTCGGCAATCGCGGCTTTCGCTGCGCGCGCTCCCGCTACCTCGCGAATCTCAATTGGTGATGCTATTGAACTCTGGACACCCATTGCTGCCCGTTTTCTCGACCCCAACGTGAAGCGAACCCCGCCAACCCCGCGAACGAACGAACATGCCACTATCTCCAGAAGCATGCGAGTAACTCGTACAAGCTTCCAGAATGGCGTCCTCCACGGCCTCCCGGCACCTTACATCCCTTCGAGGAGCGCTGCTAAAAGGCTAAAGAGCAGCAGTTTCTCAACCAGGAGCCCATGTTAGGCAGGCCTCAATACGCCTGCAGCAATTTTCGGCGGCCTTTGCTGAGACAGTGTTATCCCCCGGCCGGGATCGATTGGAGAATTAGACTCGGTCACGGACGAGACGGAGTCGTCTATGAAGTTAAAATCGGCGGCCGTATCTTCGCCCTCAAAGTAGTAAGTTTCCTTTTCGCCAGTGTGGCTGGGTGCGACCTACTAACTATCGCTCTCCTATCCTAGTTCTGGGATAATAAACCGCCAGACGGCTTACTTGCTTGGGCTATCCAGATAGAATGTAATGTCACAATGCCGCGCTCCTGCAAATGATCCAATCCACTATCGAGGACTCCACCGAGCCTATATACCTTAACCCGGAACCGAAAACGTTCCAAGACGCTCTCGCGAATCTCCACGCCTTCTCCGACGAAGGACGCCGCAAGCAAAGGTTTCGAGACACGCCTGGCGCCATTCCCTATTCCTCCGCGCCGCGACTCCGGCAATGCTTCGGCTGGACGAAGGTCAGCGGCAAAGAGCTGTACGCTCTGCGTCGAGAGATGTGGCCCCCGCGAGCGGTTCTAGGTGGCCTCGTGCGTGAAATACGGCCGAGCGAAGAATACTACGCCATTGTGTACGAGTTGATCCCCCAAGACCAGCCTGCTATGGATGTGCATGTCACGCAGTCGCAGCTGGACTTCTTTTGGCTAGTTGGGTTTTGCTTCGTACCAATGCGGCTTGAGAATTGGGCAGGGCCCGGCATGTTGTTGGATATGGCGGATATCATATGCCCCTGGCATGCCGGATGGTTCAAGGCGCTTTATAGACGGTTTGTGGTAACTAACCTGTCTTCAGACTGAGAAAGGGAGTTTGCGGTTGGTCCTCCGTTCGCAGTTTAGGTATCTGGTTTACGTCCCGAGCGCTGAAATCCGGCCCATCGGGGCGTGGCCGCCCGTGGAGCTTGCTGGCCCCATTTCTAGAGCTTGGGATGGGTTCAATTTTAGACCCCCCAGAGTGGTTGGAGGGTCCAGAATGCGCTATAAGGGGCCGCCTGTAGCCCTAGATCTAGCCCTGTCCGGGGAGCCGAAAACTGACCCTAGTGACTGGTATGCCCTCGTATTAGACCCAGTATCAGCTTCGAGATTGCTTAGCGGCGGGCTTTGCTCAAAATCGTGTCCTCAAAACCCGCGGAAACTTCCTTCATAGCCACCTTCTTACCCTTTAAGCTAGAGGCCGTCACAGCTTGATAATCGTAAGAGCTGAAAGAGAAATGAAGCAAAGCTGGGTTTAATTAGGTAAAGATTTATTTACTGCCCGATCTACCTAATTGAATAAAGGCACCTTCTTACTTGCCCTACCCCCGGAGTGTATTCATCTTAAAATCTGTTTTTCTCCTTAAGTAGGTACCATATACGCGACTACACGCGCCTGTTCTGGCTCAGGGAGAAAGGAAGACGAACTTCCGACGTCACCGAGAGGCAGATCCAGGGAACCCAATAAAACACTGGCATTTCTCTGCTCACCCCCCCCCCCCTCCCAAAAGCCCGTCCGCTCACCTTAACTCTGATACCATCCTCAACGCAGACCACCTCATACCTACACCTTCAATACTGACCCGACCTGCCCGTTAACCCAACCAAATCCCACACCCAAGGACGCGCAAGCAGCATCCGATCACTCCTCTCCGCGGCCCAGTGAAGGATGGTGCGCCCTATCACGCCGCCACCACAAGCCCCAACCGCGGGCCCCTCCCAACCCGCCGCCTCTCCTCCCACTCCCGAACTCACGCGGCGCATCGTAAGTCGAGCACTCTGGACGCGAGAGAACTTCTCCGTAACGGGCAGTCGTGTCGGAGCTGTCGTCTAACGGGATTGGATTCTACGCAACAGGAAGAGAACCGTCTCCGAGCCAAAGCCCTTCGCGAACAACATGAGGCCGCCGCCCGCGCAGCAGGCATACCTGCCGTCTCCAAGACGCCCTCGGGCTTCGTCGCCACCGATGAAATACGCATCCCGAACACACGCAAGCGCGCCTACGATGCCATCTCCACCGCCGTTCGAGTTCGTGAGACTCCCTCCACCAGCCGCGACGGCCGCGCGAACGGAGCCCCGCCGGTCAAGGGTGGTGCCACCGGTACTGGCACGCAGCCGCCGACGGGCAAAGACGAGGGCGCTATCCGGCCGGCGAGGAATTTCGCCAAGTACGTCGACTACGACTTCGGCAAGATGACCGACACGAAGGGCGGGTTCTTGAGCACCGAAGACGACCCCTGGAATAAAGCCATGTCAGGGTCCGTCGCATCAGGGAGCAAGGGTAGCGGACCAGGCGGCGAGGGCGTGGAGGAGAAGCCCAAAGGGATGACAGCCCAAGAATGGGAGCGATTGCAGCTGCTGCGGCAACTCCAGCGGCAGAAGGCCGGGCCGTTCGAGCCGGGTTTGAGCGTGCTGCAGGACAAAAAGGAGCGGAAGAAGTGCCGCGAATGCCGCAGCCTAGAGATCGACTTCGTTTGGGAGGAGGTATTCGGCTGCGCCGTCTGCGGTCAATGCAAAGAAAAGTTCCCCGAGAAGTACAGTCTCCTAACCAAGACGGAGTGTAAGGATGACTACCTCCTGACCGATCGTGAGCCCCCCTCCCATTTCCTATCCCCTACTCCACCCACCCGTTGAGCGCTGCCCACTCCGGGGGCTGTCACTTGACGAATCTCCCCCCCGGAGACAAAACGACTAACAAACACGGCGCAGCGGAGCTGAGAGACGAGGAGCTGCTGCCGCACCTGTCAAAACCCAACCCGCACAAATCGCACTGGCACGACATGATGCTCTTCCTGCGGTACCAGGTCGAGGAGTACGCGTTCGGCGAGAAATGGGGCTCGGCGGAGGCGCTGGACGCCGAGTTTGAGCGCCGCGAGGCGGAGAAGAAGAAGCGGAAGGAGGCCAAGTTCAAGGAGAAGCTGCTCGACCTCAAGAGGCGGACGAGGACGGACGCGTACCGGCGGCAGCACGGGAGGCTCGGCGGCGGCGCGGGGTCGGGGCCGGCGTCGTCGTCGAGTAAGAAGGCCAAATTCGGCGACGCCATCCCGAGCAACGGAAAGCACGTCCATGAGTGGGGGCGGCCCGTCGAGAACGAGGACGGCGCGACGGTGAAGACGTGCACGGCTTGCGGCATGGAGGTCGAGGAGCTGGAGTTTTGAGGCGTCATGGATAGATATATATACTTATTACCTACCATTTGCCCGACAATGATACCCGCTGAGCATTTCTCTACGCGCTACCTGTCGGAGAAGTGTGACCTTGGTTGCGTCAAGGGTATCGTGGATGTAACGAACGCCGTGAATTCGTTGTGTGGCAGTTCCGAACATGGTTGGTACTATGGTTGCCACACTAATCAGCCGAGCCTTACTATCAAATTGTTGGTCCATCGGATAATAGTGCCTTGGCTTTATATTTCTTATAGTGACAACTTATACAGCTATAGAAACTTATAGGAGGCAACTGTTACGGAGTACGGCAAGCAAAACACATGATGTCATCTTTAGAGGACCCATTTATACCTACCAGAGGCATTCATCTTTCAAACTCATTAGGTATTATTATCACCCATGATAAGCTGATGATTTTGTTGGTGCCTCTTTAGGCATCATATTTTCCTACTGTCATAATCTGGGTGGTTTACATCGCCGACCCCCTATTCGAGCGTTATCTCGTCCACGTTCCGTCTTTCCTCTATACGGTTATCGTCCATAGCTAGGGAAAAGGCTACAAACACAATAGGAAGTCTAGACTAGATGTAACGCCGCTCAATTATTTTATCACACCTCGTGTCTCTTAGGGTTAAGCTCATTTTAGATTGTCCATTCTCTCGCTAACTCGGCGACGACGAGGCTCTAGACATCCATACGGACGTTCCATTTATATGGCTACCTTCGCCCCCCGGGGCATCGGCCAACTTCGCGCTTGAATCTTCGTCGCGTCGCGAGTCTCCGCCGTCGATCAATTTGTCAGCCACATACCTATTTCCCCCAACTTCTGCAAGCATTCCCGTGGCTGCTCACGAGATGCGTCCTTAGTAACGCCCCTGCTGCGCAGAAAACTTTACTGGGCTTCGGGTATCACATACTATAGATTGCCCGGGTAGACTCGGCTGAGGCCGAAGGCGCGAGTATGCGTGCGGGAGAGGGATATGCAGTAGTACCTATCTGTGATGACGACCCGTGGAGGCCGGTGAAGATGAACATAAAAGTGCTTGGGTGGTACTAGGGGGTTAGAATGATCATATACGGGATTCTCCATTGGCCGCGAAGTTATGCCAGACCTGTTGTTCAGCTCGTATTAATACGTCCCGGATCTTGCCCTGCTAGAACGGCGGAAGGCTCGCCGCCTTGACAGACGCTCAACCAGTGCGAAACTGGAAGACAAGCACAAAGACACACTATGCTGCCGCCGCTTTAGCCTCCCTAACGAGTGTGCTTGGGTGTGGTTTGATCTGCCTGCCGGACCGGTTGTCGGCACTCCTAATCTTCCTCTTCCGGCCTCTCCTCCGAGCTATCTTCTGAATTGTCCCGAGCCGCCCTCCGAGCTCTCTTCGCCCAGGCTCGCCGGCTCGTATAGGTAGGATTCCAATGTGACCGTATCCTCGATGCAGACGAGCGTCGTAATGAAATGAAAGTAGAGAAGGGCGAGACTGGACGCCTCTCGTTAAGGAACGTTATCAGTTCCTTTCCATCGAGCTCCTTGGCAGTAATACTTCCTAAGCGTAAGGGTGTTGTCGCGAGAAAACATAGACGCCTACATCTCTGTCGCAGGCTATTACGATGCCAACTGAAGACTCGCCTGGGGGTCTGGCTCTACCTGCTCCTCTTCTGGCGCCACGTGGACGGGAGCGGAAACAGATCAATTCTCGGTAGAGATGGGGATGGGAGAGGCGGCAGATGAGTTTTGCGATGCGCCGTCCCTGCCGGACCTTGAAAGGGCGAACTGTTTTGCAATTCCACAGTCAGCCAGCAAAACATAAGCCGCCGTCTACAATCTTACCGCCGAAAACGACCGCGTCGACTTCGCAAAGGCCTCAGCCGCAGCCGAATTCTTCTGTATTATACCTATATATCTCTACGTGCAGTAGAACCCAATACCGCCACCGATACACTGCCACAAGCGCTCCATGCCGCGACGGAGAAGTCCGGCATGTCTGACTGCACGGTCTGGCCCAATGCTTGGATGGACGAGGGCGACGATAACATCCGACGCCGAGGGAGGAGAGGACGTGGGGTGGTAGGGTGGCTGTTTATGATGTAGGTATCTACCTAACATGCGTGAAATCCTTGCTTCTGGCTCAGAACTTGGCCAACCGGGCGTAACGTCTTGGGCCGATTCTTGCTGAAGCACATTTCTAGACGCTTTCGGGGCTGCCTATTTGGCGGGGGTATTATTCGGAAAACTCGGACTTATTCGTCTGCCGTCCTAATCGCGACCAAGTCCCGGCGCGTGATGGCAACCCCCCCCCCGCATCTGCGATCAGCATCTCCAACGTGAACCGATTCGGTCTGGGCGGTGCCTACGTTGCGCATCCTGGGCGAGACATGTATGCCCATACATGTAAGGGTGGTGAAACAGTGCAGTCTCGCTACTCTCGGCCTCTTTGTGTCGGCTCTTCGCGCTTACGAGTTCCCCACGCAATACTGCCGAACATGTACGGGTCAACATATATAGACATATGCGGATGCATGTATGGATTTGCTGGGGATTCAATTGATCTTGTGTATGCGGTCACGACATGCCCAACACCATTTTCCTCTTCCACATGAACTAGGTCGAATATAATTGCGCACAAGAGAAAGTGGTTCAGAGCCGCACAATGGACGGCCTCTATCGCGTTGCCGGAGGCATCGAGAACCACCAGCTCGTGGCTCTCGCCCTATGCGCGGCTCTGCTAGCCGTACGTGTTTTCTAACCATATCCACCCTGAGGGAGTAGAGCAGCTGCAGATTTGTTCTAACTGCTTCGCCTATACCTGCCTACAGTACGTGTATACCGTCTTGAGTAGTCCTTTGGCAAAGATCCCGGGCCCGTGGTACACCAAATGGACTACGGCGGTGCTCAAGTATAACATGATCAAGGGGAGACGGCCGAAATGGGTTCACTCCCTACACGAGAAATACGGTATTATGCCACTGCTCGCCCCGCCTCCGTCCCCTCCCCCGACCTAATAATACCCTGCACCGCTGCACCACTAGTAACTGACACACACGCGCACGCGCGCAGGCCCGCTGGTGCGCATCGGCCCGGCCGAGGTCAGCGTGCAGGACCCGGAGGCGGTGCAGCAGATGTACGCGATCAAGGGCGAGTTCCTCAAGGGCCGGTTCTACAAGGACCTGCTGCCGGGCGAGTTCGAGAACGTCTTCTCCACCGCCGACGTCGACTACCACCGCCGCCTGCGCCGCCTGCTCGCCGCCGAGTTCTCCGAGTCCGGCCTCGCCGTCCACCGCCCGGCCGTCGACGCCAAGGTCCAACTCACGATCCAGCGCATGGCCGAGGAGATGGAGGAGCGCGGCGTCGTCGTAAGTTCCAGCTAGTCTTTTACTCTTTTTTTTTCCCCCTCCTCCCATCTATAAATGTGTGATTCGGTCTTCGGCGTGGAGAAGAAGAGGAGGAGGGAGGAGAATCATGCAGAGGCTGACTTCGCTGCGTCTTCGAGGACGTGTACCGCTGGTTCCTGTACATGGCCACCGACGTGATTGGCGAGCTCAGTTTTGGGTCTTCGTTCCAAATGCTGGAAACTAAAGAGGTTCGTGTTGCCCCGTCCCTCTCCCACTGTCACACTTGTGCCCCTTGACCCCCTTTTGCCTCACAGTCAGGCGAAAGGGGGGGGATCTCCATGGCGCCAAGGGCAACCTTGCTAATTCGGGCGCTCACCCCCCCTGGCCCCACTCGCTTCGTACAGGAGAACCAATACATCCGCGACCTCAAGCTGGTCGGGTTCGCGGGCGGGGTGCGGTCGACGTTCCCGTTCCTGACGTGGGTGAACAAGTTCGTGCCGCTGCCGGTGCTCAGCGTGGGGACGAGCGTGCGGGAGCGGATGCGGGGGTACGCGAGCGAGTCGCTGGCGCGGCACTACCGGCTGGCGGCCGGGGGGGAGGGCGCGGGCGCGGGTGCGGCGCGGCCGACGCTGCTGTCGAAGCTGTACCGCGCCGCGGGCGAGGACGCGCTGAGCTTCGGCGAGCTGCGCGAGAGCGCGACCGTCTACATCACCGCCGGCAGCGACACCACCACCAACACGCTGACCTACCTCGTCTGGGCCGTCTGCGCCCGCCCCGACGTCCGCGCCCGCCTGCTCGCCGAGCTGCGCGCCCTGCCCCCCGCCTTCGAGGACCCGGACCTCCGCCGCCTCCCCTACCTCGACCGCCTCCTCACCGAGACCCTGCGCCTCTTCAGCGCCGCCCCCGCCGGCCTCCCCCGCCGCGTGCCCCCCGCCGGCGCCCGCCTCGCCGGCCGCTGGCTGCCCCCCGGCTGCACTGTCTCCGCCCAGGCCTACAGCATGCACCGCGACCCCGCCGTCTACCCCGACCCGCTCCGCTTCGACCCCGACCGCTGGGAGAACCCGACGAGGGCCATGAAGGACGCGTTCGTACCGTTTGGTGGTGGTAGTCGGAGTGAGTTAAGGCTTTCCTGCATCCTCTTCTCTCGGCTGTGCATCCGTTGTCTAGCCTTTACCCACCCCCAATCCTCCCCTTCCCTTATAAGCCCCGGTTGCATCGTGCTCTTCCACGTACGACCATAGGATCTGGAAAACTCGGGATCCCGTCCGCTCTCCCCTTGGATAAACCAGATACCGCCAGATTAGTAGTTGGGTCGGTGACGACCAGCGAATCCCTGGTGTTGTACGTTTTTTTTTCCCCTTGCTTGATTTTGTTCTTGGGCTGTCGTCGGGTTGAACGCCTATTTCTCCGTACTACAGCTCCCCTTATCGCCGATCCCGCCACGCTTTCTCCTCTCTCATGGAAATCTTACTCACAGCTTTTCTTTATTTTACTTGTTTAGTCTGCATCGGCCTGCACTTGGCCAAGATGGAGCTGCGTCTCGCGACGGCACGCTTCTTTACGCGGTTTCCGAACGCGAAGATCTCCACGAAGGAGGGATTCTGCGATGAGGATATGGAGGCCGACATGTACTTCCTCATGTCGCCCAAGAAGCACCGTTGCCTCATCGAGGTTTATTAGGGGCTGTCTATATAGCGATCGCTCCGACTACACGGGCTCGGTGGCGATGGCCTCACTGCTGGAACACAGAAAAATAAATTGCCCAAGGTGGGATGCAATATTGTTTCTTCTCGCTAGCTATTAGCTTGCATAATTTGGGAAAGGTGAGCATGAGTTAGCGCAAGGAGTATTCGTATCTGTAATAATACAGACATTTATCGTAATTTGAAGGTCGCTTCGTTAGCATGTACCAACATTAGAAGTGACAACCTGCTGCTACCAGTATTATACCGTGACTATTAGGTAGGTACATGGCCTATATTAGAGCTTATTATCGAACAGGAAACGTTCCGATTTCATAGTGAGTTGGGAAGCGGTTCTAACTAGTTCTAGTAGGACATAATACAACATCCTGCAAAGGGACTACCTAATACTAGCACGCCGCACCTCCGACTTACTTGCTCTGATCTTCCCCTTCTGAAGGAAGTCCCAACACCGCCGCACTTTGTTCAATAACGAAACGTATTAAGGTTTCTATTATGAGGACTTGGTCCTGTGCCTACCCGTTTATATGATGGCGTTATATTAAAGCCGAGCAGCGTGCGGAAGCTATGTGTGAATGCCATTGTATAATCACCAGCTATCAATGGGGTCTTCGCGCCGGTGCGAGCTGCAGCTGCCTCCATCTGCGACCAGCCGCTTTTCCTCATCGACCAGTCCTTGCACTCAGCTGGCAGGTGGCCACCAACGAATCGTTAGTGTTGTACGTTCTCTTTTCCCCCGCTCTCCTTTTCCCTCTGTTTCACCTTACCTCGCTTTATTTCATCATATCACTCATTTTGGTGTCGTCCTCTGGATAGATTATCCTCCCAAGCTTCTTTCCCATCCCCTGAGAGGCAACCGCTCGTGTAGGTATCTCCCTACCCCCCCTCCACAGCGGAGCGAATAAGGGGACCCGCGTTTCCAATCCTCATACGCAATACTTGTGATTTACGAGACGGGACCGAGTTCTGTCTTCCCCTGATAAATCCTACGTAGTTGGCCACGTTGATCGTCCTGTTTCCCTTAGTAGGAGTAGGCATACTGGACTTCCCATATCGATTGTACCGCTAGCGACAAGGCTTCAAGGATCTAGTACATGCCAAACCGTCTATCTCGCAGGGTGGCCCAAAAGAGTTGAAGGAGGGAGAACTTAACGAGTAACGTAGCTAAAACCGCCACACAGCTTTCTCGGGGGTCACCTCAAGCTAATGGGTGAGATCGCCAGCTAGTTCCCGCCAAACAACCACCTCTAGACACACAGGTATAATCACGATTGCACAAAAGTATTGTCTGAAGGGTATCCGGTGGCTTGATCTGTAGCCTATAGCCGACCCACGGGCCATCTCAACCGAGCCAGAACTTATGGATTCGGACTGGATAACGCGGGGCTCTAACTAGCACGGGCTCGGCGAAAACACAATGAAACCCTTGGTTAGCGACAACGTCATCATGACCGCCAACAGGCCCATCTGGAAGAAGCTGCACAGTGCCATCGCGTCAGCCTTTCTTGCGTCCCACATCCGGACCCAGGCAGGCCTTACGGCTGACGAGACAATGCTCTTCCGCAAAAGGCTGCAACAGCTGTCGAAGGGCAGCGAAGTGTTCAGCATCGAGGATGAGGCGGCGAAGCTCGTGTTCGACATCGTCAGGCACATCGTCTTCAACTTTCCCCCGAACGCCCAGACAGAGGGCTGCTCGTATCTCGAAGGCTTGAAGGAGACGATCGAGCTATTCAACGCGCAGCTGTCAAAGAACCCGCTTATCAAACTTAAGGCTACGACAAGGACGGAGTGGGTCGGCAAGCGGGTTGACATCTCCATCGCCGCCAAGACCTGCGAGCGCTTTGCTGCACTTAGGAGCGAAATCATAGTGCGGTCGCGTAAAGATCCACTAAGCATCCTAGACTTATTGCTACGCGAGACAGTGCTGCAGGCCGGGACCGAAAAGGGGGAGAAAGCTGTCGAACTTCCTGCGGGGGGGTTGAAGTTACTTCTCACCAAGTACGCCCTTGGTGGCAGTCGTTGCAGAAGAGCCTTACGCTGATGCAAGTAAATAATGCGAAGGGACTTCTTCTCGGTGGACAGGGCACGATGGAGGACACCCTCTCGGCGAGCTCTGGTCCTCGCGGTTTCGGTAACCCATCGCGACTCGTCCACCTAACTTGATTTCGAAAGTTCATCTACATGCTCTTGGAGAAGCACCTAGAAATCGGTCAGAAGCTGCGCAAAGAACACAATGCCATCTTTGGCCGCAGCCTTGCGTCTGGCCTAGAGGTTCTTACAGAGTCTCCGATTAAATTGAACGATATGGAATACACGACAGCCGTGATCAAAGAATCACTCCGACTCTTCCCAGTTGGCTTCGGTGTCAAGGAAGCCCCAGCAGGGTAAGCAACCGCATTCTCTCAGCGCCCTGAGAGGCCTTCTTCCTTCGCCACCCATGCCCTCTTTTCCTACCACGGTATGTCCGTTGTTGGATGGTTGTCAATTTTAACTCCCCCTACTCGCAGGGCAACACAATGGGGCGGGCGAGGACACGAAGAGTTCCCAGCTAATGCCATACTGTCACGTAAAACGTAGACGCCTACATTCACGCTTTGCGGTATGTAGGCATATAAGGGCTGGTTCAATTGCCACGTGACACACCGTAAAACGCCAGATTATCCCCAGACTCCCAAACCAAACAGAGGGTAAATATCCCTCGTTCCGGAAGCCCTCCACAACCCAGGGTATCAATGATCGTAGAGAAAGCAGAATCAGGAAAGGCAAAAAAAACCATGTGAAAACGAAACGAAAGTCTGGGCCAGCTCCTCGCCCGCTTTGCCCCTATTAGGTCCGCACGTCGACTTCTAGTAACCCTCAAACTCCTTCTAGGGGCTTCACAGGTGTACGACCCACAAGGGAAATTACTTCGTCATCGTCGTCGTCTTTGCTGAAACGTCTAACAATAGACCCGCCGAGGACATTGTCGGAGGTGGTCGGGGCGGGAACAGAGAGTTGCGGACCAGTTCCAGCGCCGGGGCGGCCAGGGCCACCGAGTTCCCAGCTGCCAACACGTTCGTGCCGCACACCGTTCCGAGCGACGGACACGTCGCGGTCTGATTCCAATTTCTCAGCGCCTTTGAACCCGCCGACAGTGCTGCTACTCTTATCGTTGGACTCATCTTTGCCGGCGCCAGCGCCGCTTCCACTTCCACTTTTCTTGCTGTCGCGACGAATGTGCAGCCCGCCAAAGACGAAGGCCGACGTCACGACAAGGATGGCCACCGCGATGCCGGTGACGGCGCCGATGACGCCGGCCACGGCTGGAGACAGCGACGCGTTGCTGCTGCTGCTGCCGGTTCCGCCCGAGCTGCCGCCTGCACCGCCGCTCCAGCCGTCACCATCCGAGTCGTAGTCGGTCAGCGCGCTGCAGAACAGGGTCATCGACTGGCAGAGCTCGCACCAGCTCGAGACGTCGCGGACGGAGAACCGGTTCATCTCCACCACGAATTCGGTCCAGCGCATGCGCGCGTTAGCGCTGCTGCGCCCGAACAGCGGGTACTCGGTGATCGGGGCGTCGCTACCGGTGCCGTTACGGAACAGGAAGCGCACCCAGAGGCGGTCGCGATCGGGGAAATCGGTGGCGTTTCGGGTGACGGTACCGTTGCTGTTAGGCTCGAAGAGCTCGAACAGCATGGCCGAGCCGGGCAGCGGGATCTGGCGGAAGAGATCGAGCGCCTCGGGCAACTCGTCGAGCTCGGCGAGCGCGAAGAAGGCGAGCATGGGCTCGAAGGAGCCGAACAAGAGCGAGAGCTGGTTGGTGGTGCCGGCCGACGCGATGTGCGTCGACAGCAGGGAGACGACGCGCCCGGCCAGGGTGCGGCCGGCGATGGCGCGGATCATGTCGCCGTCGCGCGCGCCGGAGGCGGTCAGGTTGGCGTTGAGGTCGAACTGCTGGATGCTGGCGAAGTTGTGCAGGACCTCGAGGCGCTCCGGGCCGAGGGCGTCGCGCACAGCCTGGTCGTGGACGTACGCGTACTGCGCGTAGTCGTAGAGGTCGTACGCGTAGTCGAAGTTGAGCATCGACCGCGGCAGCGAGTTGGGGAACACCTGATCCCACGTCGACTCGTAGAAGCTGCTGGTCGCGTTGCGCATGTCCCGGCTCGTGGAGCTGACCCTGAACTCGTTGGCCGACGACATGTATCCCACGCACGACGAGTGTCCCTCGAGCCTGGTACGATTTTGATCCCCATCAGTTGCCGTATTACAGATAAATCAGGTCATATTCTCTCGAAGGCTTACCAGATGGAGTTCGCGTCCGTAATGGGGAGGGACCGAACGTTTGGATACTGGTAACCGCCAAGGGGGAAGTTGATCGTGCTGCCATTAGCTAGCACAGACGTGCTGGCGCCGCCATTGCTGGAGGCAAAGACCCCGTTGACAGGCGGATATAGGCCTTGCAAGAATGCCAGAGCGCTTCCAACTACATAGTCATCCGTAGTGCTATAGAGAGAGAGCTGGGCGTTGTCGAGGGCATTCGGCTCGATATTCGTAATTGGCGAGTTTGTCGTGAGGGCATTGTCGCCGATTGATAGAGCCGAGCTAGATAGGTATCGAGCTCGAAAGAGAGACCCTTGAGAGTAAAGCTGCTGCGCGCCCAGCGGAGTCAAACTGATCTCGGTGTCGCCTTGGAGGGGCGTGTGGTCTCCGTACAGGATGTAAGCGACCGAGGACCAGACAACCTCAGTTGTATTAGACTGGGCTACCGCGCCGCCGACGAGGGGCAAGACGGCAGCCAATGTCTTGAGCGCACGTGAAGACATTCTTCGAGCAAATCCGAGGATTTTCGCAGCCCTCGCGTGTAAGTGCAGCCCACGACGGGAAGAGTACAGCCGAGGAGTGCACAGCTACAGCAGATGCACGAGCATGAAAGAGGAGCTAGGTGAGCTCTCGGGCTCGAGAAGAGGGCGAGGGAGGGGTAATAGAGGAACAAAGAGAAGGGGTTCAATAGTTACTCCGGGAGGAGAAATATAGAAGCTTACCTCTGGGCGAGCAGGCCGAATGCATGCGTGCATACATACCTACCTACGGGCTTATGGCCATGGGGTTATCCGATGACACCAAATAACGTGCTTGTCCGTTCCCAAGTCGGTCATCATGTGCCGCCCGATAAGGATCTCCTTGCGATACCTAGTTAGACCACCAGAAACTGCCAGCCAGTGGGCGATTTCTCGACGCTCACACCATATCAGCCAGGGCAGACGTGCCAGTACCAGCCGGAGACGTCGGTAGCAGAGGACGAAGGTGAGATATATTACTTACACAGACACGCAACACACGCACACACACATATACACATATACTCTAATACCCTCTCTCTCTGCGTGTTCGTTTGTTTCTCTCTCTCTCTCTCTTCTTGCCTCTTCTATCTCTCTGTCCGCCTCCAAACCCCCCGGTCCCCCCTCTCCGACTCTCAACACCCCTCTCCTCCCCCCCCCAAGCCTCGATGAGCGGGGTAAGATAGGTCTCTCTTGGCTAGCTGGCGCGGCACGGTGGCGGGAGCAAGTAGACATGTGAGATAAGCAAGCCACAAGAAACTGGGCGAGCTCATCCTTTCGTCTTAGCGGGCTGATGGCCCAATAAGCCGTCATGCCCCTGTCGATGCCAGGAGATGGCGTGCTGTCATAGGTTCGCCAGCACTTCCGTGGCACTCGAGTTCGTAGTACATTTCCAAACTTCTGTTGCGCCTCGCATGCTTATGAGGCATCCTGGCAGAGCTGCTGGCGAAGGGGCAGCCAATATCACCTCGAAAAACGCGTCATCGTGGCCCGTTCGGAGCCGGACTTAGAGGGAGATTCTCGGCGTAGTGAAGTAGAGGAACTGTCGTGAGGCTTGGCCTTAAAGACAGCGCAGTCCGACTCGATTTTGTCCCTGCGGTCAGGAAGCGCCCGCATACCTGCCCAGCCCCTCGGTCGCGTAAGGCGTCGATATCGACGACGTAGCAATCCATCAGTGGATTCTCACGCAACCTGACCTGCATGATGGGTACGTAAGTGCTCAATACCTACACGACGCAAGGGTCACAATTATAGGTGCAGCTAGGAACCACCTAGTCGTAGGCAGGTAAGCTCCCAGGAAGCATTCCCAATTGTCCTGCCGCCTGTATCCTTGGCACTTGAGAATTCACCGTCTCTATTAACTTTCCTCATGGGACACGACAAGGCGACGTGTACGCTTGACAAGTAATCCCTACCTACTCATTGAGAAAGACATTGAGAAAGAGAACGCTCTCTCATATTTCATATTCTCCCTCATCCTTCGGGCTTTTTCCAACGACTAAAAGCCACGTTGCTTAGAATATCACACATGGGCAAATGCTGAATAAATCAGACTAGCAAGCAGCGAGTCTTCCTCGAAATAAAACAATACTTATTGAACTGGAACATCTCGTGGGGAAGATCTCAATTCACACCCCCAACTCTCTACATACCTCCACCTCACTTACAAACTCTACGTAGGTTTAGGCGACGCGCTCCGCGTTGGACTTTGTTCTGTTACCACTGCCACTTACCACGACCTTGGGAGGACGATCTAGACTTCCCGCCATACCTAGGCTTATACCTGATAGACAAGACAAAACTCCCGTCCGCGTCGAGCTTGATTAGACAAAATAGCGTTGCCATAGTCCCGTCCAAATCTGGTGATGGTACGAGGTTGATGGCACGCAACACGGCACGCACGTTCAAAGATGAAACCATAATCACCCCGAAGCACGCTCACACGGGCAGCACCGCGACTGGGGATAAGCCATTTGGTACCTATGTATTTGACATATATCCGTGCCGGACGGTGGACCCGAACGGCACGGAATGAGATCCACGGGCGAACTGCTTGTCCGCTCTCCCCACGCAACGATCTAAGTTTTCGCAGATTACCAGGGGTTGACGGGTGCGATTTCACATGACAATACAGCGCCAGCGCTCAGCGGCCTTGCCGGCTTTGGATCTTGGAAGACACGCTCCTGTACAATTAAGGGAATAGCTCCAGTGGTTAGTGTGGCGCTGTCGCCGCGAATAGCATACCTAGTTGAAGTGACTCCTTGTAGGTAGTAATCAGTAATATCAAGCGCATGTGACTTGCAAGAGAGCAGAGTAAGTGAAGCGGATACCTCCTTTTACTGTGTAGAATCCGTCTCCGTACTCTCTCCTCCCCTCTCCCTCTCCCTCTCCCTCTCCACCTCTTTCCGTATACGAGACATACCTACCTACCGGCAAAAGAGATGGCACCCGCGAAGGGCACTATCCTTGCCACCGCCGCCAACGGCAGTCTGAGCTCCTCCGTCGTCAAGCACAAGCCTGCGCTCGCCCAAGATTATCATGGGCTATACGCGGTACGCGGGGCAGAGAGCGCCACCACCGCGAAGAAGGCATTTCAAGGCGCCAAGGCCGCGAAGCACGGGTACGACTTCACGTCGCTAGCGAGCGGCGCGATCTCACCGATCCGCGCTCCTGTCCAGGTCACCGCGTACCAGGAGTAGGTACATCGGCCACGACTTCGCCGAGGACAACTTCAACATGACATTCCAGGCCGCCTACCTCTCCCGCTTCCTCTTAGCATTGCTGCTCCTCCAGGGAATGGACGAGGGGAACGGCGGTATCGCAGTGATCGGTAGCTGGGCGCACTAGTAAGCGAAGAGGACGCAACCCTCCCCGCTGCCCAAAAATGCTCGAGCGAACTCTCTGCCCATTGCACATCCCAACGGCTGTCAACTAACCCGCCCGCCTGAGCACCTCCGATCCGCGCAACAAGCTGCCGGTCAACGCCCACGCGGCCGAGCAACTCCGCTAAATCTTCAGCAACCCGAGCAGAGAATCTCCAAGGGCATCTGGGACGCCGCCGCCGGCGTACGGCGGTACGGCACGGCGAAGCTGAGCCAGGCCATGATGTCGTAGGCAAGTGTGCCGGTCTGCAACCCCCCCTCCCCTCCCTCTCTCCATGAGCTCACGCGGCGGCTGCCGGCGGACCCGTCGCTCTCGCGGGCCGCAGCGCTCGCGGTCGACCCGGCGGCCATGATCGGCAGCCTGGCGCGGCGCAGCGGGGAGCCGCAGCGGGTGCTCGCCTTGCGGGTGCCGGGCCCGCTGCTGGCGCCGCTCGCGTCGCAGCTTTTCTCGCACGACGGCCTGCGCACGCCGTCGAAGTCGGCCGGCGATGTCGAGCGCGCCCGCTTCGAGGACGCCGCCTACCTCAACGAGTCGCCCGTCGCCGGCGTCGGCGCCGAGGCCGAGGACGAGACCAAATACCGCAGGCTCCAGCGCGATATAGCCCGGGGTACGCGCGCGTTAAGGGGGGCGACACGGTGCTGATGGATTGGCGGTGAGGAGGGTTAGGTAGGTAACGGTTCTTACCCTGTTTCCCGGCTCGGGGATCAGACCGAGTCCTGCCTGTGTTGCCATCCCCACCATTCGCACACCCTTTCTTCGCTATGCCCACCCATGATATACATTCGCTGTTGATTTTAACTTCAGGCACGAGCACTCACTACCGGGGAACCCATCCTGTTATGCTGTACGACAGACAACGGATAACCCCAAGGGGCGTCTCTAACCTCGGTTCCGTCACCTTATCCGGCGCAGGCATGGCCGGTGCGCACATCCACGACGACGTCCGTGTCTTCGAAATGGTAAGCGAGTGCCGCCAGGCTGGTATCGACATGGTTGACCGCAGCCGGAGGCGAGCTTCGGTTGAGCCGGCATGTCACACGCCCGCCATCGTTCGTGGGTGGCTCGGTATGAGTCGTCTAAATCGGGATGCACGCTGCATATATTGCCAACATGCAGCGCTGGACACCAACCGTGGTGAGGACCCCCCCCCATCATGTGCAGCCTGCTGTGTCATCGCGAGAACGTTGCATCTGTGGGGTACTGTGGTATTGCGGCTATATGAGGACGGAGAGCGAGCACGGCGTGGTAACGGCTCGCTAATGACCTTCCTTGTACGGGGCCCGCATACGTGGACTCCCTCGTTACCCACAGATCACTATCTATCCGTATCGTCACATCCCCTTCTTCCGAGTGGTTATAGAAATGTGAGTCTGAGTTGTCCGGCAGCTCTTTGCAGTCGGCAAGGCGATAAGTGAGCGCCCCCCCCCCTCTTCCCCCCTATTCCGTGGTCGTTCGTGCTAACTGTCTACACCGAGCGGATCTTACCGCCTGTTCGTCTCGGGAAACACCAAGAATTTCATGTCGATTTCCCGCCCTTTACTTACCTCTTTCTGCTATTTACCCGTGTCTGTGGTCACGAGGTAATTTACGTACCGAGACCGGTTACATAAAATACCTACGTCGGTTAAACTCACGAAGTGCGCAGAACCGTAGATCCTGGGGGACATGCACATAGGATGGCGGTGCAACCAGTAGGCATCTAGGGACTTCGGCCGTCTCGAATAGATTCTCTCGACGTGGGTCGAGTCTTGGTGTCTCTGCTTATTGGCCTGATGCTGCTGTGGAGGTCTATCTAGAACTACCGCGTCCAGAGCTGATTCGACGTCCCGCATGTTCAGTTGCGTGTGGATGATGCAGTTTACCATTGTACGTAAGGATTTCTCATAAAGGATTTAGGGTAGGCGTGGCCTACCGACGCCACCACCACTGCTACCCTCGACCGTAGAATTATGGCCAGGCAGGCGGGAGGCCATATTGCTGAGCTGTGAGCCAGCTCTTCAGAGGCGAGGGCAACTCAGTCTTATCCCATCAAAGATGGCGCTCCTCAGCCTGGTCCTCCTCAGCTTGCTGCCGTGCCTATGCCTCTCGAACTTCCTCCCAGATCTTCTAGGCACCGATAGGAGACCACCGGGAGATGGGTCGACTAGCGAGCATCTAGAGAATGCCGGTCTTAAACACATAAGAGCAGCACTCCAGAGTCGGAAAGTCCACAACGTTACCGGCAGCGTCGCGCCACCAAGGAAATGGAACAAAATTGCGGATCGTTCCTCGCGAGATCCCTTAGCCAGCTATGGGGCCGGAATCGTGTACATAATGCAGCGTACGTCACCAACCTTGTGGTCGATGTGGGAAACTCCCTCTCGCTGATCATCTTACACAGTCAATATCGGCACACCCGGCCAGAGGATCTCGCTCATTCTCGACACGGGATCGTACGCGTTGCTTGTGAACCCGGACTGCAACCAAGCAGCAGACCCAAATGCCTGCCGTACGTATGGTTACTACGATACGGAGCAGTCCTCCACCGCTCAAGGTCCTGACGGCTGGTTCTCCGGTCAATTCGGCACCGGGTTTATGCAAGGAGTGTGGTATAATGATATGGTATACGTTGGCCAAGATTGTACGTACGAGCTCCTCCGGTGGTTGATGGGAAACATGTCGAACTAGTGCCTAACCCGCACATCACCACACTACAGATCTGCCATTGCCAAACTCGAGGGTTGGAGTGAGCCAGTTGAGCGAGTACATATGGGCTGGGGTGCTGGGGGTCTCGTATGGCCGCGCATGGAATACCGGATACCAAACCATACTAGACCTTCTAGTCAAGGAACAATATATCGAGGTGCCCATATTCAGCCTGGGTGTTGGTTACCAGGGCGGCGGAAGCCCGAGTGAGTCCCTCTAACCCCAACGATCGCCCCCCCTCCCATCTCAGGGGGGACATAATGGAACTGACATAGACCCTCTAGGCGATATTATATTCGGGGGCGTCGATAGAAAGAAGTTTCGAGGATATCTCGAACCCCTAGAGATATACCCTTACCCAGAGGACCAGATGGCGCACTACGGCCAAGTAGGGTAAGTAAGAAAAATATGTACCACTTCAGATGGGAGAGTTGACGAGTGTTCGACGCACAGCTATCGTGTGAATATGACATCCCTCGGGATTACTCCTCCCGGCCAGAACGAAGTAATACTGACAGACGACCGCTTCGAACGTAACGTGTTGATCGATTCCGGATCGACGTACACGTATCTCGCTGCTGATCTAGTCATCGCGATCGCCGAGGCCTTGCACGCAACCCTCGACGATAACGGAGTCTACCGCGTGCCGTGCGAGAGCCGGAACCTCGACGGGTCCGTGAACTTCGGGTTCAACTTCTGGAACATCGTCATCCGGGTCAACTACGCCGATTTCATCGTCGACTTTGACTCGTACTGCGCCCTCGGGGTCCAGTCGCTGGACGAACCCGACGATACGTGGGTGTTGGGCACCAGCTTCATCCGGGCAGCCTACCGTGAGTACCAAGGATCTATACTTATGAAAGGAGCTAACGCGTAGCTTGTGTGCAGTCGTATTCGACCAGCTGAACAACGCTGTCTGGGTCGCACAATATCTGCCTTGCGGCGAAGGGGGGATAACGGATCTCACTCTGGACGCTGGTAGGGAGCTGTGGTTGGAGGTTACAGGTCTCTGTTAACCAGGAACGAAATCCCAGTGTCAGACGTAGGTATACCGCTTGACGATGTCTCCTTCTTTAGGGATTTTCGTAAGTCAGGGAGGGAGAGCCGTTGCTCGAAGACCCGTAGCTTTAAATATCTAAAGATATGAAAAGAATAGCATCTAAAATGTCCCAAGATTGGCATTCATTCATTTAGTCGTCCTTATACCAAGATATCCGGTCCCCGGATATCCTCGCTCAAGTGGCCTTGCCTCGTCCAGATATTCATCTATAATTAAACACGAGGTCAGTTACATATATACCATGACCAAAACAGAAAAATCTGCGATGTGGGAACACTTCGGTGGCTTCAAAAGGAGACGGATCGATTACCCCTATCTTCCAGCCGCTCGTGACGGGGAGGCCGGCGTGCAGCGTGCGCTGGTCGCCGGTGCCGTCTTCGAGCAGGTTCTGCCAGAAGACGGCGTTGCCGAGGATGGGGCGGAACGTGACGCCGTTCTCCCAGGGCTCGTCGCAGTCGACGAAGGCGCACCAGCGCGGGTGGCGGGGCGCGGGCACCATGGGGAAGTTGGTGCCGCCGCCGGTGATGTTGCCGGCGGCGGCGACGTACGCGAAGAAGGACGAGAGCCGGTTGCCGCCCAGCGCCGACGACGCGTGCGCCGCGTTCGTGTACCAGTCCGTGTGGAAGTGGTACCGCTCGCCCTGCGCGTACTTCACCAGCTGCACCGACTCCAGGTGCGTCCGCGGCACGTCGAAGCCCTGGAACAGCAGCGCCCGCTCCTCGATGCACCGCACCACCGCGTCGCGCGGCACGTTCGTCGACTGCGACGTCCGCGTCGACCGCAGGCCCTGCACGCCCTCCGCGTCGGCGACGGCAGAGTGCGTGAAGGTGTTCGCGCTGGCCGGGTTTTTGTTTGGTCAGCGACAGACGAGAGAAGGAAGGCCATCGAACAGATGAGGGCGCCGTGCTCACGTTATCTCCTGGAGGTGAGCTCGCTCTTTTTCCGTGAGGAAATTCTCTAGGTATATTACCAGCGGGGACTTGTTCACTATGTGACTTTGGTAGGCGGGATGCTCGCAGACGTAGTCGTCTGATGTAACGGGCTTCTGGGCATCGCCGTCATCGCCGTGGCCACCACTTGCGCGAGCTGTCGTCGCGGCTAGTGCTAACAAGAATAGCGACTTAAGCGAGGCCATCGTGGATTCAATCAATAGCGTATCTAAGGCGTCCGCGACGAACCATGAAGCGAGGGAATGATGAAGATAACTGGGAATATCTGTTAGGTAGGTACCTATATCTTATCCCATCTCCGGTGAGGATGCGATGTGTCTACGTGGTGGACGAGAAACAGAGATCCCTTCAAAGCGCAGCCCCATTACCCCATCCATTCACTTCAACGTAGGATCGCCATCAGGTGGTCGGAGCCGATGGAGCGAGCAGAGATCTAGGGTTGAAACACCAATCGTTTGCGCGAAAAGGAGCTCCCCCCCTGGACAGCACCACGATGACCCCTGATCGAGCTCTCCAGTGGACCGCACCAAAGCGGATCCAGGGCCCGTTAAGGCGAGCATCGTCAGACTCCAAGCCCCTAGCAGGTCTCCGATCTTAGCTGTTACTTCCCTAGAACCCCTGATCTTCAGGGCAGCTCAGGTACTTAACGCACCCGGTCAGGTTTAGTCGTCTGTTATTTCATCCCACAGATGCTCGTTCGGCTTGCGGATCGAGAAGTCTATTTGCGATGTCATTTGCCCTCAAGATAACACGATGAGGGCCGTAAACATAGCATTCTTAACATCTGTCTTGGCGGGCGCTACGACAGCATCATGGAAACATGCCGATGAGGACGAGTTCCGCCAGGTTATATCGGGCCCCAAACCAGCCCTTGTTGCGTGTAAGTTCTACTTGTCCACAATTGAAATTCATGAAGACGCTAATCTAACCTGCCGGTCGAGCAGTCGTGGAGGTGTGTGCATTCCTGATCCCTATGCGGAACCCCAGCTATGCCGTTCGCACACCAGGCAGCTAATATCTGAACGATTAATCCTGAACGACGCCGGCACAGCCTTCAACGTAAGTTCTACCAGTTCCGTGATTCGCCATGATCCTAAACGAAGATGCAGAGCCACCTGCCAAGCTTTCGAGGCAGAATGGACGCTGGCCGCCGAATCGGAGAAGGCCTTAGTGAGCATCAATTGCGCCTCCACGGCGAGTCTCTGCCACGAATTCGGCGTCATCTCGTACCCCGCCGTGCGCTTCTTCGACGGCCAGGGCAAGATGACGCCGTACCGGGGCCCTAGACGGGCTCGCTCGTGAGTCTTACCTACCACCTACCCTCCCCCCTCCGTGTTTCCAAAGCTTCGCGTACCTATGCCTCCTCTCGAGGACATAGCAGCTGTCCTAACACCGCCGCGCGACTTCCAGGATCCTCGCGTACCTCCGGCGGGCGGCGCGCCCGGAGGCCGTGGCAGCGCTCGCCTCGGAGGCCGAGATCGCGGCGTTCCAGACGAGCGACGACTTCGTCGTGGTGGCGCGCGTGCGCCCGCAGGACGCGCACGTCGGGGCCGCGTACGCCGCGCTCGCGGCGCAGTACCGCGACCGGCTGTCCTTCGGGCGGGCGGAAGCCGCGCCGTCGTCGTCGTCGTCGTCGTCGGTCGCCTGCTACAACAACCGCGACGGCCAGCAGTTCGGCGTCGCGGACCTCGCCGCCGCCGACGCGCTGCAGCGGCTCGTCGACAGCTGCCTCGCCCCCCTCGTCGGCGAGTTCACCCGCGCCAACGAGATGCAGTACCTCCAGGTCAGTCACGGCGCGCCCCCCTCCTTCCGCCCCCCTACAAAACCAAAAAAAAAAAAACCGAGGCGGGAGAAAAGGAAAAAAGAAAGAAAAGAAGTAAATACTGACTAAGCCACGCTCCAGTCCGGCAAGATCATCGCCTTCTACTTCGCAGCATCGGCGCGGGAGCGCGACGCGTTCGCGGACGCGGTGCGGCCGGTGGCCAAGCTGTACAAGGAGTACCTGAGCGTGGTGACGGTGGAGGCGGGCGAGTACGGGGAGCTGGCGGCGCCGCTGGGGCTGGGCGGCGCGCCGGCGCTCCCCGCGCTCTCGTTCCAGCACCCCATGACCGGCCAGGTCTTCCCGTACCCGCGCGGCCGGCCGATCGCGCCCGACGACGTCGGCGCCTTCTTCGCCGACATCGCCCAGGGCCGCGTGCCGCCGTGGGACGGGACGCCGCCGGCGGAGGTGGCGGGGACCGAGGAGGAGGAGGAGGCAGCTGGTGGCGCCGGCAGCGAGGACGCGCATGATGAGCTGTGAATGGAGGGAGGGATGGGAGGGACGGGGGGTTGGCTTGGAAGATTTGGGTTCTGGCAGGGTAGCATGGGTCGGGGTAAGGGGTTTACGGCCTTCATTCGAGTCGCGACGGCTTAGTATCCGGTCACGTTGAATCTCGGGTCGAGGGGGGAGGAAAGTATCGTGTTGATTCGCGCGTATATACGATGATATATGATACACCTGATACTTGTCCTGCAGCCTTAGTCCTCTCGAATGCCACCACCCCACGGGGCCTGTTCCCAGGCCGCCGATACCGGCAACCTTCAGCCCGACCATTCTCGCGGCCCCACGCTCCTACGGCAGGCTCATGAAGAGCTCCAGCAGTTTGGGGTAGTCCGGCGCACTGCACGCAATTCGGGGCACGTCAGCGATGCTCTCCGCAGCGAGGACGGAGGAAATACAGAGGAAGGAAGCAGCTCACCCCATCCCCGTGACGGGGTCCCAGCCCTCGCTAGCCGTGAAGCCCGTCGTCCTGCACCCGCGGTTGTCGCCCTTCGTGATGTCCTTGAAGACCTCGGGGTGGGAGTACTATTCGCCGCGCCGGAGAAGCAGTCAGCCAGTCAGCCAGTCAGCCAGCCCGCGCAACACCAACCACCCGTCCCCCGGCCCCGGGCTCGGTTGCTTACCAGGACCTGGTGGACGAAGCCGACGGGCGCCTTGCCCGCGGCGAGGCGCTCCTCGTTGATGAGCGTGAGGACGGAGCCCCACAGCGGCGCCGACGCCGACGTCCCGCCGATGCGCAGCAGGTCGCCGCCGCTCGCGATGACGAAGTTGTCGCCGTTGGCGGCGACGTCGGGGTAGGCGCGGCCGCGGCGGTTGAAGCGGCCGGCGCCGGCGTGCACGGGGGTGTAGTTGGCGGCGCCGCCGTCGTAGCCGTCGAAGGGGAGGCGGGCGGCGGCGAGGTAGGCGGCGACGGCGGGGCGCTGCCAGGCGGGGGCGTCGTAGATGTTGGAGAAGCCGCCGCCGGACCCGAAGCGGTCGGTGGCGACCTCGTCGGCGGCGGCGGCGCTGCCGTTCGCCGGCAGGTACGTCGACCCGACCGCGAGCACGTACGGGCACGTCGCCAGGAACTGCGGGTTGAACACGTCGCGGCCCGGCCCCAGGCAGCCCGACGGCGCGCCCGGCGACGGGAAGCTGCCCACCCCGTCGTCGCCCGACGAGATCACCACCGTCGTCCCCCGCAGCCCCAGCTTCATGATCTCCGCGCACTGCCGCTGCTGGTACGACGCCGGCAGGTCCACCTCCGCCCCGCTGTACGAGAGGCTGATCACGTTCGTCGGCGAGTACACGCCGCACATGAGCTCCCCCGCGTACCCGCTGCGGTCGTGCGGGTTCGGGTACTCGGGGTCGCGGCACTCGGGTCGCTTGCAGTTCCCCGTCTCGCCGAAGGCCTCGAACGTGCAGTAGCTGCCGTCGATCGCGTTCCAGAGATCTGGCACCGCGGTGTTGCCGTCGTGAGATTAGCAGGGAGGTGGTAATAAGTAAGTAGAGAGGAGGTCAGAAGGTGAGGGGGCAAGACGCGATGAGGGGGGGACCCGGTCTTACTGTTGAAAAAGCCCGTGTAGAGCGTCGGTTCAGTCTGGTACGTCTGCTGGTACCACTCGTCATCCACCTGGTAGAGTACCGGCTCCTGAGGCCATATCAAACCGTACGCCATCTGGAAGTCCAGGTTTGCCTCCGTGCCAGCCAAGCGGAGGTTCGTCGTAGCTCCCTCACCGCCGTTCACGGAGAAGAGTTCGGGATGCGTTCCGTTGGGAATATCGCTAGGCATACGCTATCAGCAAACCGACCTCCACCAGGCCCAGAAGAGCGGTTAAGTAGAGAAGTATTACTCAGTGAAGCTATAGAAGAACCTGTCGAGATCGTATTGAGTGTAGTGCTGCCCGAGCGATTGGAAGATTCCCATCCTGTTGTCCGGGTGTTTCTTCGAACCTTTGGGGATTCCGTATAGTGCTGGTATGCCGGTTAGAGAACGCAACCGACGCCGCTTGGCAACCCAGGCTTACCTCTGATGCAATCCGGGGTGATGTATTCATCACAACCGCCCGGCAACGTAAGGTTACCGCTCGTTACATTGGCCGGCTCGACTGGGCTCGCAAAGCGCAGCGGTCCCTCCACATTCAGCCCCGTGGTCCGCTTTGAAGGTGAAGAGCTTTCCCTGCTTCTCTTTCTCAAGAGACCGCCCAGCTTGCTCTCCGAAACGTGTTCGCGAGAGGAGTTCTGTTTTCTCTTGGGCGGGTCTTGGGTGTTACCGTAACCCATCATCTTGATACCGGGAGTAATGTAGTCGATGTGTTCCCTCACTTGTTTCGGTACGTGATATCTCGGCGCTCATTAGTCTATACGCATATAAGTGACTGCCGCCGTCTTACTTACTCCTCACAGGCGATGTTCTTCACTCCGGTATCTATGTGTTCCCATACGTAGTAGTCTGCCATCAAAAGATCCTCGACCTTGTTAACGGGGGCGTCGAATTGAATCCACTAGCAGATACGTTAGGGTGATATCGAATATATCCAACCGAGCCCCACGATAACGACAAGCTTACTTGTTTGTTGGTAGATAGTGAGACAATATCCGAGGGGATGCCTCCCAATACTAACCAGTCTTTGACCGCTTTCACGGCGGCTTCTGGTGGCGCGAATAATTCGAGGACCTCCTTTCCCGACAAATGTTTCCCGTAGTTGGTCGATTTGGGGTTCGATCTTTGAAGCTAATTAGCTGTTACACGGCCACGGTTTATATAATGAGGCCCGCACATATCCATCAACAGATCATGTCCCGATTGGAGATTCCGCTGCTTCAGCCCTATACGCATAGGTAGTATGGCTTCGGGGACGGCTCGTTCGACCTTTGTCCAGGGCCGTGCCTGTAGCTCCGTTCTTTTCTCATGTTGAATATGAGTATCCGGGATGCTACGTCTCGACTTGTAAGACCCAGCGCGTTGGAGTATACGGGGAATAGGGGGCGCGGCCAAGGCTTCGAGCACTACCAACCCAACCACGAGAACAGAGCTGAATAACTTCATCTGAGGCAAGCGCTGGACGGTAGGAGGATAGAATGACTAGTTAGCACACGCACAAAACCCACACGAGAAGAAGTATGAAACGAAATGTCCAGGACGCATGTTATTATATCAGTGCTATTCGACGGGCGGGTCACGCTCCGTATTCTATTTAGAGACACAACGTCCGAAGACATCAATCGTGGTAGCATTGGTGCCGAGGAGGACCTTTGGTACTACTCAAGCCAGGTCCGCTAGGGAAAGATCGCCTAATTCCACGATACGGGTAAATATGTGAGCTAAATAGTAAAGCTAGTCCCGGGTGCCTCGAAAGCAGACACGAGCCTGGTAGCTACTAGGCGGGAACTGGAGGGCCTATCAGTGTTGGATGCCCTCTAGGCGCCTATGAAGGGCTACCGATGGCGGTGATATCCCGCCCATATTTTCTAGTCCCGGGACAGGAATCACGGGTAGCCTAACCGCGAAAGGTCAGTCCTACTTACAAGAGGAGTGACCAACCGTAGGTATATGGGTATCGCTAAGCAAAAGCACGATATCTTTCAACACTTGTATTTCATCACCAGACAGAGGCCTCAGCAAGTAAACAACATCATCTTAATCAAACAGCGGAAAGAGGGGGCGGGAACGCGAGGATGCAGGGTGACGGTCAAATGAGATATATAATCTGAGCAGGTCCGCCCATAGGCCGAAGAGAGTACGATTGATTCACCACCCGGGCCACAATCTGCCGGGCCACGGCGTATATAACCGGTGCTCATGTGAGCCGTGATGTGTGAAAATGGCACGACAGATACTGTGCCGCCACCCCACACTGCCCGAGCTAATCAGCGTCAGCGATGTTCCACACACTTCATTTGTGTCGAGAATGCATGTCTCCGTGCCCAGATCTTACCCAGATTGCCCGCAGTCGAGTGTGGGTTAGCGGCGCAGGGGTACTCGAGCCGCACGCGTAGCCACACAGGGCCCGCGCCTCGAATTTGGCTAAGGAACGGCACAGAGTAACAGTTGGAAGTAGAAATGATGGCTAGGCTATTACCGACGGAGTCGCCTCGGGCACCTTTTAAGATGGGCTACCTAAGGATGCGCAATCGCTTAGGCAGGGTGGGAATTTGAAAACGCTGACTTCGACTTCATTCGGCCCTCCGTTCTCTCCGGTGGCGGTCAATCCGAATATATATTCCGTTCATGAAGAGGGCAACGCTTGACCGTATCGTTTACTAGATAGTCATTGACCCTGTAGCGAAGGGCGCTGTTGCTGCGCTCGTCCGGGTATGAGAGATCCCAGTATTCTTCGTATGGTTTACCCTCACCATGTCCGGACAGCTCGCCGCAGACGCAGGCCACGTCCAAGACTAGCCACTTTCGAATCTTCGGGAGAAGCGCTTGCCACGATGTGGAGCGCAGGGAAATGTCCCGTAGACACAGCTCCTTGAGCGTGCTTCTGTGCCTCCTCAGTAGAGACATCAGATCTTGGCGTTCGCACTTGATATTGCCTAGGGTGAGGCTGTCCAGGTGTTCCCATCTGTGCCTCGGTTCTATGACTTCTTCGAGTCTAGGGGTGTAGCTATTTTCGTTCGAGTACCACTGGAAGATGACGTGAAGGGTCTGGAGCGCGTGAAGGGATTTGATGAAGTCACGTAGTAGTCCCGTTTCCATCAAGCGCTGGCAGTGAGTGACCTCGGCGCCGTCAGCTGGGTCGCCCACGAGATCACTCGCAGTATCGATGCACAACTCGAGGCAGGTCAGCTCGGAACAAGGAGAAAGAGCGCGGCTGAGTTCAGCAGGCGGCTTTTGGAAGAACTTCCAGCTGAATGACCCGACAGTCAACTTCCTCAACTTGATATTCGCCTTGTACACGGCCGAGAGCAGAGAGTCGAGCTGGCGGCACCCCTCGGGCAGCAGGAACTCTCCAGGGATGACCATGCAGCTGTCGAACGGAGTCTTCCGCTTGCCCTTCCGGGACCAAGTCCCCGAGGCCATGGTGACCTCTTCGAGGGAGGGGAACCGAGAGACGGCCTCCTCGATGCAGGAGATATCCGCGTTCTCCTGCAAGATCTTCTCCTGCTGTGCCACGGTAGCATCGTAGTTCTTGTAGGGTACGACGAACTGGTCCAGGTCTATCTTAGTGGTGGGTAGGCCGAATTGGCGACGTGCCATGGCCTCTCTGGTCTTGACAATAGCAAGGTGCCCACAGAACTCGTACAGGTTCATCTTCCGCGTGTCCGCCGTCGAGTACTCGCTGGCCCTTTCCATGGTGAGGCCGACGTAGACCAACGAGAGAACATTCTTGGACGCGATAGGGTGCAAGGAGATGGTCCGAAGCATTTCTAGGTCGGTGGGGTGCAGGTAAAACACCACCTCGTTGTGGACGAAGCAGGCGCCCGCATCCGCGAAGGCTCTGCAGCAAAGCCGGAATCTGCGCACATCTTTGATGTCGAGGAACGAGCAGATCAGGCATAGGATTTCAGGGATCATAATAGCCATCTTGCTGTTCCCACCGGAGGACCGAATCCACGACAACTATAAGCAGCTGGGGTGGGCAGACAAGACGCGGAAACAAATGGAGAGACGGTCTGCGGCCGACACGCTTGTGAGTCCTAAGGCATCAGCCAATGAGCGCTTCGCCCAATCAAACGGCAACCTGTAGGTATTGATGCCTTACCTAATCAAACGGAGACCTGTCGTTGATTGACTACCAACGGCGCTGCCAACGGCAGCTTAGGAGCTGTAAAAGGAGCTGTTGAAAAGCTCGTCAATTGGCGGTAGTGAGCCTAGCAATTGAACAGCAGTTCAGGTTCAGCTGCTTGCGCTTCGTATGCTTAGATGACTAAGCGCTTACGAAGCAACAGGAAGCGAGCCAGCCAGAATGCACATGCTCTGGCTAGGGGGGCAGTAGGGTAATTGCGTTAGCGGGGTCTCGCGGGATTGTCGCCGGGCAGATAAGCGATGGGAAAAGCTAGAGAAAGCTGGAGAAAGCTGGACGAGTCACGAAGGTAACGAATCCGTCCTGGCGTCCTGCTCGGGGTTCCGTTGCTGGTGGTTAGCGAAGGAAGTGAGCGAGGCCAGTCTGGGCGGATAAGCGACGCTGAGCTATTTATATACCTAACTGACATCGGACCGATCTGCCTATATACCTACCGCTAAACACGATGGATGGGCTTATCGAGGGTAACATCGTTATCACCAAGTACCTACCCGCCTTATAGGTAATCCGCCTTATAGGTACCTACCCACCTACCTAGATACGCCCTATTAACTGCCCGGGTTAGGCCTCGCCCTGTCCCCACCTAGTAGGTACCTCCTTAGGTACTCCACCGTGTACCTGAGGTAGACACCCAGCAACCCGATCACGGGAAAAGCCCCCATAAGAGCCTATCCTGGATACGCCTTTGTCTTACCTCTGGAAAGTCCTAGATAAGCACTTCCACCAGTGAAATGGTCACGATGCGAGACACGCATGGGAGGCTGCCGATGGAGGAGTCGGGCACATGCGCGCACATTTCAATACTGGAATTCACTTCCGTCCCGTGTCTCTGCATTCACTATCCCCCTCACTCCTCATTGGTATCGTCTCGTCACCGCCTTGTCTCCTGTACGCCTCCCACTCTATCCCATGAGCTCGCAACCCTCCCTTACAACGCCGACCACGGCCCCCGTCTGAATGGCCTCGCTCCCGCCCGCGGAAACCCTGTACTCGATCTCGGCCAGCCCGTCAAGCCATCGGATCATGACTTCGGGCTTCACCTCCATCGTCACCAGCTGCTCTGACAGGGCCGTAATTATGTCCGCCAGGGCGAGGCCATTCGCCGTCTTGAGCGTGTTGATCGTAGAAAGGCACGTGGTTACGTCGCTCGTGGTGAGCAGCGTGCTCGCAATCTTCGCGATTGCGTCCGGCGGCGGGGCGGCTATGCAGTTGTAGATAGTCTCGGTCGTGATGACTTCCCTTACTATGTCCTTCTCGGCGATCTTGGGGCCACCTCGAGGCTGCATAGGCGTACCTGGATCAGCAGGTTAGTTTAATATCGTAGGGGTGTGGGAGATCTTCGCGAGCAGAGAGAGGGGCAGGTTGTGGCTTACTTGATGCGTGGCAGGCTTGCAGGACGTTTAGCGCCCGTCGCATATCACCTTTGCTCAGCTTCACCAAAGCATCCGTTGCTTCCGACGAGATGTTGACCCCTTCCTCGAGAACAACTCTATCTACCAAGACCCGTATGTCGTCCTCCTTCAAAGGGCTGAATCTGAAGCGGGTACATCGAGAGAGCAGGGCGGGCGACAGCTTGTGCGCGTAGTTGGCGATGATACAGAATCGCGTGTTGGCCGTGTACTTCTCCATGATCCGTCGCAGGGCCATCTGGGCTGTGTTGGTCATCGCATCGGCCTCATCTAGGATGATGAGCTTGAAGCCTGCCATGCTACCGGCACGCGACGCCCCGCCCATAGTGAATATCTGTTTCGTGGACGCGAATGTCTTGATCTGCTCGCGCACGACGTCGATACCTCGGTCGTCGGAGGCGTTCAGTTCTAGGACCATTTGTCGCACGTTTTCCGCTCCATAGATCCGTCTGGCCAGTGCTAAGATAGTGGAGGTCTTTCCCGTTCCCGGTGGCCCGTAGAGTAGTAGATGCGGTAATCGGTTCGAGTCGACAAACTTGTTGATGGTGGCTAGAATATCTTGGTGGCCCGAGACATCAGATAGCGACACGGGCCGGTATTTCTCAACCCTAGCGGCTCTTTAGCGACAGAGAAATAAAATACAAGCAAGCTGTAGCGAAAATCTTACCATGGCAGCGAATCCTCAGCTTCGACGGGGAGGTTGGCAGCACTACGCTTGCCCTTGGCGGTGTGTTCGGAGGAAAAGGTGATGTCGTTTGATGCCACAGGGGCATCCACATCCATGTCGTCCTCGAAATCAGACATGGTCGCGATCAGATGCCTGGTAACGGGGTGGTCAGTGTCGGCTTTGACTTCCAGGTAACGCAATGCAAGTTCAATGATCTCGAAGGAATATTATCATGAGGTAGTTGATCGCAAGACAAGGCTTCTTTTTGTTCTCTTCTCCCACAGGGCCGGTGGGTTGCTAGGTCATGCTCAGAAAGTCGAGGCCCCCACGACGAGTACTAAGACGCGTAAACGCCACACTTAACGCGTTCAGGATGGGGCTTGAAGGCGGAAGCTACTGTGCTAAGTAATCATCTGTGGCGTCCGCAGCATCTGGTATATATGGAGGTACCTTAGTACTCAAGATGGGTACGTGGTAAAGCACGTGGGCCTATACTTATGAGTAGAATCCGATATTTACATATTTCGTTGTTTATCTCGATTCGAAATCCTACCAGATCTCCCAAGACCCCTCGTATCCTCGGACGTTTTATAAAGCCCAAGGTCATCGTCATACCCACACCTCAAGAGTTCGGCAAATTAATAGGTAGGTTTCCCATTGTTCATCAGGTATTTAATACAGATATGATTTGCGAGCGCAAGTCCATCGCTAGCCAACTCCGGGAAATGAAGCTATACCTACCTAAATGCTGTACGCCGATGTCATGCCTGTCCGTCACGTCGTCTCCCCTAACCGCACCAGCTATCTCTGTAAAAAAGAACGCCCCGCCTCTATCAACGCCTGGAGATCCCGCTTCAATTCCTTCTCGCTCTCATCCCTCTCTTCGCTGCTGCTCTCCTCCGAGATCGGCGTTAGGTCGTTAGTGGGAACCCATTCGCCGTCCGACGACGAAGAGGATGATGAGGACGAAGAGGACGACCAGCTGTCCGAGTCGCTGTCCGATGGGTCGTCCTCTTTGCAGTCCGCGTCAGTGTAATTGCGGACGGTCAATTTCCCGCGCCGGAAACTTGGGCGACGGGATATCCTGAGTGGGTATCGCGAGGATACAACCGGCACATCGCCACCATCCATCGCCACCATCTCCAGGGGCATCATGCTCTCGTCTTCTGCTATAAGACTACGCAATGTATCTGAATCCATGGCCCTCGCTTCGGCGATTGGGGAGCCGGCCTCGTCATATTTATTCTGATCAGCACAGGTGACTTCTAGGACCGTGTTTGGGGATTCACCGCCCTCGTGATCGTGTCCTTGTCCTTCGTTATCAGAGGAACCTGTTTTCTTCACATTACTTTCCACCTCCTCAGGCTCATCCCAGCAGAGAGTAGTCTTGAATAGCGGGCTTTTAGGGCTGGTGGGACTCTTCTTCTTCTTCTCGGCCGTCTCACACTCCTCTTGCAACTCGAGGGCCTCGTTTAGCGGTAGCTCGTCGTCAGGGCTCGGCGACGGCCCTACGGCAGCAGATGGAGGCTCCGGCTCCTCCACAAGAGTGTCGAGCGTGTCTTTCTTGGGACCCTCCGACAAAATTCTGTGCCGCTCATGGTGGCATTCGGAAGGATAGTTGCAGTCGATCATGCAATTGTGTGTCTTACCCACGAATGCGCGCTCGCGCTGCAGCTTTCCCATACCATCAATCATTTCCAACCCGAGGACCTTGCGACGCCACGCCCCCCATTCTTCCCATCCGCTATAATCGAACTCGGACGCGCATATCCCATGGGAGCGGCGCCGCTTCTTTCCGCGTCGCGTAGTTTGAGGCTTCGCGGATAAGCAGTACTGATGAGAGCAGACGAGACAACGACGCGTGCACCCGATCCGATATATCGTGCTGCAAGAGTGGCATTGCCAGAGCCACGGGTAGGGCTGACGAGGCGGGGGCGGAGGTGTAGGCATGCCATCCGGCGACAAAGGTAGGATGTTCCGGAGGTGCAGGCGGGCGGGGGGTGTCGTCGGTAGAGATGCAGGGCGGTGGTCGCTTGATGACGATGAGACCGTCGATGTAGTCGTCGGTGCAGTCGCCGATGCAGTCGCCGATGCGGTCGTCGACGGGATTTTTGACGAGGTTTTAGTCCGCCGAGAGAAAATGGAGAGCTCCGGCAGCGCTCGACGCGAAGGCATGACTCCGGAATGGTTGTTGGTAATGTGGGTTACTACAATGGCGTGGATCCTAGGATATGGAAACAGGAAGTTTTTTTCGGAACAACGATCTCAAACCTGGGACAGCGACGAAATACCCAGCACATTGATGACTCAATACGAGAAAACACAACCGCGTGTTTCTTGCGCTCCGGCGAATCGGGTGTCTGCAGCAGCAAACCAAGGAAAGATACGATAACGCCTGTTTCTATTTCGGACGGGGGAGAAAGGTGCCTAAGAAGGAGTGTGGGAGAAGGAGCGGATTATTTACTATCCTGCTGGAGGATGCCAAAAAAGAAATAGATATTTAACGAAACAGACAGAAGAAAAGGAAAAAGGGGTGGTGTTTAAGATCAAGACTCATACTCTCGTTCAGGAAAGCGGATGTTCCACCATACCATGGGCTCACCAACACTTATACAGAAAACAGCCACTTTGTCGAGCTCTCCACAGACAAAGCGGCCGGCGCATCCAAACCTCATATTCGGCCTTACTGTCGAGGCCCTTCTCTTCGGAACCTCAGGAGCTCCGGCGTCGGCGAATCGCGGAAGCCCTGCCCCCCTTTGTGAGCGTATCGTCTTCTATTGATAGCTCGACTCGACTTTTCCCGACACGCGGGCAGCGCACGACGCCCTTGTGGCTGCGGACCTTTAAGTTGGCCCTACGGGCAGGCGACAAAGGAAGGAGGGCGATGGGGAGACCAAGCACGATCGATCAAGTTGCCGATGGCAAAGCGACGACGCCCGGCCAGGGGACAAAGCGGCCATTCACAGCCGTGGGAGAGAAAGGGGCCGGAACGTGGGAGGGGGGGGGAGAGAACGATAGAACGTGGGAGAGAACGTGGGCCGCCGATCCAAGAGAGAGGATTAGTTATGGAAACCAAGCTGGCCGCGTGGTGCTCTCAGGACTAGCCACATCGGCCCGCCTCCCTCAGAGCCAGACAGCCGCGATTCCACGCGCCCCTCTCCCGGCGCCCACGGCCGCGAATCTCTCGACCGTTGCAGAGCCGTCCACTGAGATTCCTCACGCGCCGGCAATACCTTCGCCTGTATCAAGGCCTCACGCAAGGTGTGTTTCGAAGACAGAGTACGAGGGCGAAGAGGAGACCGAGTATATCCCCCCTCCTCCCTCCTCCCTACGAGAACCGTCCGAGTGAACCGCCCGCCCATCCCACAAGACCAGAGTGTCAAAACGGAAAACAGAAAACCAAATGCTAGGAGGACCGCCAGCGAGACAGACAGCCTGCTGCTCAGATCGACTACCCCCAGCCCGGCATCGGGCGCGCGGTGCAATTCAACAAGAGGTAGGTAGGCAGGCAAGTGTATATATACAACCCAGGCATTCCTATGAGCCTCCCCCCAAGCGCAGCATATTATATATTCCCGACAGCCATCCTACGGCCACCGACCCACGTCCCACGTAAATATATATATATATATAAGACGTCATATTATCATCCTACCCATCCATCCCCGCCATTGCAAATGAACACCTCTCTCCCCTATATCCCCCCCCGTTTCCCCCCCCCCACACCTCCGCCTCCGTCTACCCTACCCTGCCCTATCCCGATCCCGATCCATACCCCCCCCCCCTCCCCCCGCGCACGTGTACGCGTAACGCGCGCGCGTACGCTGCGAGCCAAAAGCAGCAGCAGCAGCAACAACAGTGCCCGTTGCGCGAAGCCCGCCGCCGCCTCCGTCGGGGCGGACAATCTCGCGGCTTATGGGGTCGCGATTACGTAGGTAGACGCGACAGGGAACAAGGCTACGTGTATTCGAGAAGGCGGTATACGTAGAGACATGTTAAATGAGCAAGAGAAAAATAAAAAAAAACCTAGGTAGGTTAGAAAGCAAAGTTTACCCACCTGTCCCCAGCCTCGCCGCATCCCCCTCCTGTCTCCCGCTGTCCTGTATGTAGTACATCATCATCACACAGCAACCGAAAATAAGTCGGGGGAAGCGGAATGGGAGCAGCATCATAATATTTTTTTCCTTTTTTTCTTCTTTCTGGGGGCTCTCGGGGAAGGGAGCTCCGATGAAAAGCACTGCTAGCAAAGACAAGTTTCCCTCGAGCGTGCTCCTCATCGAGCTGTCGCCCCTTCCTCGCTCCGTTGTCGAGAGCGAGGAGTTGCCATCTAGGCTCACCCTACACAAATTCCACCCCACTCCTCCCCCCTTCCCTCATTCCCTCCATCCCCCCCCCCCTTTTTTTCTGTTTATTTCGCGGCAGCCTCAGGAACCATCAACCCATAATAAAGGATTTCTCTTGAAAATATGATCGCTCCCGGCTTGGGGGAAGGAGGGCGAGGAGTTCGTCATGCAACAGGTATGCTCCAACATAATCGCATTGGACTCGCCTTCTGTTTCCCCTCAACCCAAGCGACGAAAACGTGGCGTGCTGGCCTGTAAAGGTACCCGTGAATTATACCCCAGAAGACATCGCCATAATGATCGTCGTACTATACGTAAGATCCCCCCCCCCTCGTTTGCTTAATTCCAACCGAAACAAAGCAGTAGAGAACATTACGATCCACACCGCAGGAATTGTCGGATACGAAAGAATGCGAAAAACATGTCGTGAAGCCCAAACATTAAAAAGGGGCGCCGAAGCCCGGGCGGGGTAGGAGTTTATGCCTCGATCGCCTTGTTCTTTTTCTTCTGCTCGACCTTGAGTAGTAGGGCGCGGTTGATATGGGGCAGAACACCGCCGAAGGCAATAGTTGCACGGATCAAGGTGTCGAGTTCTTCGTCGCCACGGATAGCTAATTGCAAATGTCGAGGGGTAATCCGCTTGACTTTGAGGTCCTTGGCGGCATTCTGCAAAAAAAAAAACCAGAAAAGTCAGTAAAGCCACGTGCTGATGACGAAACAACTTCTCCAAGGTAGCGCGCAAGGCAGCAGCAGAGGAGGGGTGGCAACTGGTAGGTAAATAAAGGGGTGACAAAGAGGAAGGAATAATGACTCACGCCTGCGAGCTCCAAGACTTCGGCTGTCAAATACTCTAGGACAGCAGTAACATAGACGGCTGCCTTGGCTCCAACTCGCATCTTATTCTGTGTATTTTGCTTGAGGAAACGCTTGACGCGGCCGCAAGGGAACTAGAATCAGAAACCATGTTAGTTGATGTCTGCATACGCACCGTGAGAGTCCTCTGCAAGCAATGAAGACATGATGCGCTCAAGGTTCCACGACATTGCCGATACGGAGGGGATAGAGAGACATAGATGTGGTGCATCAGGTTCGTGAGTCAACAAAGCCCTTTATCACACCTGAGTGCGCGTAAACAAACGGCTCCCTTTTCGACGACCAGAGTCTGCATGCCTCATCGAGAGCCCTCCGTGGGAAACGGGGCAAACAGAAGCAGCATAGCGATATGCGTGGCTGAGGCCAGCATTCAAAGTGTGGAGGGAGGGGAGAGGAAGGGGAGGGAGAGAGGTATTGGTCTGCGCCTGGCGTTGGGAGACTGCGCGTGCGTGCATTTTATTTAGGCCAGTGAACGGAGGGGGACAGGCAAAAACAAGCCTGATTTGAGGGGATGAGGATTGGAGATACAACGCCGTCTCCGCAGACAATGCATCACGATAATAGGTAGGCGGGTAGATGTCGAGGTGGTGAATAGGATCGGCGGCTCTTTTCTGGCTTCTTCTTACCTGCAGACCGGCGCGAGCGGAATGGCTCTGTTGTTTCTTAGGGGCATCGGCTGTCGAGGTCTTGCCGCCCGAACTCTTGCCGCCAGAAGATTTCCCTTTTCCACCAGCCATTGTTTATTCGGATGCGCAGAGGGGGCGAGCAGTCTACTGCCAGCAGACAAAAAGTAAACGATATCTTCGGTATGCTGTCGATGCGGTGGGGAACTCGTCTTCTCGGATATGCGGATGGCGGCTCGAGAGCTTAGGGTTGAAAATAATATGAGGTGCAGGCGTGCAGGTGCGCGTATATGAGTGTGCTGTTTGGATGTTGTTTGCGCGTTGAGGTTGAATTGGAGATGAAAATGTTTTTTCCCCTTCCTTCGTGGATGTTTGTGTTTTGATTCTTCAAAGTCGGGAGGCGTCAAATGGTTGAGCTCCGAGAAAAAAATTCGAGAGGCGGCGCATGCCTTGGAAGGTAGTAGTTTGGCGGTCGGATCAGGTAGGCATGCGAGGCTGGGCATTGAGAGCGCCCTGTAGGCTGCTGGTCGACAGGGAGCTGTAGAGAGCGGTAGCGTGCTGTGAACGCCTGTAGGACGCCCGTGTCTGGAACCCGTTACTAGAGCCCGTTAGTTGGACAGATCCCCGCTATCACTGACACCTAGGTACCTCTAGGCACCCAGGCCCTGCTGAGGATTCCTGGCAACGAAACCCCGCCACTTCGAGTATAAGGTACCTACCGACCGCTAACCTCAGACCTCACCTCACCTAAGGTGGCGCCGCCTCCGGCTGCATCGTCCGGCAAAACATCGGTCGGCTTCGCGATTAGGTAAGCGGGCCCCCCGGAGGAGAGACGCAAATTCCATGCTTCATGACAGCCTGCGATATCAAGAGCACGGCGACGGGAGGGGGGTTATCAGCGCAGTCGGAGGCTTAATGTGCCAAAAGCGTAACCTAGAGTAGCTCTACAGCCGAAGCATGTCCGTCTCATCTGGGAGGAGTCGACGAAGCCTGCTGTCTGATTGACGAAGAAGTTAGTCGCCTGCCGTGGACCAGCCGGTCAACACAAGGACGAGAGGGTGGTGGCATACCTGTCGTCGCACAACGGGCCGGCGCAGGCGACGTGCTGCGCTCCACGTCGTGCCGACATCGTGAATAGAGATGCTCGAACTCAAAATACATGCTGCCCGACGCCTCGACCAAGGAGCAGGCCGAGCGGCAACGCGGGACAGGATGGCATATGTGCGTACAAAAGGAGACGGAACGTTGTGATATTATTGGGAAATCGAGAGATTAGATAGGCTGAACGGACGAGGACCTATCGACGTCACGGGTCCTCTAGGTGCCAAGACTCCGCGTGGCTTCTGCCCTGTGGACAAGGGGACTTGGTGGCGTGTGGCTTGCGAGCTTGTGGCTCGTGGCGAGCTTACGCAAGTCGGTTTCAATAACTGCATGCATCTCCGGGCGTTTCTCACTACCGGGGTAGCGGGCTTAGCCAACATCAGCAAGGCAACACCACACCACCACGCCTCCACGACGGTAACCATTCCACATGTGTCGATCTACACACCTGTGAGGCGTGCAGCAGTTGCAGGGTGCGCTCTATATCGAGCCGACCACTTGTATGTCCATGGTGTTTAGGTATCTCTCACCATCAACCTCGGGAATAAGCCAGGGGGCCGGTGTGATGCGTAACGGGCATCCGTCCTAACAAACCTGAGCGCAAACGTCCATCCCCGCACCCACATACGGTGCCCGTATGTGCGTGTGCAGGCACAGAGCTCATCATCAATACCCACGCTTCAATTCAACGTAGACCCTGTCGTAATACGAGACATCGTCAATGACATACGCGCACGCGACCATTCTCCCACCAGGATGCAGGCGGAATGCAGTCCGCGCGCGTGTTTTGCTACATCATGTACCTGTATCCATGTACGAGTTATATCTAAAGGTACGTAGGTATGTACCTACCTACATACGGAGGTAGGTACCTAACCTAGGCGTGATGTGCTTATCCTGGCTGCTGAGGGTTCCCACGTAACAGGTTCACCTATTCACGTTATTACTACCGTACTATAGGCGGGGAATGCTGCCGGCCGAATCGACTTCATCCACTCGATGTTTCGAAACAACCACTCTTGGCGCTTTATATTACACCTCGTTGGCGGCTTGTCGTCGGACGGCTATCCTATACCCGCTCCCCTTCGCCCCGTTGGCCGTGATAATCAAAGAGGACCCTAGCCACGAGCGTTGCATCTCTCCCATCTCCCGTGAGAGCCGCCGTGGCGCAATATAACTTTCCCCTCTGCCTAATCAAACACCCTAGTGACGACTTACGAGGCTGAGGTGGCACCTAATGTTTTCAAGGGGCAACCTTCCTGCAAACTGTAACATCGTGGGAGTTGGCAGCAAGTATTGTAGTTAGCCCCAATCCAAAAGCACTGCCCGTCCCTCCGTCTCTGGAAATGGCAAGCGATTGGGAGGCTTGGGATGTATACCTCCTCTTGCACGCGTATAAAAATCAGATATGGTCTGTATACCGAATCCGCTTGTTGAACTAGTGTTACCTGCAGGCGAGAAAGCATCGCTCGTGTAGTGAGGATAGAGACTTACCTTCAGGCTTCATAAGAGCCTTCCTCGCAACCGTCGCCAACCTCCACCTCGTCGCTAAAATTACCGCCAGGAATGTCAAAGGTACAGGTTAGGTTAGGCAGGTTTGAGGGTTCTTCTCATGGCATAATCCCAAGCACATGCGTAGGCCGGCTGCCACTCTGTACGGAGATAAGCTCGTACACAATCTCGTAAGGGTCTGGCTTATTAACGGCACGTAGCCACCCCCCCCCCCCTTGGGGCGTATTGCAAATGACTAGAGAAAATTAAACGAGATAGCGTTCGACCGCGAGAACAGGAGGTGATCTGGGAACGGGAGCCGGACATTACGCTATTATTATGACGTCCAAGCCTCCCAGGAGACCAGATTCTTGCTTGCTGGGCGCCTCCCATCCCGGGCTCACCCAATTTAGCATCGCCTTGGTGGCCCCCCCTCCCCGGGCACGTCCCGTCATGTAGTATACACATTTCTCCACGGAGAAGACTCATTGATTGAATTTCGTACGTTAAATTGCTTAAGCTACTACTTGCTGCGTGAGGGTAGCTCTATGCCATCATTCTCTATATGAGAGAGGAGGAGAGAGAGAGAGAGATGTGTGTGTGTGGTAAGTCGGTAGGTACCGAGGCCATAGATTTAACTACTCTTCTCTCCCTTTGAGGATCAGAGTTGGGGGAATAGGGTCAGTGTCTGAGGATAAGGTCTCGGATGGTGTGACGTGGTTTGGCCACGGCACTTGTCCCGGGAAATAGCAGTAGAAGGGAACCAGAAATCGTTATGATCTATCGGTAGCGCAGCCCTCAAATGGAGTAATCGGTTAGTGGCACATTTCCATATATCAAGTCGAAACGTAGATGGGAAGGTTATAAGCTGAGCCTCCGAAGGTGCTACCTCGCAGACAGCTTCGGATAGGCGCTCTGCCCTCCGCGCTACACTAGACGATACGCCTCGATCTGCTAGCCTGCTTTTGCTTGAAGTGCCCGTCGATACAAGGCCTGGTCGAATTCGCGAAGGGACGAGAGCGGCTACGTCTTATTCATAGGGGTTTGGTTTCTTCCTACTCGTGACGAAAGCCCCGACGCAGTAGATCTCATTCCCACATGTCACACGTAGGGGTATGTAGATGTATGGACACTGGGACGAGGGAGGGACCCTACGGGAACCTAACAACGCAAGCCACTCAGATCACAAACTATTATACCCCGACCGCGGCGTCAGTGGTGTATCAGTCAAGTCGGGCTAGGCCGTAGCCGGGCGTCCATCATCCGCCGCCGAAGTCCAAAACATCCACGACATGCAGGAGACTACCGAACTGGCGCGGAGGTAGGCAAATTCTTTGTTCCCGCGGCGCACTCGTCTCTCCGTCCCGCGCAAACGTCGACCCCCCGGGACCTGGACAAAGGGAGACAGCCACGCAAGCCCCTCCCCCCTTTATCACGGCGAGATACTCGAGAATACGCCGGACCCCCGCGCACTAGCAGCTAGTCCGCGTTCCTGGCCGTCGATCCAGACTACCGGCCGGGCCGAGTCTGCTGGGCGCGGGAGGCGCGGCGGCTCGCCAGGCATCCCCTGGCGGCGCGAACGTCCCGGCTGCGTTTGACGCGCGAGCTTATTCCCTCGTCCGAGACCCTCTCTCAGCCTAGACGCCGCTAGGCTTTATAACCTAAACGCTCCTAGGAATTGCCTCGCTGCGCGGCAAACTCCGTGAAACATAGGGGCGCAAATACAGGGAGGGGGCACCTCGTGAGCACAACAGAGTTTGCCCCGTCGCCCAGTCTGGCGCGCCTCGCAGGAACCGCATCGTCTGCGCAGGTGCGAATCCCACACCGGTCGAGGCCGCTCTCGATGCGCCACGAGGCGCTCCCACGCCATCGCGCCCCCAGATCTGGCTGCCCCGCGCCACTTCGGCAGATCAAGGCAAGCCTCCCCCCCCCCCAATGAGGGGCAAAGCTTGCGTCTGGGGCAGGCTCGAGGGGAACCTCGCAGGTCGCCAATCGGACGGACGATGCTCATCGAGTTTCTTCAGCGAGAGCTCCGAGGCTGGCGGTGTCCCCTCTCGCGGCGGCGAGTCTCGTAGGCAAACACGCGACGAGTGAAAACCTGCCGCCCGTCCGGTCCGAGCTAGGCGAGTCGCAAGAACAAGAAACGCGGCGGCGTCCGGCGCCCACATCCGCCCGTCTGCGGGCCCACGCGTGCGCCCAGCCGAGGCCTTCTCTGCGCGGAGGCGGGACAGGCCCGCGCTGCGCTGCCCGCGGCCGGGTTTGCTCGTTTGCCGGGTGAAGACGAGCGCCGTTTGTTTGTAGCTGCCCACTCCCCTCTCCCCCTTTTTGGTGCGGTAGAGGGGGGGGGAAGGGGGCATGGGCTACCTCTGATCGATTTGTCACAGCGGGTTATATATAGGCGGCGGGTGGGTATAGAGATGCGACGGGAACGCACGAATGCCCGTCGTGGGCAGGTTGCGCGCAAACCTGGCAGGGGAGAGGGGGGCGAGGAGGATCCTTCGACTACGATTACGACGCCGTTCTGGGTATAGGACGCGAGGAGATACTACATGTCGCGAGTCGAGTCGGATGTGTACGCAGGTGGATACCTATGTTTACGTGTAATTAGCTGTTTTTTTTCCCTATTTTTTCACCTTTCCCAACTCCATCTCACTGCTTCTCTCAGGCTGGCCCTATCATAATAGACCGTGCCGTAGAAAATCCAACCAGGCCCCGAAGCCAGATCTATCTAGGTAGTGTATTTGAGAAGCACACGACCACCGTAATCGAGAGCATACCTGGGTATAGATGGATCATCGATGCTGGAAAACTGGGTGGTGGGGAGGAGGAAGGGGGGGAGGGGGGCAGGCTGAAGCACTCACATACCTACATACATACCTATGCACAACAGAGCATACATGCCACGTACGTGCGCGCATACGCATCGAGGTGGACGGCCCAGTTGGTGGGCTGCGGGTGATGCTCGCCCAGATGCAGGTGTTCGAGACTCAACCCACTGATCGAAGCTGCAAATCGTATTATTTCCCCCCAATGGACGGGCTATTGGTGCCCAACGCGGGAGCTAAGCCATCTACGCTTCCCGAGGAAACCTGAAAAGTCGCCCGCCAGACTCTCCAGTCCCGCTGTGACCCTGTCCATCCCACCGACCTACGTATTTCTCATCTTCGGTGTTGATAGCGATGTCGACACGAGTCAGGAAAATTAGCTAGGTATCGGCTACTCGATTTAGTAGATTCCGTTGCTATCGGCTCTATAACCGCATCGGGTCGAGGCAAACTGGATGGGGTGGTCCAGCAGCTCTCAGGCACTCGAGAGCGGTAGCATCGGGTCGTGGGAGAGACAGGACGTATGGTGCCACAGGCAGAGGAACGGGACCACATCCTCACGTTCAGCACTCAGCATGCTGCTCTCCAGACGCTTCGCGGCCGGTCGCATGGCGGCACGCTTTTGCTGCCCACGCCCTGGGATCCCCTTGCCTCGATTCCGGATAGGCGGATGCCGATAACCCTCGGCAGAGGCAGCGAGGGAAATTGCCTGAGGAAACGCGTGGTCGGTTCCCGGGGGCAGAATACACAGAAAGACGCCCTTCCACATTGTAGTCAACATGCTAGCCAATGTCGACTAGATGCATACATGCCCGCGCACTAGGCATCTCCGATGGTAATGAAACCGATCGTACCTAGTTGGCCTGTTCGAGACCACGGCAGGGACGCCAATAGGGCAGAGAGATAGATAGCTGCGCCTGGTTTGGCTAAGAATAGTGCAACCCATCAACCCCGGTCCCTTCCGGAGGAGAGGATAAAGGCAAGCCGCCAGAACTCGAAGCGCGCGGCGGAGGTGAGATTACAACTTGACGTCGGAAAGGGGGGCCCAAGGGAGACCTCTTTGAGGTTCGGCGTGGGAGGGCGCATGAGTATTTGCCAGTTTTACAATACACGCCCGGGGTCGGACGGCAGAGAGTCGATATATTGCCTTGGCGCAGACTCTTGGGAGAAGTCTGTGGTTGCCTGCCGTTCCGTTATCTGTTGCTCCCATGGTCGAGCCCGGCCCGAGGGGGGAAAAACTGGACTGCCTGGCGACAAAAATGACGAGCTGGGATCCTCTCCTAGTTTGGTGGCGATGCTGTTTTGAATTATCTACGTAGCTCATGCGCTTTTTGGTCTCCTCCTGGTCTCGTCAGACACAAAAGGGGGATGGTAGGAGTATCACGGGAGTTTGCCGATTGGACGACTAGTTCGACGTCACGTCCACCTAGACGCGCTGTCAGTTCCCGAGACAGAAAGCTTGGTGTCTCTTACAACCCCGCCGAGGTCAGGAAACAGGACCGTGTACAGAAATGTCAAGAGAGAAGGGGGGAACGGCAACATCTTGGAGTTGCGTGGCACCCTTGCCGGCGCTATGAATTGCGTTTGCGATGGCTAGTTAGGGGGATACTGGGCCGTGCAGAGCATACCTCTCTCTCTTGCCGTCTAGACATCCTACGTTTCGATAAACAAGCTGGTCCCCTTGTTAACGTGCCTTAAGAGGAGGGCGGCTTCGGCACGCTGCACGCCGCCCAGCGCTGCCAACAACCCATACAAACACGAAACGCGGTGGCCGTGTAGAAAATATCGCGATAGTAAGGGGAACCAAAAAAAACCCTCTCGAGGAGAAGGGAGAAAGAGAAAAGGGGCCGCATATCGATTGCTCCTGTTCTGAAGATCACGTCGAAGTTGCTGAGAGCCATCTCGCTTCGGGTGTTGGATCGGGGTGGCCTGGCTCGTCTCCCGCTTCTCTGACAATCTCCATCTCTCGTCGCTTACCTTCTCATAAATGTCCTGACCGGAATTAAAACTCCGTAGGGCAAACGGAGCAGAGGCGGAGCATCTGATACACGGGGTCACGAGCTGGAACGGTGATTTCTTCGTAAGTACGTGGTGAATTCTCCCTCGTAGTCGCAACAACCGGGGAGGGGAGTCTAGCCAGAGGCAGAAACGGAGACAGAGAAAACGGGGTGACATGAGCTAAGACTGTCGCGAAGCCGGAACGTCATCGATGCAACATTGGGGAGGGATCCGAGGGAGTACAATGGCAATGATGGGTAAGAAAGGAAATGACGCAGACTTGGTAAAGGGGAAATCCTACGTAATGGCAAGGGCTTTGGTGAATGGACAAAGCTGAGTTCCAGAACACGCCAAGATCCCAGGTCCCACGGAGGGTTGCCTCTATTTTCTCAAAGCAGACCTAGGGCTGCTTCTGATTTGCTGGCTGCGGTGAACGATCATTTCGAATTCCTAGGGGGTTCGAACGGGGCCGGTTGGGGCCAGGTTGCGATCTGATCTTGGTACGGGACCCTTGGGACCGGGTGTGGAGGCACGGATGGGCGAGCAAGCCTTAGAAGTTCGTTCGTTCTGCTGCTTTCGGGACACAGGTCTGATCCCTACCCGCTGTACCGTCCTCTTCCTCTCTTTCGTATGCTCTCTTTCTCGTCCTCTCTGTCCCTCACTCCCTCACTCCCTCCCTCTCCCGGTGTGTGTGCGTGCGCGCACGCGTGTCTTGTGCCCGCATGTTGGGGATAGCGGGAATCGTATTCGAATATAGGTGGTCGGATGACTCCTCGTCTTCTATCCCGGGGGACAGGCGAGCGGCTGGGCATCGTCATCTCCGCGTACGTTCCCGACGGTGTACGTATAGTATGTATGTATATATGTATGTGTGCATGCATGTAGGTATACTCGCTACCCGGGGTTGCATCCAAGTGATCGCCTCGTCGGCGCGTGAGGCGAAGCTGCCGTCTCATCACAACGTATACTAGGTGTGTACATGCCATATCTACACGTCGTATGCTAATAAGTATGGGACGTAGACTTGATGAGTCGGCGCTGGCGTGGTGATACCCACTGCATGTTGCGCTTCGCGGGCGAAGTGCCTACAGAGATTGGCGGGTCCACCCTGCAGAGCGGTCGTGATCTACATGGGACGAGTGCATTAGCTATACTACGTAGCAGCAACTCGTCACTATACGATACCGGGTTAGACGTAGGGCCTTAGATTGATGATTTGCCGAACCCGACCTTGCGAGGCAGGCTACGACACTGATCTGATCCGATTGGCGTTTTCTCGAATCATTCTGTAGTAGAGAAGGTGGGAGCTCCTTCGAGATCGGCGGCAGAACCAGGTTCTCTACAATCTTGGAAATAGGGGTTCAAGGCTGGCCGGACAGACGCTTGGGAGGTGAGCTATGTATATACGTGTGCGCGCGCGCGTGTGTACGTACGTTCGTATGCACGCAGATATGTACGTGTGTGTGTGTGTGTGTGTGTGTGTGTGTGTGGGCGCGCGCGCGTGTGCGTATGCGTGTGTGTGTGTGTGTGCATATACATACACAGGTGAGTCAAGGCTGCCAGCAAGCCATGTTCCTAACATCTGCTGTCGACGAATCTCCGACGTTCGGAGAGGACCCGGCAGGAGGCGGAGGAAGGGAGAGAGACGAGAATGAGAAGAAGAGAAAAAGAGAACGAGACGGAGAGGCCAAGCCCGTTCGGGATCGATGGTCAGCATTGCACATGGACAGATCAATCGATGCCCACACAAATAGGTAACCCAATGTTGCCCCCTGCAGATGAAGACCATGACCTTTGTTCGTGGTTCGTCTGGCAGGCGGCCGCTGTTTGGAACCCTGTGGGTATGATGGAGGCGCCGCGCAGGCATGTTTCACGCCTTTTGCTGGTGTGTACGCAGGTAGGTAGGTATGGGTGTATGGACGTGGACGGATGGATCGAGGGGGACCGAGAGTGGGAGAGGGGACGAGTGGAGGGATCGATAGCCGCTCTCTCGCCCCAACTCGCGGCGGGGCTCCCCAAACCACCCCCTCCCCCTTTTTTCTGTTCCCAGGCCGGTGCCCCTCTCTGCGATGCATCGACGGTTTACGTGCCGGAAATACGTGCAGACGTCGTCTCTCGGAATCGCTACATGGCGTGCCCTCCAGCCGGGAAGCCGGTGGCTCTAGTTCAGGTTCGAAGGCGAGAAGATAATATCTATGTTGCGTGTATGAGCAGGCTCCCGTGACTCGCATGGCGCGTGCCGTGCCGGCCGACCGTAGGATGGTGGGCTGGGTCATTTGACGTTACGTCGACGAGCCGGGTCGAAGAGGGTGTGAAGCGGATTGCTCACGAGGGCCCGGACGACAACGAGGGGCGAGAGGACGGGGTCTGTCCCATGACGATAGTGAGCCGCTACGGTTCCGCGTATGCTATAATATAACTGCGACACGGCTTGTCCAGCTATGCATACGTATATGCTGTGTAGTTTGCTTGTCGCCATACCGTAGACATCTTCCCACACCGCGGAAAGCGGGACACGGCGAGGCGGCGGGATATCTGTCCCTATTACCGTAGGGGGTATGTATGAGTATGTGTGTACGTATAGATGCTGGAGGTCTCTCTCCACGCGCGCGCGTGTGTGTAAGTAAGTGGGTACCTGTAAGAGGAGGTAAGCAAGTAGGGTGTAGAGGTATATGAGTATGTCGGCGGACCGATGGGGAGGATATAGCAGAGGTGTTATGTACGGGTTATCTGTGCATTGATATGGAGACAGACATCCGGAGAGGGAGACGGCGGGGACGGAGCTCAAGCCTCCTGCATTGGGTCAATTAATTTGGCTGCTAGAGAGGCCGCGATACCAGGCCTCATCACGATGGTTCTCGCTCTCCCATGCGAGCGATGGATACTCTCCATATAGGGGGCGAAATGAGGCCGACGGCGTCCCTAGCGATGCCACTAGGTCGTTGCTCGCAAAGGGGGGGACGTGGGCACTCGCTGCCAGTGCATCTCCATATCCGCATCGCAAATAAGTCAGTCCATTTACATATGCAGGAGGAGAGAGAAGGGGGGAGATGTGTGTCTGTGTCTGTGTCTGTGTCTTGTCTGCATTTGTGTTTTGTCTGTGTTAGGTATTTGCTTGGTGTTGAGGAGGGGATGGATGGACGAGGGTGGTGGGTACGTGTAGGACCGCATTAGTGCACTTGCATACATAAAAAGGCGCCCCCTAGTGCATATACATGCCCGTATATGTACCCGGGATTGTATGTACCTGGTAAGGAGGAGTTACCTACCTCTAAGGGATGTAACTGGAACATGCAGCATGTACCTAGGATTTCCAAATTGTCCCCGCCTGTTGCCCGGGGCCGTGCTCCCCACCCATGTCATGGGCGTTTCCTAGGAGGGTTGAACACAACTACCCAGGTCAGGCAGTACCTAGGTAGGTACATTGATAGGTACTTACACGTACGCATTTCTATAGGTACCTACCTAGGTAGGTGCCTGCCTTTGGCCCTCTACAGGCACACGGTCGAACGTAGGGACTCCCCGAGCTCCTGTTGAGGTAGGTACATATAGGCTAGGGTACCTAATCCATACGCGAATATGAGGCTGTATGCGTATGCATACCTCCCACCAACCTGCCCTGAGTGTAGATCTCCAAGGCATAGGATACATGAGGTACGGATGTATAATAAACATACTATATTCAATTGCCTGAATGCCTCAACTCTCCACCACGTGGCTGCTGCCATATTAGGACGGGTACATATCTCATGTTGCGGATCTTACAGCGAGGAAACATACGACTTACGTTGTATGAAATAGGCACTAATCCGCCTAGAGATCTGTAATGCACACACACACACACACACACACACACACACACCATATCATGTGTGCGTGTGTGCGTGCTGAGGTGCTTGAAGTAGTGGATGTGCATAGGAGGTAGGTAGGGGCTTGCAGGACCCAGGCTTTTGAGGGGGGACCCTGAGCCCCGGGAGGACGCGCATCTGGACCTAAGCTTAGGGGGCAGCGGAGGACGGTTCACGGCTCCGGCACTGTATAATATGTACCTATTGCTCGACTCTTATGCATGCACATGCACATACGAGGCAGGCTAGATACCTGTAGATAGCTGGGAGGGTACCTGTCTACCTGCAGCGGTATCTAGGGTGAGTAGGGCCTACCTACCAACCTACCTAAAATACCCGTATAGATGGATGCGAAGGAGGGATGAATGCTGGGAGTATACATGAAGCACCCTAGGATGGTAGGTACCCAAGGTGGGAGGGGGCAGAGGGGATGTCGGGCACGGGTACATACATACATAAGCGCGTATGGGCGGCAGGTTGATGTACCCGACGTACCTACCTTTGGTAGGCAGGCCCCTCGGAATATACCTACGTAGGTACGTACATACATATGCGACTCACCTTCGGCAGGTACCTTATTTCACGCCGCCCTTCACCGGCCAGGTCTCGCGGTCAGGGCAGCTTAGGCTGGGCGAGGTGGTATCGTGGGCCGGGGTGGCAGGTGTGGTGGTACGTAGGCCAGGGAGGTACCCGGGCGAGGCAGGTTGCGTCAGCTGGGAGAGTTGGACCTGTCTGCTAGGAGGCACATTAGGCAGTGCCTACCTACCTCCTAGGCAACGCACAATCCCTGAAGCCGGCTCCTATCGATATGTGTAGGTAGGTTAGGTTAGGTACCTACATGCGTGCAAGGTCGCAGCACATATTCAGAAGTACGTAGCAGGTTGCCTGGCCGGTAGGGCTCCCTCAGCAGGACAGTCCAGGGGACGAGGCCGCTGGCGTCTGCCAATCGAACCGCCCTACCTCTGGCCTCTGCCCGTATCGCCGGCTCGCTGGCTGAGCCAGCTGTTGCCGCCTCTGCTGAGGGTTGCTGTCGCCGTGCCGTGCTGTGCTGTGTCGTGTGCCGCTGGCATCTCTAGATGGATGCGCCAGCTGCTATAGCTGTTACGAGGATATCAGGATTTCGCTTTCTTGTCAATCCCCTCCTACTTACCTACATCTTCTCTCCTCTCCCTTTTCCTCCTCCTCCTCCTCCTCCTCCTCCTCTTCCTATTCTCTTCTTTCTTACCCTGCTTTCCCCTCCCATCGTCGCCGTCTCCGTCACCACTTCGAACCCATCAGCGGGCCACTCTCTATCCAATCAGTCCCCCCTCCCTCTTCTTCCCGTCCAGGCCACCCCCCTCTCTCCCCCCCTTCTTCCTCGCGCACCCCTGGAAAAAAAGTCTCGAGTGCCAAGTTCCCAATAACCTCCGTGAACTCAAAAATTTCCAGTTCGACCTGTTTTATTACTCTTTCCTCGTCTTCTCGAAAATCCCCAATACTACCTACTTTAATAACAATATCTCTCTCACATTGTCGACCCGATGCCTCTCGCCGTCTCTTGAGGCGCCTTGCCGTAATATTTTCCTCTCTAGTGCTTTTTTTTTTCTTTCCCTCTTGCTTTCTCCCTCTCATCCTCTCTCCCCGTCCTTGGCAGCATCCGCCACGGTCTTCTCCGAGCGCGCCTATTGGGACCTCTGGTCTCGGTATATCTCCTCAGGTCCTCTGCTCCGTCGTTGATTGGCCTTGGCCCTCTTCGCCTGGCATCCTGCTCGGCCTCGCTGCACCGGGAAGGCGACAACGGATTGGAAGAGAGGCGACGCACCAGACAGATTAAAGCGACGCACGTAGCCGGAAACCTACACCTGTCTCCCTGCCTACCAGCCCATTCCCATCTACCTATCTACACGCCTACCTCTTCGCAGGCTACGTACCTGTCCTAGGAAGTGGCCTAGCCGTCCGGGATCCCTCCGGAGAATTAGCCTGGTGGACGTCTCCGCAGAGGAGCTCGTGCCTATTGCCTTTCATCCATCCGTACCCGTCCGACTGACACTGGTCCTGATAGACACTGGTTCAGCTCTGGCCAACCACCCATTCATCTCGCCGAGACCTTCCGCTGCGTGTCCCAGGATCGCGAGAGGCTCTCCCCCCCCCCCCCCCCCCGTTGAATCACCTCCCCCCATCCTACGCACTCCTATACTTCGCACACCCTGGCTCGGCGTCGCCTTGCGACCTCTAGAAGCTGCTAGATTGGGATTTGCCGTATTGCGCGTCGCGTGCGAATAACCTGCCGGGTCTGCCTTCGTCATACGCCGACACTGCCTTCTGTTGCTAGGTAACCAGCATTTTTTTACCGTTTATTTCGCAGAGATCACACGAGCTTGAGGCGTTCCGAGTTGTCGGAGAGTTCTGTCAAGATCCCAGCGTTCCAGGTTGGCTCTGGGGTTAAGTTTTCTGTGGAGGAGGCCATATTCAGAGATTACGGGCAAAATCAAAAAGTCCCAAGACGAGGAAATCCTAACTTAACTTAGGTTGGGCCCCCCCCTGCGGTCGAGCCCGCAATATTGTTCGCCGCCTTTTTTTCTCATACCTGGCCCTCGCTCGCTGCAGGACGATTTTCTCCACCGCATAACTTCGAGCACTGGCCGACGTCCTCCTTTCCAGAGGTTCAGGACCTATCATATATAACCCTTAACCTGGCTTTGGCGACTTGGTACACGACCTTTTGCTATTCGATACTGGAGCTCTTCTCTGTCTCCCTCCCTCTCTTCCTTCTTACCCCGACCGCGTGCGACCAACCTAGTCATCGGCTTCCTGCATTCACTGCGCAGCTAATCTTGCTTGATTGACTGGACCGACGGCTCGGCCAACCAGCAGCCTGCGTCGTCGCTGTTCCATCCACCGACACTGCCTATCTTGCCTGTCGACCTTACGCACGAGCGTTGCTTGTCTTTACATCTTACAACTGTAACCTAGCCAGCGACGCCTTTTTTTTTTCTTCCTCTTCTCTTAGCTTAATCTCTCGCCGACGTAAAAGGCGGAGACGCCCCGGGCACTGACCTACTCATCACAAAGGCGCCTCGGCCTATCTATATACGCGTAGCAAAGGGAGCCGCAGTCTGCTGGCTATCCCGCAGCAGCTGCATTCGCCCTCGATACCATCGCGACGATGATGAATCAACAACACGACATGTACTACGATTATACCACGACGGCGAACCGGTCGCCGAGTTCGACACGGCAGGGTTACGCCACTGTCGGCTTACCCTCTGGCCTGGGAGGCCATCGATCCGGGCAGAGACCGCTGGAAACGCTATCTCACATGGGGTCTCCTGCTATATACGGACAGCATGACGAGCGTCTCGGTGCGTCGAACTACGAGTCGCTCTCCAGGTTCGACCGACTGGTGCCGAGCGCGTTGCAATCTGGTTATATGCTGGAGAACAGCCAGACGTGGGGCTATAATGGCGGAGTGGCCACTATAAACGGTTCCATGAACGGCAACGGGAGGTTGGCGGTGAGGGCCGTGAATCGGCGAGCCGCCCTGCCCCAGGTAAGTGCCCATCTGGTACGTGCCCAAGTGCGCGCCTTTCCGATCTGTGCCGAGGTTGGCGCTGACTAGTCTCGGCTTCTAGCAATGGACCGCTGATCAGTCCGGACTCGGAGTTCATTCGATGTCACAAATGTACGATCCCACGATGTCGATGAACGGCAATGAACATGATCTATCGGGTATGACGGGTCCCACTGGGGATGCTCGGGGAATCATGGCTACTCCTTCGGCCTCGGATTCCGAGCAACTCATCCCGACGGCTATCGTCATAAAAAACATACAGTTTCAATGCCGGAAGGAGATCCTCCAAGGTCTCATGGCTTCGATGAATCTGCCGCAGCCCTACGCATTCAATTACCATTTCGACAAGGGCGTGTTTCGCGGGCTTGCCTTCGCCAACTTTTCCACCGCCGAGGACACCGCCATCGTGATTCAGAAGATGAACGGACTGGAAGTGATGGGACGGAAGCTGCGGGTCGAGTACAAGAAGATGCTGCCGCAGGACGAGCGTGACCGGATCGATCGAGAGAAACGCGAGAAGAGAGGGCAACTTGAGGAGCAGCACCGGGCACCGCTTCCGATGCACCAGCAGAGCGCTCTGCAGGCCCTTGGCGTCAGCGTCAACAAGCAACCGAGCAATTCGCCTCTCCGTAAGTCGACTCCGGTTGGTGGCTGGGTCGCAGCGGACATGGATGTTAACAAGCCGGATCCTACAGGAGATGTTGACCTAAACGACCCGACTACCCTAGAATTCTATACGCAGCTCACGCTCTTCAAGAACGACCCGTCGCGCGAAGTTCATATATTCCCGCCTGATGTCACCCCCGAGCAGCGCCGACAGATACATATCCTTGCCCATAATATGGGTTTGGAACACAGATCCGTCGGCGAAGCGGATCGGCGACAGATCCAGATCATGAAACGCCCTCAGAACTCACCCCCTGTCCATGCCCAGAGCCAGATAGCAAATGTTTCTTGGGAAGATCACCGCCGCGGGTTAAGCCGCGCCGCGACTTTTGATTTCGCCGAATCCCGGATCGGATCTGCCTATCATGCGCTTGGCAGGCAGGGGCCGACGCTCGAGCTCCCGGGCAGCCCTGACAACGGGATACCTAACAACCTCAGGGCGGCCAAGAGCTTCGCAGATCTTCGCACGCACAGCCCGAGTCCGGCGCCTTCCGGGTCGAGCTACGCCGGCCTCACGAACGGCCTGGGAGCCCGTTACGGCGACTTTTCCCAGACCTCGCTAACTACCCCGCCCAATTTAACACCTACCTCCGGCCAGAACGCCACGTCTAGCTCTGAGGCTCTATTAGCAAGCAATATGAGCTCGATGAATATCGGGTTCGACTCGAATACTTCACACATGCGAGCCAGGGAAACTCCCGGGGCTATCGGGAGCCAGAGGCCCGGGGCAAACGGGACAGTGAATCGTAACGCTCCCGACAGGCAGCCCCGGGGTCCCGAATGGGGAGAGGCCGGCCAAGGCTTCAGTGGACGTAACCGCGGCCATATGCAGCGAGGTAGTGGTAAGTATCGATATCTCCGATTCTCGGATGACGTCTGTCGACTAACTCGGGCGCTGTTCAGATTCTTCCGACGCAGGCCGTAGCTCCGGTGCTGCGCGTTTCCACTAATCTACCGCCGTCCCCTCCAACCGTGGGCGGCGTCAACTAGGGGCTGCCCGGGAGCGATACGATTCCGGACGCCTTTGCCTGCACAACCTAGCAGCCAGCGTTGCCAAACCTGATCGAGACCGGCGCGAGACAGGCCGAGCTCGATTCGCCGATGTGACCGCAACGTTCTCCGTTCTCTTGCAGTCGCGCCCTATCTACGTCTACGACGACCTTTGATCTCCGTCATCACAGCTATCACCCCACGAGAGACGATTTATGACATAGACTTATTACAGCCCTTATTAAACTAACGCCACCTTCCACCGCCTGCAATAGCCAGGGTTCTCGCTCGATCGATCGGTCGATTTTGTTTAATCCGAAGTGTGTTTTATTGTTCGCTTTCACATCATATCGCGTTTTACTACTAATACCTTGTAATATCTGGTTTTTGGAAAGCCCGGCGCACTCCGGTTTTCGAAATCAGCTTCTTCGGCCGTCCTGGATTGGGAAAGAGACTACGCATCACGGAGTTTGCGGTAGTGAAGGGTTGCAGTGTCGCATGGAGAAGAAGAAAAAAAGAAAAAAAAAGGGGCACCGATGATACGCATCGTTCCAAATACTACAATACCCTCAATCACGATCGACAAATGAAACCATCTCTGAATACACCATACAGCAATTTTATGGGCGACCATTCACGGCATCACGACTCAAACTCCTATACCCTCTGAGGAATCTCGAGGTCTTGACGGCTTCCAAGGGAGGAGGTTGTCAAGCCTGGAGGGACCTCTTGACGATGGTTACGCTGTTATGACGCACACGCACATCATTAGATGGCAACGCGATGCCAGCTGGCTGACTAGCCGAGGCGATTCCCTACTAATCACTGTTCCGTGGAGCATTCTACCACGGGGTATCCCTGGCGATAAGTAGGGCCAGCGGCATGGCTTCGGAGCGATTGGAAACGAAGAACGAATTCGACGAAGACGAGTACAGCAAAGGAAAGTGAAAGAAAAAAAACCATTGGTTTGCTGAGCGGAGAAGCGTGTTTTCGCTGGAGGACAGACGGAAGACAGAATACGAGACGAAGCTACATTTGTATATGGGTTGGTTGGTCGCTCGCGCCGCGCCAGCCGATGCTGCGTGGAGGCTTTTCGTCTTTTTCCTCCTCAAGCCGCTCATCCTATCGCGACCTCCACTCCGCATATTTCCGCCCACCTTCTTTTTTTTCTTCCCGCTCGGCGGATCCTAACCATCGACGGTAGAAGACACCGCTGCTTGGGAGGAGATGGTTAGAAGTTATGGGTTTCGGGTAGAGGTAGAGTTAACGCAACAGGGATTGACACTCGCTATAGGCGCTCTGCTGCAATATAAAAGTATTTGACCTTTTCTAAATTGATGTATTGTATGTGATAGGAGGCGGGGCTGCTTTGGAGGGGGGGGAATATATATATCTGTAACTACAGGGGATCTCGGAGGAAGACGTATGTTGTGAATCAAGCGCAACCTACGGTTAGCCAAGGCCGTCATTCGTTCCGTCTCACACAACCCACCTACCCACCCCCCCCCCCCCCCCCCCTTTTCTTCGGTTGACCCTCTCCGACTAAATAGGCACCATCCTCCAGTTCACTAGGCCAGGCGAGCATGTCATGGAGCCTTCGATGCCGTTCCGGTCCCCCGCGGCCCGGCTCGCGGCGATGGCGGACTTGAGCACGTCGGTAACGTCGGTGCCACCGACGTAGACCTGGTCACTCGAGGGTGGTAGAGCGGGCCGGACCTGAAGCGCGCAGCCTCCGGAGACGATGAGGGTGTTGAAGCTATCGGTCGCGTACTGGGCGAGGAAGAAGTCGCGCGGCGCGGCGAGCTCGGCAGTACGTAGGGAGACGCAAGAGTCCAGCCACGAGGCGGAAGCGGCGGAAGAGGCGACGGGGGAGAAGGTGCTAGGGCCGCAGTAGTCGGCGGGCTGTCCCGTCGGCGCGTACCACACCCAGCACGCCGGGGGGTTGATGGGCGTCTCGGCGAAGCGGTAGAGACGGCACGTCTGCGACGACGACGAGGCCGAGACCGAGACCCCGGAGGGGTCCCGAGGCCCGGCGGAGCTGGTTGGGTGCCCGAGAGCTACCCCAGGTACGAGCAGGGTTGAGAAGAGCCGGCGAAGGCGCATGGTGGGAAGAGGCTTGATAAATAGATAGCTAGATCGCTGAGCAGGCGAGGACCGCACCCTTGATTTGAGGCAGCTAGCTCCCTATTTGAATCGGGCGAGCGAATCGTTTTGGAACCAGTCGACCACGATATGGGCAAACGTATGGGCTAGTGTGTGTGGGTTGCGACTTTAGGATGCTCGTCGACGCCTTATATATATATATACACCTCCTAGTATCTAATACGACATGGCAGTCTGGATCCCGCGTATACCGAGCTATTGCCCGATGGATGCTGAACAGGTCCAGCATGACCCCTTCCGCGATCAGAGGCGGCCTTCACCTCCCCTGGCCCCTCTGCGAATCTCCTTGCTTCCATGGCGCCGGCCCCATCGCCCCCAGCTAGGCTCAGCTCTAGCTTCGTGCCGCACGAGCTCATCACACACAGGCACTCGGGGGAAGGGGTGACGGGCCAACGTCAGCTTTGGTTAACTCGAGCGGCGAACCAGGTCGAGGGGCCCTACTATTACCTCCTGCGGAGCGGGGAGCAGATCGGCCATGGGGCGCTGCCCAACAAGTGACGGGAGCGTGCCTGTAAGACGCCGCGAGCGTTCGTGCGGCGCGCGGTCCAATCAGCGGTGCCGCCCCGACGATCGTCGTCGGTCAGTTGGCTCTGCGCCCCTCGAAGGTTCGGCGGCTAACGCGACGGCTATGTATGCCCTGCTCATTACCACTACCACCACTAACACACGGACCCCGATGCTTTCGATGCGAGCGGCATCGCGGGTTGATACGCTGGAAGGGAACGTGTGACGATTCCCCCAGCCTAAGGGGTAGTGGTAGTAGGTAGGTAGTAATAATAGAGAGTTGTTAAAGCCCCGCGCCTTGTTGAGGGGTGGGCGGCCCAACCTGGGCGACTTGCCAGTGTACGCCTACCTACCTCTCTATGTACACGCCGACATTTCTAGGTACTTTGGCGTTCGCGCAGGGTCGGTTGGGGGTTGGGTCCTGAGGGCCGACGCGCACTAAGCGGTATGGCACGGGTTGGTGAGGGAGCATTCCCGTCTTTCTTTCATTCTGAGACAAGGGCATCTTTGTAATGCCGGCAGTCTACGATGCTAGTTACGCCGAGCCAAGGCCCCCTCTCCCGCCCCATCCCTTTTCCTCTGGACGGGCCCTCCTCGATGCACCCTTACTTCTGAGGATCCTTTGCCTATTCCGGGCTGGGTCAGTGTGACTTGCATGGCGAAGCATGCAGGACCTCACACCGATAGGACTGACTATAACAATATCCAGCCTACCTACCCATCTACTAGGTATCCATATGGAGTATTGCCAAATCAGACCAGGCTGAATGAAACACGCAGTAAACGCAGACATCGTGGGGGGGCATGTTGGTGTATGTCTAGGTAGGCAAGGATATAATGTACCTACCTGCAGGTAAATATTAGGTACTGTGTGGGAACCAAGCCAAGACAACCGTTCCATACCAACACGGTGAGCCAGAAAATCAAGACAGGGGTTAGATATTATATTCCACATTAGCTACATATATCTATAGGTCATTACTTCATGAAGCCCAATTCGGGTTCCCCGGGGACGCCGCGGAGGCGTCGACGCCGATGCGCGTGAGGCCGGAGACGCCGGCGATCTGGCCGAACTCGTAGCGGAGGTCCATGTCGCGGACGTGGCGGTCGCGGTCGCGGCGGGGCAGGGTGCTGAGGCCGGCGAAGCGGTCGAGCATGGGCGAGTCGCAGACGTAGTAGAGGGCGCCGGCGACGGTGGCGGGGTCGACGGGGACGCGGGGCCAGGCGACGGCGAAGGAGGCGAGCACGACGGCCACCATGACGCCGAGGATGCCGACGGCCGCCCACGTGCAGACCCGGTTCGCCACGTACGTCTGCGTCACCCGGAACGGCACGTTGCTCAGGAACACCGTCAGGAACTCCGACAGGATCGACGTCGCCGCCGCCGCCGCCAGGAACCCGTGCCGCCGCCGCAGCGCCGACCACAGCCCCGAGAACGCGTTCGTCGGCGGCGCGAGCAGGATCGAGCGCCCCGCGCGCTGCGGCCCGCTCGCGAGGAGCTTGTACGGGCTCACGACGGCGATGCCTGCGGGGTGTTCTCGTTAGCTTTTTTTTTCTTCATTTCATCTCGCGTCTCACGCGGACCGCGCAGAAGCAAGTGACAGACAGAGAGAGAGATGCGCAGAGCAGACAGGGGAAGCGGCAGGACGCCGAGAGGCTTACTGCTGAAGAAGGCGCCCCAGGCGAAACTGATGATCACGCCGACGCCGGTGAACAGGAACCGCACGCCGAACGACTCGCTGGCCATGAAGTCCTCGAACGGCGTGTCGCCCCCGGTGTTGTTGTAGTACAGGATCAGGGCCAGCAGCCCGCACAGCAAGAGCAGGAACAGCACCCGACTCGCGAACCCGAGCATCAGGAAGGGCAGATGGTGCTTCGGCTTCGCGGGCACGGCGTGGCGGGTCTGAGACTCGCGGGCACCGCTCGGCGGGAATGCGGGCGGGGCGGGCTCGTCGCAGAGCTCGACGCCGTACTCGACGGAGCCGGCGGGGCCGTAGAAGAAGCCGAGGCGGAAGCGGCGGTCGGCGAGGGCGGAGCGGAGCAGGCGCGGGGGCGCGTCGGCGCCGCGGGGCAGGGTGGCGAAGAGGCGGCGCAGGCGGGGGTCCTGGGCGAGCGCGGCGACGCCGGCGACGCTCCAGGGGTTAGCCGCGACGCCGGAGCGCCAGCGGGCGAGGAGCGCGAGCGCGGCGGCGACGAGCGCGGCCATGGCCGCCAGCACGCCCAGCGCCGCCCCGGCCGCCTGGTCGAAGACGCTGAGCACGTACGCGCAGTTGCGCGCCGTGCCGGCGCCGCGCGCGCACCCGGCGCCCCGCAGGTCGAAGGCCACGGCCTCGGCGGCCAGCGGCACGAGCAGCGCGGACGCGAGCACGAGCGCGCCGGTGACGGCGCCGAGCGCCCGGCCGCGCGCCAGCGCGCGCGCGCTCGCCGCCGCCGCGCCCCACCCGGACGTCTCGAGGCACAGCGAGTCGCGGCCGGCGGCGCCGCGGGCGCGGGCGGCCGCCAGCGCGTGCCACGGCTGCATGACGCGCGCGTTGGCGTCGAGCGCGCGCACGGGCACTGCGAGCAGGATCGCGAGCACGGTCGGCAGGAACATGCCGACGAAGTACTCGCCGTGGGAGAGCGAGTAGACGCGGACGCTGGCGGGGGGCGGGTCGGTCGGCAGCGTCGGGTAGAGCGTCGCGGTGGCGGCCGGGCGGCCGTCGGCGTCGGTGCTCACGACGACGGAGGGCTCGACGCGCGCGAGCGTCGTGAGCGTCGCGGTGGGGCGGCCCTGCGCGTCGGTCTGCACCGTGGTGCGCGGCGTCGACACCGGCGCCGGCACGCTGGTCGAGGTCGCGGTGGGCCGCCCGGCCGCGTCCGTCAGCGTGGCGACGCTCGGCAGCACGAAGACCGGCGTCGCCGCCGCCTGCTGCGACACCGTCCGCGACCCGACGCCCCCGAAGTCGCTCGACGGCCGCGTGAACGCCGGCTCGGACTCGGTCACCGTGGCCGGCCCCCCGACGTTGCCGAAGTCCTCGGAGGCCTTGGACGCGGGCGGCTCGGGCTCGCTCGACGGCTCCTCCTCCTCCTCCGTCACCGTGTTGTCGCCGACGCGCCCGAACGCGCTCGACGGCGGCCTCAGCGTTATTTCCGGGCCCGTAGAGGTCACGGTGCTGACTGCTTCTTGCGTCAGCGTCAGCGTCGTCTGGCGGATCGCGAGGGCCACGTGCGGGTGGACGACGGCGGCGGCGGCGGTCTCGAGGCTCCGCCGCTCGAAGATGGCCTGCTCGAGGATCTCGATCTTGGCGTCGAGGACGGGCAGCGCGCGCAGGGCATACGCGAGGAGGCCCATGAGCGCCAGCACGGCGGCCAGCAGGCACAGGAGGAAGGGCCAGCGCAGCGCCGAGGGCTTGTAGTTGGGGCTCTCGCGGCGCAGCTCCGGCGGCTTGCTCGTCGGGGTTTCGTAGGAGGTGGCGGCGACGCCGGTCGTCGCGGCCTTGTCGTAGTCCCACCCGGGCGTCGGTCCTGTAGCCGTCCACGAGCGCTCCCAGTGGTAGCTGGGCAGACTCTCTCGGCCCTGAACCGGCTGGATCCCGTCCCCGTAGTCTGTTCCCTCGTATACCTGACCTGCATAGCCCTCGTACCCGTACCCCGTGCCGTAATCCTGCGGGTTGTTCGCCCCGTTTCTGCCCTGTGACTGGGGCAGGGCGTCGAAGCCCACCCTCCCGGGATGCGAAGAGGTCGCGATGTGCGACATAGCGGCGGACGGAGCGTTCTGACCGAAGTTCCTTATTGTTGCAGTCTCCCCCCCGGAACTGTCTACCCTCAGGCGGTCATGTAGTTGTATCCTCCTAACCTAGTATCGACGGCGGAGGAAAGGAGAACTCCATTCTAATCGTAGAGGGGAGGGAGGCGCGGGGACTAGTCTCCTTGATATGTGTTTCCGGCCGCTCGCCCTAAGACGGCTGAGAGAGAGAGGAGGGCTGCTATTTGCTGTGCGCCCACGACCCCGGCGCAACAGACTCAGGAGCCATCCTAGCGGCTAGGCCCCCCTTGGCGATGGTCAGTTCGCTCAGCCCAGCAGCCCTGGGGATTGCGCCTCGACGGAGGCCGCGCGCTGGTCATGCTGGCGCCCCAAGGAGCTAACTGCTCCCTGGGCAGCTGCTCGGGCGACTGGACGCGGAGGGTCATAGTGGGTAACAATCAAGTGCCTCGAGGCCAGCTAAACAACTCCTTTGGAGGTTGATGAGGGTTACGACGGCATCCTCGTTGCTGGCATGTGCTACTATACACTTTGATATATGTTTACATATGCATGTATACCTATTTATAACTGCCTACCTGCCGCCCGCCGAAGCCACGCCGAACAGCAGCCATAACACGACAGCTACCCGTGACGGACACGACGATGCCCAATTCTTGGGTTTGGTTGTGTGAAAAGAAGCTAAGCAAGCAGCACAGGTTTATTTCAGCTGGAACAACGTCCCATCGTACCAGAGGTTCTATCGTAGAGTACCACGCCGCCGCCGACAACGGTTAGGAAATACTGGACGCATATAGGTGCCAAGCAGCCAAGGCTGTCCTTTTGACCAAGGCCTTCGCTAATGGCGTCCTAGCAAGGCGACGGGTGGCTGGCGCAAGGAAGGGGACTATTTGCGTCGCTTAGCAACGCGAGCCAACCCCGACGAGATCTAAGCTTCGTGCGGCTGGCAGCGACGGCGCTGCGCCGCCGGGGGTCTGGGCCCGGCCGACCCGCTGCTCTGGAAAGGCAGTCGCGCTAGAGCAGGACTAATGCCATTCCAGAGCATAAATCCGAGAGAGAGAGAGAGAGAGAGAGGGAAACCGCGAGTGGTTGTTGACAGGTGTACTACCTACGGAAGTGCCTGCTTAGGCAGCTCCTGAGGAGTGGCGTTAGCGGTACCTAGGTACATTTACGCCACAGCACTTCGCTTTCTACCTAAGTCTAACCTCAGTTGTTCTAGCTCATCTCGATGTGTCCTACGATAAAGATACGCAGGTACCTCTCCGGTACGTACCCAAGATACGTACACCGTCACGTACCAGCATGTACGTCGTATAACTGAGAATCAGGACGCACTGGCCACCACTGCCTGTCCGTGTACCTAAGTACCTAAGTATCGATGTACCCTAGAGGCAACCCGCCGTTGAGGCTCGCCAGCTGTAACCGGAGTGACTGACATCTTCTCACCGTCCTCTAACTAATTCTCTCCGAAGCCGCGGAAAAAGGGGGGGCAGCTTGGCGGAATCTCCGCGTGGACACTCAGCTAGCGTTGCTCAACATCGCTAGGTCAACATCGCTATATACTATCGGTCCCGTCACATGGCCGGGGCAGACTGAAGTGAGTAGGTAGACTTACCTACCTACCGCTCGCTCCTCGTGCTATTATCCCCTGACCCAACGCGAGTCCGGTAATTTTTGTTTAGAGTTAGTCGGTCTCCTAGTGGCCCAGCGCGCCAGAGGCTTAGTGAGGCCGTCCTATAGATTGCGCCGGGAAGCTTACCGCCGGGCGACGAAAATGTACCGTCCAGGAGCTCCATACGCGTAGTCATGGACCTGCGTAGGTATACCTACGAGAGGACCGCTCCTACGACTGCCTTATCAGAGTCGAAAGTCCAGCCTAAACGTCGGGCTACGTTACGAAAGGGTTTAGGGTATAGAGTCTATTAACGTATTCCGGAGTCGGTCGCGGTTAATAGGAGCTTACCTACGTTCCGTCGTACCTGGCCTGGCGTTTTGGTTTAGTAGGGGTTTGTACCCGTGCTTAGGAATCGGCTTCTTGCTCCGCTTCGAGGTTAGGTAGGCGGGAGGCGGCGAGAAGGCACCCCAGTCTTTGTTATATAAAGCGACGGTGTTGAATCTAGGGGGGAAGGCCGGGGAGTTTGGTAGGTCCGAGAAGGCTGAGCGGAGGTAGGTCAGGTTACCTCTTACCTAGATGATTTACCATAGGAGTAGCCGAGCTTAGCAATAAACTATCGTACTTGATGCCCGCGATTAGCTTACCGGGTACTCATTTTTAAGGATATGCGTCTCGTCGTAAACTAGAATCGAGAAGTGCAGTTCTTACGGGACCAGTACCTACCGTTTCGATTACGCTGTCAGTTCCTTCTGAGTTGGCGCTACCTGGAATGATGGCTAGTTTTTCCAATCTTGATAGTCGCGTGCCTCGAGGCGGCGGCCCGTTGCTGTTATTGTCCTACGTGTCGTCAAGGCCTAGCTTCTTTTTGACTTCGCCCGATAGTCCCCGGATCGGGACGCTGGTTTTGGTTCCGAAACGCGTAAATAATGTCTGATAGCTGGTGATAATGACTATACGACACGTTTGGGCGGCCGCTCTCCGTTAGCAGCGAGCAACACCCGTCCGTGTGCGTGTGGGTGCGTCCGCTAATTCCTAGATAGGTGTGCTTGTTGCCCGCCCCGTCCTCCCCCTGACCCGGCCGGGCCGCCAATGTCGCCCGCCCGCCTATCCGCCCGCCTGGGCGCCAACCTGCCTACTTAGAAGTTGCCTTACCCACCTCTAGGCCCTGGCCCTGGCCTAATAACTCGGCACCATGTCCTCCCTCTCCCCCTCCGCACCCTCTTCCTCGTCGAGGGGGTCCTGAGGCTGGTCGGCGGGCTCATCATCCTAGCGCCGGGCGCGCCCCTCGCTGCTGGCCCGCGCCCGCGCGGCTACTAGCGCGGCTGCTCGGCACGCAGACGCTGACTCTCGACGTGGCGCTGCTGCTGGCCGGCGGCGCGCCGCGTCGTCGCCTGGGCCGTGTTTGTCCGCGACGCGGCGCTGCTCGCCGTGCTCGTCGGCCCCGCCTTCTCCCCCGCTGGTCCGCGCCTTCGAAGCGCTGGAATCGCGCCCTTCTTCCTCGGCCACCTGCGGCTGCTCGTCACTCGCCTGCACTGGTTCCGGTAGCCCGCCGGGGGGGGAGGTGTGCGCGATTTTCTTGCTTGCGGGAGGGGCGCGGCGCTGCGGCGCTGCTGCCGGCCCAGGCCGGCGGAGTCTCTGCAGGGACGGCGTGGGCCGTGCGGGCACGTAGCCAGGACGGAGGTGAGGTTGTAAACAGAAAGAGGCCGAAGGTGTACGGACACGGTCTGGATCCTCTGGTCCGACCCGACCCTGACCTGGCTCGGCATGCACTATTGTATCATACATACGTACATGCATACCTGCAGCATGCATACATGCATAACCCTGTTTTCACTCTTTATGCGTGTTTCCGACCTGATCGTGTGACACCGCCGTCTCCGCTCGTAAGTTGCACGTCGGCGACGGGGCATCATCGTCCTCTAGGTGAGGGATTTTGCTGTCATAGCCTATCCCCGGACCCCCCCGACAGGGAGCACGGGTCGGCTTTCTTATCTTCCCAGTTCTTGGAATAGCTGCTCCCTCCAATCGGTTCGTGTCCCAGCCTCTTTGTCGTGCCGGCGATGGGCATGGAAATGTCTCACGGGCTTGATGCGATCCTAGTAGCCTACCTATTTGCCTCGTACTTAGTTTGGTCAATAGTAGCATATTGCAGTGTGGTATTCCGACCACCTCTATATCAGAATATACCTACTACAGCGGCAAGCATGCAGGATGGAGGGGCAAGTAGAAAAGGGGACGATTTTACTATGGTTCGCGCAACTTACCTACTCCATCTACCGAGATATAACCTAATATAATGCCTCTGGCAAATCATGCGTCAAGAGCATAAAAGACAGCGTATAGTCCGGGTGTGTTGTGAATAAGTGGGTATATTGTCTATCGGCAACGGGAATGAAACGACTGCCCTTTTACATTACACGAGATCGGTCCCCTCGGACGTTATGTTCCTGAGACCTATAGAGGCTATAGCAGCAGTGGAAAACCAAATGGAAAGCCACATCCGATACCCTCATACAGTAACGGGTCGCGAGATTCTTTTAATGCCACGAGGGGGCGTTGAGAATGATGCCCATGAGGCAACCCGAGATGATACCGGCGCAAGGGAGGGTCAGAATCCAACCCCCGTAGATCCAGGCGATCATACGCCAGTTAAGAGCCCTCCAGTCACCGTTGCAGAGACCGACGCCGACGATGGCGCCGGTAATGCACTGCGTAGTCGAGACGGGAAGCTCTGTGATGCGGTTAGCATCATATCGGCGGGGAACAACTCCTTATGCGTTACAACTTACTTAGACGGGTAGCGACGATGATGGTGACGGCACTGCCCAGCTCCATGGAGAAACCTCGAGAGGGGGAGTTGAGCGTCAGTCTGTTGCCAAGGTTGGCCATGATGTGGTAACCGTAGGTCCAGAGACCGAGCACGATAGCGACACCGCCGAAAGCGAGAATCCAGAGCGGTACATCGGGGTCCTTAGGGACCGAGCCGGACTGCCAAATCTGGTAGATAGTGGTGAAGGGGCCGATAGCACTGGTGTTATCGTAAGCAGCCGATCAAGCCGATACCCGCATTGTAGCCGGAAGGAGGGCAAAAGGGGAGGGGGGAGGGGGGGCTAGATGTTGTAACTCACTTAGACACATCGTTAGCACCGTGGGTGAAAGAAGCAGTGCAAGCAGTCATGATCTGGAGGAAAGAGTACATGAATTCGGCCTTGTTGTCGTAGTGAGCGGCACGGGCGTGCTTCTCCTCAAGATCGCCAGAGAGCATACCGCCCTTCCTCTTCTGCAGGTTGACAATGTCCTGGTCGACGCCATTGAACAACGCCTTCTTGACAGCCCAGTACAACATGTCGGTGGAGTGCCATGGAAGACCCTCGGGCTTGGGGCCAATGATGGACTTCCTCTGCTCCGTGGGGACGACGACCGCCTGGTGTTCAGATTCGGTGTCCGAGGCCTTGGACTTGATGATAGCCTCGGCGATGTTGGACTCGTTTGCAGCTTCGTGTCCGCCCTCGACATCACCACGAGCCGCCGCGGCGGCACGCTTGGCCTCGAGCTCCTCCTTCGTGAGATGACCCTCGTAAAAGTTACGGATGGCGCCCTGGAAGTCGGCCGGGGGCGGGGGTACCTCGCCACGTCGCAAGAGTAGGGGACCGAGACCGATGTGGTACCAGCGGAGCTGCCAGTCGTCACGCACGACCACGCGCCACAGCCAGGGCATGAGGAAGACGGCAATGACACCAGCCCAACCGATACCGGCACAGACAATGACGGCAGCGAGCTGGTTGTCCTCCAGGTTGATGGTGTACCCGCCGCCCTTCCAGAGCAGAAGCATGACAAGCAGCGAGGCGGTGATACCGAAGTAGACGGGAACGAGGGCGAAAGCCTTCATGACCGGGTTCTTGCGCAACATGACACCGTACTTGGTAATGAGGAAAATGATAGAAGCAAAGATAGCGGACAGGCCCGGGGCGATGATCCAGGCCATGAAGACGGAGACGACACCAGTGTTGACGATGGCGGTACCCTGGGTGCCCGGAGGGGCGACCCAGGTGATCTTGCCGGCGCCAACGGAAGCAATACCCATACCGATAACGCCACCCATGATGGAGTGGGTGGTGGATACGGGAAGACCGATCCTGGTAGCTAAAGTAAGCCACAGGGAGGAGGCGACGACGGCGCAGACCATCCCAAGCATGAGAACCTCGGGCGCGCTGTTGTACAGATCGGGGCTGACGATCTTAGTTCGGATGGTATCCGCAACACGAGCACCGACACCGAGAGCGCCGGCAAACTCCATGATACTGGCGCCTATCATGGCCTGGACTAAGGTCAACGACCGGGAAGCGACCGAAGTCGCCCACGAGTTGGCAACATCGTTGGCACCTATAACCCTCGCAAGTTGTAATTAGCGAAGCCGTCCACGATACGATCGCGCGCGCACGCGAGCAGTAGCACCACGGCAAATAATGCCAAGGCGACCGAAGAGGAAAAATCACGTACCGATGTTCCAAGCATCGAGGAAGGCGAATATCAAGCCTATGGCAAAGAGATAGTCGTACTGTACGAGCACCATCTTGACCGATACCTCAAAGATGGGATCTGAATCTGGCTCGACTTGCTGATGCTCTCTCTCAGAGCTGCTGCTGGTGGAGAAGAAGATCGGTCACAAGCACAGGCCTGATGGGGGGAACACAAGTTATATATTCACAGTGACACAAGCCATCGATTTTTCGCAGCAACAGCCAGGGGGACCCCGGGCCTGCTTGCAGGATAGCTGAGCGGATCATGGAACGGGGACCAGGGCGGAGATGATGGCTCGATACACTTCCCAAGGATTTCGGGGTGGGAACTCACTGCGTATGTCCAGAGTAGCAGTACATCATCTCGTCAGGATGTCGAGCCATCCACTAGCAGGTCCAGCGTTCCCCCCGTACTCTTCCAGGGCAGGACGAGCAGTTAGCGGGCTCGGCTTGCCTCCCATAGTCGCAGGGTCGCACAGCCAATTGCGGGAGGGCACCGATGCAACGTGCTGGCTGATTTCCCTGGGGGAGGGGGGGGAGGTGAGTGCCTACAAACGCACTACGGACCCCGAAAGTCAAGGCTGATTTAGGGCTTCCTCGAACTTGACCCTGCGGGTCGACGCGGCGCGACCGAGCACAGCCAGAGACTCGTCGAAGTGGGCAGGCAGCTCGGTGAAGGCGTCTTTTTCTGGCGACCCTCCCGCGCACTTGGCTCTTGGCCCTTATCCACCCACTCAGACGAGAGAGGCGACGGCGCGCTGCTGGCGAAACAGAAAAAAGACGAGGGAGAATACATAGGAGGCGATAGCGTCTGCCGAGGGGCGCTACAGAGAAGTGACTTGCTCGACAAGAGGGGGAAAAAAAAGAAAGAAAAAAAAAGAGGACCTCTGGTGATGACATACGGGAGACTCTTTACCTGTCTAGTCTGAGCACCGACTGATTACTTGCCGCCCCGGCTCCGTAGATGGCAGGCACCTACGTATGCCACGCTGATTAGTGGCGGATAACTCTCGACCAAGAGGGTTCTGCTCTGTCGTCGCTTGGGCTCGTCGAGAACGAGACGTGGGGGGGAAGTTTAGTCGATATCAGATCCCTCCGCCTTCTCGCGGGGCGTCGTCTCGACAGCCACGGGCAGGCCTAGCCATGCATACGCTCCTTCGTTGGCATCGTCGCCGTGGCCGCTGTCTAGGATTCTAGGCTATTATTGGTAGACCGCGGGCGAGAGAGGGAGGGTGAGAGGACGCTCTCTCGTCCGCGTCCTGGTTATGGGGTAGCACACGAGAGCCAGAGAGGGTCAGCCGGCGAGACGTCTTAGCCGATGTGGTATTACGGCGCAGTAGAAAACATCCAACAGCCGCGGACCCCGGGCGGGCAGTGGGTGACTATCCCTCGCAGCGGCTTCATGACGAGAGAGCAGGTAGGCATATGTCACGTCGAAGCCGATGCGACGAGACGCAGCCGGTTTGCCTCGTCGTTTCTGACCTCGATTTTCGATTCATCACCTCCCGTCTCCCCATCATCGCTCGTCGAATCGGCCGTCTGGACCTGCTGTGCCCACCACCCGGGTTCGCTCAGCCATCCCCAGGCGCTGGATAAGCTTCCGTGCTCGTATCGCATCGTCGGTTGGAGAGGGAAGACGGGCGGGGGTGGGTTGGGTGCCCTGGGGGGGTGGTCGAGGGCTCAAGACAGGCCAAGAAGGTTGATGGACACTTGGCGGTCGGCTTGGCAGATCTTTATACCAGAGGAGAGGGGACCGACCACGGCGGGCTCGACGGCTGATTGGCCGGTGGTCCCTGCCGGCCCCATGGCAGCCGGCGCGCCCAGACTCGCCGTCGCCGACCCCTGGCAGACTGAGGCTCGGCCTATAACAGGTCTTCCCCAACCCACGTGGGCGGTTCGGAGACAAGCATAGGACAAGACGGCACTGGCGGTCGCGGTGGGTCTCGGTATAGGAAGCGGTACGTCGCCGTCGCACGTTGACTAATACTCTATCTACCTGTATACGACATGGCTCCCGCTCCTCATCCGTTACTCAATATCTACCTAGGTATCTATCTAGGTATCCAACCTACTCGCCGTAAAATACAGGCAGTGTCTAGGTAGATACACGTAGGCCACCGCATACCCGCGCAATGGGGACGTAATGGTACGTACGTTACCCACCCTCATATGACCGGCTGAGGGAGGTCCCTATACATCGGATGCCCGTCGGGGTACTTGCTGCCGGTATGCGCGCACGCGCGAGCGGCCATCCAATCGGTTGTATCCAAGGTAGACAACCTGTACTGGGTACGGACGAAACGGGGTCCGGGGGCAACCACGCATCGCACAGACGAGGAGATGCCTGCCCGAGGCATACAGCAGGCGTATGCCTACGTACCTATGTATATGTGTGGAGGAATGGCAATTTACGTATGAGCATGTGTATTTACCGAGACGGAGACGAACGAACGCGCGAGCCGTCTGCAGACGATGCTGCGAAGACCATCCCCTCTGCAGACGTCGGTGTGCAGCACGCGAGCAGCACATCGCCGACATTTATTTCCTTCTCTCGCCTATCCTCCCCCTGTATGGCCCGACCCCAACAGCCCCCCCGCCAGCAGAAAATCCGGAGAGGCGAGCCAGCTGCTGTCTCACGCCGGCCTCTCTCCGGGCGCCCTCTCCTCCCTCCCTTCCACCCACGTAGTAAGCGCTCGAGACGCCTCGACGCTCCCCAGGACGCCGCCAATGGACGACGAAGGATCGCATCTCGGATTCGCTGGCTAGCCAACCCGGACGAGTCGTCTTCTCGGCCTCTCTCGCTCGATTCTTGATTTCCCGCCCACGTCCGCAGCATTGATAGCATCGGCATTAGCATTGACATTAGCAGGCCTGTGTGATTAGGTGCAATATCTCGGCACCTAGCCAATTCCTGCCCACCGATTAGGCAGCTCGGGCAGGCAGAAGCCATTCATTTTTAGACTTGTTAGCTGCGTATGGGTCGGATGCGGATGTGCAGGAGCCTTGACTTTTCACCCTTCACACGATAAAACGTCCCTAATGTCCCCTTTTAGAGGCGCTGGTATTCGCGCGTCACACGCTCTGGGAAGCGAACCTGGGCATCCCGGGCAGAAACAAGCGATGAGACACGAACGCGAGGGACAGAGCGGAAGATGGAGACGGAGACAGGAAGAGAGAACCGATTCCACATGCTTCCCCGTCGGCTTCTATAGGCGCCGCCGTTTGTCGTCTGCCCGGTCCTCACAAAACGTAATCATGCCGAGGCTCTGGGACTATTCTAATACAGTAACCTTGAAGCCTGGTGAGCAGGTATCATACCACACCACGTTCGATGCCATCGCCTACGGACTATGACACCGTGGCTAAGGCGGCAAGTGGGTTTCTCGCTCGTCCCACGGCAGTGCCAGGGGGTAGAGGGGGAGAGAAGAAAAACAGAAAAGAGAAAGAAAAACGTCCCAAGACCCGACAGTCTGGACAACGCCGCGCCCCCCTACTGTGCGCTATACTATACCAGCGTCTTCCCCCCGGAGCTTGGGGGTTACATACATCCATATGATGCTACTACTCCACGTGTTGCATATGTAGAGAACATAATGGCTTAGTCCGATGTTCGTAAGGTGCCCGGTGCCCAAGTGAGTTCGAGTCCTACCTCTATTACCCAGCCCTACCCACCAGAGAGCACTAAACCAGTTCTGCTGGCTTTCTCGCGCCCGTGTGCGCGTATACAAGAGTGGCCCCAGGCATATGACCGCGTAGTAGCAGTGCTAACTATCGATATGTATGTACATAGGTGCTTCTAGGCCCCAACGTAGTACGGTGGAGAGACGTGGTATTATTTGCTCCTAGCAAATCTATAATCAGTTATTAGCCTGTGTCGGGGGGTTTCTTCCTTCTTTCTAGCCTCTTTCTATTTCATTCACAGTATACGCGTTGTTGCATCTAATTGGGTCCCGACGGCCAAGGACGCCACCAGGAAGGCAAAGGTAACATAGCAGAAGAGGACCAGTTGACTCTGACCGACACAGAGATGGGCCGTCGATGACGGGCCGGGTCGTCACATCTAGCATCACCACCCATCTAGCAATCTTTAGTATTACCTGGATGAACAGTACAGCGCCTTGGCCTCCGCATGGCAGCAGGCTCTACCACCTTGCGGGAGCACTTGCTGCTGCCACGACGCACGATAGTCCCCGGGTCGGGTCGAGGAGAGGAGAGTAGACCTAGCTTTCGACGGTGACGTACGGGGGCATCCCATCCCTTTGACGATTCCTAGCTGACTAGGCGTGTCCGTTAGTGGGTGGTCAATCAACTTGGCGACGACCTGCTTGAATCGAAGGACGCGCGTGAAAAGAAGGAAAGAAGAAAAAAACCTGCCGGCCCAGCCATGTTACCTGAAACTGGCAAGGCCAGGCAAGGAGGCATTCCCACCATATCGCCGACCTGGCCCCGTGGGAGCGACGCGGCAATTCTACTGGTCCAGCTGCACAACGCCCTGGACAACCGTAATATGGCAGAATATTTCCACACGACTTACCAGGGGGGGTCTGGTATGTATGTATGTACATACATAGCGACAGCCCGTGGATACTGGTCCTGCAACGAGGTCGAGGAATGACCGATCGGTGATTCAGCAGGGGGCTCTCCAGCGCGGTCCTATACCTACCTACCTACCTATTGGGCTCGCCTTCGCAAAAAAAAAAAAAGCCCTCTCGGCACGCCGTCCCGCGTGCTCTCTTCTTCCTGCTGCCCTCCTGACCGACAGGAACGCCACCGGAAGGCTCTCTGCCATGCCGGTGGCCACCAGCCATCCTTCGTGCGTGGGTAGGTAGCTGCGTCCGCCACAGCGGCCACCTGATACGGCCACCCGGGCATCGAGCCACGAGCGAACGGCTCGCCACCTGCTCTCGCCCAGGGCTCGAACCCAGCGTGCGATGCTCTCTCTCTCTCTCTCTCTCTCTCTCTCTGACTAAAAGATTCAGGCGCTTCACACCTGCATCGCGAACGACAAGGTCTCCTCCACCTTGCAGAACGGGCGCAGAGTCCCGAGCCTTCTCGGAGAGCAGAGAAGACTCGCGTGTGCCTATCGGTACCCCGTGTACCAGCCTTCCCCGTCTGCGCACGGCGTTGGGTACTCCATGCCGGCCGTCGAAATAGCCCCCCATTACTCCTGGACGACGACTTGAAAACAGTTGGAGGCGTCGACGCGGAGACAGACGGGAGACGGGGGGGGGGGAGGATTCTCAGCGACGGGCAGGAGAGCTGGAGCTGGATGCCATCACACCGTGCTAACCGCGGCAGCAGGCCCTCGTGCCCTGCCCTCCCGCATCGAGACCCCGACGCTTTTCGACAAGCGCCGATCGACCGCGTATCGATGTCTCGGCCACCGCAATGCTCCCGTCCGGTTCGGGGCGTTGAGCATTTTGTTCCGCGCGGCGTGTAGGCCGCCGCCCCGGGCGGTTCCCCTCCCCTTTCTCCTTCTTTATCGGACGGTTAGAGCCAGAGCCGAACACTCCTATATTGCTGCTCCACGCTAGCCGCCATTGTAGATCTGCTATGTCAGGACAGAGGACAGAGACCGGCAGAGTTGACGTATCCGGGGACAGGTGGCTGGCCTTCGGTTAGTATAATACGCCGAGACGGAGCACTCGTCGGACGAGGACGAATCTCCCGTATGCTGCCCCTTATGCGTTGCCGGTGCGGCGCACTATACCCCAGCTCGAAAACGCCCAGATAGCGATAATATCGCGTTCGTGCATGACGAGCTGATTTTGCTTCCCCTTATTCTAATAAGTCGAATCGGGATTCTATGGCCGTGTTGCAATAGCTATAAATGGACGGTTAAATCATTGCAGTAATGGCAACCAGGAATGGTAGACTAGCAACGGATACTCAAGGAATTGCGTATCGCTAGCGACCGCGTGTGAATAGCACCCCTGAAACCGCGACCCCCAAACTGCACATCAATCAGACCGTTCTATAAGAGGCCGGGCCGAAATGAAGTAGATGGTAGCATGCAATTTCTAATGAGTAAATCGGAAAGGAAAAAACCTGTGGTGAGGGCCTATTTCGACAAAGTCTTATACTATATGTACGTAGGCGCGCGACGCTAGGCAGAGCCGGACGCCACCGGCCATGATTAAACAGTCAGCAGGACGACGACACAGGCGTGCAGAGGTTGATGATTATTTGTGATCTTGCATTCCAGGGAATTCTTTTTTAACCATCTGCCTGCCGCTTTTGATTACACGTCGAGATTTTGCACCCTCTTGCCCCTTCTTGCCGTCTATCTGATTGCTGCTAATATCGTATCCGACTTCACAACCCAACTCCGCTTTACGAGCCGCCGGGCCCGCCGAGAAGGGCGAACCGTCGCACGATGCCGGGTCCGTATTCTTGGTACTACGGCGGGTTAGTGTGGAAGGAAAAAAAAAAAAGAAGAAAAGAGTGCGAGGACGTACCTCAGCCTTAGTGTGGCAGTACGACCGGAACTCGGGGGTCTGTCCCAGCAAGCTGCCGCCGAACCATGGGCCGTGTCGTTGTCGCTTGTGCGTGATGACCTGGACTTCTAAGCCGCCGCTCTTCGCCCCTCCGCTGCGGACCTCGCTGGCTCGAATCCTAGCATCCACTAGGTGCTTGATATCCCGTTGCAATCTTCGCCCGAAGTCCTTGTACAGCGTGCTTCCTCCGGACAAGACGATGTTCTTGTACAGTCCTCGCCGCACGTCGATCGGGCTCGATTGTATCACGCCGTCGACGACGACAGGCAGCGGCGTGAGAAAGTCGGAAGAGTAGATTTCGGGGTTGAAGAAGATCTCGGGCGCCAAGAATCGCTCGTATCCCACGTCAACGGTGACTTGACGACCGCCGGGGTGGGTGACGACGTGTTTGGCGAACCGGCTGCGGTCCCGATCGAATTTCGAGAATTCCTTGACGATGTCGGGGCACACGTAGCAGTACTCCTCCTTAATCTCCTGAGCCGTCTTTAGCGAGCTGTCCGGCTCGCCGCGGTCACGCAGGAGGGACTGGACGAAGTAGGTAATGTCTCGGCCGGCGATGGGGATGGACTTTATTGAGGACCCAATTACGTAGCCTTCAGCGACAGGAATGACGTGCGTGACACCGTCGCCGGAGTCGATGACGGTACCAGTGAGCGAGCGATCCGACACCTTGGCCGACGTCCAGGAGGCGGCGAGAGCGAGGACGGCTTGGACGGCGATATAGAGACCGGCACAGTTGAAGGACTCGAAGAAGATCTCGGCCGTGTTTTCTCGGTTTTCGGGAGGGTTCAAAGGCTGCTACACATCAGTGATGCTGGACGACTAAACTAGCGGTGGGTAGAAGCCTACGGGTTCGGTCAGGAGGAAGTAGTGGTCCTCGGGCTCGACACGGAGGTATTTGAAGATGGAATTTGACCAGAACCTCTCCATGTGGTCCTGAGATAGTACGTTAATATCAGGCTAAGGGAGTGCCGGATTGGGGGTCTGTATATATTATATACCCAGTTCTCTATTTGGCCGTGTCGGATCGGATAGTGTAACCCGTAACCTACACCAGCATCAGAAGGTTGTCGGATTTTGCAGGTAGACGCGGATATCTCGGCTGACCTGGACCGCCCGATGCTGCAATGGCCTCGTCGCCAATGAAGAAATCCAGGTCCTCTGTGCCTCGTTTCATAGATAAGTGACCGCTAGGACCAGCGCCTCCGGTGAGAAAGGACGGCTTGTTCGCGACGGCTGGTCGGCCGGACCCGGTTCCGGCAGCGCCTCCGGCGGCGCCTTTTGTCGCTATCGCGGTCGGGAAGACAAAGGAGGGAGAATCGTTACCGGCAAAGCCTATCGTCAGGTAGAGGCGGTGGATTAGCAAGTTGCACTATACAACTCGGGAGTGACCGAAACAGGCCAGAGTGTAGGTGTGTTTCCCGTACCGAGCTTCGAGAATCCCGTGCCGCTATGTTTCAGAGGCGGGTTAGCACGTCCTCCGCGTGGAATGGAGCATCGTATATCAAGACAGACAACAGACAGCTCAGGGGCGAAGCTGGCGACTGCGGGGTTCGGAAGAGGGCAGGCAAGCATACTTGTCCATGACAACGGCAGGGGTTTGGTTCGCCATTCTGCACGCGGAGTACGGGCCCTAAGCCGCCGGAGACGTTGATGCTGGGATGTAGCTAGTTGTCAGTAGGGGGAGAGGGACGGTCGTCGTAGCGGTTGAGGCGAGGAAGACCGGCGGGGTAGCTTTGGGGGGATTGACGGCGACGATGAGGCTTGGAAGGCCGGAATTAACGTGCCTTGCGGTGACAGAAGGGTAGGTGAGTTAGACACCCCCCGAGGGTACGGGAACCCAACCACGGGAACCTGCGGGGCTACGTACTGTCTGTGGCTGTGCGTGGATGTGGCTGAAGGTGACAGACTCGTGGGATCCGGCTTGCGCGACGAATAAACCGGTGGCAGAGGCGACGGCGGTGGAGGACCACAGCTGTTGACACCTGACATCGGTCAGCATCCCGGCCTCGGCATCGTATCAAAGTACCCATGTACAAACCATGTACAAGCCATCCCCTTAGGAGATACCTCTGCGTGGGTGCAAATGTAGGGCGCCCAGCTAGGTACTTCATACATACCGGTAACGTACTTTGCACCGCTGATCTCTTTGAGGCGGCAGCTGGTCCCCACTCGCTCTCTCTTATTCATTCTGTACCTCTTCCTTGATATTTCCCGCTTCAGCTGCTCCTGCGTAATACCTCCCCATAGATAACCACCCGCCTATGAGTAGCAGCCTCATCCAGGAACAATCTACCAGTCTATCCCGTCTCGCCTTCAGTCCCTCTATAAGTGCCTACGGCGCCCCGTTCACATTGCTGAGAACTAGGAAGGGATCCCGCCTCGTACCGATCTCAGCGGACAACAACTACGTCCATGTCATGTGTGCCTGAGTTGACTTACACCGATGGGTCAATGGGTCGATGGATGCATTGTTACTCGACACACCATATCCTATATCCCGGTGCCCTTTCGTGGGATAACCAAGGAATAGCAGGGGTGACTAGTAGTTGTCTTTATACCTGCCTGCCTATTCACAGACTCACCGCAACCTGAGAGGTGAAAGGGCACTCCGTATCGTCCACTACCTTGCTAGCTGCCTCTGTCCCCTTCAGCCTCCTACCCTTCTTCCTACCTTGGGCACTCGCATACATCCATTCATACATACCACCGCACAGAGCTAAGCTATCCGTCTCGTCTGCCTACCTCCCCCGCCCCCCTCCCTACCTCTCTCTACACAGCCATGTGTACATATTTGAGTATCTCGCACCTCTCCCTCTCCCTCTCCCTCTCTACTGGCCCGCTTGTTCGATCACCTGCTTCGTCGAAAAGCTCAACTCTGCCAGTGCTCCTGCTTCCGCTGCCGTTTTCCGGATTGTCCTTTTGGAAATCAGTCTCGTGGTGACCTCTAGCGTTATCAACGTTATTGTCATCAGTACCTCACCATAGGCATGTCCATATTTCGGTATTTTTATCATCAACATCCGGCCGTCCTGCTTCATCGACACTTTCCCCTCCCCCCTACTACGCCTCGACCTATATATTTTTTTTACCATTACCATCTAGCCATGATACCTTTGCTGTCCTGAGCCCCCCGATATCTCTCGTAAAAAAACAATCTGTGCCAGGCATTTGTTCTCGCGCTCCTACCGACACATAGGGGATTTCGACCTCCTAGACAGGTTATCCTGTTCTCTTTAGTATCATTGATTCGAGTATCCGATTCTACATCGTTTAGTCGGCCCGGTTATCACCTAAGATATATTTAGATCTCTTCGTGTGTTCCGGCGGGATTCGGTGCTTCTGGTTTCGTGGTCGGCTGGAGCCCCTCGGTGGGAATACCCACAGGCTGCTGATCGTCTTTCCGCCCCCAAGCAAGCGCACACCTCGGCTTGGCTGAATAGACTCTGGGCCTCACCCCATCTCTCTGACGACCGTATCAACCAAAATGGCAGATGAGCCCTCCCCTCCGAAGCAATCAGGTACGTACACATAATCCGAGCGGCAACGATGGGATCACTGTTCACGGAGGGACATATATACTGATCGGCTCTGTCTATCCCTCAATATAGTGGCGTCGGAAGAGCACGGCAGTCTGAGACCTCCCGCGGTGTCGACGTCGACCTCTTCTCCACTGCCCGGCCCCTTAACTTCTGATTCGGGGCTCGATGACTCTTGGGAGCCGACAGACTCTGATGAGGTGGGTGAGGATGGCGAAGTTGGCGATATCGGTATCAGCTCTTCGGGGGCACCTAAGCGCCCGAGGCCCTCCTCAGAACCCGAGAATGACGCCACTCGATCCAATGACGATAAGATCCCTTCCGCAGACGGAGCCGCGGACCATTGGGCAAAACGTAGGAAAGTGCCTGTGTCGGCTATTTTTATCCATGCCGGAGCCGGATATCACAGCGTCTCCAACGAGAGAATTCACTTGGAAGCCTGCTGCGAGTAAGAACCGCCGACTCATCGTCCCCCTGGCAAGACAAATTTGCGCGGTCTTGTTGCTAACACTAGACAGGGCGGCTCGTGGTGCTATGAAACTCCTACGACTAGGATATTCAGCCGTCGACGCTGTCGAGGCAGCTATTAAGGTCCTCGAAGATAAAGAGATTACCAACGCTGGCTACGGAAGTAACCTGTCGATCGACGGAACGGTTGAATGCGATGCTACCCTAGTCAACCACTTGGGGCAAAGCGGTGCTTGCGGCGCGGTTCCTAGTAAGTTGGTCACTGGCCTGGGAGACACAAATGTCAAAATTTTAACAATAGAACTCTACATAGACGTTAAGAATCCCATCAGTCTGGCCAAGGCCATCCTCCATAATAGTGCCAGACCGCTCTCGCTACGACGCATTCCCCCGAACCTGCTCGTCGGAGATGGCGCGAGGGACTTTGCTCAGAAAGCGGGTGTGGCTCTCGTCCCTAATGAATCGCTCGTGTCCAAAAACTCGAGGGATCGCTACCTCAAGTGGAAGGAAGATCTGATGCGAGCGGAGGACAAGGGACTGCTTTCGCCGATCCCCCTCGACGACCACGCCGTCCCCATCCTTGACAGCGGAGGCCGCACGGCTATGCAACGGGACCACACCAACGCTATATTGGCCGGAACCTGGAATGAGGGTCAGCCGGATTCGCCAGGCTCCATGGAGAGTGGACAGTCTATGGGGAATTCGCATGACCCCCAGCATCCTACACTAATCAACGCCGAGATCCCGTCGGAAATACCCCCCGTAAGCCCAGTCGATTATGGTCTGTCGAGTTTTGCAGGTCCATCTGCCACATTACTACATAGCAGTATGGCTCTCAAGGCACCTCCGCGCGCCTCGAAGCACCCAACTATCGCTCCTGCCCCGAACGACGAACTTGTCCGACTAGATTTCGATATACCGTGTCCCGCCAACGCGGCGCAAGTGGCTCTCCGCGACATCGCCAACCCGATGCTCCCAGATGATTCCACGGCCTTGTACGTGCGGCCCCTGGACCGCGGGCGCGACGCGCACGACGGCGACGTCGACAGAATCACGGACACGGTCGGCGCGATCGCCATCGACAGGGACGGGAACATGGCGGCGGGGTCGTCGTCGGGGGGGATCGGGATGAAGCACCGGGGGCGGATCGGGCCGGCGGCGCTGGTGGGGGTGGGGACGGCGGTGCTGCCGGCAGCGCACGCAAGCGGCGAGGGGGTGGCAGTGGCGGCGGTGACGAGCGGGACGGGCGAGCACATCACGACGACGATGGCGTCGCAGAAGTGCGCGGAGCGGCTGCTGCACGGGACGCGGCGCGGGCCCGGCGGCGGCGACGTGCCGGAGCCCGACGAGCGCGCCGCGCTCGAGGCCTTCCTCGAGCACGACTTCCTCGCCCACCCCGGCGTCCGCCACTCGCGCTCCGCCGCCGCCCTCGGCGTCATGGCCGTCAAGCAGTGCCCCGCCCGCGGCTACTACCTCTACTTCGTCCACAACACCGAGTCCTTCGCCCTCGTCTCCATGGGCTCCGCCGACCGCGACCCCGCCTGCGTCATGTCCCGCCTCAACGCCCACGCCGCCGGCATCGCCCTCGGCGCCCGCAAGATCTCGGCCTGAGCGCGCCGCCGCGGCTAGCGGTTCCACCTGGGTCCTCCGGCCGCCGCGTCTTAGGTCTCGCTGCTGCCGCCCAGGTTCCTTTTTTTTTTCTTTCCTTTTTTTCCTCCCTGGCTTCTCTCGCTCCGCTCACTTGCTTCGAGAACATCATACCCCGCGACCTAGTTTCGTCCTTCACCATGCTTGGTTAGCTCTCATCTCCTCTTTGCGCACTCACCTATATAGAAGACGGATTGGCGGCATGGCATCGGAGTCGGCAAGGGGTGGGGACGGGAGCAAGGTAAACTCTAGATAGAGTGGATTGTAGTGTAGTGCTATTTTACTAGAAATCACTCCTAACAGACCCACGGGTTTCACGACCGCATCCCACGTCTTTGCAGCAAGGTAGGACATATGTATATCTACGAACAAAGTAAGATATCAAAAAATGGCTTTTTTTCCCCACCCCATTCATAACATCCCGTCTGGGACCCAACGCCTTCCTTGGATATGCAATGGCCAAACTGTTATAGTACAGCGTCTACCCGCTTCCGTGTAACTTGCTGTAAATTCGGCAGCGGCAATAGTCGTAATAGTAGTAGTGGTAGTACAATAGCGGGTAAGCCGCTCGTAGAGAGAAGGGGGTGGTGAACGGGACCAGATGAGCAGTTGTGCCCCCCCAACACCTCCCTCTCCCTCTCCACCTCCTTCACCCTGGTATCGGGGTGCCGGTGCCGTTGGCGCGGGGCCGCTTCTTCTTCTTGGGGGCGCGGGGCACGACGGCGGGGCGGGCGCCGTAGGCGGCGGCGAGGGCGAGGCGGGTGCCGCAGGTGAGGCAGGCGGCGCCGGCGGGCGGCTCGCAGAAGATGCTGAGGCAGACGCTGCACACGAAGCCGGTGTCGACGACGCGCCGGTGGCAGAAGCAGGCGGCGCGGAAGTCGACCGAGTCCTGCGTCGGGCTGACGAAGAAGGCGCGCCGCGCGCCCGCGTCCGCGAGCAGCCCGAACATGAGGTAGGCGAGCAGGCCGCGCGGGCCGGCGCTGTCGCCGTCGGCCGTCGAGACGAAGGTCCCGCCCGTGATGAAGGCCGCCTGCTGCAGGAACGCCGGGCTGCCGCGTAGCGAGAGCGTGTCCACCGGCACGTGCGCGTGCGCCGCGGCGAAGACCGCGTTCATCGTCGGGATGTACTGCGCCGGCTCCGAGTCCGACACCGAGAGCACGAGGATGCGCGCCTGCAGGGTGCCCGGACCGACGGTGTCCGCGTTCGCCGCCGCGGCTGAGGGAGGGTTCGCGGGGTCGGAGGAGGAGGACGGGACGGGGGCGATCAGGTCGCCGGCATGCGACATCTTGTTGATGTAGGAGAGCGCCATGGAGAGCGCGCCGGAGACGAGCGTGGTGGTGCTGAGGTCGGCGGGGGTGGTGCTGTCGACGAGGGAGCGCAGCGAGGCCAGGATCGTAGTCTCTATCTGGGCGAATTGAGGGAACTTGTTGGCTGAGGAGGAGGCGGATTCGTCGATATCGGTCATCTCAACATCCTGGTCGTCGCTACTGCTGCCGTTTTGGCGGTGCTCCAGGTTCGGGGGCTTGGGATAGAGCCAGACGGCGCGATTCGTGTGGGCGGCGAGGACGGCGACATGGCTCTGGTTGCCGAAGGCGAGGTGAGCGTTGATGAAGACGAGCAGGTTGGCGACAGCCTTGGAGATGGGCAGGAGGTCGTGGAGGGCGGCCCAGGCGCGGGGATTGGTGTCGATGATGACGGTGAGGAGCGAGGGGACCTGGGAGGCGGTGGTGCCCTGGTTGTAGTGATCGGAGGCGTCGATGCGGTTCATGGTGGTTACGCCGATGGGAGCTTTGGTCCTCGTTAGGAGGGGAGCCGGCTCAGGTGGTTGGAGGAGAGAGGGAAAGGAGGGTCGGAACCCGCCGATGGTTTATTGCTGTTTCCGATGTCTAGGATAACTTCCAAGGAGATAATACCGAGACCATTAAGACCATTGACTAGGCTGGGATTCCCAACAGACCCTGTCAGTAGGCGTTCCACCCTATCGGAATTGAAGTTAGGAAAAAACGAATGGAAGATGGTATTCCAAGGACAAGTTAGAAAGTAAACCGGCGACTAGAAAAAAGCAAGAGGTAGGTAACGCCACAGTGCGACCGATAGTGGAGGAGAAGGTGGTGGAGAGGTGCTACGTAAGAGCAGAAGGGAATTCAAGGTGAAGCTGACACTGGGACAAGACAGGCAAGTGATTGGGCGGCCACCGATGCTTACCGTTGCTCACCGAGTGTTACTTGCTAGCCATGTACCTCGATTTACGGCATTGCGGTGGGGGTGGCAGAATCGGCAGGTTGCTGGGGAGGAAGGGAGCGGTCCTGGTACACACTTTAGAAGTAGAGGTAGAGGTAGAGCTCGGGGAGGTGACGCGCCTGCCAAGCCCTTATGCCCCCTATAAATAAAGGAAAACGCCAGTTCACATGACTAATACCCACACGTCATTCTTTGCTAGGTAACAAGCACCCAAGGCATCCCGTGACCTACGGCATTACCTAGGTAAGTAGCTTTCCAATACCATGTAACAACACATACCAACCCAAACCACACACACACACATAACAGGCTAGGCGCATATTGGCGCAGTTAGCGTTGACTTCCTGTTTCCTCTCCCCCCAGTCTCTTGGTATAGGTAGGTAACGTTAGGTAACATCACCCCGCGTCACATCTTGCAGCCCGGTTTTGGTTCGTAAAGTGCCTGTCACAGTCTCCTTGGAGGCTTCGGGGAAAGAGACCATGGTTGGCCGAATGCGGTTCAAGTTAAATTGCCTTGGGGGTTTGTGTGGGATGGCAGATGCATGTAGCCGCCTCGGCGTTGGTTCTCGAGCAGACCTGCGGCATTTTGCTTCGCCATGGGCATGGATGTACACGGCACCGCCAATAGCTATCAGCCCACTCACTCTTGCGATGGCTCACCGAACCAATCACCTCTTGTGCTCGTTATCGTCCTGGGGCTCGTCAGATATCAGATTGAGGTGGCGTTGCCTTGGGCAGGTCGACAGGTGGGTGTGGGAAACGGACAAGGAGAATAAATATAGGCAGTCCAGGTGTGTCGTCGTCAGTTGGTACCTAGAGGTAAGAGGTAGGTACATAACCATCTCTCAACACGTGATCCTTCACGTGCCAGAGGACCAGTAGCCCAGTAACCTAGTCGTAGCCTGGTAACATGAGCGGGGCGAACGAGGTGAAGCTTCAAGACTCGTCACGGGAAGCAAAACCAAGAGTTGCTTTGGTTGGGTAACGTTGTTAGGTAAGGTGGTTAAGTAAGGTGGTGGTACCAAGGCAAGGCTCAGCCAGCTCTCCTCCTCCTCCTCCTCCTCCATCCCTCGCCCCGTCCGCCCCATCCTCGTCTCCGTCAAATCCATTCACCACCCGTCCACGCCTTCGTCAAGTCTAACCCGTTGCGGCCAAGCCGACTTCTCTCCACGAGACCAGCATCTACCTAGTCGGCGGTAGGGTGCTGCGACAAACCCGGCAGATGTCTTCGTATCGTCCCCCATGCCCTGGACCCTTCTTCTTCCCTTCACCTATCCCAAGCCCTCCCCTGTCCGCCATCGCCTCTCCTCCTTCGCCCACGCCTCCCTCCAACCCGGTCTGCCCAGAACAGATCGTCCGGTGCCCCCCGCGTCCTACCCACCATATCGCAGGATAAGGAGACCCCTACGTCGTAGTGACGGCCTACCGACAATCATCTCTACTATTGCCGAGCGCCTCCTACTTCCGAACCGCTTAGTGCGTCCGCCCCAATCCCGCGTTGGAATTAGCAGCATCGGGCTATAGGTGAGTGATCTTTCATCTTGTTGCCGTGCCATACCCATCGTCAGCCGCCCAGGCTTGCGATCCCACCAGTCGGGTTGTACGCACGCCTTGGCCAAGCACAAGGATAATGTTCTTTGTCAAACCTATCCAGCCTCTTTCATCAATATCATGGGTCCAGCAGACCTAGTAAAGGATTGTTACTTGCGCCCGGCTCCCTGGAAACCAGGTAGGTATATAACCTACAGCCAGATCTCCCCGCGATCGGGTGGGGTTCGTTGTTGCTTGGTTTCTATTTCTACACCCGAACACCCGCTGTCGTGGTAACCCTACGATTATTCTTCTGATATTCCCATCGCTCGTTTCTTCTGAATCGGACTCTTTGAGGCTTTTGTTGAGCATCTCAACTTTCATCCGAGACACCGGCTTATTGAGATAGAAGCTAGGCATTCGTCACCGACGAGGCGTAGGCGCCATTAATACGCCATCGGTACGCCATAGATACCTGCACCGTAAAACTCTTCATTCTTAAGCCCATTGCCTCCGGTATCAGGACCGCACCTCTTCGCGCTTACTCTCCCACGCGCGCACCGCGAACCGGAGTTCCGGCTATACTACCAGTAACACCAGCAACCTATCCGTATTCGTCACGGGGCCGGCCATGGATGAATATCCTGCCCAGCTCCCCTTGAATCGAGAGGCGATGGCTAAGCTGAGCAATGTCGAGCAGACCCAGCTCATCCTTGCGCGACTGATGGAGGGCGGCCAGGAGGATGACGAAACCTGCCGAGAACTCGATGACCTCGCTAAGCTGTTAAACGATGACGCCAAACGTGCGGCAACGGAGCAGTCCATCTGCGACGTTATCGACGACGTATGCCTCGACACTATACTTGGCTATCTCGACATGAGGCAGGCCGAGCTGGTGCACGGCCATGCGATCCTAACGACTTCCGCCTACCTAAAGGCTGCCGGGGACAAGGGTAATATTGCCTTGCAGAAGTTCTTCTTCGATCGCGTACAGAGGGGCACATACGATGACTACATAGTTGCCTTCTGTGTCGCCGCCGCCATCTTCCCCATCGCCCCGGACCAGACCGCAGACATATTCCTCACTGAGGGCTTCCTCGCAAGCCTGGACCCTTTGATGCGGCGAAAATGGAAAAGCAGGAAAGTCGAGACGGCGTGCCTGGAGATGCTCAATGCCGCATCGATGAACTCGCAATGCCGCGAGGCTATCAAAAAATATTGTACCGACTGGTTGGAGGAGGTTGTAGACCAGGATCCGAACGAGCTGGCCAACGCTATCCACTCGGCGGATCCGGAGATAAAGGTTTCAGAAGGTTCAATCGCTATGAGGAGGCATTCCGAGGCAGTTCAACACCTAGCCGCCGTCATTTTGGCAAAATTGAGGGTAGGCACCCTTAGGCTTCCCCCTGCCACACCGCGCCCGTATGAATACCTTGGGTGGCGTAGTGGGTGAGGAAAGGGACTGGGCTGACCTGAGAGGGCTTTCAGGCAGTGCCTTCGGCGCAACAACCGACAGAGGAACCCGGAGAAAAAATCCAGCAGGCGAACACGAGCATCGAGGACCTCTCTAAGATGTTCACCTCAATGCTGCTCAAGGACCCAGAGAGCGGCAAACGACATTCGGTAGAGGGCTTGGCTTACGCTTCGATCCAGCCTGTTATCAAGGAGGAGGTTGCAAGAAACAAGGAGCTTCTGAAAACTCTAGTTAAAATCCTGAATGACGCCCCGGCGAAGTCGCCGCTTACTTATGGGGCATTAAGTATTTTTCTAAATCTTACACGCTACCAACCCAGGCAATCCGAGGAAGAGAAGAAGATGACCCAGCTCAAGGCGTACGCCGACGCTGCCGGAAAGCTCGCGTCGCCGAACCCGCTGAGCGACAACGACCACGTATCGGAACGGTGCAAAAGAGTTTTTGAGGCTGGCATCGTACCGGTTCTGGTAACCCACAGTAGGCATGGTTCGGTCGCCTCGCTGAACCTCATCGTGTCCATCATCGCGGCCTTGTCGGTGACGACCAGTTTGCGAGGCCAACTCGCCCAACAGGGGGCGGTCAATCTGCTCATCGCCGCGTGCACAGCCTTACCCGAGTCCGAATCGCAGGCCAAGCGCACCTCGGCCCAGGCGCTCGCTCGTATACTAATTAGCACGAACCCGGCCCTCGTATTCGGCGGAACTCGTGCGCGCCCGCAGAATTCGGCCATAAGGCCCCTGGTTTCCATCCTAACGCCCGACCCTGCGGCCGAAACTCGCGATCTCCTGCCGACGTTCGAGGCGCTGATGGCGCTCACCAATCTCGCGTCGACGGACGACGACACGCGCGCCACCATCGTCCGCACCGCCTGGCCGGAGATCGAGGAGCAGCTTCTGGCCTCGAACGCGCTGGTCTCCAAGGCGGCGGCGGAGCTGGTGTGCAACCTGGCGCAGGGCGCCGAGGGCGTCGCGCTGTACGCGGACGGGACGCCGCAGGCGGCGAGTCGGCTGCACGTGCTGCTGGCGCTGGCGGACGCCGAGGACGAGGGGACGCGGAGCGCCGCCGGCGGCGCCCTGGCCTCGCTGACGGCGCACCAGGCCGTCGTGGCGGGCGTGGTGGCGCGCAAGCGCGGCGTCGACGTGGTGCTCGGCCTGTGCCGCGAGCCGAGCGAGGACCTGCGCCACCGCGGCGCCTTCGTCGCGCGCAACCTGGCCGCGTGCGAGGGCGACGCCGGCCGCGCCGCGCGCCGCGCCATGCGCGAGGCCGGCGCCGTCGAGACCCTCAAGGCCTGCGCCAAGAGCTCCCGCCGCGCCGAGGTCGTCGAGGTCGTGGCCCAGGCGCTCAAGGTCCTCCTCGAGGAGCAGGACTGAGGGCCGAGGAGGAGAGGGGGGGAAGAGAAAGGCGTATGCGCACGTGGGCTATTTCCTAAGATTCAGTTATACCCCAGAACAATTTGGCACATACCTAGGGGGAGGAGGAAGAGGGGGGCGGGTAGCAGTCACGAGAGGAAACCCTGTCCATGTGTCGCGTGTAGTTAAGGAGGCATCTATCTCAGCTCGAAAAGCATCTATTTCATCGGATGTCTACGCGCTTGTATTGTTCCCTGGAGGATTCGTGACGTGTCTCTCCGAGTTCCCCCTTTTGTTGTAGCAAACTCACTCGCACACGCTCTCTGGGTCTAGATTTAATTTTCCTCGCGGAGCCGTAGCGAGATCGATACTGTGCGTACGTAGGTATTTCGCGGCCACGAATCGCGCGAGGAGCAAATACACCAGAGGGGATGTAGGTATACCTAATAGTGACACGGGTTTACGCTGCCGTCTATCCACGAATTCTTCTCTCCTTTTTTGGTTCCATCCTGCCGTACTCGTACAAATATGTCCTCTTCCCCTTCGCTGCCGCGTCTTTCTTTCCGCGCTGCCCTCGCACCGTGGGGAGGGTAAGATACCAGGGGAGGACGGCGGTCCGGACACGGCGGATGGTCCTGCCCCCCCCTCTCTCCTCGGTGCGCCGTAGCCAAGTCGGCCCGCACCGCGCCGCACGTAGGCATGCACGTGCGTTCCCCGCATCCGCACAGGCATATATATGTGCATCTACTAGGGGACCTCGTCGGCGTCGACGCGGTTCAGCACGGCGACGCCCTCGACGTGGCCGGTCTGGGGGAAGAAGTCGAAGCCGCGGAGGCTCTCGATGGCGTAGCGGACGGGGGGGCGGCCGGTGGCGGCGGCGGCGGCGTCGTCGTCGGCGTCGCGGGGTTGCTCGCCGCGGACGAGCACGCCGACGTCGCGGGCCTGGGTGTGGACGTTGCAGCTGACGTAGACGACGCGGCGGGGGCCGAAGGCGAGCAGCTGGCCGAGGAAGGCGTCGTCGCAGCCCTTGCGCGGCGGGTCGACGACGACGACGGAGCGGTCGGGCGGGCAGGCGGCGCGCAGCTCCGGCGTGAACAGCGTGTGCGCGTCGGCCGCGACGAAGCGCGCCCGCCCCGGCGCCAGGCCGTTGGCGCGGGCGTTCCGCACCCCGAACGCGATCGACGCCGGCGCGATGTCGACCCCGACGCTGCCGCCCCGCAGCACCGACGACAGCGTGATGGTAAAGAGCCCGGACCCCGAGTACGCGTCTATGAGGAACTCGATGGGGGAGTCGGGTGAGGCAGGCGAGGAGGAGGGAGAGGAGAGGGGGTCCTTTGTGGAGGTGGTGGTGGGGGTGGAGGGGGGAGGGGGGAAGATATGCTGTCGCACGTAGTCGGTGAAGGTTGGGAGGATCGAGTTGTTATTCTGGAAGAAGAAGCCGGCGGGGTTGTGGAAAACGTACGGGCCCACGTACTCGGTTGAGATGGCGTTGTTGTCCGTTATACACGTCTTCAAGTCCGTATATTCGTTCGTGTCGACTATAACCAGGTCGGTGTCGTCGGGGGGCGATTCTCTCGCGACAGCAACTGCTGACTCCCTCTTAGATCGCGGTGAGAGTGGCGGTTCATCCTCAATGCCGGCCTTAATAATATTCTCGAAGCCGGGCTTGGGGATACGCTTCGTGGTTTCGCGGAGCAAGAGGGTGGCGCCACGTATATAGTTAGAGTATTCGGCGGCCATGCGGGCGCGTTCGCGGCGCATGCCGAGGCGCACGACATCGGTACCTATGGGGCAATCTTCGATGTCGACGGTGGTGCGCGTGCCCTTACGCATGAAGCCGATGGGAGGGCACGCCTTGAAAGGAACACCCTGGCGCCAGTTCGGGGGGCCGTCAAAGTGAGGAGTTAGCTTGGTACGGTAGCCGTACTGGAGCGGGCTGCCGATAGTATCCTGGACTGCCGGGACTAGCTCAGGCGGCAGCTGGGAGAAGTTACGGAAGGCCCTCTCGACGATACGCTTCTTGAGTCTCAGCTGGTCGTTGTAGTCGAGCATCTGGAACTGACACCCCGAGCAGGTGGCGAAGTGCTTGCACCGGATACGCTCGTCATCGCGCAAAGGGGATGGGTTGACGACGGAGATGAAGTCGGCGATGGTGTACTTCTCTTCCTGAAAATGTCGGAACACTTTCACTTTGACGGTGTCGCCCGGCACGACAAAGCCTACGGCATAGATTCTCTTGGATCCCTCCTGCAAGGCTAGGCCATCCCCTGTCGATGAGAGCTCGACAACATGGACCTCGATCACGCTTCCTTCTTTTGGCAAAGACTCGTTTCCCGAGTCCATCCACTCGCCGCCCGCCGCCGCGGCGCCTCCGGCAGGTCCCTCTTCTTCTCCCCCCCCTTTGCTGTTCTCATCCTGGTTCAGAGAGTCGATCAGAATCTGGACATCGAGGGCCAGGATCTCATCTGCCGAGCCGGAAGTCATGTCTCTTTCCCGCTTACGGGCCTTCTTCTTTTCTGCCCTCCCCTCCTTCTTCGCTTTCTGGAGAGACTTGTCTCTGGGAGGAGGCCGCTTCCCTAAGGACGAAGCCGACTTCTGCGGCTGCGGCTTCGGTGGGTCCTCCATTATGTTACCTCTGCTGGGGGCTCTGTTCGAGGTTATGTCTGGGGTCGTCTTCTGTGGCGCGGGCTCTTTCATCAGGCGCAGTACCTCTTCAGTAGTCAAGTTACTGTTTCCCGCCTTATCGCGAGCTGAACTAGATATTGGTTGCTTCGTCTTCTGTCTCGTCTTCTGTCTCGTCTTCTGCTCCGCCCTCTGTGTCTTCTGTGCCGTCTTCTGTGGCGCTGGCTCTTTCATCAGTTGCAGTATCTCTTCAGTAGTCAAGTTACCGTTACCCGCTTTATCGGGAACGGGACTCGATTCTGATTGCTTCGTCCTCTTCCTCTTCCTTTTCTTTTCCTGTGGAGCTGGCTCTTCCATCAAGCGTAGTATATCCTCGGTAGTCAAGTTGCCATTACCCGCCTCATCGCGAGCTGGACTAGATGTTGGTTGCTTCGTCTTTCGTGGCGCTGGCTCTGTCTTCTGTGGCGCCGGCTCGTTAAACAGGTGCAATATCTCTTCGGTGGTTAAGTTGCCGTTGCCCGCCTTGTCAGGAGCGGGACTAGATTTCGGTTGCTCCGCCTTCTTCGTCCTCCCCCTCTTCGTCCTCCCCTCCTTCGTGCTCCCTTTCTTCTTCTTCTGATTCTGTGGCGTTGGCTCCTCTTTCATCAAGCGTAGTATATCCTCAGTAGTCAGGTTTCCATTGCCCGCCTTGTCGCCAGCCGAACGAGAATTACGCTGCGGCTGCCGGGGCGGATCACCAAAGCCCCATGCCTCTGAGGTGTGGGCGTGGCGGCGGTGGATGGGGAGGATTCGCTGGTTTACGGGAAAGGCCGACCAGGCGATGGCGGTGCAAAGCAAGAATCTTCCTCGAAGATATAATTGCGGTGCCACTGCAGTGCAGAACCGCATTGGTTCTCGCGGGTTTCCCGACGTCCTTCTGTTCAAGTTGGCCGAGTGGAAGACGAGAGGCTGTGAAAATGCAAAATTTTGGATTGACAAATCGACGACTTTTCACTGGGCAGCTTCGGCCCCTCGTCATGCTTAACTACATATAGCCGTATGACGCAACTTAGTCCCCCACCACTCGTATGTGTAATTGCATATTTAGTAGGCTATGTACTGAAGTAGTGAATACATGCTCAAAAGGCGTGGTCTTCGTAAGTTGCCGAAATGAGTTGACCAGACAGTAGAAGAGCGTGCTGAAAATGCTTCTTCAGCTTCATATGTCGGTTAGGCTTTCCAATATGCCTACCTACCTCTCGAGATTACGGGATAAGGGCCTGCATCTAGGTAGGTATTGTTACATCTTCTGCAAAACAAGCACACTTACCTACCCAACGGTTACATAATTCGATATGAGAGTTGGTTACATACTAAATCGTAGTCCTTTGTCTCTTGCCGATGTGGTAGTTCACCTCTCTGCTTGGTACGCTGGCTCCGGTAAGTCGGGTGAGCTAGTCCCGTGCCAAGTTTAGTCTGGCGCTCTCTCCTACGCACCGTGCTAACTTCATCACGAGACACATAGGTAGGTACGGTAAGTAGGTGTATGGACGGGTAGAATAGTTGCGGGTAGCCACGTGTAATTCGTGTGGTGCCTCCGTGCTACCGATCTTGCTCCTATTACCGCGTTGGTAAGGGCAGCGTTGGTAGAAGAAACTGTTGACGGCTCGGAGTGAGAATCTCATTGGCGCGCGCTCCCCTCTCAGCCCAGCAGCGAAACCCAGTCCTTTCCAGCGACATGCGCGTAACCAACGATGGCGACGAGAGAGCCGTGGTGGCGGTTCGGCCGACATGCTACCTAACAGAAATCATCGCAGTAATAACCAGCCGGGCTACAGGCCGGTATGAGGCTAGCATAGAGAGTTGTGGGAGAAGCTTGAGAGGTTCCCCCCTTGGCGACTGGGCGGGGCCGATATCCGCACCCACCTGGGGATGTCGGTCCAGTTCCCGAATGGTACCTACCTATAAGGCGCTTGTCTGTCAGTTCTATTCCGGCCCTATCCTGTTATTGTCGCTTATCAACCTGTCTTCTTCTCTCTCTCCTTTTGATTATCACCGCCAAAGGCCACCGAGGTTGCCCGCCCACGGATACGAAGCCAGTCAGCACCATTAATAGGGGAAGATCCCGGCACAGTAGGTATTCCTCTATCGTCCCCATCACTTTTCTATCGTATTCCCTTCCGTATTTTCCCCCCTATTTCCAGCCTATCCCGCTGCGGATGCACTAGCTAATGATACCTAGCGGAATATCTAACCGGCCTGGGGCTTTGGGTGCTGGTGTTTCCTCCCGACTCTAGGTATACCTAAGTGCCTGGGAGCGTCTTTGGGCATGCTGTGGCTACCTACCGAGTACCTCATGTCAGGCAGATCGCAACGTAGCAGCCTCGGATTACAACGTAGACGTCCTTACCCGATATATCACCCGTAGAGCAGTGCAGCGTAGCGAAGCCGCGAGAGATGAGTGAGTGAAGATATCTGACATACCTACCTATTCACCTATCTGTCCGTCTATCTATCACTACCGTGTGCGACAACACGCCTATCCACCCCCCCGCCGACGTCTCTGCGCCACCGCTGATCTTTTCCTGCCAGGGGCCATCACTGCCGCCACGCTGCCCCAGAGCCTGCTCCTGCTGCTCCTCGCCGTCGCGCCCTCGGCCGCGGCGCCGCAGCCGTGGCGGCCCGCCGAGCAGGTGGTCTTGCAGCAGGGGTCCGCCGCGGGAGGGCGCCGAGGCGCCGTCGCATCCGAGAGTAGGGTGTGCAGCCAGATCGGCATCGACCTGCTCGCCCAAGGTGTAAGTGAAGAAAAAAGCGTGCGCGCGAGACGCCGATAGCAACCTACCTGCCTATCTACCTACCCCTCGCTCTCTCTCGCCTAAACTGCTTACGGTTTCCGTCTGGGGAAAAAAATAGGGCAACGCGGTCGACGCCTTCGTCGGGACGCAGCTGTGCGTCGGTGTCGTCGGCATGTACCACTCGGGGCTGGGCGGGGGCGGGTTCGCGCTGATCCGCGACGGCGGCGGGGCCTACACCGTCGTGGACTACCGCGAGGCCGCGCCGGCCGCCGCCCACCAAGACATGTACCGCGGCAACGTGCGGGGCAGCGTGCAAGGCGGGCTCGCCGTCGGCGTCCCCGGCGAGCTGCGCGGCCTCGAGCGCGCCCATGCGCGCTTCGGTGCCCTGCCCTGGCCCGCCGTCGTCCGCCCCGCCGCCCGCATCGCCCGCCACGGCTTCGCTGTCTCCGAGGACCTCGTCCGCTACATGCAGTACGGCCTCGCGATGGCTGGCTGGAATTTCCTCCTCGAGGACCCCTCGTGGGCCCAGGACTTTGCTCCTAACGGTGAGGAGCGCCTTTCGTATCTGTTTGCCCTCGCATCGCGGCGTGGGAAGTGGTGGGCTAACGTCGCGTCGTCTAGGGACGCTGGTTAAACTCGGCGATATCATGACTAGGGTGCGCTACGCCGAGTGAGTCCTGCCAGCGATCCCGCCTGTTCACCTGTGCTATGCGTGCTAACGCCTACGGTAGGACTCTCGAGACAGTCGCTGAGCACGGCGCCGACGTGTTTTATAACGGTCCTATAGGTTCGTAGACGAGTCCCGCCGTCTCTTCTCCCTTCCGTCTCCCACCTCAGCCGCGCACGCTCTTCTAACCCCCCTTTCCAGCCGAAGCGACGATCCGGCACATTCAGAAGCACAATGGCAGCATGACCCTCGCCGACATGTCGGGCTACGCGGCCATCGACCGCGCGGCCGTCAACATCACGTACCGGGGCTTCCGGCTCTTCTCGGCGGGCGTGCCTAGTAGCGGCGCCGTGTGCCTCAGCGCGCTCAAGACGATGGAGGGCTACGACGACGCCGACGCCGACGCCGGCGGCCGCCGCAACCTGACCCTGCACCGCTTCGACGAGGCCATGCGCTTCGCGTACGGCGCGCGGCAGGCGCTCGGCGACCCGGCGTACGTGGAGGGCGCGCTCGCGCTCGAGGCGTCGCTCGTCGGCGCGGCGCACGCCGCCGGCGTGCGGGCGCGCATCCGCGACGACACCACACAGCCGGTCGAGAACTACAACCCGGCGCGCGCGTACGCGCCGGACTCGCACGGGACGTCTCACGTGTCGGCGGCGGACGGCGCGGGGCTCGCCGTCGCCTCCACGACGACCGTCAACCTGCTGTTCGGCAGCCTGCTCGTCGTGCCCGAGACGGGCGTGGTGCTCAACGACGAGATGAACGACTTCTCGCTCCCCGGCGTGCGCAACGAGTTCGGGTACGCGCCCAGCCCCGCCAACTACGTCCGCCCCGGCAAGCGGCCGCTCTCGTCCATCACCCCCGTCATCGCCGAGTACCTGCCCTCCGGCCCCGCCGCCGCCACCGCTTCGCTGCCGCGGCTCGCCGCCGTCGTCGGCGCCGCCGGCGGCTCCCGCATCATCAGCGCCACCACCCAGGTGCTCTGGCGCGCGCTTGCGTCCGCGGCCTCCGACGCCATGGCCCGCGCCGTCGCCGAGCCCCGCTTCCACGACCAGCTGATGCCCGACGAGGTCGCCTTCGAGTGGGGCTTCGACAACGCCACCGTCGCCGCCATGGCCGCCCGCGGCCACCACGTCGCCTGGGTCCGCGAGGGCAACAGCGCCGTCCAGGGCATCCGCGTCAGCCGCGACGACGGCGCCTTCGAGGCTGTCGGCGAGACGCGCCAGCGGAACAGTGCGGGCCTGACGCTGTAGACGGATGGTCGGGATTGGTGGTGACGAACCTGTGGACATACATAGTTGAGAGTACTCACTCGCTCGTGTACATGCGTATCTGATAGAATTCCGTGTTTAGAGCTCCGTTCATAGACGTTTTGCTTACAATACATATAGTGCTATATTGCAGTCTAAGACATGCAGAGCGTTTCTTGCGCTTATGAGAGCTTCACACCCATTTCTTCGTTTTCGATTCTTTATTCAATATTTCGTCGTTTAATCAGGAACTATTCGGGTTCTCAAGGCCGGGAGTTCCTTGCCGAACCTCTTGAGAGACAGCCCACCCACGGCCCTGGATAGCCGTTGGTGGTACTTGTGTAATTCAGGTTTCCTCGTCCTCCCACCATGTATAGAAAGCCATACATGGCTACATGGTTACATGCCCACATTTCCAAGCAGGAAGTGTAGGCGTCTGCAGTTACAGGTGATATGATCGTGCCTATCTCTCATATTGGGTGGTCGACAGAAAACTCGGAATGCTAGGGGCGCAGATATATGGAGTGCGCCGCGAATCATTAATAGAACGATACTTGCTAGACATGTGCGAATATTCATTTATGGATCGTCGCGTTCGACAAGGGAAGCTAGCGCAACGAGGAAAAAAACAAAAGTAAACTCCTAGCCTCCGCTCCATGCGACCCGGGGGTATCAGATGTTGATCTATGTATGGTTCTATCTGTGTCAGGGGGAGAAAATTTACGGAGTGCTTAGATGAAACTAGGCCATCACGACTTCATGGCGACGAGCTTCTCTATTTCGGCCAGCCACTTCCTGGCAAATTCTTCCTCGGTGAATCTCTTGGACGAAAGCCGGGCTCTGCGTCGGACAGAGAGCGGATCAGGGTGCGAGAGGGCCTTCTCGAAGGCCTCGGCGAACTCATCCTCGGTCGAAGCGTGGAAACCTACGAGTTTGTCAGTATCTGAGTTAGACGCGGAGAGAGAATACGTCTTGTCTTGCATACCTGTGGGCTCGCCATCTACGTCGATCACGATGTCTAACTTGGGCCCTCCGCTGTCGTGCACAACGGGTATCAGGCCGGCCGCGAGATACTCGACGACCCCAATCCCGAAGTGCTCATTCCACATGCCGTTCACTCCCACAAAAGCCCTGCCGAGCCACTGGAGGATCTCGGGCCACGGCGCGTCGAGTTGGAATATCACCTGGTCCTTGATGTGGAGCTCGTTGACTAGCAAGCGCAGCTTGTAAACCCGTCTCGAATCGTGGTCATCTCTAACGCTACCGAGAAAGACCAACTTGGCTTCTTTTGCCGATTCAGTACCTGTTTTGACGAATTTGGCGAAGGCCTGCAGGATGAGCTGGTGGTTCTTCTCGGGCCGGAACTGAGCAATATACACCAGATACTTCTGCCGTCGCTTTTCGCTCTCTTCTGAGATCTCCACGGCTCGTTCGATCTCGCTGACTGCACACGGCGGGTACACGACGGCGATAGGGTGCTTTCTACCCTGCTGCTTCCGACGGGGTCCCCATAGCGACTGGATATGCTCCTGCGTCCACGAAGAGTTGGTCATGACGACGTCGACCGAAGCACCCATCCACGAGTAGATGGCAGCGAAAATCTTCCAGTAATATCGCTTGGCAGCGCCCTTGTAACCGACTCCCTTCCCGGCATTAACGCCTTGGTTTCCGACGGGGTTCTTGGGGTCGAGCGAGTCGAGCATATCCGTAGAGATGGTAGGATAGTGCACATACGCGGCGGTCGGCATATGGGGGAAGAGGATCTTGCTTAGGCCCAAAGTAAACGCATAGCCCATGGTGTCCACGAAGATATCCGGCACAACCAGAGAGAGGGCGTCCCAACCCATAACCAGCGATCCGAGCGACTGTCCCAGGAGAGTCATGCGCGGCCACGTCGAAGAGAGAGCCCAGTGGCGCGTACTCAAGTAGAGAAAGTGGATAGACGGTGGGTGGATGTCGATGCTGAAGGTATGCTACGGCGCTGTTAGTAGTCTCGCTCCTAACCACCGTACTAACCGCCATCTGGGAGCTCGAACCTTGACTCGCAGAAGCATCTTCTCCTTAGACACTTCGCGGTCGCCCGTATAGACGACTATCTTGGCATTGGGCCATCTCTGCTGAGTAGCTCGGACGGCTGCCCACAGGACTCGCTCGCCGCCGCCGCCAGCATTACAAAAGGGGTGGAAGAACCCGATGATACCATCCCATCCCTGCCCACCATTCTTTATATCACTAGATGATCCGATTATAGAGTCTCCGGTGCTCTTCGAGCTCTCATCCTGGCCATCTTCAGCTGCCGCCTTTTCCTCTCTGAATCTGCGCTCGCTCTCGGCCGTGGCTTGGATTATGGAGGAGCGTCGGCCGTCGGTCTTCTTCCTCAGACACCAACCCAAGGTCGACCCGACAGTGAGGGAGAAGACGCGGAAGAGGAGAGGGACGAGGATGTTCCAGCCGAGGAGGATGGCGACGGGGGTGCAGGCGACGACGATAGCAGTGAAAACGAGGGTCTTGGAATCCATGTCGAAGGAGTAGGGTGTTCGGTTAGGAGGGGACAGAGCGGCGCGAACCGGGGAGGGCGCGGGATTTGCCTAAAGACAAACGGAGGCAGGGCAATCGAGGGGATGATTTTATATGGAGGCACAGCTCAAAGATGGATGCGTAGGCGAGGACTTGGGGCCTAAGGATGACCCCCTAGGCATACGTGTCCAGGAATGAATATTGTTCCGGCCTTGTCAGGCTGTGCAGGGAGCCGTCCAGTTGACCCATTGATATCATATACCGGTGACCTGGTGATGGCTGGTGAAGGTTGAGCTCGTGAAGGTCGAGCTTGTGAAGGCTGATAAATTTCGGCGTGTGATCAGGACAGCCTGTACCTGTACTGGGTCGCCTGTAGGCGAGGTCTGCGTCTATCAGGTTAGGTACCTTGGGATACTTGCATATGCCATGGAATATCTCCTAGTTGCATGCCACCATTTTGTAGATTTGCATACATGCAATGCCTAAGCTTGGCTGTTTTATAGCGGGGTTCAGAGGAAGCAGCTGGTGCGACGGCATTATCGATATTCCTACAGGGCTTATCTTATCAGTGGATAGGTAACACAGTAGGGGAGCCTGCCCACCTTCTATCAGCTTTTTTATCGTTGGCGATCACTAAACCGATGAGACCCTAACCTCTGCCCTCTGTCTCTGTACCTCCAGGCTATACACGAGAAGAGAAGCCAAAGTTATGGAGTGTCGCTAATACTTCTCTCTATAAGAAGACGTTGAAAACCCCCCAAAGTATGATAGACACTTGCACAATTCGCTACAGCCGAATCTCCTCGTAGAATCCCCCCCACCTGCGCCGGCGCGATCCCCTAGTATAAAGAACAGCGGGGCTGACGGCCTAGGTGACGGACCCTCTGCTTGCCGCCCCGTTCAACGCTGTTGTTGTATGGGCAGACAGCAGCCCAACATGGTCCATCATGAACCCAATTCGCTGCTCTCGTCCTCTATGGGCAGCTTCTCGGCCCGTTAATATCCTATCCAGAGTCGGAACGCGGCAACCCCACCCTGCGCAGCCCAGCCGGGCATCTCTATATCGTCGCGGACGCCTAGGCGGCGCGCGGTCTTTCCACCTGGCGCCGGCCGCCTTCGCCGTCGTGCAGGGGTCCCAGGATCTGATCCTCAGCATCCACAGCCTCACCCACACGCCGTGGTTCCTGACGATTCCGCTGGTGGCCCTCGGCGTGAGCCTCTTCGGGCGGCTGCCCTTCCACGTCTACACGCGCCGGATCGAGCAGCGCCGCCGCAAGTTCAACATCATCCTGCAGGCCTGGGTCGGCCGCATCGGCCGCGACATCCAGGCCGAAGGGGTCCCGCCCGAGCTGCGCGAGAAGGAGATGACGGCCCGGTACAAGCGCACCGTCACGAGGATCTACCGCGCCCTCGGCCTGCAGGAGTGGAAGCTGTACGCCGGCATCCTCGGCTTCCCCTTCTGGATCGTCGCCATCGACAGCGTCCGGCGGCTGTGCGGCGGCCCGCGCGGCATGCTCGGGTCTCTCCTCACCGGGCACGAGAGCGACACCGCCGCCACCAGCGCCCACGCGTCCGCCGCCGCCGACGCACCCGCAGCTTCGCCCGCCGCCCTGCTGCCCGACCCCAGCATCGCTGTCGAGGGTTGCCTGTGGTTCCCGGACCTGACCGTCCCGGACCCGTACCACGTGCTGCCGGCCGCGCTCTCCGTCGTCATGGTCGCGAACCTGCTGCCGAAGACGCGCGCGGGGCTGCGGAAGCTGTACGGGCTCAACCCGCCGGGGCCGCCGCCCACGACCCCCAGCGGCGCGCCCCGCCCGCCCGTCGTCAGCACCCCCTCGACGCTCCGCCGGAACAACGTGCAGCACTCGCTCATCCTCGTCGCCGCCCTCGCTGGTCCCCTCACTGCCGGCCTGCCCGCCGCCCTCCACCTCTACTGGCTCTCCTCCTCCGTCGCCGCCTGGGCCACCGCCCGCGCCCTCGCCCGCCTCATGCCCCTGCACGGGACCACGCTCCAGCGCTGCACCGGCGTTGAGAACTTCGCCATCCGCCCGCGGCCCCCCAAGAAACCGCCGTCGGCGCAGGCCACGCGCTAGGTGGCTGGGAGACGATGACGCAGGGAACGGGGGCCGGCCTGGCGGGGAAGATACCCGGACCGACACGTCGTGGATCTAGGTAGTTTCATGCGGTTCGCGCGTGGACGCACATGTATATATATGTAGGTATGTAGCCGAGTTATCGCAGGAACGCACACCTGCATTCTGCCGATTTACCACCTATCAGAGGAATCGTGCACATGTGTATGTATAATATGTCACCGCTTAGCTTACAAAATACACACCGACGCCGAGACGTCGAGACTCGGGACCAGACTAGGACAAAAAACCGATGGATTGCCCCCGCGTATCTAGGGCCTTGCCTCCCCCGAAAACACTGTTACAGTAGTAGATAGCCCCCTCAAAACTAAATTCTCCTTGCCCGCCCCCCGAGCACTACGCACGTGAGAATAGTGCAGGAAACCAGGCGTCGACGCATTCTCTGTAGAGCGCGAGGTGCAGCTTCGGATAGCAAGGCGCGTCTACCGGGAGAATTAAGTAAGGGAAAGCCGCGAGTGGCGCTTATCATGATATCCCAGACAGCTACCGATCGAGCAGCGGCGGTCGCCTAAAATAAGAAACAAGAGCGTCCGACCGCGGGTCGTGGACGTGGCTTGCGATAAAACTCCCAGAACGCCTGGCCGGGAACCTCCACCCTCTTCACTCGTATGTACACTCTCTATTCTCATTCGAGTGGCCTCCGTGCGAGCTGGTGTAAAAATGAAAAATGAAAAGAAACATAAGAAGGGGTAAGTTGTTAGAATGCGCGCGTCTTGCACACTCGCTCGCTCATCCCAGGAACACGGCGAGCAGGACGATGGCCATGATGACGGCGAGGATGAGCAACAGGCAGCAGGCCTTGCTGCGGGCATTCTTCTGGTAGCGGGCGGCGGTGCGCAGTTCGTAGTCGGCGCCGCGGGTGTCGTCGCGGACGGCAACGGCGTTGGTCTCGATGGTCTGGAGCTGCTCGCCCTGCTCGCCGACGATCTGGGCGACCTGCTGGAAGAGGACGTTGAGGTCGCCGACGCCCTCCTCGATCTGCCGGATCTCCTCCTCGCGCTCGGTGATCAGCGTGTCCTGGAAGTCGACCTCGTCCTGCGGCGCGAGGTGCACCTGCTGCTGCTGCTGGTGGATCTGCAGCTGGTGCTCGCCCTCGAGGCCGTCGGCGGACGGCGCGGCGTGCGAGTCGAGCGCGGCCTTGGCGGCGGTGACGGAGGCCCGTTGCTTCTCGAGTGCCGTGCGCTGCAGCGACTGGAATTCCCCGAGCGCGGTTTTGAATTCGCGCGACAGCTTCTGCTGCGAGTATTTCTGGGTGGGCTGCTCGATGGACGGGCATAGTTAGAAATGCGCCGCGACAGATAAGACGGGTGGGTGGGTGGAGAGGCGGCGAGGGAAGAATAAACCAGAAGCCTGTCTCTCCTCCCCTTTTTCGTCGCAACTTACCGTGACATCTTCCCACGTCTGGATCTTCTTGACGCCTTCGCCGACCTCCTTGAACTGCTCGGTGGACTCTTCGAGAAGGGTGTGGACCCGCTCCCGGAGCCGGGGATTGTCGCGTCTGGTGCCGAGGAGGCCGATGTCCGACTTGAGCTTGGACATGTTGCCCTGGAGGTGGAACAGCTTGTTCATGAGGCCCTGTGACAGGCGAGAGAATTCCGGGTCATCGGCGTAGGCGCCGTTGTTCTGGCGGCGGGAGCCCCCGCTGCCGGACTCTATCGAGGACAGCTGGTCGAAGGACATGATTGACGGCCGAGGCGAGATCGAGCGGATGGTTCTAGGTCGGGGCGGACGATGAGAGAGGGTGGAGGGAGTTCGATTATCGAGCGGATCGCACGTCGGAGACAGGCCAGCTGTAATTGCGTGAAAGAGGACGAGGCGAGGTCACCTGGATGGGTTGATGGGTATTCGGGATAGGCAAGTAGGCAGATAAATAGGGCAGGCTGGTATTGAGAGACTCAAGGCAACGCGGAGGGATGGGGACGGATGGAACGGGGGTCGGTGCGATTACTCCCCCAACTCAGCCATATGATGTTATCGGTAAGTACCTGCTCGTATACATCATCCTGACATCGGGAATTGTGGCTGGTGGTGTTCAGGTACCAAAGTACTTGGGCACGTTAGGTAACCCGTTCTCATGACAAAGCCATCCGGCAGTCTGCCGAGATGATGATTGGCTGCATTCCCCCCAGACTGTCAGAATATCGCGTCTCCAGCGCTCCTTAGCAGGCTCCAGGGCGTCGAGGGCGTCGTCGCGTCTCCTTATAGGGGGCCGACGCCCTGTGGGTTTTACTGGTATTTACATGGCTGATTAGCTGATAAGTTCCCTAATAACAACTTTTCGCCGAGCAACCAACCCGCCCGCTATTTTGGTGCTGTCATTGCTATTCCTTCTTTTCCTCTCTCCCATCAAGCTTCACTTCTACCCTTCGCTTCTTCGTTGGCCATCCCACCCCACGCCCTCCGTCTGAAGCGGATTCAATCTTTACATTCGCAACGCAGTCATTGCATTTCCTCCCTCCTCCTTGTCGGGACAATGCGCTGATTGGTATCCTTCCCCTACGCCCTGCAGTTGTGAAGATGCCTCCTGCGGTTGCGCGACGATCGCCCTACAAAGACTTCCTGCAGCCTGCCCTGCAGAGACGTTTCGCTTCGACCGCCGGAGTCTTGCTGGCAATCTCCTACGTTGAGGCTCTCACCTTATCCAGCTGGAGTTCACGTAAGTCGTCTCGTCATCATTCTCTGCTCCTTAGTCGCATGGCTAGCAAGTCGGCTAACGTCGCATCTCGCGCGCGCGCAGTTGTCTGGTCATGGTTGCCTCTCGGTCTTCCAGGCCTACGCACCCTGGTTATATTCGGTAGCATCTTCCCCATTATCATATTACGGATTGCCCATGCGCACATCGGCATTCGAACGTCCAACTCGCCCTTCGAGACCTTCTGCAACAATGCCATCTCCTTCGCGACCCTAGAGACTATCGTCACCTTCGCCTTCTCCGCGTGGCTTTTCAGCCAGACTTACCTGCTCTCCACTCCGGACGAGGCCAATCTCCGCTGGGTCACGCATTACAGCGGGGATCGTGTCCGCCTGAACGAGCGCGCCCTGTTCTATACCATGAATCTGGTCGTGTTGGGAATCGTGCAAGGTGTTCTCCACGTCGCCTTGGATTTCGACCAGATGCTTCTGGGGATTGTTAGGCCAAGACGTGAAGGGGAAGCCAACACGCAGTCATTGTACAGCTTCGAGAGGCTGGGCGAGTGGGCCCCCGTTCTCGTCGTCCGCGCCGGCGTTCTCTCGATAGCCGTCGCTTTAGCCAACTATGTCCTCGTCTACCACTTCTTCAGGCGCTCGGCTTGGGGGTGGGCAATGTCCTTTTTCCGTCTGTTCTATAACCTTCCCAAAACCAACATACCGCCTAGCCAAGCCCCGTGGAGCATATGGATGCTTGGGCGATCAATGTGGGCCGGCTTCCTGCTGACCCTTCTCTGGTACTTTGGTGATATGGCTTTCCGGCTACAGCTTGGCAGACCACCCCTCAAGAACAACCAACCGCTCAGCGCCGAGTCCAAAGATCCCAACGGAAGTTTACTGAACGGATTGAAGAGCAAAAAGTCGCGCATATCCGTAAGTCTCCCGGCGTCTCTCTTATTCTAGGCAATGTGCTAACGGGTCAGGCCTTTGCCGTGTGGGAGACGGCCTTAATTGCGAGGGACTTCGACGTGAGGAGAGCAGGCATCTTTGAAGATATCGACCGGAACGATGGCCCGACGTGGTCGCAGGTTTACGTAACATGCTTGAGCATGATCAAAGAAATCGAGCAGAGAATTGACAACTACGGGAAGCCGCCTACTCCCCCGCCAGCCCCACCAGCAAATGGCGCTCCGCCTCAACAGCCGCCGCAACCACCGACGCGAATTGTCCAGCCCCCGAGGAGTGACGACGTCTGGGCACCAGCACCGGCGCCGAAAAGCGTACGGAATTCTGTCGGCAAGCTGGTTATCAACCTAGCGACGTCGCCGGGAAAGCCGCCCCTTGGTGCCCTCGTGCCGGAAGCCAAGAGAAGAGCGCTGGAGGCTAGGGAGCAACTATTGAGTAAGGAGCAGCAAGAGGCCCTTACCTCTGACGGGTTGAGCGCCATGGCACGGGGCGTGATGGACCGAGTGTTGTCGACGCCCACCGTCGGTCTCGCGTTTCAACAGCTCTTCGGCCGCCGATTAACGACAGCGGTGCTGGGTCGACCGTACGGCGAGCTCAGCGTATACGCGAACGCAGCCTATGTGCTGTCGCGACTAGCTGTCTGCAGTCTCACGGAGGACGCTTACGGCAAGGTACAGAGAGACGTGCCGGCTATCATACGGACATTCACCATGGTCATCAAGAAGATAGAGAGGTTTAGGGATGGGTTCCCATTTCATTGGACGGACCTGAGACGGAGCCGGGAGTGCCCGGAAGTGGAGGAACTACTGGCGGCACTGAAAGACGGGCTGGGCGAGCTCATCGCCGCGTTTGGGCCGTTCAGCACCGACCTGCGACTCACCCGCGCGGATATGAGGCTGGCTCGGGAGGCGGCCGAGCAGAGACAGGCCGCGGCGCCCGCAGAGGCGGAGCCGGCACGCGATGCGGCAGCAGAGGCACAGCGACCGGAGATGCGGGAACTACGCTAGCGGCAGCGGCCTCTGGCGTCGAGTGCTGTCATGTATAGCTGTCGTTGTAGGCGTGGGTGAGGCTTGACTCGGATGGCCGAGGGTGGCAGCTAAAAATGGCGTACGGTAGAAATCATTTAATGCAATTCAGTCCTGGGCTTCGGACGGCACGTAAAGCCGCTGTGGCGTGTCATGCTGTGGTGTTTGTGGCTTGACCTGCACGGCCACACCCGCTTCCTCTTCTGGCTTCCGGCTTCCGGGACTGGCCCCCAGCACTTCGGTACATAATTGCTAATATACATGTATTTTGAGGTACCTTTCCATGTTTCGTAGGTACCATATGTACCTGGAAATCTCCACCTACCTAGATAGGTACCTCGATATGTTAGGTTAGGTACATACCCAATGCACCTAAGTACTTGCCTCCCTAGATCCCCAAATTAAACCCCACTCGATCTGCTGCTGCCAAGTAACCCGATTTTATTTCCGTGGCCTCGCAGCCTTGACAAACCCCGTCCTTCCTTACATCACCACCATCACTGCTATCTCCTTTCGTCAACTTGCTCCCTTTTCCTTCATCCTTTCCTTCGCTTTGCCCTTCCCGTCGCTATCTTCGTGCCCCTCATGGATCTCTAGGCTGCGCAGTCCCGGCTTAGCCCTGCGGCCTGTAAGGTCAACATGGTTAATTCCCTCCTCCGAATACGACCGTCGCGTAACTCTCCTTAAATCTCGCCACGGTCATTCAATACCTAGCCGGAATATCCCTTCTCCCACCCCCCCCCTCCCCCTCGAGCTGCGTAACACCAGAATGACATACCCATCTATTTCCCTACTCATTTTAATACCATGGCGGAGACAAACCTCCTCTCCCGCATAGCTTACACTTCTGTTTACTTCTTGTTATGTTTTCTGCTTGCTGCCCTGCTCCTCGTCGTGCCCGGCGATTTTATCCGCCAGGTTCTGTTATATTCCAACCAGTACATCAACCTAATTGTCACCGCGATTGTTTTCGTCATTACTGTCATTATTGTCGGGTTTGTATATGCCCTGAGACTGTACATCACCCGAACCGTCATAGCCTCTATTCCGCGGACGCGGATACCCATCGAGAAGGGAGACGTCACCAAAGAGGTCCGCAAGATGATCGCCAACGATCTCAGTAGGACTGCTGCTATCGCGTGGGAGGCCCACCCAAGGGTCATCGCATCGCCATCTCGTGGGTCTTCTCTGGAAGACGTAGCCGAGGAGACGGTGGTGACGAACAGCGATGCAAAAGAGCCGAGGAAATCCTTGCAATTGTTCCGGCCGAAACCTCGGGCAACAGCGGAGCAGGAAATGGGCATTTCGCTACCCCCCGTGCGCCCCGTCTGGGGAGAGGTCGAACATGATGGTTGGGGTTCGCCAAGCTCTCCCGACCTGCCGAATCTTCAGTATGCCACCGTCCTCTCCGAGTTGCCCAACCTCATCGAAGCCAAGGCAGTCTCCCAATCCCCGCCGGATCCGGACTCCACCACGAATCCGCCGGCGCTTGATGCCGAGGCCGTTGCGCTCCTCCAACGCTCTCATAATATGACAATGCGTGACTATGTTGTCCATCTCATGAGCGTCGGTGTCTTGCCCAGTTCCAAGCGTGCATTCGAATTCCTCGACAGCTACGAGCGCGCGCGTTTCTCTCCTCGTCCGCTATCGGATGCACATTTCCGGCAGCTCATGCGATTGTTCGCCGAGCTGCTACGCGCGATGCAGCCTTTGGATTCTTCTCTTCTGTACGGACCTGAATATCCCGACGACGCTTACTTCGAAAGCGACGGGCATGTCGACGACGACGGACCCCGGGACACCGCTCCGACCACACCAACGCGAAGCGAGTCTAGCTCGGTTAGCGTCAGGAGCAAAGGCAGCACGGGTTCCCGCAGGCGCAGGCAGGATATCCCTGCTCGCAAGTTGTCAACGAAGACGTGGCACCAGTATCAAACTGCACCGACAACCCCGAGAAGCAAGTACGGCACGGGGGGGATTTCGCGCTCGCTGAGCGCGAGGAGCTCAGGCAGTTTTACCCGGACAGGGCGGCTCTATCCTACCAGCAAGGCGTCGAGCTCGAGCTTGCGGTCCATTTCTCAAGCGTCGGTCATCCGACTTGCTACGAGGGAGGATCGCGGCGACTTGCCCTACGTACTGAGGATCGGAGACAATTTCTAGGCCTGGCTGATACGGCATATTGATGAACGTTGGAAAAGAGGCACTATCATCGAAATCGGACCATGCACCAGTGAGGGTCATTTATTCATATTATGTTCCGATGTAATCCCCCCTGTCGTCCTCCTTGCTTATCGGCGTTCAGACACACACCACTTTGCTCGGTCGAGGTAGACGGACCATAGCCAATCAAGAACTGCATATCGTCCTGCAACCCCGAATATCTCCCCTAACTGCCCATACCCAATCATAGCGGTGCTGGTGAAAGCAAGTTGACAGCATCACTTTGACATAGGACGAATGTCCTTACCTGAGTTGGTGTTAACACGGTCCGATTGGAACTCTAGCACTGTTCTGTGCTGACACACGCCCCACCTGCGCTGCATGCACTGCATGGACCAATCCTTTCCTGGTATCACGTGATATCCATATAGTCATGTGATGACCAGGTTGGTCTGACAAGTACTGTCCTAAGATGTTTGGAAATGAGACGTACTGTCCAGATTGAGAAAGCTTCAGCATCGCCTCATCAACCTCGCGCTGCACCCTGTCTCTACGGGCAGAGTTTCTAGCCTCGGTGTCCCCGTGCTGCATGAGGGCGTTGATCGGAGCATTACCCGCCCCTACGTCCTCAACATAGGTGCGGATGCTATGGGCAAGGCGTGGAGCGTGGCCCACGGAGTGACCAACGTGGGTGCTAGGGTTGATCGTGGTAGTCTCGACGGCGGTAGTCCCGACGGTGGTAGTCTCGACCACGGTGTTCTCGCTAGTGTTGGCAGTGGCTCGCTCCGGCGTGACGGTACTAGGTTGAGAGGGATGTTAGTCGGGCCTCATGTTGGTGTGGATGTGGGAAAGGTGGAGCTGAAATGCATAGAAGTGGCTATCTAGGTGAATCACGACACCGATATGATGACTGATCATAGCGTCCGATTGGCACGGTCCGTGCCCTGTATGGGGGCAAGGAGAAGGAGGGGGGAGAAAGGAGAGGGGATGAGGAGGGGGAGGGGGGAGAAGAAGGAGAAGGGAGGGACAGTGACGGCAGAGACCAAGAAGACGTGTCGAGCACCCACCCCTGAGCGGGCGACTGCTGGGTTTGGTTGTCCATGGTGCGTTATGGCAGCGAAGAGTCGAGGACAGGAACTGGGCGTAATGGGTGAAGACGAGGATGAGGATAGAAAAGGGGTATGTGGATAGACAAGCTCTGTAGGCAGATGGCGATGTTCAAGACCTGGGGAGTCTTGCTTGCTCGAGTCCGAGTCTGACCCTTTACTATCCCGTCGCGATCCATCGCGGAGAGAGACTGGTTTTTATAACTTACACTCTTGCTGGCAGCGTCACTTGGATGCAAGGTAGGAAGCATGGTAGGGAAGAGTTATTCATCGGCGATAACGTACATACAGGTACCAACCCGGATTTGCGATAGTCCGTAGCCTGCTGCTTCAATTCCCAGCTGATTGGTTCAAAAACAGCATTCCCTGCGGCGACACCGCTGGCGAACCGTGCTGGCGAACCAGACGAGGCGAACCCACGAGGCAACCTCACCAAAAAACAGTCGAACCAAAAACAGCCGAGGCAACCCAACCGGAGAGGAAAACACCACGCATCCCGTGACCTTTCACAGGCGGTGGAGGCGTGTTAAGCAGGCTCTCCAAAACGTCCAGGGAAGCATAGAGCGAGCGTCGCGAAGTGTTTAGACGTACCTAGGTACCTATATCAACTAGGTGACTATTTTGATAACTTCCAGTTTTACTAACCGATTTCGGAACTCCTGTCTATTGGCGCCTCGTGCAAGTCCACGTTTCCTCCCGTATCCTCCTCCTACATACGCTGTAGGGCGCATTTTCTGTCCGATGGCGAGCTAGCTCCTGAAGAAAAATCTCTCAGGAGAGTCTCGCCATATCCTCGCTCAGGCTACACAAGAGATCGTCCCCCAAGAGCCTCGGCCGCTATAGTTACCAGGTGTGAAAAGAATCTCTTTGAGGCCGGGTTGGTTCGTTCTCCTCCCTCGAAAACCCGACACCTAGGGGGAGGGGGGTGGATGCAGCGTGCCTGCCTGCCTACCTCCTAAAGTACGATGTGTGCGCAGGTATATAATTTCCTCGGAGAGGTTCGGTCCTTCGACGAACCGGGAGCTACCGCGCAAACGACCGCCCATTGGCTAGATTTCTCCATGGATAAGCAGGATGACGATGATCCCCTTTCCTGCATTCCCACCCTACCTCCTCCAAGGCTCACGGCCCAAGTCACCACCAACCCCTCTACCGGAGTCGTCTGGCGGTGGGAGCGGAGCGGAGCGGAGCGGGCTCGCTCACAGCCTGGCGGACGGCGGATCGGTATTGACCTTGGCGTGCTCGCAGACGGCGAGCAGGGGGCCCTCGGGGGCGCCGGGGGCGGGGGGGGCGGCGCGCATCTCGCCGCGGACGAGGGCGAGGTGGCGGCCGGCCTGGAGGACGCGGCAGCGGACGTGGACGGCGGCGCCGACGGGGGCGGGGCGCAGGCAGGTGAGGGCGAGGGAGCGGGTGACGCCGCCGCGGCGGAAGCCGGGCGGCGCGCCGGGCGGCGGCTCGAGGCACAGCGGCAGCGTCGTGCAGACGTCGAACAGCGTGGCCGCGCACCCGCCGTGCAGGTTGCCGGTGCCGTTGTCGTGCGCCGGCCCGACCTCGAACCGGAACGTGACGGCCCGCGCCGGCGCCGCCGCGTGCGAGACCACGCTCAGGTGCCGCACGATCTCCGACGACCAGTCCTAGGTAGTAAGGGTTGTTGGCGGGGGTGCGCTCGCGTGGGGGGAGGGGGAGGGAGGGAGGAAGGTGGGCGGGGTGCATGCGGTGCCTTGCCGGTTATGTGCGGGGCCAGATCGCGCGGGCGCGGGCGTGTGGATGCGGTGCGGGCTAAGGCGGGTGGGGGTGGAGCGTGCGAGGGGAGGGGGGGCGGGGAGCGGGGCTTACGCGGTCGTCCGGGTCCTTGTACGCCTCCCTGGCTCGCGCGAGGAAGACCTCGATCTTCTCGATGCCCTCGTGCTGATCCATCGCCAGCATGCTGGACGCGGTGCTGCTTATTTTGGGCGGCCCGGCCATGGTCTTTAGCTGTAGGGCTGAGCGGGACTGACACGTGGGACCGATCACCTCTAGGCGAGTTTGGAGACTTCGGGTGTTGGTGTGATGGGAGGTTCGATGTTCAGGGGAGGGATTGGGATTAGTAAGTCTGCTACCTGGGGTGGTAGTTCTGGGGAATTAATAATGGCCGAGCCAGCGCGCTGGGCGGATCGGGTAGCGGACTGCGGTTCGACGAAACCAGACTGTCGGGGCGGTGGGGGTTAGGTAGGTACCTGAAGGCGTACGAGGATGGACAGATATGATAGGTACGGCGGATGGAGGAACTGCCTACAGGTGTTAGGACGTAGGTAGTAACCTGGATACCTACCTGGTATATATAGGTACCTACAACACATTGGGCTGCGCACTTGGCGGGAGTTAGTCCCTCGGAAAAGTCGACGTACCTATCTCGCTACCGCATTAGCGATTGAACCTCGGTCCCCTTGCGTGTGGGGAAGTGTGATTGATGACGAGGGCTCTCTGCTTACGTAGGTAGGTAGGTAGGTAGGTAGGTAGGTAGGTAGGTACCTAATGCAATGGCCGCGGCATGCACTAATCCGGGTCTGCTCGCCGCTCTTTCTACGGCAAAGCATTTATTTGCTCGCCCTGGCGACAAGCTGACTGGGGAACAACCGGCTACACCTAGGTATATGCGGTGCTCTGGCGGAGACCGGCAAAACAGCGCTGGGAACACGCACGCGCGGCTGCTGCTGCTGCTGCTGCTGCTGCTGCTGCTTCTCTGGCTGATGAGGCTTGCATCGGAAATTGGAGCGAGCGCGGGCAGCGCCCCTACAGGCTGCTCGTATGAATCCCATAAGCTCCCCCGGACGAGTTGAACTCGGTCGGCTCGCTCTCAGTCGATGACGATGGTGGAGGGCCTGCAGGGTTGCTGGAATCCAACTCACAAAAACGACGTTCATTAGCGACGAGGCATATGGAAAGATTAGGTAAGGAGGGTGTCTGTCCTTAGTGGACAAACGCCTCAGTTGCACAGCTTCAGGGGGTCTGCCCGCGCTGATTGGCCCTAATGGGCCAGCGTGGTTAAATCCCCCTCTTGGCGGCCGAAATTGGACTATTTGATGTGGCTTTGGTCTGCGGGTCCGCTGGTAGAACCGTCGAGATACCTCGCGAGCTGATGTCGTTCCCTCCTCTATACAGTCTAGATTAGCCGTGCCGATACCTGCTGCCACGACTCCACCGCTCGCTTGAGCTAGGTATACTCCCTGGCTGGCACTGTGATTCACACTGTCAACGTGGCTGGCCCTGGGAACCCGGCCATGTACCCGCCCGCCAGGCCATCATTCCCTACTGACCTTTACCCTTTTGCAATCCATTCGCGTCGTGGAAAATCTCGCCAGCCTCTTACCACCGTCACCCATCACCGCGACGCCTCGACCGCATTACATCACCCATCCTACCACCGCATCCACGCGACACCGCACCGGACCTCCCATACTCCCCATCCGAAGCTGGCCCGCTGCCGACTCTGGATCACCGATACGCATAGAGTCTTGATTCTCTTCGCTCCTTCGTAGCCCTTTTTTTTTCTTTCATTAATTCACACACACACACACACACACACACACACACACACCCCTTCTTCTCTTCTCTTCTTCGGCTTCTCTCTGCTTCGAATCGCCCGCGACTGTAGACGTGCCGCCCTCTCTCCCTTGACCTATCGTAGAAGTTTCGACGCTCCCCGAGCGCCCGCCGAAGACGTCGACCAGAGCTCCCCTCGTCCGATTCCTCCCCACGATCCCGCTTACCGGACCTTGGCTCCTTCCCGCTCTCCTATCCTCTGCCTCTTGGGGACACGTTTGCATCTTGCCGCGGTGGTCGCGACGCCAATGCGCACATCGACAAGTCCTCTTCGGACGCAACGGTGAAGAAGGGTACCGAGGGCTGGAAGGCCGCGGATTGGGAGGTCCCCGAGCCCTAACTACTACCCATGAGTTGGCAACAGGTTTCCGCCATGGGTGCCGGCGGGAACGGGATCCAGGGCCCCGGTATGGGCGGTCAGGAGATGCCCGGAAACCAGCCCGTCAGCTCGTCGTCGAACCAGCCGCACGCCACCGAGTATACGCTGCAAGGTGCGGCCGAGAACCCCCAGTACTGCATCTTCCTCTCGGCTAACGCGTCCGTGCTCGCCAGGTGTCATGCGCTTCCTCCAAACCGAGTGGCACCGTCACGAACGGGACAGAAATGCCTGGGAGATCGAGCGCCAGGAGATGAAGGGTCGCATAGCCGCCCTCGAGGGTTCCGCCCGGCGGGCCGACGCTACGCAGAAGGCCCTCAAGCGATACGTCACCATTCTGGAAAAAAAGGTTAAGGACCAGGCTGCCCAGCTGAAAGTTGCCTCTGCCGCCCCCCCCGACGCCGATCATTCGGTGAAGCAGCCCCCGAAGATCGATCGGGCAGCCCTCATCCAGGAGAAGTTAAAGTGTACGAGCTACCCCCCCAAGGTTTACCTCCGCCTGTACAGGGGTTCCGCTGACTAGTAGATTACGCCGTCTTCTAGCCTCGGGCGAGAAACCCAAGGAGCAGATCCCGGGCCTCGAAGGCGTCGTGGGCGAGCGTGCGCATGATGACGACGAGCGGGAGAATCTCAGGCTCTTCTTGGACCAATGCCAAGCCGAATTCACCTACTTAATGATCACACCCGCTAACCCCATGCCTCCCCGAGAGTCCCCGCCCCTTCCCCTCATCGACGATCTTCGAGAAGGGGATTTCGGCATGCCTATGGGCCAGCAGCCTCTAGACAACGCTTTTCAGGCGCTGAGGCTCAGCCAAAATCACGTCAAAGATCCCGCCTCTCGCCAGGCGTCGGCGAATGCGAACAATCACCACGTATCTATGATGCCGCAGTCCAACTCCGCCATGAGCTTACCCCCGAAGAACGCCGATGTGCAATCTGCTGCTATGGTTCGTTCCGGGGAGGGCCCCGGGCCGATGTACGCACATGCCGGCGAATGGCCTCCCGCTTCGGGGCCGCCTCTGGCTCGTATGCAGGAAGATGCGAATGCGAGGCTCGGCCACGCGAACGAGTCTGCGCGTTCGGAGCTGACCGAGATGCCGATGGAGAGGAGAGGATCGGCTGATAACGATGCTTGGGATTTCCCGGAAGGGAACCTCAACGATCTGGCACCGCCGCAGCCCTCGCAACCCCTGACGCACCGCCCGGATACTGACGTCTTCCCCAACGCCGAAAATCTGCCAAAGTCGCCCAGCCGCGGTCCGAGCTCTCACAGACGGAAGAGCTCCATGTCTCGGCGGAGGAGCGCGGAGCAGGAGCTCTCCCTCCACGCCATGGCGCAGAAGGCCGACAACGGGAGCTTCAAGCTGCGTTACGGGCTGCGCGGCCACCTCAACACCGTTCGCACCGTGATATTTTCCGGAGGCGGCAGCCCGAGCGAGCCCGAGATCTGCACGGCCGGCGACGACGGCCTGATCAAGCGTTTCCACATCCCCCGCGAGGGTCCTAACCATGCTGGTGGCGTATCGTCGGACCTCGACGTGACCGCCGACTTCACCCACCGGGGCCACGTCGGCGCCGTGCTATCGCTGACGTCGTGGTCGCCGTCTCCCAACTTCTCCACCGGCGGCCGCGCTCAGGGCGACGGCTGGATCTTCTCTGGAGGGCAGGACGCGACCATCCGCGTGTGGGAACGCGGCAGGGTGGACCCGAAGGAGAAGCTCGAGGGACACACGGACGCGGTATGGGCCATCTGCGTCCTCCCGGCGACGCTGGGCGCGGTGTTTGGCCCGTCGAGCCCGTACGGCACCCCAGACCGTATCCTCGTGGTCTCCGGCGCCGCCGACGGCGCCATCAAGATCTGGGCCGTCAGCGCGCCCCCGCAGCTTACATCACCCCAGCCGGGACCGCTGCGGCGCTCCACCGGCAGCGGCCGGGTCAGGGGCAACTCGATGAGCTCCGGATCGCAATTCCCGAGCTCGCCGCAGCCCAGCATGGCTTCCAACTCGCCGTTCCACTACACGCTCGTCCACGACATCCACCGGTCGGACGGATCCAAGGCGTCGCCCACGTGCATCACGCCCCTGTCAGCCAGCGGAGAAGCCTTCGTGGTTAGTTATTCGGATGCTGCTATCGTTGTATTTGACACCAGAACCGGCGAGGAGATCGGCTCCATGGCGAGCCTGGAGACGTACGACAATACGATTAACACGAGCGTCAACGCGGTCGTCGCGACGACGGCCGGCCTCGACCAGGGCTCCGGGCAGGGCCTAGGCGACGAAGACACGGGCGGCCCCACCGGCGGCAGCGGCACGGCTGGCAGCGGGATCGAGGGCGTCATCATATCGGGGCACGAAGACCGCTTCATCCGGTTCTTCGACGCCAATAGCGGTAAGCTCTCCAGGCGCATACGTGCACTACTCCCGACGCCGCCACGCTAACAACCCCGCAGGTCAATGCACGTACAACATGCTCGCTCACCCGGCGTCGATTTCGGCGCTGTCCCTGAGCCCCGACGGCCGCGAGCTCGTATCGGCCGGGCACGACGCCAGCCTCCGGTTCTGGTCGCTGGAGAAGCGAAGCTGCACGCAAGAGATCACGAGCCACCGGATCATGAGAGGAGAGGGCGTGTGCACGGTAGTGTGGAGCCAGGACGGGCGGTGGGTGGTTAGCGGCGGAGGGGACGGGACCGTGAAGGTTTTTGCCCGGTAACTGCCAGCCCAAGGGCCACGGCCGCGGAGCGGACGGGAAACATTGTAGATGGGTATCCAATCAAAACTATCAGCGGAGTTGGCGGCGAGACTACGGGTTGTTTCCCTCCTTTTTGGTCCTTTTTTTTTCTTCCCCGTCACTCCGGAGAGATGCCGCCTACACTACATCCAGACCAGAGAGACAGGCTCACCCACCGTATCCTACGACGCGATACCATACGAGACTATACCATACGAGACCATACGAGACCATACTAGACCAGACTATACCATACCATACCGCACCATATCCCTCGCCTGTTCTCTGCCGCAACCCTCGGCGTGGGGAGAGCCGGAGACGGACTCAGCGAAGCCGGCAGAGCTACTTCGTCGATGCATTTTCTCACCGGTTTATTCCCAGCTCTGACCGCGGAGAGGGGGAAGTGGGAGGGGGGAATTTTCAGAAAAAAGAAAACATCGGGCGTCGTTCATTTTGGGCTGGGAGGTGGTTTGAAGCAGAGGGAGAGGGGGGAGAAGGGGGAAGTCTATGTACCAAAAGGGGGGAAGACGACTTTTGGGGGGTTTTTTTTGGGGGGGGGGAGAATGCCTCCCCGCCCCGAAAAGAAAAACGGGCGCCTGGTAGCGCGTGCGTAGGCAAATTAATGGGAGAACGGGGCGCTCCGACGGGGGTGGACTAAAGCGAGAAGAGAAGTCTACTTGGCGGCGGCGCTGCGACGACGACGACGGACGCGATGGATGGATTAGGGGGAGGGGGGTGAGGGTAACGCGCTGTACGTGTGTATGCGGGTATGCTCATGTAGATATGTTGTTATTGTGTACGCAGGTAATGTACGTGTTAGTGGCAAGGAGAAGGAAAGGAAGGTCGCGATGACGACGACGAAGCAGCAGCAGCAGCAGCAGCAGCAGCAGGCAGAAGAAAAATCCCCGGGTCCTCCTCCTCCTCCTCCTCCTCCTTCCGCCCTTGGTGTCTCCCGGCGGTGCCTCCTCGATCGCCTTTGCCTCCTCTCCCAGCTTATACTTACCTACTTGACCTCTGGCGCCCGAGCGAGCGAGCCGGGACGTGCTATGAGTACCTAGGTTAGGTAGTTATTCCCAAGCGCCGAGAGCCGGTAAAGTCCCCGAGCTACTTAGCCCCAACTAGCACACCCAGCTCCCACTTCAATTCCCCGAGCTTCTCCCGACGCTCGCGCCCCGGGTGCTTAGGGATCCGTCCGAATTGGTGTAGTGGCTAACATTTGACGCTCTCACTCGCTCGCGCCCGAGGAGAGGGCCCCGTCAAGCCCGGGGTTCGATTCCCCGATTCGGAGACTGTGTTTTGTCTACTAAGCCTTTTTTTTAACTTTTCCTGCCCCGCTCCCCTCGGCTCTCCCCTTTCTCTCTTTTTTGTAGTCTTCCCTGTCCTGGGCGGGCCTCTCTTTTCTGCCTTGGTGCGCTCTCGCGGTAGGCGTGGACACGACGTGCCGTCTCCGCGCCGCGCCCGTCCGGTTCCGCGCGCGTCGCGGCGTCGGCGCTGGGTGCCTCCCGGCTGCCGGGGGAGGAGGCCGGAGGCGGCGAGGACGGTCGGCCGAGGGCGAGGCTGTTGCGCGATGGGCGGAGGGAGATCTTGACGTAGTTGGGATGGGATGTGTGGTGTTGGCTGTTACGGTGTTGGGGCAGGGCAGGGAATGCGTGCCGATCCCCACGCATCTTCTTCGACTCCTCCCATTTACAGGTCGGAACTCTTCAGATAGAAACCGTACCCGTTGCACCAAGGTAGTAGGTAAGTACTAAGCAAGCATCCAGCTACGTAGACCATAGGCCCTGGGTGCTTCTTGACTCCTTCGCCAACCACACACACACACACACAGAGAGAGAGAGAGAGACATATGCAGGTACGCGTGTCTCACGCTCCCCAATAATCGCATCCTACCGTACACCATCACTGCGCCCTACGACAACGGAACGAGTACGATTACGGCTGTATTCGCTACAGAAACACGAAGGAAGGGGGGGGGTTTCTACTGCTCTCGGGGGAGGGGGTATCATGACACGCATGGACGGTCCAATCTATGAAAAGCAGACAACCGACAAAAGAAAGCCCCCCCTAGCTGCTGCAAAAACAGGAGGACGGCAAAAAAGAAAGGAAAAATAGGCATGCAAGAAAAGACAGGACAGCCGGCCGGCCGTCCCCCTGGATCTGCCTGCCGCTCCAGCCTCTGATATGGGCGCGTGTGTATGAACGGGCGGGAGAAGACCGTGGTGACGGGACCCGCGGGAGGAGGGGTGTACCCCCTTCCGTATTTCCGTCTCTAAACCCCCTTTTCTCATCTGCGCCGCTACTCCCCCCGAAAACAGAAACAAAAGAGACACACACAAAAAGGGAGATGGCTACGTAGCCCCATGGTGCAGCCGGGCTGTTTCTCGACTCGATTCGCCGTTGCTCCTGTCCCTCCGTCGGGCTGCATTCTTCCCTACCTCCCGCCCATCCATCCATCCACCCGTCTCCGCCCCGTACCCGCACAAGGCCCTATCCGAGCCCGAAGCTCGCCTCCTCCTCCGTCGGGATCGGGGTCCGCATGCCGTCCGTCAGCCCGGCGCCGAGGTCGTCGTAGTCGTCGTCGTAGTCGTCCCGGTTCGGTTCTAGCCTGGGCCCGCCGTTGCCGTTGCCGTTGCCGTTGAGGGGCGCGCCGCTCTCGTGCTCGTCGTCTTCCTGCGGCGGCGGTAGCAGCAGCGCCTCCTTCTGGGCGTTGCGGCTCTGGGTCTTGGCGAGGCTGTTGTTCTGGCGGCGCAGGGCGTTGCGCTCCTCGCGCTCGCGCGCCGTCTGCTTGTCCGCCTCGATGGCGCGGGCGCGGCGGTCCTCGACCTCCTCGCGCAGCACGAGCCGCCGCAGGCCCTCCGACGCCTGGATCAGCCCGTCGATGCTGATCGCGTGGTTCGTCATCTGGTGGTTGATGTACGTGTACGCCGCCGCCGGCGACGCGCACGCCAGCAGCGCCCGCTCGTTCAGCTTCAGCAGCGCCAGCGCCACCTGGAACAGGAACGTGCTGCCGTCGTTGATGCACAGCACCACGTCCCACACCCGGAACAGCGCCTCCGCCGACAGGCAGTCCGTGAACACGCTCAGGAACCACTGGAACGTCAGCGCCTCCAGCTCGATGCACAGCGCGTCCAGGTGCTGCGACAGCTTCGGCAGCACCTGCCGCACGTACTCCCGCAGCACGTGCTGGTCCGCTCGCGACGCCATCAGGCTGTGGTCGTAGTACCCCTCCGGCAGGATGCGCTCCACGATGCAGACGAAGACCCAGAACGCGTCCTCGGCCGACGGCATGACGAGCAGCAGGTTGGCCGCGATCAGGTTCATGCCCTGGCAGTATCCCACCTCGGGGTTGTGCCTCGCGTACGCGCGCAGCACCTGGCTAAGCTTAGACACGCCGGGCCCCTTGCGAAAGAATATGTTGTCGGTCAGCGTGCGGGTGATGTCCATGTCGATCTGAGAGATCACCACCATGTCGTCGGCCTCGCTGGGGCGCGAGACGAGATCGGTGTAATAGCCCGGTGTTTTCCTCGACAGCGCGCCCGAGCATTCCGACCAGATCTTGGGCCGATTCACCACGGGGATCCCGCCGAGCACCAGGTTTCGGAATTCGTTCCACTTCGCGCGCCCGACCTTGCCCTTGACGCCGAGGTCCGCGATCCCGATCGTCTCGCCGTCGTTGAGCTTGGCTTCCGGAATCATCACCGGCGCCAGCTGGAAGCGCGCCTCGGCGGCGGCCGCGGCGGTGGCAGCCGCGGCTTCGCCCTCGCGGCGGCGCTCCGCGCGCACTTTTCGCAGGAACTCGTTCCAGCGAACGGCCTTCTCCCTCTGGAGGGCGTCGTGGACGTCACTCAACTGCTTCAGCAGAAGCTTCACGGGCTCGACATCTTCGTGAACGAGAGTGGCGCAGGCTGGCTCGTCCTCCGGCTTCGGGCTCGATTTTCTATCTAGAACCGCAATAGTACCCGGGGCCGGTACAAAACCGCGGTCGTCCGAGGTGATTAGACTTGGGGACTTGGGTAGTCCATTTCCCTCGAGGACCTCGATGGCCGGGGCCATGATGGAAGGGGTGTGCGATAGCAGCTCCGTCGGGAACGTAGCAATCTTGAGGTAGTCTTGCCATCGTTTCGGCTTGCTCTGGTCGACAGCATCCTCGCCTGGTGTCGGGCACTCCGAGATATCGTCGATTTCAGCATCCTGTATCGAGCTTGCGCCGTCGTCGAGCAAATTAGGGGAGAGGCTGGACCTTCCGCCGGAGAGCATCTCGTGCCCCTTCTTCATCTGGAGCGCGACCTGGGCCGCCTCGCGTTGCCGCTTTTTCCGGCGCTGGTCGTAGATGAACCCGAAACGATCTATCAGGTATTCCGGGCTACCGTAGTTGTTGTAGAGCTGTGAGAGCGCCGGCGGCTGGCCTTCGGGAGAGAATATAGTATCCATCTCGACTGGTCCGGAGTTATCTGACCTTATAGCGGACGGACCCTCAGAGTTGGTCCCGTCCCACCGATCCCGTGGCCGCGTGTTTGCCGCCAAACCCGCAGGTTTGGGGGTTCCCCGTCGCATCGCGATGAGTGCTTTGCTCCCGGCTTGCGTGGAAGCCGCGCGGTTCGAACGGCCCGTCCTAGAGCTGGCATTCGAGGACGACCGTACCGAGTCTCCTTGGCCCGCCGAATTCGACCGTCCCCTAACCGATTCGGAATCGCGGACAGAAGATGCCTTCCCAGCCACGAGCTGCAGAGCCATGCTAGCAAAAGACGACGACGGCTTCCTTGGCGCGTTACCGGAGTGGATGCTCGAGGCGCGACTAGAATTTCGAGTAGATTCCGCATCCGGGGGAGGCACAAATAGGTCTTCTTGGAGAGGAGGCCGGCGATCTCCGGGCGTGGGCGCGCGGATGGCGGTCTTCATAGCGTCTTCGTTGATACTAGCCGGTCTGCTAGTCTTCCTGCTCGTGCCACCACCCCAGAGGTAGTCCTTCCAAGCCTTCATAGCGCCCTTGTTCATATTATTCTCCTTTAGCATAGGCATGCTACTCGCCCTCAGCGTGCCGCCGTCCAAAACGTTGATGCCCAGCGCGTTGTAGGACATGGAATCGTGTATTGCATCGCTCATCATGCCCGAAATATCGCCGTCCTGGGTGCATTTGGACTTTTCTTGTGCTTGGAGGTCCGCCTCGACTTCCCGGAGCTTTGTCTCGAGGTCCAGACTCGACAGACCGCACCCCAGTATTATTTTTCGCAGCGCCCGCTCTCTCTCGTCTGCCCTCCTCCTCATCTTGGCCATCTGGTGGTCGCGGTGGGCCAAGTCCTCGGCGACCTGACGAACGAGGCTGACGGCGCCATGCTTCGCGATCAGACGTTCGATGTGGTCGTCACCGGCATGGTGGAGGGCGCCGGGGATCTTCTGGGTAGGAAGGGGCGTATCATCGAACAGCGCATTGCGCGCGGCCTGCTGGGCCTCGAAGGGTAAGTTCTCGACGGTGGGGGCCTTGGCGGGGACGCTGGTAGCTTTCCTGTTCGCACTGACAGCGACGGCGGGACGAGACTCGGGAGTGGTAAAGGCGGGTTCGTATCGCGGCGACTGAGGAGAGAAGGAGGGGAAGGAGGTCAGAGACTTGTCGGAAGCGGTAGTGGATGAAGCGGAGCTCGAGGTCTGGGAGATTAGCCTCTTAGGCTTGGACTTGGCACGGGTCGAGTGGCCGGCTCGGAGACCCTTGGGGGATGGCGAGGCTATGGAGAGCTGCGAGGACGATCGCTCCAGGGGCGCATTTGTGTCTGGGTCCATGTTGACGCGGTCCTCCCAGGAATCATCGCCTTCGCGCTCTCATCCTCCTCCTTTCTCATTCACGCGCGTCGTCCTCGGGTTCCCCCTCCTTGCTTCCTTTCCCCTTTCTCCGTCTTTTCATATAACCTCTCGCTAGGGCGAATACGAGGGGCCAGAAGGGGGGGTGGGTGGTAGGTTGTTAGGCGGTGGGTTCGGGACCAGCTGGAGTCGGAGGAGAGATGAAAATTTTATTCCAAAGCCACGGCGGTGGCGACGTCGCGATGATGTCGTGTATACAATATTTGGCTGGGTGGAAGAGAGGAGAGAGATAAGATGTGTGGACGGGATGGACGGGAGGTGGATGGGATGATAGAGGAAGGGATGCCAATACAGAGTATATTTGGGTTCTGGAGAGGAGGCATGAAGGTAGCTATGCCTATGTACCTCAGGTGTGTTTATGCATGTATGCCAATATATGTAGGTATGGTGTCTCTGAGTACGTATGTACTGCATGGCGCAAGTGGCATTATTGCATGTGACCGCACAGGCCCGCGAATGATCCGGACGGCCTAATGATCTAACAAAGGTATATCGTTATGGGGGTATGGACCTGAGGAAGTACCTGCCTCTATCCGCCTGATGGGCGCATGAGGTACCAGCACACGTATATGTCAGGCGGGTCGATGCTCTCGGAGGTACTTCTAATAGAGTGCATCAGGTACATGGAGCTAGGTACCTGTGTCATTCCCCTCCAGCATAAGGCGGTCCATTCGGTCCATGCCATTCTGCCCCACATAACCCCCCTCTCATTCATTTCCCCGCCATTATCCTATTATCCATCCCTCTTCTGGTCGCTTCGTCGATATTCGCGGTCCTGATCATGCTGTATTACTGCATAATCCCCCTGTTCGTTCGGAGGTTATGTATGCATGCATACATGTATGTGTATATGTAATATCCATGTACTACCGACGTAGGGCTGCGATCCGTGGATACCTCCATAGCTTCCATGCATAGGTGGGCACATTTAGGTATGTACCTCTTCCTTCATCGGGCTGCTCGGGGAGGTCTGTAGCGGCCTGCCTCTTCATTACAGCAGGGGGCGTCCCCTGTCGTTCAGGCTCTTTAGGTACCTTCGGCCTACGGTCTACCTGGTTCGACGCCGATCGGGCACCCGCGCTAGCTACCTAACGCCCCCTCTAGCAATCCCCTCTCCCGCACCCTTCTGAGATTCTCCTTCCTTGCCTCTCCCACCCTCTCAACCACCCTTACCTCGAATACCTACCTCCTCACCTACCTAGCTCACCTCGCCTCTCCATCTCGTCAACTTGGTCGTACCCTTCTTATACGTAGTAGAGCGCCCACTGGGCGGCTAGGAAGGTTACGGATATCGAGGCGAAGGCAAGACGGATGACAACAGCGTGATGTTACCGAGCTTGGCTAAGCCAGAATCGCCTCTCTTATTATTTGTTTTATGCTCGATCATTCTTAGGTTTACTACTCAATACACCTCTTACCAACTGAGATCTTAGAAAAAACGGCATTCCACCCTCTCTCCTTTTCATCTTCGCCAGCTAAACTCGGTAGGAGACTATCCAGGATGCTCAGCCTTGGCCTGATGATGGTGGTCGCACTTACGATGGGCGTGATGGAGATGGCTGTGCCTATGTAGGTGCATTTCTCGCAGGAGATTGTGGTTAATCCAAGTTCGGGCTCCAGCGTGATATCGTTCGCTCGTCAGAGGCATTGCAAAAAAAAAAAAAGGGAGATGGGCTGTCAATACTGTCGAGGCATGGGTTATTGGACCTTAACTCTTGGGTCCGAGCTGTCGCCTCTGCCATTTCCCGCGAGCGTAGAGTTGCCAACTGCAAATTTACAAATCGCCTTCGGAACGTGCCATGATAACACCTTAAGCTGTGCAACTAGGTTAGGGCGGTGTAAAGACGGCACACTCAGGTTAAAGGTTTACAGCGAGATGAGAATATGAGAAAGGACGGGGAGATCAGTAGGTTACTTAACGAAGGATAGGTTCGATTCCTAACAGCGCTACTTGGTAGTCTTCGCTATTTAGCTCATCTCGGGGATATCAAGATGCAGAGGGACGGGGAAAATTAACTCGGGCTGTCGAAACGACCCTTGGATAGGCTCCCGATGGAGACGCGCTCTTCAAGGGGCACAGCCACGTGTACGAATAGGGAGGCAAGCTTCAGCTACAGCGCCGCTCATCCGCTGGTGGTAATAGGCCCGTATTCCCCCCTTCGAGCGACCCGGAAGACGATGCATGGTCTAGGCAAATGCCCAACCTGCAGCCAGGTAACCCCCGCGAGGAACTTGGGGGTTATGCTGTGGCGAGAAGATCGAGCTCGAGAAATCGAGCCAGGTCAGATGTGGGTTGGGCTTCAAGGGTCCGTCCGATAGGACGACGCGGACCGGCAGTCCCGCGTGCCATAGAACCGCTCCTGATCTCTAGGAATGGGTAATTTGTGTCTGACGATGCGAGTTTTCTAGAATACAATATGCATGCGTCGTGTCACAGCCCCAGCGCTGTTCATGAACCGATGACGGGAGACGTCTTCGTACGGGCCTGAGAAGAAATTGGTGGATAGAGTGACGCGACTGGGCGTGGCTGGCATCCGTCGGAAGCACGGATGACGATATTCGTAGATCTTGATGCTACCCCATGTAATCGCATGCGTGATCATGTTACGTTCTAGAAAAGAGACACTTCGACACGGTACAAGTTGAGGCCAGCGTCTTAACTTGACCCTATTCCCGCCTAGCAAGCGCATTTCAACACACATGTTCCCAGATCCGCTAGGGCGGACAGAGGCGTCTCGCAAGGAGGGAAGGTCTCTATTCCACGTAGGTAGATGGTTATGGGAGAGAATATGATGTATCACCTTCTCTGTCGAGTAGGTAGGTAGGTACTCGATATTTACACCCGTCCCTCTAGAATATCTAGGTAAGAAGAGGGCTTTTACTTGGGTTCGAGCTGGACGGAGGCCGCCCTCTGCCCCTCGACCATCCCCTGTTCTAACTTGTCCTATACACGAGTACAGGACAGTTCGAATGTTGCGGCTGGACTCGCCCTCAACTACCTACATTACGAACAAAGCGAAACCGAAGGGTCCCTCCCCCCAAGCCGGCTCTATTCTCCTATTCGCCGACTGACCCTTGCTGGGTGAGGAGGAGGTGGCCTGCCCAATTTCAGCCAAGCTTTCTTGCCAACCCTTGGCCACATGAAATGGGACCGGTTTCGACTGGGAACTTGGGGCGAACCCGAGCATCTCGTCCCACCCCCCGTTCTACGTAAGCAGAGCGAGCAGGCATAGCGAAGTACATGAGTAGAGATCTGATGCACTAGCGCGTGCGTATGTAGGGTGGTAGACACCCCCCCCTGAGGAGAAGAGGTGAAGTCATCCGCCCGCATATTGCTATTGGGCATAGCCGGATGGATTACGATATAAAACCCTCTCGTGGCTCTTTCGGTGGAAGGCTGAAGAATCGACTCAATCCTGATTTTCCCCTCGTGTCGACCGCCTTTCTGCCGGTCTGATCGTGCACAATGGATGGTCGTCATATGAGCCGGTAGTGGTGTGGTGTGGTGCGCGTAGACCGTGGGATGAAGACAGGAGGCCTTCCGTCATATTCACCGCCACACTCTGTCAACCCTCAAGCTCGCCCTTACGGTCTCAGCACGCTTACACCATGACACCCAACTCGTGTGTGGGTGTGTGCGCGTATGTCACCGGTGTGCCAGTTCAAGCCTAGGGCCCGTGGCTCGCGCCAGGCCAGTAGCCCTTCTTCGCGTTCGGGACGCGGGTGACGGACGCCCGCACACCCGGCCAGAGGAGAGGCCAGGTGTGCATCCATTACCTATTGCCATTAGTCGCCGTCTGTTCTGACATTCTCGACGGATCTAGAAGCCAACCAGAATACCAAAATAGCTGAATATTTCCTAAAGAGCTACCCCGCATACGATCCCGTCCCTGTCTACTTGGTAATACCAACAGCGCATCTCCCCGGGCCACCATTCTCTACATGTCTCCTGCCGACACCCGTACTTGGTAGGGATTCACTCGATTACCTGCGTGGCTCGTAGAGAAACGCTGTGGTGGAACGTGGGGTTGTGTAATTGGCGAGGGTTTGCGCTCAGATACGTAGGGAAGAGCTATATTCCATGCCAGGGTAGGACGCAAAGCAAAGGGGGCATGGAGTAGGTATTTAAGAAGCAGGTCTCCGTCAGCATCTTTGTTTCCTCCCTTCTCTCTTACTCGTCGTCCTCGCTCCACCAACATCTCTCTCAGATATCTCCGCGAGGCTGTCTTCTGGGGACCCAACCCCTCTCTCACTTCAACCACACATACCTACCTCCAAGTCTTTCTTCCTCCGTCTCTACCGCCCCACTCCCCCTCCACTCCCCCCCTTTACGCCGCCAAAATGGTGCATCTGGCCAAGGTACCCAACGACGACGATGTCGGCGCTCTGCCCGAGGCCGTCAAGAAGATTAGTCTGCAGCTCAGCAACGACGAAGATAGCTTCACAACTAGCGTCTACGGCTCTAGATTCGCTGCCGAGGACCTGCCCAAACACGAGATGCCCGAGGGCGAGATGCCCAAAGAGATCGCCTACCGCATGATCAAGGACGAGCTCAGTCTGGACGGCAACCCAATGCTCAAGTAAGTCACCAATGCGTACCTGCGTTAGGTCCCCTAAAATTGTGCCGGTACAATTTCCCACACCGACAGCTACCAGGATCAGGCACGTGGCATATGTGGGCTGATGAGCTGACGATTTTGATCTACCGTACAACAGCCTCGCCTCGTTCGTTACCACCTACATGGTACGTGTCACCCCTTGAGGCCCGACCCGGCTTGGCCTTGCTCTGGCCTTGCTCTGGCCTCGTCGTTGGTGTGTTGCGTCGTGGGTAGTGGCACTTGCCCCGAAGCTGGCTGACCACTTCGTCCTTCTCTGCCGTGCGTATAGGAGGAAGAGGCTGAGAAGCTCATGGCTGAGAGCTTCTCCAAGAACTTCATCGACTACGAGGAGTACCCCCAGTCCGCCGACATCCAGAACCGATGCGTGTCCATGATCGGCCGCCTCTTCCACGCACCGGTCGAGCACGAGGAAGGGGGCGGCGCCGTCGGCACGTCGTGCGTCGGCAGCTCCGAGGCCATCATGCTGGCCGTGCTGGCGATGAAGAGGCGCTGGAAGAACAGGCGCCAGGCCGAAGGCAAGCCCACCGACCACCCCAACATCATCATGTCCTCGGCCGTCCAGGTGTGCTGGGAGAAGGCGACACGCTACTTCGAGGTCGACGAGAAGCTCGTCTACTGCACGCCCGACCGATACGTCATCGACCCTAAGGAGACCGTCGACCTGGTCGACGAGAACACCATCGGCATCTGCGTCATCCTTGGCACCACATACACGGGAGAGTACGAGGATGTCAAGGGGGTCAACGACCTCCTGATCGCAAGGGGCCTCGACATCCCCATCCACGTCGACGCCGCGAGTGGAGGCTTCGTTGCCCCCTTCGTCGTGCCGGACTTGGAGTGGGACTTTAGGTGCGAGAAGGTCGTATCGATCAACGTCTCCGGCCACAAGGTAAGCAAGATAGATAGGGCACACACACCCATATATACCTAGATGAGCAAGACAGCAATCAGCCCCTTTGTCTCCGCCCCTCTCCTCTATCGGAGTATAACCGTCGCTAACCACCACTCCCCCAACCACAGTACGGCCTCGTCTACCCGGGCGTGGGCTGGGTCGTGTGGCGGGACGCGAAGTTCCTGCCGCAGGAGCTCGTGTTCAACATCAACTACCTGGGGGCGGACCAGTCGTCGTTCACGCTGAACTTCTCGAAGGGGGCGAGCCAGGTGATCGGGCAGTACTACCAGCTGATCCGGCTGGGGAAGAAGGGGTACCGGGCGATCATGTCGAACCTGACGCGGACGGCGGACTACCTGGCGGCGGCGCTGGCGGCGCTGGGGTTCGTGATCATGAGCAAGCGCGCGGGCGAGGGCCTGCCGCTGGTCGCGTTCCGGCTCGCCGCGCCGCCCCCCGGCGCGCCCGAGCGCACCTACGACGAGTTCGCCCTCGCCCACAAGCTGCGCGCCCGCGGCTGGGTCGTCCCCGCCTACACCATGGCCCCCCACACCGGCGACCTCAAGATGCTCCGCGTCGTCGTCCGCGAGGACTTCTCCAAGAACCGCTGCGACGCCCTCCTCGCCGACATCCGCTACTCCCAGCAGCTCCTCGAGCAGCTCGACCGCGAGTCCGTCCGCAAGCAGGAGGAGTTCATCCACAGCCACGCCGTCAACAGCGGCCAGGCCAAGCATAACCACCCTCGGTTCCGCGTGAGTCTTTCTCCCCCTCCCTTTTCCTCCTCTCTCTGCCTCTCGGCTCGCATCTGCTTGCCTGGCGCACCTACGACCTAACTTCCTGACTAACGCGCTGCCCGCAGAAAGAGAAGCATTCGATCCAGGGCAAGCACGGCAAGACCCATTCGATTTGCTAACCTGAGTTGGACGGGGCCGGTGGCGCTGGGAATAGGGAATGACGCAAAGCGGGGAGGTAATGAAGCAAGGAAGAACGCGATTAGGCGCAATTAGCGATACATTCGAGAGCGGAAAGCGATGGGTATTGGTATATAGGTAGAAACGGGTATCTAGATGGGTATAGAGATGGTCCTCTGAAGCTACGACAAACCCCCCCTTCTCCCCTCCGTCTCTACTGACGACTTCCCCACGATAGCATCTGCAATGAAACCAAGTTACATGATTAAATCCATCTAGCTCTACCACTGAAGCATTGAAGGCCCCTTTCCCGATGTATTTGGGTAGAATATCTGCTAGTGGATTGTTATAACCTTAGACGACGCGTAAGATGGTAGACCGTTTCCTGTCGCTCCGGTCCGTGGAAAATCCCACTGGCTTTTGAGAGCACCTCCTCATCCAAAACTCCTAACATGCTCTGGGTATACGCCCTTATCTAGCTTGCCCCATCTCTCTCTTGAGCATACGCTTCTTATGCCGAGAGGCGCATCACTGGCTATCGCGATACTCCGTTCCGCCTCCTCCCGCCCGACTTGCTCCTTTCGATGTGATTCTTCAGGATATTCCGCGTCGCCACGAGACTCCGCTTCTGCTTCCCCTTCGCCTTGCCCAGCGTCATCATGAAGTTCTTTCTGCGCGCCTTCTCCTTGTTGGTCGTAGACTTGCCCTCCGCCTCCTTCTTCGACTTGCGGATCGCCTGTGTGGACTTGTGCTCCTCCCGGTCCGGTTTGCCTTCCTTAGCCAGCGCTATCCGCTCCTCTCTCGTGCTCTTGCGTAGCTTGGACGGCGCCTCGATCTGCTCCGCCGTCAACCCTTCGTCGACGTGCCGGGCCTCCAGCTCCTGCTTGCGCTTTCGCCCGCCCATGGCTTTGGTGATGTTCGCTTCCATCCGCAACTCCCGGAGCTTTGCTAGGTCGGCTGGCGTCAGGATCTGAGTCGTGGCAATTTTCATAAAATCCACAGCCTCATCCCCTGCGTTTTCTTTATCGTCTTCGTCCGGATTCTCCGAGCTCAGCTTCTGCCTCTTCGGGCTGGGTTCGGGCACGGCCTCGTCTTCCGAATCGCTCACCCGAATCCACTCCCCGGAATCGCTACTATCTACGGACGTGACCTCCCAGTCGCTAGAGTTCCATCCGTCTTCTTCGTCCTTGTCATCTTCGGCTTTTCTACCGCCATCTCCCCGCTCGGCCGGGTCTCGTTCGGCTTCCTTCCTCTTTTTCTGTTCTTCCTTCCACTTAGCCAGAAGCTCGAGCCCCTCGATTTCGCCAACTTGCTCCTCGCCGAATTTGAGCTTTTGTATATCGCCGCTCTTGAGCCCAATGGTCGCTTCTTTGCCGCGATCCTTCTTCCGCAGCATGTCCGCCCCCTTTTCGCGGTACAGCGAGAGCAGGCCTTTGGCTGCCATCATAACTCCCTTGTCCTTACTCTTTCTATATTCAACCAGGTCCTGTAATAGGGTTTCGTTCATTGCTAGAGGTTGTCGAGCGCAGATTTCGCGGATCGCATTGAGACCGGCAGAACATACTTCTGACGCTGATGCCTCAGAGACGAACTCGTTCGCTATTCTCTGTATCAACGGTTCGATCGCGTCGGGCGGGACTAGATTGTGCGTGCCTTGGGCGAGGGAGGCTAGAAAAGATGAAGCCGACTGCTGCCTCGGCGATAGGTACTTGATGAACCAGGAGTAGAGAGGGACGACGGTCAACTTGTGCAGTCCGACCAAGCGAGTGACGAGCTGTAGTACCAGAAGCCTACTGTCGAGAGCTAGCTTGGACTTCGAGTTTTGCAAGTGCTTCTCGAAGAGATTTTCGCTAAAGCCCTGGGGATCCTGGAGTAGGTGTAAGGCCGAGAAATTGAGCGGGTGTGGCGCGGTCTTCTTGCGCTCCTGCTTCTTAACTCGGTCGACCGCCTTCTCTAGAACCTTCTTCGACTTCTTCGTCTTCTTGTTGATACCGATCGCGTGCTTTACCTTCTTGATGTCGACTGTCTCCTCGTCGCTGCTGTCATCGTCGAACTCTTCACGCTCCTTGTCTCCTCCGAGGAAGAATCGCACGCCCCCCACAATTACCTTCTCGTTATCGGCTAAGGAGGCCTGGCGCATAATATCGACAGTCTTTGCGTCCGTCCAGATCTGGCGCCGCCAGAGTTCCCGTACCAGCTTCACGGCCCACAGAGCTTTCGAGGAAGAGCGGTCCGAAGTAACGAGGTTGTAGAGGACGGTCTGCATGGTCCGATTTACTCGGTGATTGATCGTCTTTGTATTCGTGTTTCGGATATCGCTCAAGATCTTCTGGTAGAGGAGCATCCTCAAGGACTTGGAGGGGGTGGTGATGAGGATGGGAAACAGGGTGGTGAGCAGATAGCTGCTGTCGATGACATCTTTGCGTCGCAGCAGGGTCAGGCTAGACACTATCTTCTCGCGCAAGGTTGGCTCAAGCACGGCATGATGCTTGGTTAAGACATCCTTGAGGGCGTTGGGAAAGGAAGCGGTTATTCGTGGGTACAGCTCGGCGCAGTGGGCAACTATTAAGCCATCAGCGATGAGGCAGCATAGCGACACATCCACAGGCACAGACTACGTACTCAGGTCTATCTGTTCGCGGAAGGTAATGAGGGAGTTCGAGTCGGCGCCCACTGGGGCGGCAAGGAAGGTCTCGTGTGCAGCATCGAATTGCTGCCAATTCTCCATGAACTCTTTTTCGTATGCCCTGAAGTTGATCGCGTTAGTGCGGCTCACATGGCAGTAGGGAACAGGATAGGAGGGGTTGCTTAAGACACAAAACATACTCAGGGTCTTTTCGGATCTTGTATTGGAGGCCGGCAAGGTCAGCCTCGATCTTCTCGAGGGCGGCGACCTTCCTCTTCCCCATGTTGGCAGATATGGCGGCGGAGAGGCGAGAAGGTTGCGAAGGGGAGGACGCTATGCAATGCCGCGACCTCAATCCAAAGAAAAAAAGATGCGACTTGCGAAAAGGTAGGTAAAGTATCGTTATCGTTATCTCCGTCGATCTTATCTTATCTGCGTCCCGTTGATGTACCTGGGTAGTGCTATGGAACCGCAGCTCGATGAGTAGAGGATATTATTTATTTGGATCAATATTCCACTCCTCCATACCTACCTATCTCTAGAGGCACCCATTGCTAGATACGGTGGTTCGTTTCCAACACGCTCCTTAACTATTGATCACCTATGCTATCGACTTAAGAACAAATACCAGACCGCCGGCCGGATATTGTACGAATCTCTGATCCCTTCGCTCTCTCCCGTATTAAAACAACTGCTTTGGCCCATGGACTGCCATGAGCGCGCCGATATTCTGAGTATCACATACCTACTTGGGGGTTCATCCACCCGGCTACTTACCAGCATACGGCTTACCGACTTTAAAAATTACCCTTCAGATTAGGCAATCTTAAGATTGCAGCGATCCGGTAATTCATGAACTTATGGCTTAGCTGGCGTGGTGTCTTGGCTATCCATTATCACCTGCGAAAATCTTCCCGGGCTAGAATCCCATACGACGGAGACAGCCATTCGTTGATTCCCGGAGTCCTCGCTTCTATCATATCTATCCACGTCTTCCCATCCTCTCTGCTCTACCCTACGCTGATACAGTCCCTATCTATGCAGAAGAAGGGGCCGCCCGGGCATCCTTCAGGATATCATCTGTCGCCTTCTCCGCCAGCATGAAAACGGGACAAACCGGAAATGCGCCAAGCACGGCGGGGAAGGATGACGCGTCGACAACCCGCAAGTTCTTGACGCCGTGAACCCTGAATTTCGAGTCCAGGACGGCCAGCTCGTCCTCCGCAGGTCCGATCCCGCATGTGCTCGAGGCGTGGTGGGAGTAGGCCTGCAGCTTCAGGTACTCCTTCTGCGCTGCGTCTGTGCAGTTCTGGTTGATTCCAGGGCAGGGATGCTTCTCGTTGAAGGGGCCGATCGGCGAGCCGACGCTGGTGATGGCCTTCCGGAAGATCTTGGCCGCGTCTAGCATTTCCGTCAGATCCTCGTCCTCGCCGTCCTGGAAGAAATTGAAGTTGATTCTGGGCATATCCTGCGGGTCGTTCGAGCGCAGACGCACGTAACCCGCCTGGGATCGCGGGTTCATGTGAACGAAGGCGCATTCGTACTGCGACGGGCCGTAGTCGGTCGGGAAGCCGGGCCAGAACCCTTCGAAGGAGAACGACTTGCACCAGCCGTAGATGTTGCGGTTCTTGCGAGCCGTTGGCGTCTTGAGCATCACGGCGATGGGACCGGCTAACGTTCCGTTCAGCTCTCGGCTAGCGAGCGCGAGCACGCCTCCCTCGTAGTTGTCCCCCAGTCTCTCTCCCACGCCGGGAAGATCCTTAACGACCGGTATGCCGAACTTCTTCAGCTCTTCGGCTGGGCCAATCCCGCTGAGCTTGAGGATTTGGGGCGAGTTGAAGGCCCCGCCGGCGACGATGACCTCCTTATTGGCAAATATCCGGACCGTTTCCCCTTTGGTGCCATTGTAGCGCGGATCGGCTTTGTATAGTGAAGGGCCGCGAAGTACCTCGACACCGATCGCGGTGGGCTCGGTCGCATCTTCGGAGAATAGCACCTTAGTGACGAGACTCTGGAGCTGGACCGTCAAGGGGTACTTGGCTAGGTCGTCTAGAGTTGCCCTGAGATACGTGTTAGATCCGGCACGGTGCCCGTTGGGATCGGCGTGGCTTGCGAGGCCAAAGACACCCGTAGCCTGGTCCCGGTCCGGATCGAGCGCGTTGATGTCCTGGGTCTCGCTGCCCCCGGTCTGCTTGATGATCTCGCTCGCAATTCTCTGCACATCGGATGGCGATTGCATGAAAGACGGATCACTGATCGTCAAGTTGAGGTAACCACTGAAGCCATGCCCGGGGGTGCCAGCCGGCACATAGTGAGCCGTCTCAATCCTCTCAAAGTATTTCCGCATGTTCTCAGCCAACCAGCTCTCATCTCCCGTGCTTTCGGCGATCGCGTTCCAGTCGTCGTCGGAGGGTAAGGCACATACACCACCATTGTGCATCGCGCAACCCCCGAGGGTGGCAGAGCGAGGATAGTATATGCCCAGCCGTTCCGAGCCCTCTGGAGGGCCCAGGCCGACGTAGAAGGAACCGTCAGGCTGACGCCAAGTCGTCTTTTCGTATTTGGCCTCGCGCTCCTGGTCGTCGGAGTGCTCAACGAAGAAATCCCATCGCGACTTTTCGTCGTTAGCCGCGAGGTTGAAATTGGCCATCTCGGAGTAATTCTTATTGTTGCCTAGGTCATCGCCTGCTTCCAAGAGCAACGTCGGGTATCCTGCTCGCGCAAGATTGGACGACAGCGCCGCGCCGCCGGGCCCGGATCCGACGACGATGTAGTCATAAGTAGTGGCCGCCTGCACTACGGCCCCTAAGATGGCGAGGAGCCCGAACGAGAAGAGTTGGCCAGCCATGCTGGGCTCTACTTCCAGTGACTTGCCCGCGTATGGCGTCGATGGTTATCACAAACTGTCTTAGAGGCGAGACGACGTCAGCCGTACTAAATACTCCTAACGTGGCCATTCTTAAGTGCCAGCATTGGTCCTTGTCGAAAGACGGGGTTCATTTCTATCACCACGCCGCGTCCTGATAAGACTGGAGCAGTATCCACGATCGCGTCGGCGAACTTGCGATCCGGGCACGGCGGAGAGCCATGAGGGTAGTCATTTCACTCGCCAAGATATTTGGCTAAATAGACAGCCAGAAAAGGGCTCCAGGATTTTGGGGAACGTCTGATTCCAGGGCGCTGAGAGCGCATCGTATTATTATCCGGCTGGCGGTATTAATCGTTGCGGCTGATTTCAGGGCGGGCGATTCGGAAGATATCTACTGCAGGTATCTATTAGGTGGGAGGTGTCTCCCTCTACCCAGACGAGAGAAGCTCGCACGACAACCCTCGCAACGTCGTCTCCATCATCTAATGTGGCTACTTGTTTATCTGAGGAACAGACAACCCCTTGGGGCTCCGCATCGCCGACCGGGAATATCACGGTAGCCGGCTACGTAGGCCTGGGCAGAGGCCAATATATACCTTCACCTAGGCGACGGTTTTAGAAAGCAGCGACGCGAGCACGCCCGCCCCGAAGTACGAAAGGGAGTGCGAGAATTGGCTGCGATCCAGGCACTACTCTGCTAAGTTCGAATCCGGGTGGACTGCTGCGGAGACGATGATAGCCTGACGCTGGATCCGCGTTACCACGCTGACTGACTGCATTTTCTGCATCTCCCCGAAAACGGCATTGTGGATAATCGTAGGCAAGGGTAGAACTACACCTCGTATAACCGCTCGTAGTGCCCTATGGCCATGGATCATGCCAGGCGCTGCATTATGCTATTACCGTGGACGGATGTAGCGGATGTAGCGGGCCAACACGCCTATAACAGGCACTAGAGGAACCGCTCTTCTAGGCTTGTCCGTGTCTCTTTGGGGCCTGGGTAATACGATAAGTTGATTAATGGGTGGCTGAAGATGGGCTTGAGTTTTTTTTCTTCCCCTTTTCCGAACGACCATTACTCCTCCCAGTTACCTAGCGGGCTTCCGAGGCAATACGGCCCGATAAGAGCCAGGAGGCTTCAAGACGATATCACTTTGTGCCCTGGTCTCTACAGACAGTCGAGGGCGCAGTTGCTGCGCATAGAGGGATGGATGGGCAACCTCTTGCGTCTTGCACTGTCGGCATTCGACACCACTTCATCTCTCTACTCGCTTTCCGTAGCCACGGAAAACCACCGCGCTTTGGGAGTTCGCCTGTAGCCATTCTAAATCCGCCCAACACAGGGCAAACGACGACGACGCACTCTTAGTCACCTCTGCTAGTCTGGCTACTTTAGCCCTGCCGCATGAGCGTTGTTAGCGGTGTTGCTTGGCGGCTCGGCGACACCATCTTTTCCGAGTCTGAGCACCCGGCAGTATGCGGCGGCTCGACGGCTAGTCGCAGTGAGAGATTTAGCGGACGATGGGGTGGGTTCCTAACTAGGAAAATATGCAGCTATTTACAAGGCCGACGTTCGTTCGTAATGGTAAGTTGAGTTGAAAGGCTCACGTTTAGGTCGCGGGGCAAGCAAGTTCAATATGCAAGTAGTAGTAAAAGTTACGATACTCCCCCTCGAAGCACGCCCTCCGCTGCTGGCGCAACTGATCGCCCAAGCACCCCATGCTCCGGCGGTAAGAAAAGAGAAGCATTGGGCAGCATCCGGCAGTCGACGAACTAGTACCCGGTTACCGAGGACAAGCGGGGAGCTGGCTGAGAAGTGATGCGTTGTCTGTGATAAGGGCCAGAAATTTCGGCACAGGCGCGAATCCGCAAACAGCTCGACGTGCCGTAGCGCATAGAGCGGCGTTGCAGAAAGCACGGGAAGGGGGGGAGAAAGACGATGGGCCATGCAGACAGGGAGGGAGCCGCAAACGACTTCCTCAGTCGAGTAGCGATCGCCGGCGTGTGCGACGGGCGGCCGACGACGTCGGAGCCGGTCTTGGATCACGAACGGTACCGGTGAACGTCCTTCCATTCGCCCAGGATAGCCGCGGGTTTTCGTGGGGGGAAGACCCAACCCGCCAGTGTATCCAGATTGGCTTTGGCGGGGAGAAATGCGTAGGATCTCGGATCCGGGGCCAATGAAGCCTTACTCCAGGACCTGGAGTAAGTAAGAACGTCGGCATGGCGGTCTGGACGGATCTCCTGCCGCTGCGTGCGCCCTGATCCTTAACAATACCTTACATGAAACCCCCCACGCAAGTATGGATGAAGAGGGACAGTGTGGAGGGTGGTAGTGACGGGACTGGGGTGAAGAAAGGAAGAGAAACTGAGGGGAGGAGGCGGAAAAGAGGACGGGGAGCGGGCGAGCCACTGTCCCTTTGAGCGCCCTCTTCATCTCACCTGTGACTATCCTGGTACGGATATCTGCGGGAAGCAAACACGACGAGAACCTGCATCGCTGGGGTTTGCGCGGACGTGTGTTGGGCCTGACTGAACAGAACCCTGCCCCCCCCTCAAGTGTATTGATATTTTGATCCTCGGGGTCGGATGGACGCATCTAACATCCAGTAGTTATCCGGTGCTGAGGCTAACGCCATCTACTCGGATCAGAGATCTATCGCGTGTCATCGTACCGACCGACCACTTGACTAAAAAGGTTTTTTATTTTTTTTTTATTTTTTTTTTTCGTAACGTCGCATATGGCAGCATTGCGTGGCTTTCCCATGCGTGCAACGCGATGCACGAAAGACGACGACGATGACGATCGAGTCGAGTCAAGCGGCTCGTCTCCTGCATCTACGCAAACACGCCTCCGGCAGCCGAGGCGCAGAGTCAGATGATGGCATATGCACCTCTACCGGGCCGATCCCCTCAACCAGCGCAAAACAGAAGAGCGCAGAGCGACAGGGAACGGAGGCGAGTTGTGGCGTAAGCAGCAGAGAGATTATCGCTATCGTGGGCGAGACAGGCTTATGTTCGGCTCGGAACGAACTGCTGATTGTGGGCATACACGGGCGCCGCCAGGTACGAACGCGCCTCGAAATCTGGCTAAACTGCAGCAAGTCGTTTTGGCATAGCGGCTCGTTGACACATACTACGTAGTATGTAACCATCCGTAAAGAGACTTGGCGAGAGGCTGCCGGTCTCCGTCTCGGCCGCGAAGGGACTCGCCGCCCCAGCGAATCTGCTAGCAACCGGTATTACCTGTTCACTGATGAGAGTCGCACGCGCTGCAAGAGGGAATGGGGTCACAGAAGGGGATCAGCCCTCTTCGCTTTCCGGGCGCACGGGTCGCCAAGTGACTCCTTCGTCGTGGACATACACGATCGCTACGATGCTAGGATCTTAATAACGCCGGCGCCTAGCGGGCGCGTAGCTTAATAGAGGTAGCTTGGCCACCAGCTGGTATGGCAACACTCTTACTAACAGCTTCACGGCCGCGGCCGAGAGTGCCGGGTCTAGTCTTCCCTTCCTCTCTATTGCTATTACTTTTCTCTTTCTTCCTCTTCTCTCTTGACCAGTCTTGGCGAGAGAGGATTCCACCGTCGGAAACGCTAGGGGACGGCCTGGAGACCCTCTGTCGTATTGTTTCCCTCGGACGGTAGACTGCGAGTGTAAACCGCCGAACCAGTCGTCCTTACGGGCCTTGGCCGCCGACTACCGCCAAAGCCGTAACGTAATGTAATCTCGACGATCACCAGGGGGCTCCCAAGTCGTCACGAACGAGGTCAGGCCCGCCGGTATGATTGGTCCTGTCGACGATGGGGCCCTCTGCCAGGCTCACCCCATGGATGGGTCGTGCAATGTACGATTTTGCTCGGGGAAGACAATTCCAGAAACCCACCTGACAGCTTTGCCTAACTTGCCTACTAGCAGTCTAGCAAAGAGTATTCGTGCAGCCTGTTTGCGTCTTCACACAGTCCCTATAATTGGGTACTCTCAGGCCGGCGGTTTGGTTCTTGGTTCAGCTATGGGTGATCAACAACATCAACGAAGACACCAAGAAAGCCTGAATAAATCCAGAAAGACCGGAAGGAAGGGAAAAGAGAAACCCAGGACTTCCGTCTTATAGGTACATCACTATCAACTTCACCACCGGCGTCAACGCATTGTGCAGACGCCACGAAACAAACGACCCCCACACACATTGTTAAGTCTTCCCTCGACTTACAGCCAGCCGAAAAGAAAATGTTAAAATCGAAAGGAGACGAGAAGATGCTTGAAGCAACCCGGTCCGTCCCTCGAGAGCTCCAGTCGAGCACCGAGGCTGTCGGCCAGGTCAAAGATGTCTCCGACCTCGAGAAGCAGAAGACGGAGGCCGGGGCCGCCCACTTTAGGAGGTTGGGGTGGAAGCGACTCACCATCGTGATGATTGTCGAGGCCATCGCCCTCGGCAGTCTGAGCATGCCCTCGGCCTTCGCGACGCTCGGCATGGTGGGCGGGGTCCTGTGCTGCGTCGGCCTCGGCCTCATAGCCATCTATACCAGCTATGTCGTCGGCCAGGTCAAGATAAAATTCCCCGAGGTGCAGCACTACGCCGACGCCGGCCGCCTGATCATGGGCCGGTTCGGGTACGAGCTGGTCGGCGTCATGTTCGTGCTGCAGCTCGTCTTCCTCGTCGGCTCGCACTGCCTCACGGGCACCATCGCGCTCCTCAACCTGACCGACAACGGCGCCTGCTCGCTCGTCTTCGGCGTCGTCTCGGCCATCGTGCTGCTGCTGCTTGCGACCCCCCCCTCGTTCGCCGAGGTCGCCATCCTCGGCTACATCGATTTCGTCTCCATCATGGCCGCCATCTTCGTCACCATCATCGCGACCGGCGTGCAGCGGACCGAGGCAGCGGTGCCGTCGAACTGGTCCGCGTGGCCCGAGGAAGGGGTCACGTTCACCAAGGCGTTCGTGGCCATCACCAACATCGTGTTCGCGTACTGCTTCGCCATCTGCCAGTTCTCCTTCATGGACGAGATGCACACGCCCAAGGAGTTTGTCAAGTCGATCTGGGCGCTTGGCCTGACCGAGATCGTCGTGTACACGCTGACGGGCGCGCTGACCTACGTCTTCGTCGGCACCGAGGTCAAGTCGCCCGCGCTGCTGTCGGCGGGCCCGCTGCTGTCCAAGATAGCGTTCGGCGTTGCGCTCCCCGTCATATTCATCTCCGGGTCGATCAACGGGACGGTGGTGGCGCGCTACATCCATGGGCGCATGTACCGGGGCACGGTCACACGCTTCATTAACACGACTAAGGGCTGGGTGACGTGGCTCTCGCTCATCTCAGTGGTGACGCTCGTCGCGTGGGTCATCGCCGAGTCGATCCCCTTCTTCTCGGACCTGCTCGCCATCTCATCCTCCCTCTTCGTCTCCGGCTTCACCTTCTACTTCCCGGCCATCATGTGGTTCATGCTCATCCGTAAGGGCAAGTGGTACTCTCGCGAGAACCTGCTGAAGAGCGTGCTCAACGCTGTCGTCTTCGTCATCGGCATCGTCGTCCTCGTCGGCGGCACGTACGCCAGCATCGTCGATATCGTGAGTTTGGTCCCTCTCCTTTTCCTCCCCTTGCTGTCGTCCAGAGTGTTAACCCCCTACCCTGCAGATCGACCGCTACAACCGGGGTGCAGTCCGGGGCGCGTTCACCTGCTCACCATTCGAATGAAGAGCCGGTACCCACTCAGAGCAACCACTCCCCTCGCTCGCATCGCCTGAATAAAAAATAGGGGAAGGGAATAGAAGACCGTGGGGAGAAAGGCGGGAAAGTAATGCCGACAACAACAACGTAGACCAAAGGGAAATGCAAACCCCCCAAAAAGAGCGGAAGAAAAAAGTGATTTCATAGACCAGTCATCATCGACATTTCGAACCAAAACCAGCTCGACCTCCCGCTAATAGACAACCTCACCTCACCTTACCTACCTCCGAGGCCCTCGTCACTCCCACCGCGCCAGAACTGAGCACACCAGCACATCGAGCACGCCCTATCGCGACGGCCCCGCGGCGCGCAACCAACACCTAATACACCCCCGCACGGCGTTTTCTTTTCTTCTCCTTCTTCTTATTTCCTTACGAGGTCAGAGTCCGCCTCCTCTTCACACAACATAACGCACGGCATGCATTACGACCTCATGACCTTTGGTGGCGCGCGCGGGGAGTTCGGGGATTGACATCGCATGCGATTGTTTCTCGCTCGCGGACCCGGCCAGAGGGGTATATTTTTTTTCTGCATATATTCGTTTTAATAACCCAACACGCTTGCTTCTTATTCGAGAGGTTCGGGCTCGGCGCGACCCGCCGGCGTTTTGGGCGGGTGTGCGGATGGGTTGGGGCTGGCTAGCTGAGGGACGGGGGAAGAGAGACGAGTTGCGCGGCAGGGCGGCCGGGAGGGCGGAGGGAAGGTGGTTAATTCGCCGGCCCGCGCGTTTATATACCTAGAGTAATGACATAACTAGCCAACCGGCGAGCTGGACGTCGATATCGTCCTCATTGTTGTTTGGAAAAATAAAAAAGTAGACGTTTTTTGCTATATTGGCGCGGTGCACAGATTCTAGAAACCCCCTCTGGAGAATACCGCGGACGGCGGGACGAAGACGGGAGTGCACGTCTACGCAGATCTCGGCACGCACCCACACACATATATAGAAGGCGTCGACCAACTACGGAGAGGCAACCCGCTCAGCGCGTCTAGCTGCTTTCGTGTGCATGTCGCACGACCCGGGTCGTTCGAGGCCTCTCTCCTCGGCAGACGATAAGAGGCCTGCCCGAGGGAGAGAAGGCAGAGAGAGGGAGAGAGCCGGACGGGATACGGGATAGCATGATTTCGGGCGAGAGAGGGGAGACTGGGACAGATAGCGAGATAAGCCGGGACACAACAGTCATGCGAATTGATAATGGGGGGCGAAGAGAGCGCCAGCGCCCAGGGCTTGGTATGCTAGCCTCCTAGCCCGGTCTGTCCTGGGCGCGCCGGCTACCCCTCGCCGAGACGCGGAGAGGGACTGCCGGCCTGCACTTATCTACAGTACGGGTACGCCTGCGTACGGAGGCTCACGACGGCGCTTTGGGGACGAGCGCAAGGTGTGTCGGAGATGCATAGGCCGGGTTGCGACGGGCAGGCGGACGAGGGAGCGGGCGTGTGAGGAAGTTGGGTGAGTTGTAAGGGCATATATGCGATGAAAAAACGAGCAAAAAAGAGCAAAAAAGGTTGTGCCAGTGGATGCGGTCATATAGTTCGTGTGGGTAGCTGTCGATTCGTGTTGTCCAAGTGATGGGTGGCCTCACCAGGGCGAGGAGGAGTAGGGGGTTTATCTTTAGGGATGTCGAGTTTGTTAGTGGCATTATGACTGGTGTAGTAAGTGAGTAGAGAAGCACTGTTAGCTACTAACCCTTACCTACAACTGTTAGGGCGAGGATCACGGTCCGTTCGTAGGTGTCGTGGTGTGCGTAGAATCGATTGCGGATATATACAATACATACGATTTTTTATTTCTGTGTAGCTACAGTAGGCGCCGTATGGGTATACGACGTAAAATCGCGACCGCTTTTACTAGGTATGTATCCCACATTTTTGCTGCGTGTAGATGACATATAGACATTCGACGCTCTCTACCCCTCCCTCAGCTGACCGCCAAGCGCCTCATCATTTTCATTTTCCTTCCTTTTTGTGGCCCGGCTATTTAGTAGCCAGGATGGCTTCCTTCACGATGGTCACGCCAGTCGCAATCTCGGGCTCGCTGATCGTGAGGGGCGGCACAAACCTGAGCGTGTTGGTTCCGCAAGTGAGAACCAGCAAGCCCCTTTGTCTGGCTGCATCCACGATCGGGACCGGGTCGCGGGTCAGCTGCATGCCGAGAATCAGACCTCTCCCGCGGATCTCTGTTATGTCCTCGGGGAACTTTTTTTGCAGCGACTTCAACTGCCGCTTAAGGAACCTTGACCTATCGTGGACGGTGCGCTGTAGCTCCGGGTTCGAGAGCAGATCAACTGCGTGATAGGCGACGCGGCACGCCAACACGTTGCCGCCGAATGTCGTGCCGTGGTCTCCGATCTGGATCTTCTCGCTCACGTGGCCGTTGACGATGGCGGCGCCGATGGGGAAGCCGTTTCCGAGTGCCTTCGCCGTGGTGAGGATGTCGGGATGTGCCTCCTTGGGCAGATGGCCGTGCGCCCAGAGATGACCCGTCCTCGACAGACCGCACTGGATCTCGTCGTAGATTAGGACGGCGCCAACCTGGCGACACCGATTCGCCAAAGCGATAAGAAACTCGTCGCTGGCGACATTGACGCCCCCCTCGCCCTGGATGGGCTCGACGATTACGCCGCACGTCTTCTCCGTTACGAGATTATCGATTCCCTCGAGGTTGTTGTATGTCCCGTACCTGAAGCCCGGCACCATGGGCGTAAACGGCTCTTGGTACTTCGGATTCGGGGTTGCCGACAAACTGCCCATGGTCCGGCCGTGGAAGGAGCCGTGAAAGGACACCACCTCATACTTTTCCCCGGAGGGGTCCAAGGCCTTGCCTACTTTGCGGGAGAACTTGATGGCGGCCTCGTTTGCCTCGGTGCCCGAATTGCAGAGGAAGACGCTCGCTGCGTCATGCATTGCGCCGGATTCGACGGTCTTCTTCACGAGTTTTTTGCACAGAGGACCCGTCCAGCAGTTATGGTAAAGATTGGATGCGTGCCATAACGTCTTGGCCTGACGGGGCAACGAGTCAGTAGATGTAGGCAACGAGGACCCGTCAAGGAGTTGACCAAGCTGAGAGGGTTGCGCCTCACCTGGTCTGAGAGAAGCGCAGCTAGCTCCGCGTTGCTATGACCCAGCGAGTTGACGGCTATTCCGGCCGTGAAGTCTAGATACTTCCGACCCCTCAGGTCGTGCAGGAATGAACCCTCGCCCTTGACGAAGACGAGCGGCGGCCTGGCATAAGTCGCCAGCATGTACTTGGCATAGTCCGACACGAAGACTCCACTTCTAGAGTCCTTGCTGGGGTCGCCTTTGGGCAAAGGTGGAGTTGAATCACGATAATCTTGGAAAGGGTTGAAGGAGGAGGAGCACCGTACCCCGGCGGATGCGAGTCGTCGCATAGGAAGCCGGACAAGAGCCATGCTGCGCGGATCCCGAGACTGGTCTTCTCCCTTGTCCTTATAGTGAGCGAATCGAGACGTGTAGAGGCCGCACCCACTTGGCCAACCTGTGGAAAGACAGGGAGAGAGCCAGCCGTCGGTTTACCCAGCGAAACCTGCCCGCCAATTTGTTTACAGCTGTGTAAAGCGAGCGAGCGAGCGGGAGTTTGACGATGACTGCTACGACGTCCCGATGCGCGACCAATGGCTTATCGATAGAGAAGATGTCACTGAAGCTCGGCAAAAATCTCGACGGCTCCGCCCTCCGATCTCGCAATCCCCTTCCAGATTAGTCATAGCAAGTACCTGGGTACTTACTTACCTCCTAGCAGGTGATCAGGTTTCTCCATCTTAGGTAATCTGACCGGGAGAGGTCGAAAGGAGACGAGAATCACCCAGAATTCTCCCCATTGCGCAAAGCCTCTCTCCTTCTCATCAATTGGGCCCTTCGCTCTGAAAATGCTCTGGGAATTCTCCGATAATGCCAGTTGAAGCCGCTGTGCAGTCAGCGTCCGCCACTCAACCGCTGCAGGTTTACGACTGAGGATTGACCACCCGCAGCAGACGATCGTTTCGTATTATCGGCGAGCGCATCTCGTCGAGGCTCGCACTCGTGATGTCGGGTATATCGCCTCTAGCCTCTGCGCCAACGCGGCTCACAAGGGTCGCGCGAGCCGCGCCGACAGCGTGAAATGTGCTTCGCACAAGTCGCCTACCACTTAGTTATGCCATGTATGCCTCCAGCCGGCTTGTGAGGCTTATCGTCGGTAATGTTAGCTCGTCCCCGTGTCGCTGACACTCGGTTGGATGCCCGGTAGCCTGGGAATCCATTCCTCCGGCCCCTGGCGGTCCCCCAGACCGGGCAGGCATTGTCTGTCAGGTGGGTATGTGGGGGATCAAGTAGGCGAATCTGCTGATCGATTAGCGTCCCTCACCATGAGCGACTTTCACATGTCAGGACCTGGCTTGTTCGCCCTGTCGCCGCAAACGTCACCACGACGAGCCGATAGGCTTGATGTGTCTCATCGCCGGCCACCATTCACGAGCTTCCAAATTCATCCTGTCAGCTTGGTCAGCAAAACCTCCCGAAGTTTACTATGGCCTACCGGCTTTATCGCCTGTAGCCTTCGGCCTTTCCGTCGTGATCCCTATATCTGTTCACTGCTTCCGACATGTCCTAGGGTCTACTATCTCGCTATCTTGCTCTTCGAGCTCCGTCGTAAATCAAGGGTTGTCCATTAGACACCCCCCGGTTCCGACTCGTCTCTCCCTTGGCGCCACGTTCGCTGGCAGGAAGCATGTCGTAGTTCACATGCCGTGTGCTTCGAAGCCGACGCTTCCATCGGTTCCGTCGGTCTAAGCCTACTAGACTCGTCGTACATACCCCCACCATCTATGTCGCTGAACTGGCGTAGCTGTTTCGAAATTTTAATGTGGAAGCCCTGATCGTTATTGATACAAAAATTCCCTTTGTTCTTCGTCCTACCTTCGTCCCATGAGCCGCCGTGCAAGATGATAGACCACGTCCTCGGAAAACCCTCTGTAAAGTCGCGCAGGCTTCAGGTCCTTGCTGTGTTGGCGTTCTGGTCCTTTTACCTATTCAGGTGAGGTTCTAACGTCGATCGACCTCAGAACGAGACAGCTGACGATTTATGACATAGAGGGCACAGACACGGACCGCCATCTGTTCGGTACTTGTCCAAGATCTCTTCGAAGCTGTTGACAACATGGCAGACCATCGTTCTTACCATGATGTACCTCTACGCCGCCCGGAACTTCAGTACCCTCGTCGGGCTTGCTAGTCCGGAGCCGATGGCAAATATGTACGATGCGAAGTACTTCCGCGCCACGTGGGTTCTGACCGCGCTCGATGCGGGCTTCTGGACGGCCATGAAGATTAAGAGGAAGTGGGCACGCGACATCGCCAGCCTGGTCTTCTCGTTGTTCTATCTGTTCGCTGCGGAACGCGCAGACGAGAAGGTGCGGAAAGTCCGGGGAGCATTGACGGTCGAACACCTACGGGTTAGCTGGAATAAAGGAACCACGCCGTACCTCCAAGCTGCTCAGAACCTGATGCGCCCCCGGTTCACGCGCTGGCCGCCGCGAGCCATCCGCATCCCTCGGCCTAGCTCTAGCGACTACAAGGATTCCGTCGCTGGCTGGCTGTACTACGACGGACCCATCTCGGACTTGGAACATATCAACAAAATGATCCTTGATATTCCTGGCGGAGGCTTTATGGCGATGGACCCGCGATGTAATGACGATAAACTCTTCGCTTGGGCCGGAAAGACGGGTCTTCCGATCCTTAGCTTGGACTATAAGAAGGCACCGGAATTTCCGTACCCATACGCCCTCAATGAGTGTTTTGATGTATACACGACCATCGTCAGGAGCAAAGGGCGATGCATAGGGATGTCAGGGACGCACGTTCCAAAGGTGGTGGTGACGGGCGATAGTGCTGGCGGCAATCTTGCGACCGCAATGACCCTGATGGTGATCGGGAGTATCGTTAACACGCGTCAATCCTCAGCCCAAACAGAGCTACCTCTTCCAGTTGGCCTCGTGCTCATGTACCCCAGCCTAGATATGAACATTGGAAACTGGATGTCCGATGAGCAGATGTCTCTTATTAAAGACCGCCGGATGCGAGCGACAAATAAGGATTATCTGCGTCGGAAGAATATGCAGTACAACGATTTGGTCGGCACACCTCACCAGTCAGACGACGAAGACGACGACCCCTCTGGCCTAGCACCCGGTGAAAACCGACTACAGACATCATCAGTCAACGGCGCAGATCAAAACGGGTCCCTCAGCCCCCATCCTGAATACTCCCATGCTAACCGCCAAACGTGGACGAAATCGCCCTTACCCTCAACTGCTGTCTCGAAACAAGGGTCCAATTCCGTGTCGACATCACACCGGCCTGAGCCGATGCGAACTCGTTTAGCTATGGCCTCTATGATCTCCTATTTTAACGACCGTGTCCTCACCCCCGAAATGATGCGCGCAATAATCATATTGTACATCGGGCCGCATAACCGACCCGACTTTTCCCAAGACTACCTGCTATCCCCGATCCTAGCGCCCGACAGCCTGCTAGAAAAGTTCCCGAAGACGCACTTTCTCACCGGGGAACGCGATCCGCTAGTCGATGATACCGTCATCTTCGCCGGGCGCCTACGCCGGGCGAAACAAGCTTTCCACTCGCAACGAAGTTCGCAGGGTATGGGTGGCTTGGACGATGTCACCGACTTCGACGAGAAGGACGTAGCCGAAATCGTATTGATACCGGGCATCAGCCACGGTTTCATGCAATTTCCGTCGGCGTACCCGCCAGCGTGGAAATTGATCGATCGCTGTGCGCACTGGGCTGTGGAGCTGCTTAATAACGAAGAGACACGCAATATGCGCGAACAGCAGAGCTTGTCGCGACGTTACCACGCCCGCACCGAATCGAGCGGGGACGAAGATCGGCCGCTCGAGATAAGCATGACCAAAATGCGGACGAGAGCTACTAGCGACGAGTCCAAGGCGAGGCCACCAGCGAACGACTCCGATAAAGCGGAGGGAGTCGGCGAAAGTAAGAGGACGAACGGAAACTCGAAGAAAAGGAGGTCTACCGCTAGGACAGGGTCCGGTCAGAGATCCAAGAGTATCGTTAAACTGAATAGTTCAGATGACCTCCTCGGGCGACGCATGCAGGGCCTCGCCGGCTCATTGACTGGAGCACAGGAGGAAGAATAAGCAATGCTCAATGATGTTGTTTTTTTCTCCCTCGAGCTTGTGATGGTGTTTTATCCCATGCTTCGGTATACGAAACGGCCTGCCTGCCAAGTTCTAGCAGCAGTAGATGATGTCCCCATCTGGGGATCTCCTTCGCTACTATAGGCCTCGGTCTTACTTGCCGAGCGTCGTCATTGCGGGAAATCCCCATAGGTCGGTAGCCCATATCACGGTATCCCCAATGCCTTGGCACTCGGATCGGCCCGCGGCATATGACCCAATGCTCGCCAACGCGGTTAAATATCATACCACGCATACTCATACACGTAATACCGGCCTCCCTAATCGTCGCCATAGCAAAGCTACTTTGTATCGTATGCCACCTTCTCAGTCCGTTCGGTGATCGTGAGAAGAGTCTCTCCAAGACGTCGCGATTAGCCCTCGAGAGTGTCTAGGCGACTACACAAGTCAATCAATCCCTTGCCGGGAAGTCCGGAAGAAATATGAATATTGAGCCAAATCCATGTTCTTTCCACCCCCATCCTCCCCCTTGAGTTCTCCACTCGCACCTCTTGATGCCTTAGGCTTACGGTATTTCGGTGCTTCTTCAGCCAGCAGCGCTTCTCCAATCATTTCCCGTAGTGGACGTCCGATCATATGGAGGAGGAGGAGCCAGACGCAGACACATGCATCCTCGGCGACCATGCGAGCCACGAATGGAGGCCAACCCATCCGCAAGGGACCAATTTCTCCTGGGTCAACCTTCGGCGGAAAACAAGGGGGAGGGCGGGGCGGGGAGAGGAGTTTCGGCGACTAGTTTACATTATCTGAACGGAGAGGTAACCTTGGCTGCATTATTGTATCACTCTCGGCCAAGAGCTGAAAGTGTTAGCCGGCTAAAGCAACTGGAGATTGGATAAGGTCGGATGGGACACGCGTGCAGGATTCTAAGCCTGCTACTGTCGATAGCAGCGGCAGCAGCAAAAACCACCACCACCACTTCTCCCTGCTCCGCAGATGGGCGACTCCAGTTACAGCCCTGGGCAGGGACCGGAGGGGAATAGCTGCTCGCTCGTCTCCTCGATCTCGACTCGCGCGATCCAGTTTTTGACTATCCGGTATTGTAAAACCGCCGATGATCGATAATTTACACGAGGCTTCGATGGCGGCAAGAAGGCCGGGAAGGTAAGAAAGTAGGTAAAGGAGAGGGTGGGAAGGAGAGGGGTCGACATCTGACAGGCCGAAGAAGAAATCTCCCGATGGGGGGGCGCTGGTTGCGAATCAGTATTATTTACCATAGGGTGATCGAATCGTACGCTTCAGGAATAGGTCGCCGGCGGCCTCTCTTGCGGAAACGCTGGAAGACGACCCCCATTCTCGCACCCCCGTCTTGATTATTTGTAGGCTGCGCGCGTGATTGCTAGCGAACAATATGTGTCCCGCCACGCCACGCATACACCTGTGTCTCGCTGCCCAGTTCAGCCGGCGTTACCTATCTCCTTCAAGATCCCGCCTCTAGCCATCCATCCAGCCAGCCACAACGAGAGCCAGAGGGACCAGCTAGCTGCACCGGTCGTAGCATACACAGGCGATAGATTCCCTGCCCAACGGTCGAAGACACGATGGGAGGCACCGAGTATACTCGGCTCGACCGCAGCAGCGTCCTGGAGGCGCTCGAGGCCCGACTGGCCCCGCCCCTGCCCTCAGGCGCGGGCCAGAGCCGCCCCTTTCCCCCCCACGATGTCGGCCCGCTCGTGCAGCTGTTTCGCGTCCATCCTCCGTCCTCATCTTCATCGTCGTCGTCCTCCTCCTCTGACGGAGGCAGCGCGCCGCCGACGCCGCCGACTCTCGACAGTGCTGGGTTTCCTGGGAAGGCTTGCTGTATGTCCCGCTCACCCATCCTCCCCGTCCCCCAAACACGCCTCAAGGGAGCGGGAGAGGGACGCGGCATATCACCACTAACACAACACCACTTGGCTTTTAGTCTCTCGCGGGCCAGAGAGTCCCGGACAGCGTGCCCCAGCGGGCTCCGGGGGCGAAATGGTCGGGGAACCCGATGCGAGTCTCGGTCTCGCGCGAGAGGACACCGACGCTGACGCGGTCGAAACCAAACTGCGCCACGGGCGCGCGCGGCGGCGACGGCGGAGGAGAAAGGGTGCGAGTTCGTCCGGGGGGGAGCATGGGAGCGGGGAGAAGGGACAGGTCGACTGCAGTTTGTGAGATTTCGTCGGGGGTAGGAATGTCGACTGCGGTAGCCCCTCGTGTTTCGGCTGACTAGTTGGCGCCTTCGACCCGTTGAGTGTGTGTAAGGGACCGGTAGTTAGAGAAGGACTGAAAGCTGCCTATGATGGGGTAGCCTCTGCGTAAAAGATACCATATGAGGATTATGAAAATGGGTTTCGGTACCAGTTCATCACCTTTCAGCCTTCATGCCGATACCGTCTTTCTTCTTCGAGGTTATCTCTGTATGTCACTCCCGAACTGCACGGTCCGAGGGCCGCCCGGATTAGGCCCTAACACCACTAAGGGCACTGTAGTAGGCAGTTATGGACTTCCCCATGAATCAGCTGAGGTTCGCAAATCGATGCCCATCCCTATCCGTCCAAGGTCGACCACGCACCTAAGGTGTGTAAGTGGTCGTACCGGTCACTGCTTTAATCAGTGCCGTGTTCTTCCTCCCCCCCTCCTCCCAATTCCCCATAGAGTTTTAGCCCTTGGGAATAAGAAGCCATCTCCTAGTTGAGAGTTTACACATGGCTAGAAGGTCTAGGAACCTATCTTTCTTCGTCCCAGGTCATCTATCATCGCCTCGTTCCCCAGTTTTGTGTCAGTTATCTTTCCCTTTGTCGCACAATGATTCATCGCGTCTAAAAGCATCGACCTCGAGGGGTTGTCATAGTACCCTACGAACAAGTAGGAGTATATCTGCCAGCCTATTAGCGAGCATTAGACCGTCGCCATTGGCTGGCTCTATTCTCGGCCAGCGAGCCATTGCTGTCTATGATTACGTAAGCGTTTTTATATAAGAGACAGAATCTTGGAGGCCATCTCGCCACGAATTAAGTTAGAAAGTGCTTCTAGGGCAGTTTATTCCCTATCCCCTTGATAAGGCATATCGGGGTACGACGATACGTTAGAGAGAAATAGTCCGTGTTGCTGGCTTGTTTCTTTTGCTGACCCTCCCTCTATAGGGGTAAACTGAGTAGCCCGGTTTTTGAGGTAGGTGGATCCCGTTCACATACGAAATTTAAGTGATTCTTGATATAAGTTAGTAACGTCGGCCCTCAGTAGTGCTGGTCGTAAGGGCTTACAAGGCCCTGTTGCTCCCAAGGCAGATCATGGGAAACGCTGGCGGACCAACAGACCAACGATAATACTACGCAGTAGGTAATATGCCATGACAGGGCCTGCTGATCTTAGCAAGACGATATCGCAAATAGCGTCGCTAACAAATCGCCATGGTGCCCAGGAGTACGGCGTTTGTATTCTATGTGTTTATCACACACCTGGGTTCATTTAGACACTAGCTCGCTCCACTTGTCTATCCCCTCGAACAACCACGCACATCGACGATCCTTCGTGGTTCGGGGCCATCTAGCCCCAAAGTAAGAGCGCACCAAATCCTACCCCCCAACCGAGTGGTATTTGTGTGGTACCAAACCAGTCGACTTGTAGTCCTGCTGGGAAATCCCGCTCGGTGTATCTGTCCTTCAGCAGTCTGCTACCTTGGGGCCGGAAGCCAACTACGACAATCGATGCCGGCTACGGTTGGTAGGGCTACGCTGACCAGAAGGGGATGTGTGCATACTGTAATATTGTACAGGGTTCGGTCAAGCCCCTGGATGCGCACACTTGCCCAATTGGCGCGGGAGAACTAGCGGCCCCGTCCTGACTAGGATCCATCGGACGCTATCCGCAGGTGTGTAGAGACGACTAACCTCAGTATGTGCTGCGTGGTGGGTATGGAGAACTCCTGTGTACACCAACAAGCCCAAGCCTTAGCTATTTTTAAACCGGACGGATATCATTCCCTTCTGAAGCCTACCTCATGTAGTGTGGCCGCTATCCCATAACCGCTAGCTAGGCCGCCAACAGCTCCAAATCTCACATCACGCTATCTCCTTTCTTATTGGGATGATGAGTCAATTTTTGGTTCCTCGGTGTCTTAGCCCGTCGAGTCAACATGGCGCCGGTAATAGGCACATCCGCCGAGCTATTCGCCGGATGTGATAGCCGCCCGGCAAGCAGGCAGAGAGACAGTATGGGAGTTGTGTAGTGGTTTACTGTAAACTCATGTATATTAATTAATATTTGACCTAATTCTTTCTGTAGTGACCCATGATAGCCTCGAGTTTACGACCTGACTCTCGGGCCATGATAATTGGCGGAAACCCGCCCGCGAACTGCGAATGAGCCCATCTCGAGTCGAAGTCGCAGATTGAGCTGAACACCACTACGGCGCCCAGCTACTCATGGGTAGCATAGCCCAATATTCGTGCTGTTTCACGATCCTGCGCTCTGCAGGAGGGTAGGAATCGGGCTCCTTTCTTCACTCAACCCTGCAATTGCTGATAACAAAATGCCCTCTCCCCCCCATAAGACGAAGTCGCCATCTATCTAGACCAACCCCCGCCCCCTCTCTACTACATAGGACGGAGTGGTTTCGAGCGGCAACTGGGCTGACCTGCAGAGCTGATCAAACTGACATCTCCTTAGCGTACAACCGTTGTAGCGCCGTAGGGATCTAATACTACGCACTCTCCCCGGGAGGATCCATGGGGCAGAGGTCGACCGAACTACACCGGCACCTGGAGGCCGCCGTCTCCAGACTCCCTCTCGCATCCTTAGCGCCATTTAATTTGGTAGATAGATAATTTAACTAATATAGGAGGCGTACGAAGTGTACAAGTATATCCTATGTTAGGTACCTGACTTAGGTAGATGTGTCTTATGCTCCCTTGACCTAAGCTGTAATATCCTTGCTGGTATTCACGGAAATGGTGTGAATTTAGCAGAGCACATTCGGAGACAGGGACGTGCCTACGGAGTCGCATATTAAACCCGCACCGTAATAGCGCCCACCGTGGCCCACCGCCGTACAAAACCGGCCAGACAGAAGTTCCTATCTACGCGAGCAAAGAACCGAGTTGGCGATTGGGTACAGTAGAATAATCGAACTGACCAAATCACCGTTAATCCGGGTCTATGTGGTCGGTATCTGTAGTTTCTCTGTTCTATGCGGCGAGACACGTCAGAGCCATCTCAGAATCGTCTCCCACGACTCTGGTGATGCTCTTCTCACCAGTTCCGTCGCGCACCTCGTAGGTATCGTTATACTCTTCTCAACTCACTTCACCAACTCCGTCCGAGTATTGTCACCTCTCGACCTTCAGCTGCCCCCTCGATGGTAGGGGGGACGTGCGATGGGCGAGCGATCTATCGACGATAGCCTTCGTGAACAGCAAACCCCCCCCCCCCCCCCCCTCCCCCCTACCATCGCCAAGAGACCATATCCTCATTGATGCCCTTTCTCTGGACGCATAAACTCGGAACCGGATCCCCGGACTGGCGCTGGACCCAATGGCGGATGTGACGGCCGTCACTGGAAAACTCGCCGTGGCAAGGGTGGCGCGGCTTTCACGAAGCTAAGCGGGTCGATTGAAAGCCTGTTCCTCCGGGCAGGGATAGCTCTTAGGAAGAAACAACCTTGTCTGCCGACGTGCTTAAGCGCCTCCGGGGGCATGCCCGTGAAGGTATGAAGGAAGCTTACGCCGAAGATAGCGAGATCCTGATCCATGCCGCTAAGCCAGAGCAAGCGCCCATCGACCCATTCGGGTCACCGGCGGACGGGAGCACACGGGGCCCGGGGGCGGCGCGCTGCGCCAGCGCTTGCCGAGCGTCACGCCGCGGCTCCCAGATCACCAATCATGCCTGTGCGACTCCAGCCAGTGGCACGGCCATCCGAGAGGACGACGTTCCTTCGCCTAGCTCCTTTCCAGCGCGAGCGACGATCCAAGACCGGAGACAAGGTTCTCTAAAGTCATCGTGGCGACCCCTACCGGCCGAAAAGCCTCGATGGAAACGGGCAGCCGCTTAGACGAGTCGAACCACAGCCTGAAATCGAGAGAAAACGACGTAGAGAAGAAGGAAGCCGTGCAGCGGGCGACAAGTGAGGCCATATCTGTAGCGGAAGCGTCGTGGCTTTCCGTTCTAGCAGGGGCGCGAAACGGAACCTGGCAAAAAACGGAGAAAAACGTCTATTGGACTAGACCCGTTTGCGCCCTCACCGTTTTCGACAGAGCAATCGGCATTTCTCCATTTCTCAATGACAGTTACGTAATCACGGCCAGGGGTTATGAGTCGTGCACTTCCAAAGCAATGCATGAGTACATCTCTTTTTTTCTTGGGCTCCCCAAGCGATCGCTTTTGCAGACCCCGGCACAGCGCCGTCGTGCAGCCCTCGTTCTTGTCGCGTACGCGAGAAGCCCAAGGCGGAGCTATTGCTGTCGGTTCCGCGTCCTCGGAGCTGTAGTCGACGGCGCAGCCCTTGGCGGACCTCCACACCATCCTAAGCTGCGTCTGACGACGTTGGAGTGCATGCTTGGTGGACGGAAGGCCGGTCCTGTTCGAAATATCTAGCTGAAACCGAGCGTACCTGGCTCGGACTCTCGCACGCCGTGAGATTTTAGTTGTCCGAAGCTGCCCTATCGACGCTCGGTCACACCGCAGGTAAAAACACGTGTATCGGCCTCAGACGAGGCTCGGAGTCTCGCCCGCGTCCTGCGACTGTCATCGGGTGCTCGGCAGGACTTCGCCCGCAGCGTGGGAGTCTCAGGCGAGAGAGAGATAGCCTGGCGGGGTGATATCAGTCGAATCTGGCATATCGTGGCTGCATCTCACAGATGGGCGAGGACAGGAGGTGATTCGTCGAGCTGGACCGCGAGAAGGGCTGGGTCCAGGGTCTCGTCTGCTGGACTTCCTTTTTCGTAAGCGCTGACGAAAAGCCACCGGCAGTAACAGGTCACGGAAGAGGAACCAGAAGGGTGGCAATATTCAGCAAGCGAAGTGCATTAATTTTTACCTGATCCTGGCGCGCGCGGGTGATGTCCTATGTCCAAGTAGGAGCCTGCCGTATACACATATCAGGCATGTATGATCAAGGGCAATAGAGCGAGTTGCGGTGCTAAGCCTTCGCCCGTAGGCACATCCCTCGAGGCCCATCATCGACCACGCCTCGACCGGAGAGAAAGTAAAATCCTCAGACGTGGAAGGACATTGCGTGCCTATCGTCGCCGTCGTATCCTTCTCGCCCACCGCCTCTTTTAGTCAGACTGCCTGCTTCTCCCTGTCTCTCTCCTCCTCTTTCCCCCTCCCTCCTTGCGATTCCCCTATTTAGCTAGTGTATCTTTGTGCATTTGCTAACGGGAAAACAATGCCAACCCCTTGGCGATACGGAAACATGTATCCCAAAGCCAAGAAGGTAGCCTCGTAGTTTGTGTGCTTTCGAGGAAAAGAGTGAAGGGGAAGTGGGGGGAAAGGGGGGGGAGAGAAGAGAAAGGGGGATGGTATTTTTCTTGTTAGAAAGGAGCTCCAGTAGAGACAGTAGTAGATGTATAATATCTGGTATTGCTAGCATCTTCGAGAGCGCTCCAGAAATTCTGTTTATAAATAAAAAGACGTGAAGAGAATCAGAGAACAAAGTAAAAAAGAAACGAAGGGGACCAAGAAAAAAAAAGCTGAGACGGGCGTGCAGGCGTCGTGATAGATAGGTAGACATGCCAAACAACCCCAACCTTGGTGTCCACCAGCACCACCGGATCAGAAAAGAAGAACAAGAACAAGAGCAAGAAAATACCGGGTATTAAGCCGTGACGATGCGAAGAATGGTATAAAATAAATGTACAAGTCGTGTATGTGTATGATATGCGTCGCGGAAGAAAAAATCTCTCACGCACTCACTCGCTCGCTCGCTCGCTTTCTCTCTGTATTTCCGTCTCCCTCGCCTGCTGCCCGCCCTTCTTGCCCTCTCTGGCTCGCCCAGCGCGCGTCTCCCCCCCTTCTCTCTGGCTTCCCGAAGAGAGTTTCGAGGGGAAAAAAAAAATCAAAAACAAATCGGGGGGGAAACCATAAACGGGTATTCGTTCGTTTGTTCGTTTGTTCGTTCGTCAAACTCGTAGTCTCGTCGGGCGCGTCGACCGGCGGGTTTCTCTCTCTTTCTCCCCGTCTCTCCCTTCCCCCTTTTCCCCCTCCACACCGTAAGTTCTCCCGCAGGCCTCGCCGGCTCTAGATTATGTTGGCGATGCTGATGCGCTCGGTGTTGCGGCTGCTCGCGGACGGGGGGCCCGCGCCCCCAGCCGCCGGGCTGTTGCGGCTGCTGCCCGGGTCGCCGGCCGGCGCCAGGCACGGCACCCCGGGCTCCATCTTGATCGGGGGCAGCGTCTGCGCGCGCGGCGCGTACGCCGCCGCCGGGCCCAGCACGCCCGCCGCGAGCCCGCGCGTCACCTCGAGCAGCGCGTCCCAGCCGCCCCAGTCCTCGCGCTCCTGCGCGCTGAGCCCCGTGCGGTGGTCCGGGTGCGCGAGGCCCGCGGCCGCGGACGACGCGGACAAGGGGGGCGGAGGCGGCGGCGGCGGTGGTGGCGGCGCCTCGCGCTCCGCGCCCGCCCACACCCAGGCCGTCTCGGCGCCGGCCTGCAGGTCGGCGCTGACGTAGATGAGGAGCTCCTCGTCGCGCAGCAGCGCGTCCTGGACGGCGCGGGGGTCGGGCTGGGCGGCGGCGGCGGCGGCGGCAGTGGGCGAGGGGTAGCCGGGGGTGGCGGCGGCGCGCGGGAGCAGGGCGAGCAGCTCCTGCTGCTTGGCGCGCAGGGTCTGCAGGAAGAAGGCGAGGAAGCGGCCGCAGGGGACGGCGACGTCGCGGCGGGCGTCGACGGACTTGAGGGCGCGCAGGCACGTCAGCGCGAGGTCGTAGAGCCCGGTGAGGAGGAGGAAGAGGGTGCAGCGGAAGACGTGGGTGACGAGCAGGGCGGTGGCGGTGTCGGCGAGCGTCGCGTTGGTCCGGGCGATGAGCTTCGTCGTCTCGACGGCCGTGAGCATGCACTGCTTGATGGCCTCGCTGCGGGCGTCGGGCGGGCAGCTCGGCGAGAGGTTGTGGCGGTGGAGGTGCAGCCGCGCGCTGAGGACGTAGGCGAGGGGCATGAGGACGTGGGGCGGGACGGGGGCGATGCTGTTGGCGTCGCAGGCCTCGGGGATCATCTTCTGGCAGGCGAGGAAGTGGTTGTCGAGGGCGGCGAGCGGCGGCGGCGCGATGAAGGGGTGGGCGAAGGCGCGGCGCACGGCGGAGAACGAGCGGACTATGTTAATGATGAAGTGGAGGTAGTGGGTCAGGGGGTTGACGTTCGGGGGCGGGTGGACGGGACCCTCGGTGTGCAGGAAGTGGTCGTCGACGGGCTCGGGCAGCGCGGTGTCGCAGTCGGCGTCGTCGATCACGAAGGGGCGCCCGAGCTCTAGCGCGAGCATTCGATCGAATATGTAGATCGCCCACCAGACCCGCCTCCGCATGTCGGCCTCGACCCGGGACCGCAGCCCGGCCACCTCGAGGTGGAGGTCGAAGTCCTGGGCGGCGCGCGCCGCCTTGCCCAGCCACGTCCACGCCGCCGACTTGAGGTTCAGCTCGTTCAGCGCGAGCGCCGTCAGGAACGCGCCTCGCACGCTGTCGAGGTCGAAGTCGTTGTTCCACGGATCCGTCAGGCTCCTCGACGCCTCCAGGAACTCGCTCGCTCGCAGGGTCCGGTCCGGGTGCGGATCGTTGCTAAATAGGCTGCCCATCGCCAACACCGCGAAGAACATGGAATGCCACGAGATGGGGACCCGCTGTATGTTAGTATTTTGATAGAGCTCTTCCACCTGGTGCTGCAGCGTCGGCCAGTGTAAGATGGGCATCATGATGTGCACCGCCCCGTAGTACGTGTGGAGGAGCCGGTCCGTCGTCGCTTTCGGGGGAAGCGGTGGTCTCGGGTGGTCGAAGGCGATCGTAGCCGTAGCCGGCGCCTGTCGGTACGGCGCCGGGGGCTTCGCCAGCCCTTTCGAGAAACTTCGGTAGGCCGCCCGCGCTCGCGCCGGGTCTTGTAGCAAAGCGGTGGCTCGCCTCCGCCGCCTCGGCTCCGAGTTCAGGTCTGGCGGCAGCTGCGGCGACAACGTCTCGCTCCCCTCAGCGTCGACGTCCATGTGCTCGCCCCGCTCGGCGAGCGTGCGCCGCAGGTTGCTGTTCTCCTTCCGCACTCGCTCTATTTGCTTCTCTAGATCCTGCACCTGTTTAATGGACGACATCCGCCGGTTGGTCTCCTTGGTAAATTGGCATTTTACGTTGCGGCTTGAGCACTCCGAGCAGCTCGTCGTTTCTGTGGCATCACATTTGACCTTTCTTTCCCGGCAGGCGTCGCAACTTTATATAGACGTACGGAATACGAGAAGCAAGTATTGGTTTCCCGCTCAGCCGCCCCCTTTCCCCCTTTGTGCGATCATGTCGCTGAAAAGGGGGGAGAGGGAGGGAGAGGAGGGGGGACACCAATACCCGTCCTCTCGAGACCCCGTACCTTAAAGTCAGCATTGAATTTCTCTACGAAGAGGAGAGAAAAGGAGGAAAGGAGGAGCGAGGCCGAGATAATAATGGCATCACGAAATCTTAATCCCCCTTCGCCGAAGCGTGAACCACGGTGCAGGATCTCCCCCCGCTACGCGAAGCACATACCTAGGATCCTTCCTCCTCTGGCGGTAGGCGCGCTTCTGAGTCGAGACATTAGCTGCTAGCTGAGAGTTCGAGAGTCTCGGAGTACTCGCCACCGAATCAGTGGGTGGTAGCGACTCTCGGCCCATCACGGAGGTTGCTGCCACCGGCGTGTAGGGCTGGAATCCCGTCGTCTGGGACACGGGAGGCAGCTGGGGAATCCCTATGGGCTGCGGTGGCTGCGTCGTAGTCGGCCTAGAGCCGGATCCTATCAAGTTGCCTAGGAGCTGAGCCTGCGGTCGGGGCGAGGTCGCCGACGAGACGGAGGAAGAGTCATACGATCTCGTAGAGGGATTGGGCGAGCGAGGAAAAGGGTTGTGCGAGGATGCTGCCATCTTTACAGGAATTCCGAGGGCCGATCTGCTGGTGGCTTGTCAGGAGGAGTCTCCTCGCGTTGGGCTCTCCCCAGCTGAACGAGTATCCGGGGAGAGTTACCGATCAAGGGACATGTAGAGAGTTCTGTTGCGGAACGTCTTCTCGGGGGCGGCCAGATATTAGGAAAGCATCCAGGCACCATTCCACCGTGGTCAAGTTCTAGGACGATAAACATGCGGCGGGTGGTAATGGCGATGGATGATGATGATGGTGGTGGTGGTGATGGCTTGTGGTGGAGGAGGAGGAGAGGTACTGCACTTTTTCGGCGGGGGTTCCTGACTGGAGTTACAGCAACCCTCGCACCAATGCCGTAGAATCCGAGAGTCTAACACACGCGAATCCTCGTTGTTCGCCCTCGAGAAATTCCTAGCTTAATATCAGCTGCTTTTTGCGGTGTTGCAGCAGCGTTGTGCTACTAGAAAGTCGTCCTAGCTCTAGCTCTCCTCTCTGTCTCTCCCTCTCTGTTTCTCTCCTTCGCCTGACCCGCTTCCACTGACGATCCTCAACAACCCGACAAGTCGCTCCGGGCAGGGGTTCCCAAACTACACGGGAGGGACCACCGGCTGGGAACAGAGTCTCGGGAGCGCTAGGACTATTTGTGATCCAGCATTTAATACTGCGGTCGTCTCTCTGACGTTCGGTTGGCGGTTCCTGCTAGCATCAAAGGGTATTGGGGGGAGGGGATGATTGCCTAAACAGGAAGTGAGAGTCTGCCGGCAGGCGACAAAGATCATGTACGAATATATAAAGTATCACTACAATACGGGCCTGATGTGGTGTTACTCAGGAGGGGAAGGGGGGTGGGAGGAGAGAGATTCCGACTCGACTCGACTGGAAGAGACGTGTCTTGCGGACAGGGACGATGAAGAGCACCGCCGGCAGCAGTTTTCTGGAAGAGGCAGTGATTTGAGGAGAAGGGTCGACGGTAAACACGTATGTATGTAAGGTAGGCAAGAGAGAAAGATAGGTAGATGGATAGGGTAGACAGAGAGCCAGCCGGCCAGCCAGCCATCGAGACAGCCAGACTAATACCACTACAACGCCCACCTCTGCGGCTACTGCTACTGCTATTACTAGGTACCTACATCTACTAATGCTCCTCCATAGATGTACTACGTATCAAAAGAGACGTACGTAGTTAATCCACCTTGAGTCTCCCTCCCCTGGTTCGGCGCCAAAGCAGAAAATCGGAAATATAATCTGGAGGGGTCGAACTGAATCCTTCTACTACTGCACCCCTGTAATTAGCACAGGAAAGAAACCGAGCAGGGCTGTGAGCGACGCTCCTCGACAACACGGAGGAAAAAAAGAAAAAAAAAAAGTCGCTAGCTACGGTGTTTCGAGCTACGTCGGGTGGGCCATCGGCCTGGACCCCAGCCTTGACCCTAATATAATAAGCGCAGGTCTCCATACCCGTCTCCCAACCTGCCTACACACACACGTACATACATGCCATACACACACACACACCTTATACATATGGTATGTGTGAATGTATGTATGGTACGTGTGTAGTGTAGTAAACCCTGGGGACCTTGCCAGATCAAGGGGGGGCCGCCCGCGACGGCGAATCGGACCTCTATGCAAAAAGAGCTTGATAATAATAAGGACTCCCTCTAGGCATGTACGTAGGTTCTTCCGCGGTCCTTACCATGCTTAACTGATGGTCTATATTACAGGCTAGCCTGGCTCCCCCCCCCCTTTCCCTCACCCTATATGTACGTACATAGGTAGGTAAACAGGGTAATGGGTGTGAGTGTGTGAGTGTGTGAGTGTGAGTGTATGTTCGGGTCGGTATGTACGTACGGATATAATACAGAGATAATAATATTACGGTACAGTAAGTCCTTTCTCGCTCGCTCCCTTGCTCCCTCACTCCTTCGCTCAAGGCTTTGGGCGGATACTGATTCTCGCTGGCACCGGACGCCAATGACTTGTCAGACACAGAACCAGAAAGGAGAAAAAAGGGAAGGAAGGGAAGAAGAAACGAGGAAACGCATCGCCGGGTTGATGCTAACTAGGAATGGAGCCCCCCAAGTGCGTGTACATGTAGGCGTATATGTCTCTGGGTGCGTGTGTACTCATATGGAGATGTGTATGTGTACTTTTATGCGACATTTCCCTTGTCTCCCCCGGTCTGCCCACGATGCACGTAGTTATGTACCCATATGTGGATGTAATATGTGGATGTACGTACGCCGGGCATCCTGATATCGGTTCGGTTTCGGTTGCTCTGCCCTGGTCACGGTATGTATGTACACAGGCCTACCTATGTATAGGAATCTCAGACTATGCAACCTCCACACTGGAACGCCGTACCGTAGCTCGCACATTATTTTAGTGCAGGACATCTCTGGGTAGGACTGGTTGGCTAGCTGGCCGGCGGGTGGGCGAGTCGGCATTCCTCTCGGTTGTGCCATGTAAACCAGGCCCGTTCGGGTGCATGATGTGCATTCGGGACCCAAGAACACAAGACGAGGTGCGAGGGCGTCTTCTTCTTATCTTCCCTTGTAATTTTTCCCTCCTTTTTTTTCCTCGTCCTCAGCTCGGTTTACGTCGAATCTTACACCCCTTTCCCCGTAACACCCACCCCCCCTTGGTCCCATCCCCTTCTTCTCCGTCGTTGTCCTCATCGTGTCGCCCGTCATTGGCGCTGCCGGCCATTCAGCCGTTTAACTTGGCATCGCGCCAAATTAGCAGCGAGGAAGAGATGGTGCAAATGCAATAACAGTCTATGCCACATAGGTGTGTAGGGGGATGGAGGCATTTCCTTGGCCGGCGGCAGTGGCCGGTCCGCTGTGTTAGCAGATTGTGACAAGCATGACTAGGACCAGACAGCGTAGGTATACAATTGTCTGTGAGCCCGTGACCCGATCGCTCTTTTTAATAAAACCTGGCATATGAAAAGAGGAGCGTCCCACTGGCGGACAACGGCTCACGACAGGGCCAGAGTATGGTCACCAAGGAAGACTAGTTTGAAACGTACCAAAGATCGAGTGCTCTCCGTGCTCATGCCGATGTAACCTGATCGCTTGGTCGAGTTACTACAGGAGCCTAGATGATAAACTCCGAGTTGTTGGCGACCCAGATGTTGGGTGCGTGCTGCTGCTGCTGACTGATTGACAGACAGACAGACAACACTCTTTCCCCTCTTTACCTCTGTCCCTCGGTACTCGGAATGCAATCCGTATCCTTTCCTGTCCGCTCTTCCCTTCTCTTCCCATCCCCGTCCCTCCTCTCTCTCTCCCTTTTTTAGTCTTGTTTCTTTCTTCTGTCTTTAATACCGGCTGTATGCGAGTATGAGTATGTTGATATTCTCCATCTCCCTGCTGCTGAGACCTGTCGCAATCTCTTAGCATCAAACATGTGGCGTTTCCCACAGCCGTCCCAAAGAGAACCGACTGTTTTACTAGCCTGCCCCTCAATCTTCCTCGAAAGAGTTAGTGATCCCGGGACGATCTGATCACTTTCAGGGCACGTTTTTTCTGTCCTGGTGACAGCCCTAGCACTCGGGCTAGGGACAGCCTGTTCGCCGCCCCCTCCGGGGCCCCTTCGACCGTAGTAATCTATGTAATCTGGCTGGGGTTGAGGAGAGACCATTGGGGAGTCCATGGAGAACATGCAAGGTGCCGGAAAGAGAGATCACGCTACAAACAGTGTACACGGCCTGCATAACCCATAGCTGTAGGCAGTAGAGGTAGTGTGCGTACAGAGAACGTAGCAGTCGGCCCAGCTTTGGATCCCCCCCTGTTCGCGCTTGATGAGGGACGATTCCGGTCCGACAGGGGGACGATGGAGTATTCCGCTCTAGTACAATCCCATGCCAGTTGATGAAGGGGCCGAAAAAATGCACTGCCTGCCGCATTTTCACTATGGCGTCCTTCCAGAGTATCAGCACATGACCATTTCTTGCTTGCCCACGGCCACACACACACATATATACACACCTCCCTACACACCTCTAGGTGGGCGCTAATCGGCAAATAACGAGCAAGCCTCAGCCCAGCTGGGAGCCGTGCCGCCACGCAGCATCGAGGTCCGTGTATCTGCCCAGCTGGGATCGTAGCGTACCTAGTTATCCCCCAGGCCCGGAAGAGAGCGCGTAGGTTCATCGTCAAATACCGCCGCCACCCTCCACGGGGCGATCAGGTTCGCGACCATGGGCGATCCCACCCCGAGAGAGAGAAGAGAGCGCCGTCAAATGCCACACAAACGAGGTCGAAGATACCATACGCGCATACACACAGACACGCACAGATATCTACCTACCTACCTACCTACCTACCTACCTACCTATATGTACATGCATGCATATATAGTCGAGACGTACGTGTGTACATACACGCCTACGTGCCCCAGGAAGAGAAAAACCGGGGGTGAGGCGGCTACAACGGGCGATGGCCACCGGCCAATAATCACAGTCGGAGCCCGTAGGGAGAGACATTGTGCCGAGCAGAATCTGTCCCACTTGCTGGAACTCTTGCGGTGGAGACGTCCGGCCTCTCTGACTGGCATCGCATCACTTGCAAATGTCCCTCTCTCTCGCATTCTACACAGCCATGTCTATAGCACCTCGCTTAAGGCGAAGAGAACTCGTCAGCAAGGGCCAGCTGGTTTCACCAATAGCCTGCGCGCGGATGGCTTGGGAACTCGTTAATCTCAAGCCATGCGAATGGAAAGCAGGGCAACTAGGATAAATCTCACCGAAATCCGTTTCAATCCCCTAGTAGGCATGGCCGATGATGGGCAGAGGCCACGCGAACGGGTAGCAGCCAACAGCAGCGCGGCAAGGATATTGCGCAATGAATACTCATAAGGATCAAAGCTTGCGGAGGATCTCCCAGCAATCATAATAATAACAACACAACTATAAGGCTAAGATTTAGGCGCTATTCCTCTTTGTCCGCGACTTGAGCGAAACTGGGGGGTCATTCTACGCAGCAGACGCGATGGCATCCCGGGAGGAGGATGGTTCTAGCCCTCGCCGAGCCGGAACCATCGACCTGCGCGCGCGACAGGCTCTGCTGAGCACGGGTTGGACTCCAGATCGGTTGGCAATCCTCGGAAGTGACTAAGCTATACTGGATCACGGCCCCCGTTCGAGGCGGATGAGCCTCAGTTGGCCTACACAGGTACATTCTTGCATAGACGGTTGCATGTAGAGTATCGAGATCGTCAGGGGATTGATCCGAGGCTCCTGGGGGGGGACAACCTCGCCAGGCCAAGTCACAAGGGCGAAGCAACACTCATTCCGGAAGCTGTTGTTACCTGCTACTGTCTCCTCTACCTACATACTTATGTGTGCACGCAGAGTGCGTGATTGATACCTACATCCGGCGCACACATATACATACACACAATTACGACGGATCCCGTGCTGTGCAGGTACACGATGCAGGCATCGTACTGAATGATCCTATCTAGGATGTGGGAGAGATGTGCACTCACATGTATGTAGGCAATCGGTATGATTGCAACGTAGGGAGAGACAACACGGAGCAAAGGCGTCAGCGTAACAGGAAGCGTTCTATGTAAACCTGCATATATAGGTATGTGTGCACATGAGACCCAATATTCACAAGGCCCGAGAGCCACATGCCATCCGCTGGGAGAGACGGTATCTTTCTTGGCTTCGGATTCTCCAGGCGTTGCTTGATGGCTTCTGGGGTTTGTCGGTTTCATCCTTACGCCGCACCTCTTGCTTATTGCGGGAGGCGCTGGATCCATGTCCTACAGGCAGGCCATCCCATCCAGATACACACATGCATTCACGTCTACCTACCTACCTACCTTGTACGTGCTTCTGATACAGAATCTCTGTGGCATAGATCCATAAATGAAAACCCCTTCTCCTCCAGCCCGAACGGGAAGGATCGTCGAGCCTAGCAGACGAGAAACGCCTGAAGCCAAGGACGGACAAGCAGGGGGGATCCAGAGAACTCCCAACGCAGCAGTTTTCTGTACACACATGCATACACACCTACCTACGTGCCGACTACTTATATGAGTAGTACTCGCATTACACACATACTTACCTACATGTGTATATTCACACAGGTATATTCATACACCAATACGCCAGAATTCCTGGAATGCAAGGGATGGACGATGGATGAACGGATCGATGGATCGAGCGAAGGACGGTTGGTTGGTTGGTCCGGATGCAGGAATAGGGGAAGGCCTGTTACGTAGTAACCGAGCCCACGCGACAAGAGGTTACCTACCGCTTTAACCACGCTATATGTGTACGTGCTGTATTTACATATACTACATCGTACAGGGATCCCTAGACCGGCACCGTTAACTGGTTTCTGACTGGCCCGTCGTTTTCAGAAAACTTGCGGTACAGCGGCCAAGGAGGGGATGGCAACGCTTGGACGATGAATCTGGGCACCGGAAGACTTCCGAGCGGACGGCCGCCTGGTTGGTATTGGGAATATACTTGGAGGTTGAAATAACATCCTCGTTAATCATTCAGCCGGTTTTTCCCACCTTCTAGAAATGTTCCCCCATCCGCTGTCTTCTCAAACACGGTGCTCGCATTTAATCAATCTGCTACAGGGTCGAGAGGGAAGAGGGGAAAAAAAAAAAACCACGCTGACGACTTGCATAAGTTGTCTTACCACCCTCTTTCAGTCTCTCTCTATCTTCCTCTCTCTAGATATCGGTAGGGTTACGTAAGTACCCCATCCATAATCCCCCATCCTCCTAGTAATCGTAGGGTAGAACTCGTCGGAAATTGAGGAACGGCTGCAGTTGTCGTGTGCTACCACGATGCAGGGGAGTCTACTAGGTGCGGCGGTATGTGAATCTGGAACGACAACGACCCGGTGCCAAAGTTGTCTGTGAAGCTTCAAGGAAGAGCCTTCTCATACGTAGGACATCCTCTCCTAATGCTATTACTATTGTAAGTCAAGGGGGGGTGGGGATCGCTCGCGCGGGCTTGGCTACTTAGCTAGGCTCTTTACGTCGGGGCAGAAAAAGGGGGGGAAGAGGGGGGGGGGGAGGGAATGGGGATGGGGATGGGGATGGGGGAGAAAAGGAGGGAGGAGAGAAGGGTGGGAACAAGGGGTGCCGGATACCGATATGTACCTCGATGCCTAGGAACGAAAAAGAGGAGGGCCCGAACGGATCGGGCGCCTTGGACGCTATAGCGGCTATTCGACTCCCAGATCCGAGTAGCTCGTCGCCGGAGTCGTCCCCTCCTGAGATCATGACGCTATATCGGTAGGCTAAACTCGGATCTCACTTATTAAGTGGTTACTCACCCTCACCCAGGTTCGCATGGGACTAGACCAGGTTGGCGTTCCTCATCCATGGGATCGCGTGCGGCTGGCGCGTTAATCAATTCGGCTTCCTCCGGACGCCTCCAACGCCGGTTTCTTGGACGCGCGTCGGGTCCCACGAAGATAATACGTAGTCTGGCAAGGTATCACAGATGTACAAATGCCTAGACCTGCATGCCAAACTACGGGGATTGTGCTATGTATGGGATGTACGGGTGTATCTGGCTGTCCCCGTAGGTACTAGGTATGGGGTGTGTGTGCGGATATGTGGGCGTGTGTGGATGCGTTGTGAGCGAGGACTATCCCCAACTCATCGTGTGCTTGTCGTAGAGCTTGGCCCATAGGCTACCGCCCTCTACCAACCCATCCTAGCTAGGCTTGCTCGCCTCTCCTTTCTCCCTTGTCTCTCTTTCTCTCTCTCTCGCCTTTTCCCTCTTCCTCTTTGGTTTTCCTTTTCCAACCTAGGGCCGCCGGCTGCCAGGTATCACCCTGCCTGCTTGCTGTGAGTTATGACAGGTCATGAGTGATCTGTTCCACCACAGCCAAACAAAGGCTCTCGTCCGGGTTTCATTATGCCCAAAACCGGATAGCAGGTATCGGTAAGTTTTGGGAGATCGAGATGGGGGTTAACCCTAAGCATTGAGAGCGCCGGCGAGGGGGCCAAGCGCGAGCAACCTCGTCGGACGCATTTAGCCGAGGGAATCTCGACTCTTCATGAGCGGCCATTTGCATCATCTCTGCACTCGTCCACCGTTGCCCTCAATCTAAGACTAGGGGAGGCGCCCACAGCTCCCACATCCCGGGTCGGCGTGCGACTTATCTGCAGGGTCGTCACCGGCAAGCAGCACAGCAGCACACCGAGATGCCTCAACAAACTTTCTAGGAGACCTGAAAGACGTTCTCGCTCTCCGTGTGATTTCGCCGCGCCGGCGAATCTAGCAGGGCAGGGGTTGGGAGCAGACGGCCGGCCGGGAGAGACGAGAAAGGAAACGGGAGAATTAATAAAATTAAAAGCCACGATACCGCAGCGAGCCGTCTCCTCTATCCCAAGGCCCTTGGCTTCCTTCTGTGTAGTGACGAGAACATGCGCGGTATCCAACAAGACAAGCCACCGAATTGCCTCTTTTGCAGCCGCGGTCTATGTAGGCCCATCAACGACCCGATATCTTACGCCACTACTCCGACGCTCTCCCTCGCTCCCTCTCTTTTTCTCTCCCCCTCCCTGTCCTCACTCTTTCCCTCGTCCGGAAGGACGGTGTGGGGAGAGGGATGGAGGGGACCCGACACCCAGTACGGCATCCTCAGCACACGAAAGAACACGCCACCAGCGTCCCCGTCCCAAGGATCCATGTTCATAGACAGTAATACCTCGACTATGTATAAGGCGCCCGCGCATATGATATATATCTAATACAAACGCCGATCTACATACATAGATGCAGCCAGACTCTACGTCACAAGACAATAGCTCCGGCTAGCCTGCGTGCCCAGCATATGGCTATATTGACATATATAGGCGCCATTATGGAGCACCAGCTCCTACTCTGGAGCGAGTTTGGGGGTGGCTTCGATGCAGGCACGTGAATGGGACGCCGAACGAGTCGATCTTCCTTCACATCCAGACCTTGCTCTCTCCGGGATAGGGGGCTTGTTCCTCCATGCCCGACGCCAACACACTTTATCGAGTGCATACCTATATACTAACGCCGACATCAAAGCCGCATGATCCAGGACACATGTCCAAGAAGTCGAAGTGGCCAACCGCGTTACCCAATGGAGCCAAGGGCCCGAGTGCGAGTTAGGTAGCGACCGATTGCCGAGTTCGCGGGTCGAAACCACGACGAGATCGGCTCCGCACTCGCTGGGAGACACGGATGTTACCTCTCTGGATGACGAAGGGCACTCGGCCAGGGGGCCTGGGAAGCCTTTCGAGAGGGGATGGGAAGACTGTAAGCAGTAAACTCAAAGCGAACGTGGCTCTCAGATTGCCCACTACTCAGGTGGTCGTTCCATGCCGCTCCCACGGCCCCTGGCCGAGAGCTCTTGTGCTCGCTGCTGCTGTTACCCTGATCCGTTCCACCCATTCTAGCGGAGGGTGCAGGCGGGGGGCCAAAAGAATCGATCCTCTAGAACGTTTCTTAGAGTAGCATTCCATCCCGTGTTACATGGAAGGCATGTCGTCCGTGTAACACATTACAGGCCCAACGCTCTAGCATACACCATCCATCCGTCGAGATCCTCGACGGAGGCCCCCGTCTTACCACTGTGCTGTCCTTCCCTCCCCCCTCCCTCCCTCTGTGCTTCTATGCCTGTCCCTCCCTTCCCCCCTTTCCATCCTCTACGAAATAAGGGGGATAATCTACCTACCTGCCACAGCGTGTTATTGTTGTTGTTGTTGCTGGGTAAACTGACCTTTGCCAATGCAGGAAGATGCTCGAATTATCCCGTATGTGCGGTTTGTTTAAGGGAGAAGGAACCAGGCGGGCCAGTGTAGCATCTAGGACAC